TCGGCCCGGCTCCCGGCTCGGCTAGGCTCGCGGCTCGGCTAGGCTCCCAGCTCGGATCGGCTCGCGGCTCGGCTCGGCTCTCGGCTCGGCTCTCAGCTCGGCTCGGCTCGCGGCTCGTGGCTCGGCTCAGCTCTCGGCTCGGCTCTCAGCTCGGCTCGGCCTGCGGCTCGGCTCAGCTCACAGCTTGGCTCGGCTCTCGGCTTGGCTCGGCTCTCGGCTCGGCTCTTGGCTCGGCTCGGCTCTCGGCTCGGCTCGGCTCTCGGCTCGGCTCGGCTCGGCTCGGCTCGGCTCTCGGCTCGGCTCGGCTCGGCTCTGCTCTCGGCTCGGCTCGGCTCTCGGCTCGGCTCGGCTCTCGGCTCGGCTCGGCCCTCGGCTCGGCTCTGCTCGGCTCTCGGCTCGGCTTGGCTCGGCTCTCGGCTCGGCTCGGCTCAGCTCTCGGCTCGGCTCGGCTCGGCTCCCAAGGGGAAGGCTCCTGGCCAAGTCGAGGGCCAATAGGGCAAGATTTTGGGGATGTCTCTGCAAGAAGGGCATAGCAGGCTGCAGAGCTGCTAAGACCCCTGCCGCCCTGTTAGACATTTCACTGCACTAGGCCTGATCGGACTTAGGTCTGCGGGTGCTGGGTCGGTGGGTGCTAGGTTGGTGGATGCTAGGTCGGTGGGTGTTAGGTCGGTGGGTGCTAGGTCGGTGGGTATTAGGTCGGTGGATGCTAGGTCGGTGGGTGTTAAGTCGGTGGGTGCTAGGTCGGTGGGTATTAGGTCGGTGGGTGCTAGGTCGGTGGGTGCTAGGTCAGTGGGTGCTAGGTCGGTGGGTGCTAAGTCGGTGGATGCTAGGTCGGTGGGTGCTAGGTCGGTGGGTGCTAGGTCGGTGGGAGTTAGGACAGTGGGTGTTAGGTCGGTGGGTGCTAGGTCGGTGGGTGCTAGGTTGGTGGGTGCTCGGTGGATGCTAGGTTGGTGGATGCTAGGTCGGTGAGAGCTAGGTCGGTGGGTGTTAGGTCGGTGGGTGCTAGGTCGGCGGGTGCTAGGTCGGTGGGAGTTAGGACAGTGGGTGTTAGGTCGGTGGGTGCTAGGTCGGTGGGTGCTAGGTTGGTGGGTGCTCGGTGGATGCTAGGTTGGTGGATGCTAGGTCGGTGAGAGCTAGGTCGGTGGGTGCTAGATCGGTCGGTGCTAGGTCGGTGGGTGCTAGGTCGGTGGGTGTTAGGTCGGCGGTTGCTAGGTCAGTGGGTGCAAGGTCGGTGGTTGCTAGGTCGGTGGGTGCTAGGTCGGCGAGTGCTAGGTCGGTGGGTGCTAGGTCAGTGGGTGCTAGGTCGGTGGGTGCTAGGTCGGTGGGCGCTGGGTCGGTGGGAGCTCCCGGGAGCTCGGTTCCCGGGAGCCAGGAGCCGGCATGGAGCCACGAGCTTGGAGCCGGCATGGAGCCGGGAGCTGGGAGCCGGCATGGAGCCGGGAGCCGGCATGGAGCCAGGAGCCGGTATGGAGCCGGGAGCCAGCATGGAGCCGGGAGCCTGCATGGCTCCATACCGGCTCCCGGCTCCATGCCGGCTCCCAGCTTCCGGCTCCATGCCGGCTCCCGGCTGCATGCTGGCTCCCGGCTCCCGGCTCCATGCCGGCTCCAAGCTCCCGGCTCCATGCCGGCTCCCGGCTGCATGCTGGCTCCCGGCTCCTGGCTCCATTCCGGCTCCCGGCTGCATGCTGGCTCCCGGCTCCATGCCGGCTTCCGGCTCCCAGCTCCCGGCTCCGTGCCGGCTCCCGGCTCCATGCTGGCTCCCAGCTCCCGGCTCCATGCCAGCTCCCGGCTCCATGCCGGCTCCCGGCTCCATGCCAGCTCCCAGCTCTATGCCGGCTCCCGGCTCCATTCCGGCTCCCGGCTCCATGCCGGCTCCCAGCTCCATGCCAGCCCCCGGCTCCTGGCTCCATGCCGGCTCCCAGCTCCCGGCTAGAAACCCAAGCCGGCATAGAGCCGCAGCAATGTGGTACCAAAGGTAGTATGGACGTGCATGCAGAAACGAACCGAGCCCCATCAGCGGGAATAAGTTATAACATGTTTAAGGAGTCTATACCCGGCGCCGTGGGTCAATATATAGCTTCTCGCACGGCCGGATTGGACCCTGAAGCGTTAGATTTGCATGCACCAGCCGAACAGCCCCTCAGTCGTCCGAGCAGGCCTGTCCACGTGTGGTGCCTGCAACACACGAATGGACGTATGCATGCTGGAGTCCTTTGTACGACGCGCCAACAATGATGACCACAGCCGCCTCGTGACTGCACGCCAGCGCCTCACCCACTACGTTGCCGGTCTCGGAAGCCAACTCGCTCCACCTGCCACCGCCGCAAATGCCAACTTGCGGTTGGAGCGACCTCCGGGCAGGCCGGTGTTTGCAGTGGTCGTCAACTCTGGGACACAGGAGACACCGATCCGACCTGGGGTACCGCCACCGTACATCAAGTTGCCGACTCCGCCCTCCATTGCCGACACCATACAGCTATCCACGCTTTCCGTTGAACAAGCTGCCGCCTTCATGCTCATGGCGCGCTACTTTGACCGCCGCAACACCGCCAACCCGGGACCACCACCAAGACTTCTCGTGCTGGGCGGACCAGGAACCGGCAAGTCCCAGTTCGTGCACGCACTGCTGTGGTACACGTTCCAGCACGGGCAACCCGAGTGGGTGGCCACGTCGGCGTACACCTGGACGGCCGCGTCGCTGTTTAACACACCTGTCCATCGCAGCCTCTCCACGCACTGCATGTTCGGCATAACGACCAACCCCAAGGACTCGCTCAAGCCCGGTGCAGAAGCCAACCTGCAGGTCGCTCGCAATGTCGGTGATGGGGCCATCGTGATCGATGAAGTAAGCCTCACCAGCCTTACTCATCTCGGAGCCATCAGCCGTTCTTGCAGCAAGCGTCTCCGCCCTCCACGCCACCTGTAACCCGGCTCCCCGGCTGCCTCCATCTTTGCGGGACGCCCTGTCGTCCTCGTCGGCGACCCCTGCCAGCACGAGCAACCTGGCGGGCCGCCCGCCTACAAGTACGCCACGGAGCTGGAGAAGAACGCCGACTTCAAACCATCGGCGCCAAACGTCCGTCCACCACGAGGCAACAACGAGGCTGACGACCACCACATTTGGACGTTGTGGATTTGCTGTTGTGCTGCGTGGACATTCCCACAACCTAAGCCAGGCATGCAAGTGGTCCCGACCGCTCAGGTAAGTCTCTCCACAGTAAAACCCGAGCCTCTCCGGCCCTTGGGCCCAACAGTTGCACCAACTGGGTGCAGATGGTAGTGGCGGCCCACTCGAAATTCATGCTGCTGCTGGCGATGACGTGGGTTCGTGAAAACCACCCTCGCAGCTCTCTAAGCCCTTGCAACTGCTCTTCCGACAGCTGCTGGACACCCACCAAGGACAAACACCTCGCAATCCGCAGCTCTCCCAACGACAATACCCGTTTCCTCCACCGTGAACCGCTCTGCTGCTCGGTAGTGACAGCCGGCTCAGCTTCGGCAGGCAGGCTGCCAGGCAGTCGTACGTGTTGCGCCGGGAAGGCTCGGAATACGACATGCTGTGGAAGTGCTGCAGGTCGAGGTCTCGGAGTCCTGGAAGCAGATGCACAAGCGCCTCCACAACCACCTTGGCAGGAGACACGGCATCCTCCTCGGCCTGCACGAGCACCAGCCGGGTGATGCGCTGAAGGGCCGCGGGGCTTAGCTTCTGGAAGAGCTGCTTGACCAGGAGCACGGTGACCGCGACCGCAACATCTTGGCCGAGCCCAAACGCTAGGCTGACCGAAGATAGCCTTGAAAAGTGTTCTCCCAAAGAAGGTAGCTTGCTTGGGTCAAGATAATGCTGACCTAGGATGATGCTGGCTTTCGTGGCGTTGCCGTCAACCGCCATGCGCCAGGTAGAACAAACTTGGCGAAGGGCTCGGCGTACATCATGAGACACAAAACTAAAAATGTGATTTAGAGTATTGATATCTAAGCTGTCAACGCCCTTAGGGCTCTCTTCGTCCTTATCCAAGGTGTTGCTCATTGTGGCTGTCCAAACGCATGTATGCAGGTATTCAAAAAGTAACTGCTGTTTTCATATGTTGACTAACAGTACTAGCTACTATGTCTTCAGCATCTTCTGTGGGGCAAGGACACGACAGTAACAGAGCTGCTATAGCGTTCACATTAGGCAGGTCTAATTCCACATTATAATCACAAATCTCGTTAAATGCATGGCTAGGCTCAAATATACTGTCGGGTAACACTTCGGCGAATACAGGTCTGGAAAATGCCTTACTGTATTCCAGTCTTCCAAGCGGTGTAGTGCATTCCTCCCGCGGTTACGTGCCTTTCAAGCCAGGCAATCCCCGTTGCCGCTACATGCCAACCTGCTTCTCTACCCCTACCCCTACCGGACGTGGCGGGGAAGCCACAACTCGGACACATATATGCATGCAAAGAAGTACTCGGTACATGTGGGATCTACGTTGCCACCTTCTTGGACGATGCCGGACCCCCCTGCTAAGTGGAACAGCAAGGGGGCCCATTAGGCCGCCCGTGCTATAGCTCTGGTAAACCACGGACGACACTCACACACCACCCTTGATCAGCATTGCATGATGGCACACCCAACATTCGTACAACAGCAGCCTCCACAGCAAAACGCAAACCCAAATGAACGTACCGGTAATAAACACACCCGTATGCACCTACCTACTCACCTATCCTAACCCCTACACTGCCCTCGGCTCAGTCGTAGTTCCCCTCAAGACGGCCCCCTCTGTCTTACCCTTCAACCTGACTGCCTATCCCTTCCTCAAGGCATGCAAACCCGTCAACCTCCGCTGACCTTCTCCCTTCCCACTACCCTCTGCATGTCACTCGCTCCCCTCCTCCTGCTGCCCCCTCGCACTCATCCCCCCTGCTGCATGCAGGCCAACCTCCACCCCTGCTCCTCCCGCCATATCAATCCCCCTCACCTCCCACCCCCACCCCTGCTCCCCCCACCCCTGCTCCCCTCACCCGCTCATCCCTGACGTGTACCTCACCCGTACCCGCATGGGGCCCCGTAACCGCTTGTCGTTGACCGTTAGTACGGTTCCATCCTCCGGAACCAAATCCGCCATGCGCCGGGTCAGGTTGGGCGCCGTTTCCGCTTCAAAGACGCCGTGCGCGAAGAGGTTGGTAGCCCCCATGCTGACGGAGGGAGCGGAGAGGTGCTTGCCCAGGGCGGGGTCGGAGCGGAGCTGATCGATGAACTGCACCGCACCCGGCATTTGGCAGTTGGGGGGGGGGTAAAACATAATGGGGGTTCAGAGATGTAACGAAACCATTGGTTAGGGCAGAGTAATGGGGACAGAGGGAAGAAGTTGCCATGAAATAGAAAGGGCCGGAGGCAGAAGGGGAGTGGCAGAGGATGTGGTGCATGCAGGGTTGGGAGGTAATAATGAAGGGGTAGCGAGAAGAGGAAAAAGAACCAAATAACCAAGTGACAATAACCGGCAAGAGGCAAGACACACGGAGCTGCATGTTGCACACCGCTCCGCAGCAGATAGGCAGGAGGGGGCGCACAAGAGGGCTGTGTACCAGGTATCACTGCGGCAAGGATACCATCGCCCCCCACCCCCACCTCCTTCAAACCCACAAACCCCACCCCCCACCCCCCACCCCTTCCCCCACCCCCCACCCTCCTCACCTGCTGCAGTGCCGCCTCCGGATCCACCTCCCGCGGCACCCCCGGCGAGCACACGGGGCAGGCGGGGTCGCGCTCGTAGCGGGCGGTGTGTGTGTAGAGCCCCGTGCTGCCCACGTACCTGGGGGGGGGGGGGGCGGGGGGGGGGGGGGGAGGGGGCGGGGGAATGAAGGGACTCAACACGAATACATAGTCGTTTTTAGGATTAGGGGAGGGGGCGGGAGGGGCAGGGAGGAAGAAAGGGGGAAGGGGAAGTAGTGGGGAGTGACGTGCATAGAAGGGTTTCACTCGAAACCGGCTGGGAGAGGCAGGGGGGTAGGCTGGGAGAGGCAGGGGGGTAGGCAGGGAGAGGCACAGAAAACCGCCCGACCCACATCACCACCACACCCCTCCGCCCTGCCTTCCTTACCGCCCGACCCCCGAATTGCCCGACTATCACCCTCGCCCCCTTCCCCCCCTCCCCCTCACATCATGTAGTTGTCAAGCCCCTGTGCGCAGCAGGTGAGTGTCTTGAGCGCCTCCAACACGCACTGTGCGGACACCACCGCATTGGTGGAGGCGATGGCGGGGATGATGTTCTTCACAACGCCCTGCGTCAGCTGGTAGGTGACACCCTGGGGGTGGGGGGTGGGGGGCAAGGTGGGGGGGAGGAGGCGATAACGATAAAAGTGAAGCAATGGATTTCAAAATCAAATTCCCGGCTCATGCAGATGGGGGACGCAACCAAACCAGCCCAAACCCTAGGAAACCATAGGTTAGGGCAAAGCAAAGGAGGGTGAGAAAAGAGGGGGGGGAGTGCAGCAGCAGCGTTGGAGAGCAGCGGCAAACCAACCCAACCGAAAGAGGTTGGGGGAACAAGACCGGGATGGGGCAAGCAGTCGGGCTGGAAAGCACGCCCTGCATGCCACTGACACGCCACTGACCAGATGATGCCGCTGACAACACCACAGGGGCGCAACGAGCGTGCATGCGCGCAACCTTCCTGCCTCCCTTGCCCCCTTCATGCCTTCCAGCCTCCCTTCCCGTCCCCCCCTCCTCCCCTCCGCCTCCCCCTCCCCTCCCCCCCGCCCTCACATGTATGCCGTACTGCTTGGCCCGCTCCGCTGCTCGCTCGTACACCCACTTCATGTGCTCCTCGCTGTCTGTGTCGAACTCCTCCCCGGGGCGAGCCTGGGGGGAGGAGGGGGGGTGGGGGGTGCAGGGTCGGAAGATTGGAGCTTTGCTGAAGGATTGAGGAAGGATGAAGAGCGTTACATCCGCGCTAACGATGCAAGCTACCGGAAAGGAGGCTTCTTGCCCGCCTCCGTCCCGCCCCACGCCTGTCCTCACCCTCCTTCCCACAGCTGCCATAGCGGCACATGCACACCTCTTCCAGTCCCCAGCCCCCATCGCCCTCCCGCCCCTCACCTGCCCCCACAGGATGAGGTGCGCGTACTCGATACAATGCGCCGGGGAGCTGAGGAGGAGGGGGGGGGAGCGGGGGGGGGGGGGTAATGAGGGGGAGGGGGGGGGAGGGGGGGGGAGCGGGGGTGCCCATGCGGACACATGCGGCCCCTGCATGAGGCCAACACAGGCCCAGTAGTCCTACAGGTTATCTTGCTCTCCGTGCCCACCCCCCCTTCTTTTCTCCCCACTCCCCCTCTCCGTTGCTTCACTTTCCATGTATGCCCCCCCCCCTCCGCTGTTCCACTTCTCCCCCCCTTACCGCGGCGTCTCCGCCAGTGTGCACAGCGGGAACTTGGTTTGCGGCGGGAAGAGCCACAGCGTGCACTCGAAGCAGGGCGTGTGGCCCGGCAGGATGACGCGCGCGTGACCCTTGAAGCCCTCCGTGCCGCCGTCCAGCAGCGGCTTCACGCTGGACAGGTCGGGCTGCCCGGACTCGTCGTACTCTGGGGGGGGGGGAGGGGGGGAGGGGGGGAGGGGGGAGACACTGATGAGGCAACTAACGAGCTGTGTGACATGTAGGCTTCACCATGGGTGGGGGAGGGTGTGTGTGGAGGGGTCAATCGTGGCGAGGCAAGTGAGGGGCGGGTGGGGAGCCAGCGCGTTGCCACAGGGGGAGCTGTGGGCGGTGAGGTGGCGGGTGGGAGAGGGGTGGGCGGTGGTGGGAGGGAGATTGCAGCAAGTGGGGGTGTTGGGGCGAGGTGGGGGTTGATGGGGCAAGGTGGTGGAGGAGTGGCCGGGAGCCGGGCGCATGCAAGGGTGTGTTGCGGTGATGTGATGTGGTGTGGTGTTGGGGCGCCCGGTGGCATCATGGGCTGGGCGTCCACCGGGCCTGCAGTCACCCGCACACCCTCACCACCACCACCACATGAAATCCTGCATGCGCCCAAGCCCCCCACCCCCCCACCCCGCATGCCGCCCCCCTCCTGCACGCCCTTCCTTACTCCCACCCCGGCACACGCCCCCCCCCCCCACCCCCCCACTCATGCAGTCCCACGCACCCAGGAATCCGCACACCACTGAATTCATGTAGCGACGAGCCTGGGGGGGGGGAAAGGGGCAGGGAGGGAGAAACAGCAGGCAAGACAGGGTCACATGACAAGGAGGTGAAGCAGCGACCCACGGGTCTCCTCTGCGGGCTGATGCGACAGCCCCTCAGTCCCTGGCTGCCTCAGTGCCCCCTACTCCTCCCCTCCCCCCCGCTCCTAACTTGCTCCCTCTTCCCCCTCCAGTTTGTTTCTACCTCTTAACCCTCTCCCCCCTCCTGCTGACCCCCCTCCCCACCCTCTCTCCTCCCCCTGCAAACACCCACCCCTCCGGGCTGGCTCGCATGTTGCAAACCATGATGACGCCCTATCACACAGTCAGTTAGTTGTCTCCCTTTCACCCTCACCACCTCTCTCCCCCTCCACCCTTCCCCACCCCCCACCTCCAGCGAGTCCAGCCCAAGTATGATGAGTGCGAAGGAGCGGTACCACTCCGCCGGCTGGTCCTCGATGCGACCAAAGTGGGGGGTCACACGCACCCCCGGCACGCGCGCGTTGATGCGCTCGGCAGCCACCGTGGCCTTGGGCTTGCCCACGTCCTGCATCCTAGGGGGGGAGGGCGAGGGGGGGCGGGGGCTTCGTAGGGATACATATTCCGGGTTAGGCTAGCATCCTGGGGGGGTGGGTCAGAGACCATACCGAACCATAGGAGGGGAGGGAGGGAGGGGGTGGGGGAGGCGAGGGAGGTGGGGGAAGAGAAAGCGGTGAAGCACAGACCAGCAGACGGGGGCTAAGGTGCATATGGTTAGGGTGGTGGGGCAACCGGGGCTAGGGTGGTGTGAGTGACAGTGCGGGAGCGGGATGGCGGTTCGAAGCTGGCAGGGAGACAGGTGGGGAAGAGGGGAGGGGGAGAAAGGGAGTTTGTGTGTGGGGGGGGGGGTGGAGGGGTTCACAATGAGGAATAGGAGGCGGGTGAAAGATAGGGAAGGGGCGATGTGAAAGCGCTTGCAGTGTTGCGTGAGGGGTTGCCCAAGAAGAGACCGGGAAGTGACGCGGTTTTGGGGTCTTTACTAGTAGGGGATGCAACTTGAAGGCTTTCCCTTGTGCACGACCCACGCCAGGCCACTAAGTACGGGTGTTATGGACGGTGATGCCTTGATCTAACCTCATGGAGCTAGCTTGTCAGGAACCGGCTCACCTGAACAGAAATTGTCGATTGAGGTTGGATACATCAATCGTGTCCATGTCAATAACATCGATATGGACCACGCCTGACAGCGCCAGGTCCTTCAGGATCTCGCATCCAAGCCCTCCAGCGCCCACGCACAGCACCTTACAATCTGGGCTTTGTAGAAACGCTCTAAGCTCTGGACAAGGTTCAAAGCCGGGGCCGACTAGCCTGCCCTGCCTAGTAAGGAGCATATCCAAGTCGCGCCAACGCTCATCGTCGTCCATTGTTGTATCCTCCATCGCAAAAGTCCTTGCTGCTTAACCTGAGTTTACTCTCGAACATGTATGGACGCCCATCCCACGTGTGCTGCTTAGTGTCGTACGGCCGCTCAACTACTTGAAGTTGAAAAATGAGGCCTAGTCGTTGTGTTGCAGGACAGGAGTTTGATGATTAGCAACTAGGGCGTTGCGTGCTCGCTTGGGAAGGAAGGCGACGGTTTGCAGAGGAAATCTGCGCGTAAGCAGGACGCATTTGCAGAACCGCAGTACCGCACTGTATATGCAAGTTTATGCAGGTTGGGGGAATATGAGGGTAATAATTTAGTTCAGCAACAGTCCAGTTCCACAATTAGCAAGGTTTCCAGTTAGTTACTTTACTACTGGCTTGCATCCTCGCTCAGAGCAGACCTTATCTGGTTGTAACTGCGACAAATATTATAGATACCAGCAAGGAACAGCTAAAAGCAAGCGGATCCGCGCTGCTCGTTGAGGAATAGCACTAATTAGGGCAAAGGGCCCTTCTGTGCTGAGATCGCGGCCAAGCCATGCGGAGAGCCAATTTCGTGGATGCTTGCCCGATATCACCTCTATCCTTTTTGTTGTTTACAGGATTGATTTCGCTCTTGCGTTTGTGTACATGGCCGCTCTAGCAGCCTTTTTTTAGGAACGACTTGCTTCTCTGCGTTCTCTTGGCTGCCCTATGCCTACATTATTGCGGCCGCTGCCGCACAATACTGGCAGCGGCAGCATTTACACCACAACGCGTAGCTCAGTTGCTGGAAGTGCCAAGCTCTGCATCGTCACAAATAACGCCTTAGCATCTGTCGGATGTATTCCACGAATAGGATTATGCGGAGCAAACGAAATTGTTTCCAGGCCAGCGCGTAAAGCTAGCGGCTCAGGCAGCGGCTCGGCCGTGGAGAGCAACGCGTCGACGCTTGCAGGAACGGTAGTTCTCGAACCTCGCAACCTTGTGGACAGCTGTAATCACACATCAGGAACTCAACACATCCTCGATGCATCCGGGCCCGCGATTTCACCTCGCGTCCAGACCTCCATGCCGGGATGGAGGCACGCGGAGGCCTCCATGGCTTACACCCACGAGCTCTTGGACCGCCCCGCGGCTTCAGCCATAGCCACGGCTTCTACAGCAGCCAGCCAGCCTTCCATTTCCGGCTCTAAACCAGCAGCAACATCACCTGCTCCTGCTGCTGCGGCTGCTGAAATGTCCAGCTTGGATGCCGACGACTTCACGTTGAGGCGCCTGCCCTCCTCCTCTTCATCATCATCACCAACCGACGGCGACAGCCACCCAGACGCCCAGCCCACCCCCTCCACCTCCGCACCCGACGTCCCTCCTCCCAAGCGACGCCAACCCAGACGCTTCCGCCCCAACACGCCACCTCCTCCCTCCTCCTCCTCCTCCTCCTCCTCCTCCTCCTCCTCCCCCTCCACATCACCCACCGCCTCCTCCTCCCCGCTCCTCACCCCTGCACGCCGTGGCCGCCCCCGCACCAACCGCACCGCACCACCCCGCCATCGCCCCTCCTTCTCCTTATCCCCACCCAAACCCCGCCTCCAACCCCCACCCCCGCCCCTCTCCTGGCCGGACTATCCCTACACCCGCCGCTCCGTGGCCTCCGCCTGCTCCCCGACGGACATCCCAGCCCTCAAGCTGGAGGCCCTCTTCCAATGCGTCCTGCAATGCCCCCGCGTACCCCCCAAACTCCTCCGCTTCCTGGCCCGTCAAATCCCCGGCGGCGCTGAAGCCGCGCTAACCGCCATAACCGCCACCGTTGAACAAATGGCACGCATGCTGGGGCGCGAGGTAACGGTTTACCTTGTACGGAAACGGCCCTGGGTGGTTACGGTGCCCGCGGAGTGTTTGGGCGAGCGGCTGGCGACGTTGCAGCGGTTGCTGGGTCTGCCTCCGGGGCCGCAGGGCGGGGTGCTGGAGCTGTTGCGCAAGAACCCCAACCTGCTGCGGCTTACGGGGGACGTGTTGGTGGGGCGGTACCGGGCACTGGCGGGGAGCACCGGGTTCGGGGAGGAGCAGGTGAGGAGTGGGGGTTGGGGGGTGGCGGGTGAGATGGGGGGGGGTAAAAAGAAGAGTTTCCAAGGGGTTTGGGTGAGGTGGGTGAGGTGGGTACCCCGGGTGAGGTGGGTGAGGGGCTGTTGTTCTGCATGGGGTGTGCGTGCAGGTCGCATGCAGCTTCTGTTGTGCTTTTCCAGCAGCAACAGCAGCAGCTGTTGTAGTGATGCAGTCCTGCATGCGGTTCCATGCGCTTCCCTCTTTCTCCTTCCACTCCTCACCCCTCTCTTCCCCACGCACTCGCCCCCACCCCTATTTCTTGTCATTTATCCCCCCCCAGGTCCGCGCGCTTGTTCTCAAGTACCCGCTCATCCTGAACTACCAGCCGGAGAGCGTGGCGAGCGCTAACTTGGTGTGGCGGGCGAGGGGGGGGGGCGGGTCAAAGACCATACCAAACCATAGGAATCCGTAGTTTAGGGCAAAGCAATGTGGCAAGCAATCTGATGGGGTTGGAGGGGTAGGGAAGCAACTGGTGTTACGGCGTTGGTCCGGGGAGAAGCCGTCAAGGTACTGGTTGGGGTGGGGAAGCATGAGCGGCACTAGCGGTACACGATGGGTGGGAGAGGGTGGCAGCGGAGGTTGTGTGGACATGCATCCATGCATGCATGCATGCGCCCAATCCCAGTGTCGGCACCTCACGACGCCGCCCGAGCTTACCGGTACGGCTAATGACACTACCGAGGGTGACAACTCGGTTCCCTTCTAACCCCACCTCCTCCCCCCATCCCCGCCCCCCCCCCCCCTTCCAGGCCCTGCGCCGCCTCTGCTCCGCCCGCGCCGACCTGGCGGCCCACTACTCGCAGCTCAGTCCCAGCCAGTTCGCGTTCTTCATGCGCGACCGGCTGCAGACGCTGCTGCGGCTGGAGTACCTGCTGCTGACGGGAGGCGGGCGGAGCTGGTCGCTGCGGGAGGTGATGAAGCGGTCCAACAACCTATTCAAGAAGTGGGGGCGGGCGGGCGGGCGGGGGGGGGGATGCGGGTGTGTTTTGGGGAGAATGAGCAGCTGTGTTAGAAAAACTGGCCGAGCAGCTGTGTGTGTGATGGCGGAACTGAGGGGCCGCACAACGGACAGTGACCAGCAGGGGTGCAGTGGTATGCCCCGTCACAGTAGGGTGTGTCATGAGCGCGTGTAGGAGAGAAAGAGGGAAACCACGTTGCTGATGTGAGCGCGGGCGGTGCATGGCGGCTGGGATGTCAGGCTGGTTGGAAGGCTTAGCGGTGCACCTTCGGGATACTACCCCTCATGTCCTTACCCCTCATCACCCACCCTCTCCCTTTCTCCTCTTCCCCTCCTCCACTCCAGGACCTTCAAGTCCTTCCGTCCCTGGGCCGAGGCCCGACTCCGCCGCCTGCAAGCCCGCCTCTCCGCCGCCAAGGCCCAAGCCCAAGCCGCCGCTCGGGCGGGGGGTCTGCCCGCCTCGCCCCTGCCTCCCCCCCAGCTGCTGGATGCCGCGGAAACGCAGGCGGAGCGGGAGTACCAATCGGAGGAGCAGCTGCGGTTCCGGGATGAGTTCCTGGCGCGGCGGGAGCGGGACATGCGGGAGGCGGCGAAGCGGGAGGCGCAGCGGCAGCGTGCGATTGAGGAGTTGATTGCGGCGGAGGAGCGGCGGAGGGAGGAGGCGGAGCGCAGGGAGATGGCTGGGGAAGGGGAGGAGGAGGAAGAGGGGCAGGGGCAGCGGAGAGGGAGTGACGGCAGGGCAGCACCTCAGCAGCAGCAGCAGCAGCAGCACCTGCGACCACCGTCACCACCTGCAAGGGGACAACCACCGGTCGGGCCCGGAGGAGGAGGAGGAGGAGCAGCAGCAGTAGCAGCACTAGGGAGGGTGCCCCCAGGCGGTGTGGGGAGAGGCTTCCCGGGTGCACCGCCCAGACCAATGCAACAAGGGGCCTTCCTTGGGCCCTCCCCGCCATACACCGGCCCGACCCATGGGTCACCCCAAGCTTCCTCCGGCCCTGGTATGATGGGCATGGGTCCCCGCCCCATGCCTCCTGACGGCGGCATGGCGTGGAGGCAGCAGCAGCCGCCGGCAGGGCCTCCATCGTCGCCGTCCTCGGGGCCACCTGCGGGGCCTTCTGGGCACGATGAGGTGATGATGCGGCGCGACGGCGGCGACGTGCTGGCGTCTGTGAGCCTGGGGCAGCAGTGGCGGCGGCCGGGCATGAAGTTCCAGCCGCCGTCATCGCAGCCGTTGCCTCCTCAGCAGCAGCAGCACCCGCAGCAGCAGCAGATGCACGCATCCCCACCCGAACACATCCCTCAGCAGCAGCCACCACAGCCACAGCAGCAGCAGGGGCCGTTGGAGCAGGGGGGCCCATCACCGCATGGCCCCCCACCTCAGCAGCAACAACAGCTGCGTTGGCAGGGGCAATGGCAGCAACCCATGCAAGGGCCGCCGCAGCAGCAGCAGCCGCAGCGCATGTCACCCCAGCAGCCATTCGCGCAGCCGCGGCAACTAGGCTGGCAGCAACAAGGGGCACCGCCGCTGCTTCCGCCGCAGCAGCAGCAGCAACGGCCCCAGCAGCAATGGCAGGAGGCGCGGCAAGCAGGGCCGGGTGTGGAGCAGCAGCAGGGGCGGAGTATGTGGGGTGTAGGGGGGCAGCAGCAGGGGCCGGCTGGGGAACGGGGGGGACCACAAGGCATGGGACGGGGGTGGCCGGACCAACGCCAGCAGCAGCAGCAGCCGCAGCTACGTCGGCACCCGCAGCAGCAACCATGGCAACGTGCGGAGGGGCCACTTTCCAAGCAGCAACCAGGCGGCCCAGGAGCTGCGGTGGAGGGAGGAAGGAGCGAAGGATTTAGGCAGCAGCCGCAGCAGCCGCAGCTGCAAACGCCGCTGCCAGTTACCACCCAGGGGGAAGGGCAGCGGGGGCAGCCGCGAGGAACGACATCGCAACGGAAGCTCTGGCCGGAGGACGAGTCGCAGCAGTAGAGGTGGTAGTAGAGCAGCTTCCGAAGCCGGGGAGGTTGGTGAGGTTGGCTGGTGTGGGGAAGCGTTGGTTGGGTATTGCTGCTTGTGGTGTTGACATGACTTGGGATGGGATAGGGAAGTGTACGGTGATGAGCTAGCAGCGTGGACCGTAGCAAGCGGCTCGGCGGGGGCGCGGTAGCCTTACCGGTCGTAGCTGTGCAGGAGTACAGGCTAGTAGCAGGAGGCACGATGTATAGGCCTGATGGTATTTTGCAATGAGAGTGCAGGAGAGGCGCAGATAGGTTGGAAGCTGTAGGATAGCCTCGGATAAAGAGCCGGTCCGGAAATGTTGCTTAGAGGAGAGAGAGGAGAGGTGTGTGCGGCTGTGTTTGCAAGTGTCTTGTGCGCTGGGCATCTTTCTGATCCGTGACGTGCAGCTGCGGTGGGGGTGGAGGTGTGGGCAGTGTGGCTAAAAGCGGTGAGGTGTCGCGAATGTGGTTGCCATGGCTGCTGTGTTCCGCTGCCGTTGCCATGGCTGCTGCTCAACCGTTGACCGTTACAAGCCTGCAACAATGGCTTGCGGACTCCTTGCGCTTGTGACCATTGTAAGGCGGTTGTAGCGCACATGGTCGGCGAGGAGGGGGTCAAAGACCATACCAAACCGAGGTGGGGGGGGGATGCGCTTGTGACAAGTTGCTCTACCCTCCCCCCGAGAACCACTGTAACAGGCATTTGTGTTGGAAGTGCATGGCTGTCATGCCCCAACGGTGAAACGTGCCCAGCCGTGATACATGGGGTGGCACATGGTAGCTTGGGGGTTACTTCAGCATGGGCGCATGGCACATGATCCTCGCTCTGCTATGCTTACACGGACCGCTCCAAGTCTCTTCCTGATGCGCAGGATTCCTACACCGGTATTCGTTTCACGGGCGGGGACAAAGGCCGACCTGGTGTGTGCCCAGCTGCATGCAAGTCCATTAGTCCGGCAGCACACGCAATCCTCGAAAAGCGTGTAATGACATTGCAATGAAGCAAAAGCTCAGGTGTCCTGGCACGTATCTTGTACATACGCTTCAGTATATATGCGGGTGTCGGACTCCTCTCTTACAAGCCATAACAGTCCTTCCACACATGCCCGTAGATCTCCGATAAGGGATTTTCCTCATCCAGCGAAGAGGACGCGCCCCGACCTTGTGTTTTTCCGCTTCAGCACACGTCCTCCTCCCTTTCTGGGTGTGTCTTTACGCCCCAATAGTCGCTCACAGTCGACACAAGCCTCGTTCCCTCACAAAGGCACTCACAATTTGCACTTGACCCCTAAACACGACACTTACTACGAGTTACCACCGCTTACGCTACTGTGCTGCCGCTGTCCAACAGTGCCCAGCAGAGGAGGACTCCCGTACACCTCCCTCCCTTTCACCTCCCCCCCCCCCATGCTGGGACACAATGTAGCTCGTCCATACCCCATAACCCCCTCCCTCGCCCCCGCCCTCACTTCTTCCGCTGGGTGCTCCGCACGTAACCCGCCATGAACCGCACCATCCCCACCAACACCCACCCATGCCACACAGCGCTCACCGCCTCGCCCGCAGGCCGCACCGCCGGCCCCAGCAGTGCGCCGTACGGCACCACCTCCCTCGCTAACGTGCCGTACAGCGCTGCGTCCTGGCCCTCCAACTCCACCAGCGCTAGCGCCAGAGCCGCCGCGGGGCCTCGTGCCACGTAGGCAGCCCAGCTGAGGAAAGGTCCCAGCGGCTGCATGGCCGGCCGGCATTCCCAGGGGCCGAACAGGCTGGCGTGGAGCAGCCGGGGCAGCAGCGGCGGCGCCGTCCTGCCCTTTCTGGGGTTGGTTGCGGTGGTTGCGGTGGTGGTGAGGATACCGCGGATGCGGGGGTGGTGAGCGGGGGGAAGGGGGTAAAGTCTCAGGTCTACGCATGCGGCTGCGAACAGTGCGAATGCCTTGGCGGGGAAGTTGAACCGCGCGCAACGTAGGAGCAACTCCGCCACGTGCGGGTGGCCGCACTCAATTGCCTTGACCAGCAGGCAGCCCCCGCCGGCGGTTACGTCGGCACCAGCCGCTACCAGCGTTGCCGCCGCCCTGACGCCGCAAGCGCGGCCGCCGACGCGCGTCGTGATTATGCGGGTCGTGAGCTTGTCATCCGAATCCACGCAACGGAGCAGTTCGACCACAGCCTTGGCAGCAGCTGCAGGAGTTCCGGCGGCCATCATGACGCCGTACATGGTCTCGAGCGAATAACCGCCGGTTGCCGCTAGCAACTGCCGTACAACCGCCGCGTGGCCGTACATGCTGGCCAGCAGCAACGGGCTGTCGTGAACGGCATGTGGGTCAGCGCCCGCCGCCAACAGCTGTCGTACAATGTCCACGTGGCCTAGCCCGCAGGCGAGGATGAGGGGTGCGTTATCACGTGCACGTGGGTTGGCGCCGGCGGTTAGGAGTTGTCGTACCATCTTTGGGTTGCCGGCCTGGCAGGCGAATATAAGCGGTTGGTCGTTGTGGCAGCTGGGGTTGCCGCCGACGGTTAGCAGCATGCGGATCATGCGCAGGTTGCCGCGGCGCGCTGCGAGTTGGATGGTGGAGCAGTTGTGTGCGTTGGGGTCGGCGCCGGCGGCTAGGAGCATGGCCATTGCCTTCTCATTGTTCCTGCGGGGAGAGAAAGGAGGCGGAGGAGGTGGGGAAAGAGTCGCAAAGCGGGAAAGGGACGGGTTGGCGATTGGTTTGTCGGTTGCTAAAAACACCATTCGCACGAAGAAGGAACCCTGGCATTACTGTAACAGCCGGGACTAACAACCGGGAATAAGCTACGCTTCCAACGGTCAGAGGACTTAGCTCAGGGCTAAGGGCTAAGGCAGAAGGCAACAGAAACCCTCCCCAATTCCCCCCTGCATAACCATCCACCCCCCAACCCTCTTAGCCCAGCCCCCAATCCAACCCGCTAACCCTGCCCCCCACCCCAGCCCACCCATGTGCCTCCCACCCCCCCACCCGATCCTCCCCCCATCCCACCCCCCCATCCCACCCCCTCGCCCCCCCTCCCCCCCCCACCCCTCCTCACCAGGTGGCCGCCTGCCTCAGTCCGCTGCTCTCCCTGTACCCCGGGTCCCCTCCCGCCGCCAGCAGCACCTGCATCACACCCAGCTCCTCCGTGGCTGCCGCGTAAGACAGCGCCTCGGAAGCCAGCGCCGCCACCACTCGCCGGCGGCTGGCGGGGCTGCTGCTGGTGGTGCTGGTGCGGGGGCTGCTGCTGGTGCTGCCGCGGTTTCCCCTCTCAGGCCCGGTGGTGGCGGGGGTGGTGGCGGTGGTGCCGGCAGCCAGCTGAGCTTGTCCTACCCGCGGGGGAACGGATGCGGATGTGGTTGCAGCCCCCTTCGCAGCCAGCCTGAGGAGCTCCTTCACGACCCGCAGCTGGCCCTTGAGCGATGCCACATTCAGGGCCAGGGGCGTCACGGGAATCCCCAGCTGCTTGATTAGCCAGCGAACCACGTGCAGGTGACCCGAGGCGGCTGCGCGGCTAAGGGTGATGAGGGGTAAGGGTGTCACCGCGCGCTGCTGCTGCTGCCTCGCATCCTCGACGGCTTGGTCGTTGCTTGCTGGCAGGTGGCCGCAGCGGGCTGCGAGGGCTTTCAGGAGGTGGAGCACCCGGCGGCCGTGCTGGGTTGGCGGAACTCCGTCCAGCATGCACTTCAGGAAGCCGGGGCAGGTGTACACGAAATCCAGGGCGTGGGCGGGGCCGTAGCGGGCGAGCAGATAGGTAGCGGCGCCGTCGGGGCTTCGAAGCGCGCAGATCCAGGCATCACGCAAGGCATCGCAGGAGGCGATCGCGCCGCCTGCGCCGGTTCCGGCCTCTGCCATTATGCGAGAGAGGAGACGACAGGGCAGAGAGAGGAGGTCCGGCCTGGAGGGAGGGGCGACGGCAGTTGTCGACATGAGTTGAGACTCCATGGCGATGGAGGTCGGTTGGGTTGAGGTTGCTTGTGAGGGTTGTTGTGAGGGTTCTTTGTAGAGGGTCGGATGGTAGGTGGTAGGCTGGTCGGAGGCTGGGAAGGTGACGCGAAGTGAAGGGACTCGTGGGCTGTTGGTCGCTGGGCGGTTGTGCCTCGGCTAGTCCGACATCCTACTACGTCTTTCCAGGCTGTAGGGTTCTAGATGTCGTTGCGAGGAGGCTTCGGCGCAGACAATGAAGATGGTTGGTTGAAAAGACGAAGCAAGCACTATGCAGCCTAGCTCGATGCGTTGTTGTGGATGATAGGAGTAAAGCTACGCGCTCCGCTTGCAAGCGTTAACATCCGAGGGTTTTTTCCAGGCTGGTAAAGAGGGCTTCAGCTTATATGCTCTCAGCATGTCGAAGATGTCGTGACATGTAATGCTGGTTATGCAATGAGGACATAAACTGCAGATCTTCACTCCGGTTCTTGACCCGTCCGTTGCCGGCGGTTGCTACCACCGGTTTCGTGGTTTCGCCATGCAGCTATCACCACTAGCACCAACAACAGGACGTTGGCGCCATGCCTATGCGCAGCGCGCACCCCGCATATAAATTGATGCCCTTGGCCGGAGGGACAAGACCCCCGGGTCATGTCATGGCTGCACTGCAAAAAACTTTGCAGAGGCCAAACCTGTTTTTTGCGCTCAGCATGGAGACCCACCCACCGCGCTTTGGATACGAAAAGCTGGCAATACGAAACAAGACTACCTCGAGGCTTTGAAGGGCCCTTGAACCCTCAAGTTGGGATGACTGGCCTAAACAATGCATGCGACCCGCGTTTTGATTAGTCAAAGGGGTTTGAGGTTGAATACAACGACGGTAGCCAAGACAACGGCTGGAAAAGGGACTTTGCTCCACTGGTTGTGCGAAAGGTAAACACGTCCCAACGTTCAGTGATGCATGCAGCCCTTCAAGCCTAAGGCATGCCACCAATGCTTCCCATGTGATATATTTGTGTGCCCTTATCGCCAAAGGAAGTGTGGCATGTTGTGCATGAAGCTATGTCGCTGGGATTTGATGTGTTTCCAGCCTGGGTAAGCTGTCGATAATAAAGCTAGTTAAACACTAAAACGCTAGTGTGTATCTTTACAGCACGGACGCCGTCATGTTGGATTTGCACGGCAGACCCCATGCGTGTAGGAGGCCACGTAACTCGGGTGCGCAACGTACATAGACAACGTGACACCCCTGTAGAAGGGCAAGACCTGAGCGTAAAGAGGTCGAAGTCTGTAGGAACCTGTTTGTCGGCTTGTCACTAGTCGCGCCACAATTAAGTAGGCTTGGCAGCACAGGACCCCTAAGACCTACAACCACAGGCTCTGGTATATTTAGTACAAAGGCAGGTGACCTTTCCTGCTTGAGATAGCTTTTCCTTGTGGCCCAAAGCTACGCAGTCGCCCACATAGCAAGCAACCCGCCGGCAATTCCGCAGGTTGCAACAATGTCGAAGGCTGTGGCCGCTGCTAAGGGCATGGAGTTTGTGGTTAGCAAGGTGGACAACGTCATTAACTGGGCTCGTGCGGGCTCCATTTGGCCTATGACCTTCGGTCTGGCTTGCTGCGCTGTGGAGATGATGCACGCTGGTGCCTCGCGCTACGATCTGGATCGCTTTGGCATCATTTTCCGCCCTTCGCCCCGCCAGTCCGATTGCATGATTGTTGCCGGAACGCTCACGAACAAAATGGCGCCCGCTCTGCGCAAGGTCTATGACCAAATGCCAGAGCCTAAGTGGGTGGTGTCCATGGGCAGCTGCGCCAACGGCGGTGGCTACTACCACTACTCTTATGCAGTTGTTCGCGGATGCGACCGCATCGTGCCCGTGGACGTCTACGTGCCAGGCTGCCCGCCCACCGCTGAGGGCCTGCTGTACGGTCTGCTGCAGCTGCAGAAGAAGATCTACCGGTCAAAGACGACCCAGGTGTGTTTCCTTTTCTGAAGAACAATATTTGGTTCCAAAAGGGGGTTTAGAGCGCTGGGAGCTTGATAGGAAGCCTGCCCCCTGGGGGGTTGGGGGCAAGGGGAACGTTCTATGGGGGGAGCGGGTTAACCTTAGAGAAGGTAAGGGGCCCCCCGCGGTTTCCCCCATAATGCTATGGTGCCACTAGGTTCGTGCCGCTTGAAGGATGCAACGCGGCACATGCAGTCCTTTGAATGTAGGCTGACAGCGTACTGCTTGGCTCGTAAACAATCCCATACCTCGATAGGTCTATACAATCCAAAAAAATGAAATAATTTTTTATGAGCTATATGAACTGCCCCTGCCCAATATCTTGCTGACCCGCCACGTTGCCGCTGACCTTCCCCCCTCCACTGTCCCTCCCGCAGATCTGGTACAAGAAGTAAGCCCGCCCATGCTGCCGGAGCAGCAGCCCCATGCCTGCAGCACCCGGCGCAGCGGGCGCTTGAGCAGTCCTAACAGGTGTAGGGGGGCCCGCTGCAGTTGACGTCACGAGGATTGGGGTTTGCTTAGCCCTTTTGGCTGCGGTTGGGCAGGGCAGGCATTGTGGGCATGCTGGCTTGTGACGTGCGCTAATGCTTTGGCGAGGTGGGAAAGAGCTTATTGGTTGCATTGTTAGATGTGGACGCCTTGTGAGGTATGACGTGCCGGGCTGGGGCTGTGTTTGTGGGTGGCCTCGTCGGCACGCCCTCCGCATGGGGTGGGGGTTGGTTGTGGTGATTCGGTGTTGGGCTGGGCTTCATAGCCGCCCAGCTGTGGCTAGATAGCACAACGGGGTGTGTCCGTACGCGGCGGGGCTTGTGCCGCGTGGGAGGGTGGAGTGGAAGTTGTTGCGCGCGCCGGTGTGAGGCTGGGTAGTTGACTATCGCATTCGTATTCAAGTACCCGTCGGATGGCTTTTGTCATCGTGTCGTTTGCGACGAGCTTGCGCATTGTTTGTTAGAGGAGCGGAGCCTTCCATACGTTTTGGTGTGGCGATTCACATGCCGGCGCACGCTGTGTTGATGAGGCCTATGGTACGGTAACACTCTTTCGGGTGCGACATATGCTGAGGGCGCTTCTTTTGAAGCACATGCCCTGCATCGTTGACTTGCTCCGATGTCAAGCCGTCGGAAGCTGGTGATGTAAACAAAATCGCAAACCTGAGAGATGCAAATCGCCTAGCTCATACCATTTACCTTCGTCTGGTTGCGCAGAGCAGTTACCCCGTCAGACCCCATGAAACATACCTCGCATGGCTCGCAAAATGTGGAAAACAAGCTAACGGCGTTCGGCGACAGGGTTTAGACTCGGGGAAAAGGCTTCAGATTCAGGAATCCGGAAATCCTTGAACACACTATCCCCACTGCTTACTCTTGTTTCCGCTCAACTACACACTTACCTGGATTGACCCACACTATTCATGTCCTGCCGTACAAGCGAAAAGCTACAAATGCCCACAACAGATGTTCTGATGGTCCTGCTGCTGCCCTGGCGCCACTCAGCCCTGAAAGCCCGCATACAAAACTCCACAAGTTAGGACCAACAAGGTTTAATTGTCCTTTCACTCAACCACCCAATCACACCTCACTCCGCGTCCCCCAGCAGCTCCCCCACCTGCCCCGCCCGCCCCACCGCCTCGTCCCATTCCCGCACCATACCCCGCACGTGCGCACTGCCCACCACCCCCACCACCGCCGACACCCCATGCAGGCCCTGCAGCGCGCCGTCTCCGAAACCCGGCGGGGCGGCACGTGCGGGTCCGCCCTCGGGCATTGCGTAGCGCCACACGGCCTGCCCGTCCACCTGGTCGCGCACGTAGGCGGGGACCACTCCCGGCTTGCCTGGGGGGGGAGGTGGAGTAACAAGGGTTGCAAGGAAAGGAGGACAATGAGGGTGTGACTCATGCATGCATGCGCTTATTGCAGATAACAGGGGTCTATACGAACGAACGGTGATGTACGGTACGACAGGATACCTTAACACGGTGTATGCGGGTGCCGTACCTGATGCCGCGGCTGCGATGGCTCGCGCCATGAAGCTGTCTCGCTCCCGCAGCAGCGCGGGCAGCGCGCCCGGCCAGTCCAGCAGCGCATCCTCTCCGAACAGCTTGAGCGGCCTAGTGGGGGGCGGGGGAGGGGAGGGGAAGGGTTGGGGGGAAGGAGGGGGCGGGTAAGAGGTCGGCCTGGAGGTTGTCCTTGCCTCCCAAAACACATGCACATGCACGTGCATGGGTCACGGTCCATGTCCATTACCGGAACCGTGTCACATGCTGGCACAATGCCCGAACCCACGCGCGCCCCGTCCGTGCATGTCCACGCCCCACGGACCCCCCCCCAAAACGCATGCTGGACACTCACTTGCTGAGGTCCCCCTGGTCGATGGGCTCCTTGATCGCCACCGCATCCTCGATCTGGTCCGCACTCAGGTCTGGAAGGCAGGGAAATGGGGGCGTGAGGGAGCATGGAACGAGCCGGGGGGCATGGAAGCACAGGCTGCGAGAGGGCGGACTTGGAAGAAGCGTACACCTGTGCTCCCTCCATACGGTTACCCCCATGGTACCTCCCATGCGCCCATGCCGCATGTGTTGCATGCACCCGCAGCACCCGTCCCACACACCTGCGAACCGCGACACCTCCAGGAAGGGCCCAACCACGGGCGCCGCCACCGCCGCCGCCGCCGCCAGCACCGCCGCTGCCACCCCCAGATCCGCTTGCTCGGGCAGTCCGGCCAGCAGCGGCGCGAGGGGTGAGTCTGGCAGCAGCGCCCCCAGCAGTCCACCCAGCAGGATGACACCGGATGCAAGCAGGCGACCGCCTGGGGAGGGAAGGGAGAGTGGCGGGGGGGAGGGTATCAGGAGCGGGTGCGAGGGTATGGGAGGGGATGAGAGGAGCGACTGTGCTCTCCTGAACCTCCGGTTACTCCACCATTCCATCCCTCCCGCCTCCGCCCGCTGCCTTTCCCCAACACACCACTTTACCCCCCCGACTTTCCCCTTCTTCCTTACCCGAGCTCTACCCCCGACTACCCATCACCCCTCACTCCCCCTCCGCCCCCACCTGACTCCCTCGCCAGTCCCGCCCCCATGCGGTGCTGCGTCAGGTCGGCGGGGCGGTCAGCCAGCAGCACCACACCGCTACCCACTTGGCTGGCAGCCTGGGGGGGGGGGGGGGGAGATGGGGGATAATTGTAGAAGTATAAATGCAGCAATTGGAGTCCCAACCCGCAGTCAGGTGTGGGGGGGAGACAAGAAGAAGGAGACCCAGTGTGTAATGGCTAATGGGTATATAGGAGCAAGCGCAATGGTGGTGATATCGTGATATGCAGCAGGCGTAAGCTGGACTGAGACGCACAGTGGTCGCAGACATGACAGTGAAGAGCCCATGAGAGAGGGAGGTATACACACACGCACGCTGAAACCGCCCGCCCCTCCTCTCCATAGCCCATCCCTTCCTCCCCTCCACATGCTGTGTACTATCGCTCACAGCATGCTACACACTATTCCCCGCCTCGCCTGCAGCACACAGTTCTTCACGGCACAGCATGCTACATACTCTCCCCCCCCGCCTCCCCCCACCTGCAGTGCCGCCCTCCATGCGGCCCCCGGCTCCACACCCAGGGTACGACCCGCCTTGGACTGAATGCGCGCGTAGGTGGAGGTCATGGCGCGAGTGAGGGCGTCCTGGGGGTGGTTAGACAGGCGGGCGGGTGGGTGGGTTGAGAAACAACCCAAGTAGGAAAGGTCGGTGGTGAGAGGAGATGTTGGTAGCGGTGTGGGAGCCAGACGGGTGGGTCGAGGTTAGGGGGATTCAGGGGGCGTGGCCGACTCCCGACCCCCGGCTGGTGTGACCCTTGGGTCACCCACCGCCCCCAGCAGCTCACCCGCAGCGGCCGACGCGGCAGCTCCTCCTGCCCGGCGGCCGCAAGCTCCTCGGCACTCCAGGGGCGCAACTGGGCCCTGCGCTTGGGAGGAAGGTGCGTATGTTAAGAAAACTGGTCACGTGAATGGACAGGACATGTGAATTATGATTGCATGTGTTTGTGTGAAGCAGGGGCCAGGCAGCTAACACATTGTGCCGACATCAGACCACTACTGTGGTTACCATTACCGTGATGTGGACACAGGGCACTGATAACCACAGGTAGGGAAGCAGGCAGGTGTGCGGTGCAGGCGTGCGGTGCAGGTGTGCGGTGCAGGCGTGCGGTGCAGGTGTGCGGTGCAGGCGTGCGGAGCAGGTTGTGTCGTACCTCACAAGGGGCTGCGGAATGCCGCCAGCAGCAGCTCTGTTGCTCTCAGCTGCGCCCTCTGCTGCTGCTGCCGCTGCCGCCTCCGCCGCTGCTGCAGCCTCAGCTCCCAGCATCTCGGCTCGCAGCTGCTCAATCTTCTCCATTGGTATGAACAACTTGTTACTGACCTGCGGAGGCACAATCGGAAGGCAAACAGTGAAGAAGCGGTTGCAGGTAAGCAACGGTTACGAAGCAGTTAGGCACCGTTACAGTAAGTACCAAACACATCGGCGGCCAGTTTCATCAGCGCACGCAGCCGTGCCGTACCGTACCATACCGTACCTTGAAAACACTGCGGGGGGGACGGAAGGGTTCAATGCCGAAGCCCTCTCCGTTAACCGCCGTTCCCTCCAGTCCTGCACGGCAGCAATGGGACGAAAAGCGGGAGGGTAAGGATAAGGAAAACTGACGAGGCAACTAACAAGCTAAAGCGGAGGGTAAAGAGGAGGACCCGACAGCCTCCAAAAGGAGGAAAGGAAAGAGAAGAGGAGGCAATGCGAGAGTGCTTATGCAGCAATGCACACACAGTGCTGACACATTACCGGCACGTCTGAACAATCCACTCCCTCTGGATGCACGCAGCCCCCCCCCGCCACCGCTCCCGCCCGCTGGGCCCTACCGGACATGTACGGCGGGTCGTTTGGCCGCACCGCCTTGACGATCATCTCCACCCGCCCCGAGTCCACTCCCGTGAACGACACCGTCACCTGTCCCACACGCACGGGTGCACACGCACGTAGGCATGGCACATATGTCGATACATGTGGTTACAGGCACATGCACACATGTCGGCATGTCGTGTTGCGTCGCATTCACACAACTCGTTGTGGGTCAGCAACTCATCACCCAAGCAAGCCGTCAGGCAACCGATTGGCGGCTGGCATGGCACTCGCCCCATCAGCCTGGAACTGGTATCCAACTGAGCCCCCTACCACCCCAAATCGATCCTCGCCCCAGCCCCCCCTCCCTTCCCACCTTCGCCGTCACCCCCGCCTCCTCCGCCAGCCGCTCCACCCGCTGCCGGGTGCGCAGCAGCGCACTCAGCCCGTCCAGCCCCGACCGGCACTCGTCGGTGGTCTGTGGGGTGGGGTGGGGTTGGGGTGCGGTTGGTGTGAGCATGTGGAGGGATAGACGAGGAAGGGGTGTCTCCTGGGCAAACACGCGTACGTAGCCCCTCACCGCACCCGCACCACCAGCACCACCATCTTCTTGATCGTCTGCTCTCCCGCACACACGCAGTCCCGCACCACAACACGCTCTATGGACATGCAGCCCACCCCCGCGACACACATTGTTCCTACTCGCGGCCAGTTTTGCTGGCACGTGCAGCCCCGCCCCACAACCCCACATTACCCCCCGCACGCACCTGCAGACACAGCGCCTCCAGCGCCGCCTGCTCCAGCTGCGGCCCCCGCAGCAACAGCAGGCTGCTGTCCACCCGCGCTGCCAGACTGGTGACGCCGGGCAGACTGCGCGGCTGCACCTTGAAGCGAATGGCGCCCAGCGGGGGTACGGCAGTGAGGCTGAGGTCGGGGAGGTGGCCGTCGGCTTGCTGGGTTTGCTCGGCTCCCTGTTGGTTATGGCTGTGATGGTTGTGGTGTTGCTGGGGGCGGATGAGGAAGGCGGGTGCTTCGTCCCGTCCGGCGTTGCTGGCGCCCGGACGGACACTGGCAAACAGGCCTGGTAGCAGCAGGGTGCAGGGAGGTAGCAGAAGGGTGCAAGTTGGAGGTGGAGGGCTGGAGGGGGGCAGCAGTACTAGCATCATCAGCAGCATCAGCAGGGGAAATGGAGAATGAATTGCAAGGAGGAGGACAGGAAGAAAGGAGCAGGGACGCCCGTCTTTCCCCCCAGATTCCCCCAAGAAGTCCCCAGCGCTCACCATCACCCCTCCTCCAAACCATCCTAGCGCTCTCACCACCCCCTCCCTCCCTCCCTCCCTCCCTCCCTCCCTCCCTCCCTGCCTCCCTCCCTGCCTCCCTCCCTCCCTCCCTCCCTCCCTCCCTCCCTGCCTCCCTCCCTCCCTCCCTCCCTCCCTCCCTCCCTGCCTCCCTCCCTGCCTCCCTCCCTCCCTCCCTCCCTCCCTCCCTCCCTCCCTCCCTCCCTGCCTGCCGCGGTCACGACTCACCCGTGCTCAGCAGGCGCACCACGTCCCCCTCGATGTCCGCCTGCGTCACGGGGCGTCCCGGGCGGCACACCAGCAGCGACAGCAGCTGATCCTGGGAGGGCCAGCAGCTGGCGGCAGGGGCGGCAGCATCGGGGCCTCCCGCGGCGGCCTCCTCCGGTAGGCCCTCAATCGTGATCTGGGGCAGGCGGGTAGGTAGGTAGGTTGCAGGATTGAGGGAAAGGGTCAGGTTGAGGAATTGGTGGGTCATGCTGGGTCTCATCTCTCTCACGTGTCATGCTGGTGGGCAAACAACGGCAGTACGGCAGCGGCCACACCAATACACACTACACACACCATCAGCAGAGTACCCACAGCACCACAGTACATCACAAAACTACCGGCACAGAGCGGCGGCAGCGGCTGCCATCCCCAACTTCCCAGCTGCCCTCCCACCCCCACCACCTTGCGGCTGTGCCAGATCTTGGGCGGCTTGCTGGCCTCCACGGGGTCCACCAGCAGGCTGCTGCGCTCCTTGCACAGCTCCACTGCAACCACCTGCGGACGAACCAGCGAGATGAGCTGCTCCACCTGCAGGTGGGGGGAGAAGGGAGGGTCAAAGACACCATACCGAGCCGTAGAAACCACAGGTTGCAAAGCAATGGGGATAGGAAGCGGCGGGGGTGGGGGAGGTCAGGAGGGGTAGGTGAGCTTTGAGACGGGTTGGAGAAGGAGTTTGGGGGGTTGGCATGGGGAGAGATGGAGTTTGGGGAAGAGGAGGTGAAGGGGAAGGAGAAGGAGGGGAGGAGGGCAAGCGCGAGTAGATTGAGAGCGAGAGGGGTGGGCGGGTTTGTGGTGGTGGTGGTTTGTGCCATGCTCCCTAGGTCCCTGGGTTCCCCGCGGTGACCGGTGTTAGCATGCATGCAAGCTAATTGTGGTGGTCGCTGGTCCCGCTGTTGAGAGGTTAGGCTGGGGGCAGTTGGGGAACGAAAGGGTTCCACGTACCTGCTCCACGCTGTGCTGCGATACGTGCGACATGGCTAGGAGGTACACGCGCGTTTTGCCACCGGGGGCAGTAGGATTCGGCGCCTCTAGGACAGCCACGCTGTTTCGTAGTGAAGGCGGAAGGAGGACGGCTGAGGGCTCAGCGGTCTGCAGTGCAAGGAGGTAATGCGGGTTCGGCACAGCCATGGAAGACAGCATGGCCTAGATCTTCGCTGACCTTTGCTGGTGGCGTTAGCGTTGAAGCAGCTGTGCATATTTGCAGAGTGCTGCGCACGCGTGGTGGGGCGCCCGAGCGAAAGGCATTCCGACATCCGCGACGGCCCTGCAGCTGCGTGGATCCGCCCAGCATTTTGCCCTAAAACTTATGTGTGATTTAAGACTTAACAGTCCTTTAGTAGAGTTCTTAACCCTGATACTTGCTGACCTAAAGTTGCACAATTTTGACAAGAAAATGCATCGGTGTGCATTCAAGTAACGCGAAACGGAAACGGAGCGAAATCCGGCTGGCATCTCCTGTGTCGCTTTCAGTTTCAGTGCGATCAACCGTACGCTTCGGAGCCATACGGCAAGCAAATAGCGTCAAAAGAGCCAATCCTGCGTAAGACAGCTTGCGCAAAGGGCGTTATTACTTATATAAACAATTTCCACTTGTATATGAGCACGGCGAGCGGAGCGGTATTCGCTTGCACAAACTAACTTGTGTATAAGCGGATTGCTGGGGGGTAGGGCCAGTTCAAGCCACTGCAGGACAGTTGGTCACTAATGCAGTGGGTCAACTTCGTAGAGTTAGCAAATCCAGTCGTCTGGCGACTGTGTCCGTCTGTCCGTGGGATTAGGCGTAGCCTTGCCCCCTTAATGCCGCATCGCGGCGGGAGCTCCACCTAACAACGTATTCAGGCAACGTTAGGAGGACCACGAGATAGCGAACATCCCTATACCTGTAAACGTTTGAGACAGTTGGCAAATGGAGCCATATTGGCCAAGCTGATGGAACCATGCTAGGTAAATGGACCATTTGGGTCAAGGTGAGCCCATTCTCGTTTTTTTCATGACGTCCTTTGAGATTAGCGTCGCTTCGGCTTTGGACCTAGCGACAAAGCTGTTGCGCTCGCACGGCCTGCAGGACCGCAGTTGCCAGTTGGCTGCCCTTGCTCAGCCTCCTCAAGCCACAGTTAGCAACCTCTTCGCGGGGGTCACATGGACCACGTCTCTGGTCAAATGCTTCTTCCTAGTCGCGTTTAACAGACCCCCGGGTCAGCCGCAGCCGCAGCCGCCCCTCCCGGCTCCTCACCTCACCTACTTGTCGGAGTTTGGGTCCATTCAGCAGAGCAGAGCAGTAAGGGAGCACGTACTTAGCTTCTTATCCCATTAACGCGGCAAGCTGCTGCCAACCCAACCTACAATCTTCTCCACCTCCACCTCGTCACCTCGTAAACAGTAACCTTTGTGTTCCTTTCTCTTTGTAGCTTGCCGGTATACCCATGCATGTCCTCCGACTTGTGGTAATGCCCGTCACGGGAGAGGTGTCAAGGAAGCCTATCGGTACCACCCTCAACGTGTGCCGCGTGCGGATCCCCCCCCCCCCCCACCAACAATGCAACTACCAGTTCAGTACCGCTCTGACATACACGCAGTGGGGAGCCTCACAAGTCTTCCCCTCCTTCCAGCTACCGGAGATGCCGCGAGCCAGGGTCAGCCCAAGGAAGGAAAAGCAATGACCAGTTTCAGTAATCAGAGAGCCGCATGAAACGTGTCGTACGTACGTAGGTACGACACCACATGAGGACATCACACCCACGGACTCGCGGCCAGTTTTTTCAACACGGACAACTACATAACCCCTACACCACTACCCACTTTCATCTTGATTGCTAAGAAGTGAAGCGCGTTTCCCCGCATTACGATGCCCAATTCTGGGTCCTTGGACCTTCCACAACCATAGCGCCGTCTCGTCTCAACATGACGGCTCCTAAGAATAGGTCTCCGTCAACCGTTAACCTAGGCCCCATGTGCCGCTCCAATCCAGTAACATGTTACGGAACCACTCAAAAACACCCACGCAGAACGCGCTTTGACCATGTGGGCATGCACGGAGCCTCACAGCTCTTATGAAAGTGTCGCCAATCCCTTCCTATTGCGCGTGATGACGCGAAATGAACGTTGACAAAATCTGCGCCAGCCTTCTCATGCTCCTGAAGCTCTTCCCGCACATATGAGAACTACATCGAATCCAATAAGGATTCAAACAGGATAATCCAGAAAGCAGATCCAAACAAGATCCGAAAAGCAGGGCAGCTTAAGACTGTTGACCTCCTCCGCCGCCTCCCTTTTGCTTCTTGCTTGGCGGGGAGGCCATGTCGGGGTCGTAGTCATCGTCCTCCTCACCCTCGTCCTCCCCTGGAGCAGCGGGCGCGGTGCCAAACAGCTGCTTGTGCAGCTCGGCGTAGTTGACCTGCGGGAGGTGGGGTGGGGCGGGGAATTATTGACAAGTGCAGCAACGGCGGGGAGGGGAGGCGGTGGAGAGAGGTGGGGAGTCAGGGAAGAGGGTCAGAGAGGGGTAATGTGGCGCCGGCACCACCACCTCAGCAATCCAAAAGCCCACTACTCACCCATATCCCGAGTATTCCCACCCCTATGTTACCATAATGCTGCCACACCGTACCGTACCGTACCTGCTTGCGCTGCCGCTTGCCGTGCACCACCTCCTCCGGCTCCATGCTTCCCTCGCCGCCGCCCTCGCCGCCGTCCTCATCCTCCTCGTCTCCATCAGACAGCGAACCGCTGCCCTCATCCTCATCGCCCTCTCCTAGACCGCTCAAATCAGACTCCTCCTCCAAATCATCCATGTCCTCGTCAGAGTCGTCTCCCTCCTCCTCCTCCTCCTCGCCATCACCCTCCTCCTCTGCTTCCCCTCCTCCAGCCTCCGCCTCCTCCTCGCCGCCCCCGGCACCTGGCTCCGCAGATCCCTCCGCCGCCACCGCCGCTGCAGCTGCGGCCCCGGGGATGGAACCAAGGACTGCTGCTGCTGCCGCCTGCTTGCCGCCGCCCTCACCCTCCTCCTCCTCACCGCTGCTGCCCTCAGCGTCATCTGCGCGCCGTCACACAAGGAGCACGGAGGAAGGAGGTGACGCATGTCAGCACGTGGAGCCTGAACGCATGGAAGCTGTAGCGTGCACGCAGGAAAACTAGCACCCACACACCTCCTGCATTCGGACATCCGGTGCATGTGCGGTTTCAGCACCCCGCCACCCAACCTCGCCCACTCCCCCATCACCCCGGCAACAGCTCCTCTCACCCGCAGCAGCAAAGTCCTCGTCCTCCTCATCCTCCGAGGGCAGCCTCTCAGCCAGCCAGCCCACCATTGCCGGCTCGGCGCCCGGCGGAGGAGGCCGGATGCGCCGCCGCGGCCGCCGGGACCGCCGGCCGCCCTCACCCTCGCCCTCGCCCGCCTCCTCGTCGGCGCTGCCGGTGCCTGTGGGTTGGCAGTTGGCCAGTTGGCAGGGGGGAGGTGAAGAGAGGTTGGGAGTCCAAATTTTGAGCAGGGGATGGGGAATGAGGTGTGAGGAGAGATGAGGGCGAGTTGCTTTCCACATGGGGGAGTTCACGCCCCTAGCCCACTGGTTGCATGAGCCAGTGCACCAATGAGCGCCACAATTACTCTCCCAAGAAGTCTTCTAATTAAAGCAGCCGGAGTCGGAGTCGTAAACCCCCACAGCCCAACTCCCACCTAGCCCAACCCCGCACCCCCCCACCTGCAGCCCCCTCCGTGTCATGCTCCCCACCCGCCGCCTCCTCGTTGGCGGTTGGCGGCAGGATGGCCGTCCAGGGGTCGTTAATGTCGTACTCAATTCCAAACTCCTCGTACAGCACGTCCAGGATGTCAGCCTGTACGGCAGACGGCGGATACGGTATGTCGTACACATGCAGGGCCAGTTTCCTTAACGTACAGTGGAACTCAATCCAACCCAGCCCGCCTGCCGTACCTTGCAGTCGCACGCGGGGCACAGCCAGCCCTCGTCCTCGGGCAGCTTGGAGACGTCCACCGGCGGGTCCAGGCAGTTCTGGTGGAAGGCGCAGTTGCAGGGCCCGTCGCACAGGATGACGTCGTCGTCCTGGGGGTGGTGGTGTGGGGGGGGAGGGGCGGGGAAGAGGGCGAGGGGGGGTCAACGACCATACCATACCATAGGAAGCCACAGGTTAGGGCCCCAAGCAAATGGGGAACAAAGAGCAAAAGCGGTTGTTAGCATTGCAAGACCACCCTCTCGCTCCCATTCCTCACCCCCACCCCATCCTCCGCCCCACCCACCCATCCCCCCTGTGCCTGTTCACACTCACATCCGCCATCTCGTAGCTGTAGCACACCGCACAGAAGATATGGTGCTCCTCCAGCTCACCCTCCTCATCAAACAGCTCCGCGGGAATGGACTTGAGCCCCGGCGGCGCGTCACACAGCGCCACCGCCTCACGGATGGCGGCCCGGCGGCGCTCCAGGGCCTGCCGGCTGCGGCACATGTCGTACGTCAGCTGCACCTTCTTGCGCGCGCCGCCGCGCCAGCCCTCAGCCTCGTACACGGTGAGGGCGTGCTCCTCCTGCAGCAGCAGCAGCAGCAGCAGCAGGAGGAGGGGGGGGATACCCTATGTGGTAGAATGATGGTGATGATGCCAAGGATGTTAATATGAGCATGGCAAACAAGGTGAGGGTGTGGGAAGGCGCAACAGGGTGCCAGGTGCGTGTGTGAGGAAGCAGGAAGCGGGAAGAACAGGGGTGGGGAGGGTAAGGGCAGAGTGCGGGTACGCTCGGTGCGGGAGCCGTTGGGTTCGAGGAGGTGGAAGGGCGGGCGGCAAGGTGTAGCGGACTTGTGGCGCCGGAAAAAGTCCAGCAAAGTCCACAACTCTCCTAGCAAGTGCACCAGCGAAGGCACAGCAGGAACCCCTCGCCCATGCTCTCCCCCTTCCCCCGCTCACCTGCTTGATATGCTGCACCTGCCGCTTCACCTTACGCAGCAGCGCATGGTAGAAGGCCACGCTGTTGCCCTTCTGCGGCGGCGCCGACGACGGCGGCGGCGTTCCCTGGTCCTCCGACTCGCCTCCGTCACCGCCTTGCTCCTTCCGCCGCTGACGCTTCAGCTCCCGCCGCCGCTGACGCTCCCGCTCGCGCTTCTCTGCAAGTGCCTTATCCCGACGTCCCGCCGCCGCCGCGTCTAAAGACGCTTTACCAGTGCCGCCGCCGCCACCGCCGCCGCCACCGCCGGCTGTCGTCCCGCCGCCGCCGCCACCTGAAGCCACCGGGGCAGCTCCGGAGGTAGCAAACATGTTGACGACGGCCGCTGCCGCCGCCGCCGCGGCGCGCTGAGGAGCCTCTCGGCGACGTGACACGGGGCCCAGAACCAGCGCCGCCGCGGCCGCCTCCCGCTCCTCCTTGAGACGTTGCCGCCGCTGTCGCTCGCGTTCACGCTTGACAGCCAGCTCGCGCTCCCGCCGCTCTTCTGCGGTCTCATTGGGGTTGCCGCCGTCGCCGTCGCCGCTGTTATCGTCGTCACCGCCGCCGCCGCCGTCGTTAGCATCCGAGGCGCCGCCTCCGCCGCCGCCGTCATGCCGCCGCCGGCGTTGTCGCTCCTGCGGCGGCTGATTCGCCTCCTTGTCGCCGTCATCATTCCCGCCGCCTCGCTGCTCCTGATCCCGCCCGTCCTCCCCGAAATCCTGCGGCTGCTGCGACACGCCGTCATCACCGGAATCGGAAGGAATGGGGCCGTTGGAGGACGTTGTTAGGGGGCTGTCGCCATCGCCAGTAGGTGCAAAGCCCACCCGGCCGGCGCCGCCGCCACCGCCGCCGCCACCCGAAGTTGTCCCTGCGCCGGACTCGCCGCCCTCGCCATTCTTCATCATCCGCTCTTGCTTCAGCCGTAAGCGTCGCTGGCGTTCCCGCTCGCGCTTTATCGCCAGCTCCCGCTCCCGCTTCTCGGTAGGGGTGCCCAAGAACCTCTGTCGCGGCCGCTTCTGCCCAGCAGCGGCGGCAGCAGCGGCTAACGCGGGGTCCCCCATGGATGAAACAACCGGTGAGACGGCGATGGCGGCGGTCTTGGCAGCGGCAGCGACGCCGACGGCGGTGGTGACGGAAGGAACGGCGGCCGACGTCAGCAGCCGTGACGTCGGCGGCAGTGCCGTGGGCATTGCCGCTAGGGAGCGGATGGGGCCGCCGCCGGATGGCGGCAGCGGCGGCGGCAGGACCAACGGCGGCAGGGTGGCGAAGTTGATGGTCGTGGAGCCGGGCAGCGCCGCCGCAGCAGCACCGGAAAGTGCGGGTCGAAGCGCAGCTAGCGCCGCCGCCGCCGTTGCGGGAGCTAGGGCTGCTGCTGCTGCTGCTCCGGGCGCCTTCAGGACGGCGGAGGGCGCCGGCTTGGCCCCCGCCAGTACCGCCGACAGCACCGCTGCAGGGGCGGCGCCTGGAGCCGCAGTAGTTAGCGCAGGGCCGGCGGGGGCAGGCCGTGCCGCCGCTAGACCAGACGCAGCAGCCAAGGTAGCGGCCAGCGCTGGCGCGGAGCCGGCACCTGGGAGAAGAGCCGCTGGTTGACCGACAGCTGCTGCAGCCGCAACCCCAGCGCCGGCAACCTCTCCGTCTTGCTCTTGCTTTACCCCTGCCACTCCACCATTCGCCCCAACACCGACGGGCTGCTCCTGCTCCCGCCGCTGCTGCACCCCAGCCGCATCACCGTCGGCGGCAGCCGGCCCCCCGGGTCCCGCAATCGCAACCCCTGCTGGCAGTGCTGCCGACGCTGCTAGTGGTGCCAACGGAAGCAAGCCAGCAGCGGCTCCCGAAACACCGCCAGGGATGTACAGCGGTAGCCCGGCAGCAGCGGCGGCGGTGGCCTGTGCTGCTTGCGCGACCTGAAGCTTCGCTGCCTCTCTGATTTTGCGCTGCTCCGCTCGGCGCTGTCGCTCTCGTTCCCGGCGGCGCGCAAGATCCCGCTCATGTCGCTCTGCCGCTGTGAGCACCTGCTTCTCCTGTCCACGACGTCGGTTGGCGTCGGTTTCGGAGTCGCCGTCGGCTTCGCTTCCGGGACCACCTCCGCCGGGGCCGCCAGCGGCGGCAGCGGCGGCGGCGGCCAACGCGGGCCGTGGCGCCTGAGGAAAGGAGGCGGCTGCTGCAGGTTGCTGCGACTGCGGGTACTGCTGATGTTGCGCCTGACCAGCTGGTTGCATGGCCGGTTGATGCGGGTGGTGTTGCTGCTGCAGGTCTTGCCGCTGCTTGAGACGTTGCTCGGCGGCTTCGCGACGCTGCCGACGAGCGGCCTCGCGGCGACGTGCAAGGTAGGCCTGGCGCTTGGACTCCGCATCCTGGGCAAGGCAAGAGGATTTTGTTAAAGCATAGAAGACAGGAAGGTGGCAGGATAGGAGCACCAAACAATGTTCCGAGGCGGACTTGACAAGGAGGAGACGCATAAAGGACGGCTCTCTTGCCGAATGTAAGATCCGCTAAGAGGACCTACCCCTTCCGACATCTCCTCCGAGTCCTCCTCCTCCTGCTGCTGGCTCTCAGACAACTCCTCACCCTCCTCAGCCTCCTCTCCCTCACCACCCTCCTCGCCATCCTCATCTTCCTCCTCAGAATCCCCCGGCATGCCCTCTGCGTCCGGGCCCACCGAGCCCTTCCGCTTGGGCGGCGCCTCCGCGTCCTCTCCCTCCTGGGGATCCACGCTCTTTGATCGGGCTCGTACGGCACCCCCGTTGCTGGTGCCCCCAGCAGCCAGGTGGCAGGAGAACAGCACCGAATCCGCAAAGCGCGCCGGCACCGCTGCAGCACGCCGAGGTCTGCGGCCCGCTGGGGCTTCGGCGGCTTCGGCAGCTGCTGCCGCAGCAGCAGCCGCAGCGGCGGCTGTTTTGGAAACCGCCGGCGCGGCCTTGTTGCTGCCGCCACGCTTGCTGGTCGCAGCTGGCTCCGTCTTAACCTCTTGTTTAGGCTGGGCGTGCTGCCATTGATGTTGTGGCTGCTGCTGCGGTGCATGCAGGGGCGGGTGGAGGTGCAGTACGGGCTGTTGTGCGGCACTGGCCTGGATCCCAGCTGCGGCGGCTGCGGGTTGTTCCGGTTTGACGGCTTGTGCTCCAGAAGCCTCCTGCTTACTTGCATGCTGGTGCTGCTGAAGGAGGGGCGGAAGCTGCTGCGGGGGCAGTTGGTGAAGGGCATGCATCAGCAGCTGCTGCTGGTGCTGTAGGTGTTGCAGTTGGGCTTGGGCATGCGGACCATGCAGCTTCTGCTGCGCAGCGAGCAGCTGTTGTTGTTGCTGCAACTGATGGAGTTGCAGTTGCAGAAGGAGCCGCTGTTGATGCTGCTGGGTAGCGGTAGCGCCCACCTGCTGCTGCTGCTCGGGGGGCTGCTGCTGCTTAGGAAGTGCCGGGCCCGTGGCGTCTGCTGTAGCGCCGGAGGGAGCAGAGACTAGCAGCCCGCTCGCCTCTGAATCCAACACCACGTCCTCACCCGCAAGTCGAGCGGGAACCACTTGCTGGCGTCGCGGTCGTTGTAAGGAACCCGCGGGTGCCGCCGCTGCCGACTGGGCTGCCGCTGCCGGAGCGGGTCCGACAGCAGTCTCCGTAGCAGCTGGGGCACTTTCCATGGAGATGGGAAGGGGTGGGGATGTGGACGTTGGAATGAAGGCTGCTGGTGCCTGGTTGAGTTGTTGTTGCAGCGAGGCGGCGGCGGCCGGAGCTCCCATGGGGATGCTGGATGACGAGGCAAGATGTGCGCTTGACGAGGGTTGCAGCTGGGCGGGTCGTAGCGGCGGCATGTGGGATGGCAGCCCCAGGGATTGCATGTACATCAGCTGCGAGGGTTGCGGTTGCTGCGGTTGGGGTTGCAGATGAGACAGCTGCAGCATCTGGTGTTGTTGTTCCAGCTGTGGCTGCTGCGAGGTCATCAACTGGGGCGCTGGGTGCTGTTGGAAAGCGGCGGGCAGGGGTGCTGGGTGGTTGTTCGGCAGCATGGGAAACATCTGCGGTACTTGCGGCGGTATAGGCTGCATGGGGACAAGCGGGGGTGCAACGGGTACCATCTGCGGCGGGTTCAGCCAGCCGGCAGGGCCCGGCATCGCCGGAAACGCGTGGTGCTGAGGAACCGAGGCGACGGAAGCAAGGGCCGACGGCTCGCTAGCAGCAGCCATGGCAGGCAGGGCGCAGCTCCCGACAGCCGCAGCCGCTGATGCGCCAAACGCCCCGCCCGTGGCGCTGACTGGGATCATGCCCGGCGCTACTTGTTGGGGCACGCCACCCATGGCCCAAGACGGTATCAGCCCACCGCCGACAGCAGCAGCGGGAGCAGCAGCGGCACCGCTAACAGCAGAAGCAAGAGAAGGTGCGGACGCCGCCGCAGCCGCACCGCCGTTGGCAGACATGAGCTGCTGCAGGGGATCTCCCCCGGACAGGCCCGTGAAGGCGACGGCCGAGCCGCCACCCACCCCACCCACTCCCCCAACCACCGCACGCGCAGGGTCCGAGTCCAGACCTAGACCAAAGTCGTCGTCAGCTCCGTCATACTGCGGAATGACCCAACCGCCGCTGCCGTGATCCCTGCTGCTGCAACCTACTTCACCGCCGCGCGGCGACACATCTCCGTCCTCTGGGTCGCTGCCGCCAGCGCACTCCTCCTCCTGATCCTCCATGCATCCGCCGCCATGCGGCTCGGGCGCCGACATCCCACTCGTACGAGCACGCTGCTCCAAGGCTGGGTGCGTGAAGCAACGGCCGCCGCCACTGCCACCGTTGCGGCCAACACAGCACCCGCTCTTGCAGCATCCGCCACCATTACTGGCAGCTACCCCGCCTAGGCCGCGATGCCGTACAACCGCAAAATGCCCTTCCTGACGTACGGATGCGGAGGCGGAGGCACGCGGGGCGTCGTTATCCGCTGCACTGCACACTGCGGAGATCAAGGTCCGAACGCCTCGCTCCATGGCTCCTGCCGTCCTGCCCTCTCCATCATCACAGGGAGGTAGGACTGCCGTACGACGGTTGCCGCTGCTGCCACCAGCAACCGTAACCAAGTCCGTATGAAATCCTTGCGGGATAGAACTGAATCCCGCTGGTACGACACCCCGACGAGCGCCCTCAGCACCATAACCGCTTCCTGCTGCTCCGCCAATCGCGTTGCAATCCTCCGCTGCAGCAGAGGAAGAGGGAGGAGAAAGACATCCTCCCTGCCGTCGACCACCCTCCCTGCCGACATTCGTTCGATCCTCCACCTGGCCATGTGGGGTAGCACCATCGGTTGCGTTGGCAGCAGCAGCTGCACCGCTGCCGCCGCCAATGCCGCCAGTGTACATGACATACCCTTGCGCCTCCTGGTTTCCATAGCCACCTCCACCTCCACCGCCGCCGCTGCCAAAACGACCTGCTCCAGAACCACCGGAACCACCCGCGTGTACGATACCGCCACCATCCGTGTGGGGCTGCTGCTGCTGCTCCGACCCCGTGGAGAAGCCTGTAGCCGCCATCACCATCTCACCCAGCGTCATCTGCAGCGACCCAGGCCCGCCAGCCGCTGCCGCCGTAATCGCCGCCACAAGGCCTTCCATGCTTTGAACCGGCTCCTCCGCTGTGGGCGCCGACCCACATGACAAGCCGGCGTACGAGCTGTAACCCTGCGCCCCCACCGTCGCTGTACCGCGAGCCTGGTGCTGCTGCTGCTGGCGCGGAGCGGCATCCGCCACCCAGCCAGCCGCCGTCGCCACGCCTCCGCCACCCGCAGCCGCCGCAACACCCGCGGGGTCCACGCCAGTCAGCGCCGCCATGAGCTCAATCGGGATGCCGCCACCGCCGCCGTTTCCAGCAACGCCACCACCACCGCCACCACCACCACCCTCCACGCCGGCATCTCCGCCATCCTCTCCCTCGTCCACACCGTTTACCGCCGCCAATACCTCGGGGGGAACCGAGTCGGCGGGGACGAGGCGGTAGCCGGGCGGGTAGTCCTTGCGGGGGCGGCCGCGACCGCGCTTCACCGGCAGACCCTGGGGGTCCAGCAGGACCATGTTCTTGGGGTAGGGCACCGCGCCTGACAGCAGGCCGCCGCGAGGGGGAAAGGTAGGGGCCTGCGCGGGGGTTGGGTTGGGGAGGTGGATGGAGGGGATCGGGAGGTTGCTGGGGTGTGGGGGGGGTAACAGGGAAGTATTGACGGGCAGGATGATGTAGGAGGGGCTCGCAGGTGGCCCCGGGTGTGTTGCGATAACAGTGGACACGAATTGCCGCGGCTAGGGATTAGCAAGCCTTGCACTGGCGGAGCAGAGCGCAGGAGTGCTGCTTTAGCATCGCTCGCGCACCTGTTGAGGCACGCTGGACAGGGGTACCGTCCGGCGAGATGGCTGCAGCGTCTCCGGAGCGGTTGCTTGTTGATAATCTGCTTCGTCGTGATACGTGCTGGCGCCCAGAGGCTGAGCCGACCATACGGTTTTGCGCTTGCGGTTGCCGGCAGAAAGCGCGCCCGACCCATCCAGGCTGCCATAGCCGTCTCCGTCAACCGAATCAGGAGCTTCGTAAGCGTCATCTGAAGAGCCCGGTTGTGGTACCGCGTTCGCTGGCGAACCGGCAGGAAAGCCGGGAGAAAGGCCATAGCCATCTGGTATTTTGGGCTTGTTCTTTGACCCCGGGGGACGCCCACGGCGCTTTGCCGCTGCAGCAGGCTCCGAAAGGTCAGCTTGCTGGCTCTGAGCTCCGTAGGCTACGGCCGGGCTGTCTAGGTGCGTGGGCAGCAGTAAGCCATGTCCAACGTGCGCTGAGGGAGCCGACAAGCGCGCCCTCAGCGCTTGCAATGATCCAGCGGGCATGCTGTCCAAGTCCAATGAAAGTTGCTGATCTGTGACTTTCGTTTTATGAACACCGGCAGCAAGTAAGTGCTCCGGAGGTGCGAGGTGCTGCATTCCGTCATTGCCGCGTGGCATAAGAGCCAACGCGCCGCGCTGCCTTTTGATCTCGGGCTCGTCATCATAGCCTACAAGAGGGAAGCCCGAATACAAAGGGAGGAACGGTCAACTCAGGTCAAGGCTGCCAAGATTACCCGATGTAGGAGTTAGCCAGCGACTAACTTAGTCGTTTGACAGGAAACAACCCGCATGATCACCTACGTATACGCCTTTATTATTCTGTATCAGGGGAATAGTCTTTCTCAGGTTTATAACGTTAAAAGCTTGAACACGAACCCACAGCGTGTCAAACGTCTGCGCCCTGACTACACCGGGCTCCGTCACACGGGTTAGTGCCAAGCTCATGTTTTTGCAAATAATAGAGCTGGACCAGCATTGCGCTTGCGACCTCCCCTGCGTGTAAGCCTCTGTGCCCAGCCCACGCACCCTCGCGAACTTCGTGAAGTGCCTGAGCGTACATCTCCATCGCCTGTCCAGCTGGCAGTGTCCGGTACATGTTTAACCCATTATTAATGCCATCCATCTGTTAGCGAGGCTTTGGTATGTATGGTATGTGTGCTAGAACATTGAATGCTGAGGTGGTGGTGCTGTGGATGGTGGTCACCTATATGCCAACATGGCCACGTGGTGTGTAAGTGTATGGGACACAGTAAGGAGCGACGTGTTGTAAGAGTGGCCTCCCCGTGCTATGGTGCACGACAGTCGTATGTGTTTTGCACGGTACTCGGGAGCTGACCGGCAGCGCTCCGGATCCCTACTTCCCCTAATAAGGTTGTTGTTCAGTACCTTTGACGCATTTACAGGAGAAAGGCTTGGGAAGAGAGCTTTCAGGTTGGCAAGGACCGCACGCAGTAGGGGTTATTCAGGCCCAGCATGCTGCCGATTCCGCTGTTAACATTTGTGCTTTGCCCTACAACGGCAACCTTCGGCGCGAACCACACAAATTGGCCCAGTTGCTGGTTGGCCCATAACAGGAACCGCGTAACACGCACCTAAGCCGTTTGGTTCTGAGCGAGGAAGCACATCGTTTGCCGTTTAAGCATGACGGTATCTACCCAAACATACTATGAGCTAGAGGCTAAGCCAAGCGAGTGTACGGCGAACTGCCAAACGACAGAACAAACTGTCTTGCATGCCGCATGACACGTTGCTTTAACACATCAGCGTTGTTACTATTCTGCTCGACATCTTCAGTAAATTGCCATTTATAATGCTTTGCTGGCGGGGCGGCTCAGGGCTTGCTGAACGTCATATGGTGCTATAGTGTGCGTATTCACCGTTTTCCTTACAATAATATAATTATCGAGGCGAAGCTTCCCGTGTGCCCTACGAACGATTAACCTGAATCTTCCGCCACGACGACCCGTTTCCAATCCATGAAGCTTTTTTCGCATCGTTGATACTTGGGGCTGGCGTACTTAGCTTCAATTATCAGTCATGGTTTCGATTGATAATTTTCGGCGGCCAGGGCCATGCGTGTCGCCGTTTGCCGCTGTACCACCAACTTGTCGACCACCTGTCGCCACCATACTGCACACCGCAGCCTCGTCCTACTCCACAGCTTCGACCGGCATCCACGATCAGTTGAATGTCATAGTACCCAGTTTATTAAAAAGCAGCTTGCGACGTGGACCGAAGCCTTTCTCCGGAGCTGGCCAGCGTGTAACCAGGACCGCAACCCTTGCCACCAGTGTTGTTGATGTGGCTGAAGTGAGATGTGGACTTGGGTGACAGCCATTACAGGGCCCACTGCAACTCACTCCTTTTGCTGCCCAGCGGTTCCTCAGTGATTGTAGCTTTGCAGCGTGCGTGAACGGTTCCATCGCCCTCCACAGTGCTCACATACCTTGCTCACTACTTGTCAAACTCGAAAACAACATTTTGCATACCAATACCCGGCCCTGCCCCCTGCCTTTTGGCGGCCCCTGCCCTCAGACGCACACCCAAACAAGGCAGAAGCTGCGCGCCCGATCAGCCCAACCGCAATCCGTGACGCAAACCCAACAGCTACGCCACCAACCGCAGCCGCTGCACCCGCCACCACAGCAGCTGTGGGAACCGCCGGCACAGCAGCACTGGCCATCACATGCGGATGTTGAGGACGAGGATGAGGACGACGAGGACGACTATGATGATGAGGACGACTATGATGATGAGGGCGAGGCAGAACCCGCGGGCGAATGGAACCTGGGCGAGGGTCCCAGCACCGGTACCAACGCGAATTGGTGGCAGCATCAGGAACATCAGGCTCAGGAGGAGCAGGCAGATGAGCGACCACCTCAGCACCAGCACCAGCAAATGCGCCGTGGTCAACATGAGGAGGGTGATGCCGTACGGCGCCTTCAGTCGTACGGAAGCCCGCAGGAGCCCCAACGGCAGCGGGATGCAGGACAAGGAGGAGAGCGGCAGCAGCAGCAGCAGCAACAGCAGCGGCGACAGCAGCAGCAAGCGGTGGGCACCTCCAATAGCAAGCAGGGAGGCCAGCGGCGGTACAAAGTGGACCCTGAGTTGCGAACAGGTGGGTTGTTGGGCTGTCGTGCGGTTGGTTGGTTGGTTGGGGGTTGCATGCGAGGAAGCCGCCGGGGCATGTTTCGGTGACCCATATCACAGTGGCGAGGGAAAGGGCGGCCCGCATGCAACCATGACATCTGCCCCATTTGGGCCCTACCCCTTGGCAAACTACACCATCTCTCAGGCTTGGCGCTGACGTGGCTAGGCACCAACTCGGGCGCTCCCACCCTTGAGCGCAATGTCAGCTGCACGCTGGTGCGACTCCCCGGCGTGATCCACATTGTGGACTGCGGAGAGGGCACCCACCGGCAGCTGCTGTCGCTGCCGCCAGAGATGAGGGCGCAGATTGACGGGTGAGAGTGGGGGGTTGGAGTTGCCATGTAGGGCAGCGTTCAGGGTTCAGGGTTGAGTTGATGAAGTATGATGTGGGTTGGGTTGAGGACAAGTATCCGAAGTATGAAGTGTAAGGCAACCGCAGGAGGGCTGCGAGAAGAGCAGCTGCTTGGCAACGCCCAGTAGGCGCCGCGTCCTTATCCCGCTGTCCCATGCATCCCACATGCGCCCCCAACACCCGCCCCCAACACCCGCCCCCAATACCCGCCCCCCCCAACACCCGCCCCAACACCCGCCCCCAACACCCGCCCCCAATACCCGCCCCCAATACCCGCCCCCCCCCCCCCAACACCCGCCCCAACACCCGCCCCCAACACCCGCCCCCACCCAGTATCTTCATCACGCACCTGCACGGCGACCACTGCTTCGGTCTGGGAGCCACGCTGTTGCTGCTGGACCGGATCAAGGCTCAGCAGGCGCGAAACCAGCAGCAGCAGCACCCGCTGCGGTATGCTGTCGACCCAGATCGGCTCCGAAACCACGTGTACGGCCCACCCGGTCTGGCGGTGAGAGTGGGTGGAAGGTGTATAGCTGGGTTTCCGGTCATTTCCTGCGCTCTCTTTGGGCTTAGACTGAGTTGAACCGAGTTGACGCCTTGGTTGGCCCATTCCCAGGCGCGCCCATTCCTCTTATTGGCGGTCCCACCGTCCTTCAACCCTATCTCTCCCCACCCCTTGTCGCACCCCATTCCGCACCCCAATCCGCAGGACCTGGTGCGTGCCTCGCTGGTTTCCACGGGCGCCTGGCGGCGGCTGCAGCTGCCCCTGCTGATCACCGAGCTGGTCTGCTCTCCCGCATCCGCACACCCGCCGCGACCCCTCCTGGAGCCGCCAACCGCTGCAGCAGCAGCAGCAGCAGCAGCAGCAGCGGACAGCCGGCTGCAGGGGTACGCTGGAGGCGGTCCGGATCTGCTGGTGCAGCGCTTGGCGGCGAAGAAGGTGGCGGAGTCGCCGGAGTTGCAGGTGTGTGCGTGTGTGTTAAGAAAACTGGCCGCCGCGAGTAGGAACGTACTGGGTGCGTGTGTGTTAAAATAACTGGCCGCGAGGCGAAACGTACTTTGATTGCCGAAAGATGGAGTCCTCCCACCGAAATCGCCACATGTGAAGTGAAGTCCGTTGGCTATGTTGTAATAGAGCTATCGAGTAGTGTGTGTGTGTGTGTGCGGCGCCTGTCTTGTAGCTCCCCTAGTTCCCTCCTACTTCTCCTTCCCCTCCTCGCTTGCTCCGCAAACCCCTTCTCTGGACGATCCAATTGTGTCATTATTACACGGCTTGCCTGTTGCTCACGGCCCTCCTGTTCGCCCCTCCCATCCTCCCCTTCCAACCACGAACCAACGCAGCCAGCCGTGCGTGCCGTCACGCCCCGGCTGGCCTCGCTGGAGACCATCTGGCACCCGCCCGCCCGGTACCACCACCAGCGCTACGCATACGCCAGCGAAGACGACTTTTACAGCAGCATGGATGAGGACCTGGATGAAGTGAACATATCTCCGTCGCCCCCCTCCTCCTCCTCTTCATCCTTTCCTTCTGAGGACGTCGGCAACAGTAGCAGCGGCGGCGGCGCAGGTCGTGACCAGGCCCTCCACCACCAGCAACAGCAATACCAGCAGCAGCGGCGGCGGCAGTTTGTGGCAGCGGAGGGGCTGTACTGGGAACTGCCTCGGTGTGCGGGCACGAGCGTGCGAGCGGCGCAGCTGCAGCATCGGGTGGCGTGTTGGGGCTATGTGTTTCGAGAGGCGCTGCCGTACCGGCAGGGAGACAAGCGGCGCAAGGTGGGGAGGATAGGGAGAACAGAGAAGGGTTGGGTGGGCACTTGGCAGCGTGTGTGTTTTATGAGGAAAAAACTTGCCGCGAGTAGGAACGTGTGTTCAGTGGGGAGGGGCTGTGCTTTGGGTGAGGGGGCGTGTTTTGTTTGGAGCTTGATCCGGTATGTGGGTCGGCCGTCTAGGTGTTAGTGGAGAGCCGTAGCTCCCGGCTGGTAGCGATGTGTTAGTGGTGCAGTGGGCTAGGTGGTGTTACAAACTGCTGCCGGACTGCGAGCACAAGCCGGACTGCCAACTCCTTCGCACCGCCAACCCCCCTTAACACCACCTGACACCTCTCCCCTGCCACCATTGGGATTTCTTCTTTCCCGCCAGGTTGTCGTGCTGGGCGACACGGTCTCCTCACGCCCCATCGCCCCCCTGGCTGCCGGCTGCGACCTGCTGGTGCACGAGGCCACCTTTGCGGAGGGCATGGAGGCACGTGCGCGCATCGCGCAGCACAGCACGGGGCGGCTGGCGGGCGGGTTCGCGGCGGCGGTGGGGGCGCGCGTGCTGGCGCTGTCGCACTTCAGTGCGCGGTACCGCGAGGGGTTCCTCCACAAGGTGCGGGGAATGGGATGGGGGGAGTGGGTGCGGAAGCGGGGGATGGGATGGGGTATTGTGAGATGCGTGTCGGATGGGTGTGGAAACGGACAGCCTCGCATCAGGGTGGGGGGGGAGGCCCAAGGGAAACACCGCCCCACGCCACCCCACCTCCGACTGGCTCCACCTCGCAGGGAGGCGGCCCCCACGACGCCCACCGCTCCACTCGCCTCACCGACCGCCTTGAGCTGCAGCAGCAGCAGCAGGCGGTGGTGGGCCTGCTGCAAGAGGCGGCAGCCAGCTTCGGACGGCCGCCTGGCAGTTGCGTGGTCGCGGCTCGGGACTTCTTTACCTACCATGTGCCGGTCAGGGAGGGAGCAGCAGCGGGTGCGGGTGCGGGGGTGGGAGCTGGGGGTGCGCAGCAGAGGGCAGGTGCTGGGGAGGATGTCGGGAGTTTTGAGCTGGGGTCGCCGAGGAGCCGGCAGCAGAGGGGCGTCACCCGGTGGTAGTGGAGATGAGGATTAGTTGTTGCTGCTGTGGCTGCAGGAGTGTGTTGCAGGGGTGTGGGGGATGTGAAAGGGGAAATGAGTGCAGGAGGACAGACAATGGAACAGGCATTGGACAATGGAGGTGTGCCCAGTTTCGACGACGAGCGGGCTTGTAGGCTGTGGTGGTAAACATCTGGACGGGTGGTGGTGATCAGCTGAGCGGAGGAGGTACAGCGACCACGTGTGTCGGAAAAGCGTGTGGCTGTGTGTAGTACTGATTGTCAGCTGTGTGCTGCAACTCGCAGAACCTGAACTGTTCATTGGGTTTGTTCAGTCTTGCGATGTCGTTTTAAGGGCACATACTGTAATGTTTGCAGCACGTCTTCGTTGCTCGTACAACGTGCACAGGGACATATGCACGTATGCAATTAAGTAAGCAGGTTGTATTACCGTACGTGTCAGTATCAGTTTTCTGCACCTTACAAAGCGTAATTCTGCTCCAATTTTACCGGCATACCCAGAAGCCATATTGCCCCTACCTTCCAAATCGTTAGGTAAAGGCTATAAGCTATGTCGTTTGGGAGAATGGCCCTGCCCGGCACGTTACTCGTCATCACCACCACCCCACCGCATTTACCCCTCTCACCTGCGCATTACCGCCAACCGCCGCCGCCAACCATACCACGCCTTGCCACCTTTGTTAAACACGCAATGACAACAAAAGACAATGAACAGCAACACCCTCTACTAGCATGCAACGCACACTGGTGACCCATGGGTCGTCATACGTCACACTCCCCCAATACGCAATCCTACCAAAAGAATACAAAGCGCACAAACACGCAAACTCCTCCTCGATTACTAATACGTCACACGTCACTCTTTGCAACAGGCAGCCTCTTCACAGGCAACTGTTCGTAAGAGTATGTCCGCTTTACGACAGCTTCTCTCCAATGGCGGTGTTGGCGAGTGGCGTCTTCTGGATGGCGGGGACGGAGAGGTCGAAAGAGAGGGCCTTGGGGATGCCGTTCAGCCCATCCACCTGTGGGGGGAAAGATGCCATGCAGAAGCAAGTCAGGCGTTTGTAAGACGAATGCAAGCCAGATCTTCACCCTCCCATTGTACCGTACGAACCTCTGCCGTACAAACCCACCTTCAGGATACGGACACGCTCTTCCACGTTCCTCAGCAGGTGATCAAAGGTGTGTTCAAAGCCCTTCAGGTTGTGGTTGTACACGTGAAGGGCGGTGGTGATGGCCCAGTCCGCCTGCATGGGGGGAAGGAAGGAGGGGATGAGGAAGTGAACCATGGGTCGGTCCCGAGGCCCACGCTCGGCATGGACTGCCGCAGAACGGTGAAGTTGTGGAACGACATTGCATGTCATAACGCATCGGCCAGCAGGTACACATGATGTGGGTCGAGCACTACGAGACAACCGGGGCGTGGCTTGTTTACTTTTTCGGCCCTGCGTAAGCAGCCGCATGCCGCATGCTCCTTCCCCCCTCTCTCACAGGAACCCCACCCCACCCCACCCCCACCCTCACTCACGGTGGAGTCGGCGATGGAGAAGGCCTTGTAGGTGGTGTCCTGCACGAAGTTGACGAGCGGGGTGGCGAAGTTGAGGAACGCCCGCTCGATGTCCGCCAGATTGTCTTGGAAGTTGTACGGCGCCAGCATGCGCACCAGGAGCCAGGGCGTGGAGACCAGCCTGCAACGGGGAGGGCATTGGAGGAGGGGGGAAAGAACCCCGGTAAATAACATAGCAAGTCGGGAAAGACAAGGCGTTAAGCTTGGTGAACACTTCTTACTGTATGGTTGCAGGAAAGGTGAGCCGCTGGACGACCATTGGGTCAGCAGCCCAAGCAAGACAGCAACTGCTCGCGGCTGCTTCCGAGGGCGGTGTCCCTTCCATCGGGCGTTCGGAAATAGGCGTTCACACAAACAAACAAACAAACCCCGTGCGCACCCCGCTTTGAAGGTAAATGCTCTACTTATAAGCAGCGGGTTATAGTGAGGGCGGTAGGACATCGCGTAATTTTATTGGAGTTCGCCGCCGGAGAACGCACTGCGTCATGTTCCCGTCATTACAAGAGGCACCTTACGCGCTTCACCTTCCTTTCAGAAGTAGCCCAACCGTATCCTCACCAAGTCATGAAGCTGGTGTAGGTGGCAAGGATGCGCCAGGGCCAGGAGAAACGCTTCAGACCAGAGTACTTGCGGCCGTAGATGGGCCGGGTTGCCGGCGACAGAACATCCGTCACAGCCATTTTGTTTGTCGTCCAATCGGATTAGCTTGCAAGCTTTGGCGCTGCAAAAACAATTGCTCGGGTGCGTAACGCTCAAAGGGTCACGTTGTAAGGTGCAGGCTAGCAGTAAGGAAGCAGGCAGCTGACAGCTTTGTATGCCAGGCAAGATCCTATGGGCTTAGGATTAGTGAGACTACTCCTTCTTAATAAGCCTCTCCCGTGGGGTAATGTACGGCTTGCTCGCGAAGGCATAACGCAATCCCCGAGGCCGCACCTCGGACGCCGGACAACCGCCGCTAGCGCAGCAGGCACCGCACACAACCGCCAAAGTCGCAAAAACAATGAACGTCCTCCAAGGCTCTAAACAAAAGTGAAAGCGTAGCCTCTAGACACTTTACTTAGCTTTTTGCCTTTTCGGATTTGTCTTTTTCTTCTCACGTCATGTTGCCCACCACTCTTCTTCATCATCATCATCCCTATCATGCTCCGGTAGGCCTGGGGCATAAGGATCGAGCCGCGGTGCCACATGGTCGCAGCACGGGACGCGGAGTTGATCTGGGTCCTGCGGGTCCGGAAGAGGAGGAGTTTGGGAACAACAACAGGGAGGAGTTCATCGGCAGGGAGGAAGGCCCGACTGCTGTGGACAGCTACAGCAAAAGCCGTGGTGCTGGTAAGTTGTTATTAATACAGAGAGAAAGGCAAATGTTACAGGCATACCTGTAGGGCGAAGCTTCCGTCATAACAAGTTCAAGCCCGATCACTATGACGCAACTTTCGGAAAGGCTATTTGCCTTTCCACGGTTGCAGGCAAGGACCTCAACCTGTTGCATTATGTTTTCCCTCGCCATTATTAACTCTGCGGCCACCATTCCTTTCCCCGTTCCCCACACCCGCAGGAGGCACCACCGCCACCACCGCCACCACCGCTGCACCTGCCCTGACCCCCACAACCGGCGACATCCACAACGGTCGACATGGAGGCTATGGCGGTGGCGATATTGGCGGTGGCGGAGCCAGATATGAAACTTCACAAACAACAGCGCCGTACTCGGGGGCTGCTCCCATGATGACGTCAGCAGCAGCAGCTCCTTCGCCGTACTACACGACAGCTGGCGGCGGCGGCGGCGCCCTCGGCAGCAGCAGCAGCACCGCCAGCTACCCGAGGCTCCGTCACCTGCAGTGGCTGTGGGCTGGTCTGGTTTGGTACTGCACCACGGTGGCTTGGGTGGTCACACTGCCCTGGCGGGTGGGTGCGTCGGTCGGTTTGGGGTGTGGGAACTGGGTGTTGGATCGACCCATGGGTCGTTCCAGATTGACTCAGTCAGTTTGGAGAAGAGCGTCGCCGGATCGCCTCGTTCCGCACGTACGTAACCGCCTGCTCAGTGCCGCTGCCTTGTTCCCACATGCATGCATCCGTAGGCCCTTACCTGGATGACCCCCGGCTTCCTGCAACCGACTGTTCGTTGGGTCGAGGACACAGCCGCCTGGTGGATCAACCCGCCCACCCGGCTGGCAGCCAACATGACGTACGGCACCCTCTCCTTCTTCGACCGCATGGTGGGTTGGGTTTCGCTCGGTCGGGCCGGCTGACCCATGGGTCACAGTGTGCAAGCAAGCCCGCCGCATGAATGACGATTGCGCATGCTGCCTGCATTTCCTTCCGGACCATGCCATTCCCATTTCGTAATGCCTCCACCCCCGTTCCTCACCCCGTTCTCTGCGCCCTTCCATGCATCCTATCTTCCCATGCACCCCATGCTCGCATCTCCCATCCCACCCCGCTGCTACTGCCCTTCATCGCAGCTCGGTTTCAATACCAACCCCGCTCCTGCTGCCGCCCCTGCTGGCCCCCCTGCCCCTGCCGCCCCAGATCTCCTCCATCTCCCACGCGCTGTTCTCCACCCACACCGCCAACACGCACCACTTCTGGGTGGCGCTGGAGGCCTACCTGCGGCTGGTGCAGCACAAGGCGCAGCTGATCGAGCGACACGGGTTCGACGGGCTGTGGATGGCGTTCAACACCAAGACGGTGTGAGCGAGGCGAGTTCGCGTGAGGAGGAGCGAGGGTGGTTGCGATTGGGCTGGGAATGGCGTCCAAATGGCGTTGTAAGGAGGCGTTGTAAGGAGGAAGACGGCGAGAGGGTCAAGGCGGGGAGTTGCTGGGAAGAGGAGAGGAAGGGGAGGGGGTAAGAAGGAAGAGCGGCAAGGAGGCGGGGATGGGTGGTGAGGGAGCAGGGTGCATCCTAGAGAGGGTCCCGGAATCGACGCAGGGCGGACGGCGACCGTGTGTAGGCATTTCGAAGGGCTGGTTGGGGCTTTTGTAATAGGCATAAGACGCTGTGCACAAGTAAGGCAAAGTTTACGGTGTTTTGTGTGCGAGGGAAGCGGACAGGTGTGCACGCTGGGACCTTGGATGGTTGTTGGGGCTGTGTGCATGGCGTGGAGGGCTGGAGGTGTTGTGGTTGGTGACAACGTTGGTTGGGCGACCAATGCCATTGGACCGAGGCTTATTGGGCCGCACTTGTCGGGGTGTTATGCGGCTGAGTTGCTTTACATATTGGGTCTTAGAATGCTGCTTGCCTAACTAAATGGACAGGAAGAGGATCGGTGGCGGAGGGTGAATATGATGTTGCCACGAAAGCCGCCATAATGGTAGCGATGCAACCGGACTACTACTGAAGGGTGCATGAGCAGTACCGGTAGTTAAAAGTGGTACCTGGCTCTAGGGAAAATTCCCCATGCAGTAGACGGAGCGAGGCGGCCTTGGCTAGCATCCAACACCTAGGCCGCGCATATTCTGACAAAAACGGTCTACCCTAGTTGTAGCGGAGCGTTTTCCGCCCAAGCCAGGAACCAATCCCGTACTGGCTTGGATCCTAACCGCCAGATAGGAGGCTGGAGGTCCGAGTCCTTATGATAATACAAGTGCAATTCTGTAGGCCCGGGGCCTTGATATATGTAACGTGATTACCTGCGAAAAAGGGAATTGCTGCCTTACTGCCACAGTATTTCCGCTGATTTCTGTATGAAGATGATTGGGCTGATAATAGTGCATTTATATCTTTGAAACCCGGCTATTTTACTTGGCTATGTGAACCCGGCGCTGTCTAGGCGTAACCGAAGATTGCTATTCGGCGGCTGCATCTCTCGCGCAGTAAGCAAACATGGGCGGCGTAAAGAACCGCGATGCCAAGATGAAGGCGAACAAAGTCTTTTCGTGAGTCTGCAAGGGGTTCCTTAACCCTTGATCGAACCATGCACGACGCAATTCAACGCTCGCCTATAGGTCCGGAGGTGGTGGCGGCACGAAAGGTCCAGCAGTAGTTGATAAGCGCGGGCAGGAGGTTAAGTGCCCTTACTGCGACAAGGTGTACCAACAGGTGAGGATGAGCAAGCATGTGTTTTGCAATTCAGACTGCCAATCCAAACCCAAATGCCCTACCCCCGCCAACATATTCGCTATATATGAATTGCACCGGCCTCTTAGAGTGGACGTCTCAAGGAGCACATCGCCAGCAAACATGCGGACGAGCTGCAGCCAGAAGGCTCCGCAGCACCAGCAGCACCTGCTGCGAGCGCCGCTGCCAGCAGCAGCAGCGACAATAGCAAAGCGGCCCCTAAGACCGGCGGATCGCAGCCAGCAGCTGCAGCACCAGCGGCCACCAACTCATCTGCCGCTGGCCCAGGCGGGCCTAAACAGGCAACTGGCGGCAACGCCAATGCAGCAGCTCTTGCCGCGGCGGCTGCAGCGGCGGCACGGGCGGCTTCCACCGCTGCTGCGGCCTCCGCTTCAGGCGCAGCAGCAGCAGCAACAGCCAGCAGCAGCAATCCCGGCGCCGGCGGCGGCAGCGGCGGTGGTGGTATTATGCAGGTGAACAGCAAGGCCGGCTACTACACGTGCAAGAGCCCCTCCATGCATCTGCACGAGTGGCTGCAGCGGGAGAAGCGGCCCAGGGCCCGGGTGGCCCCCAAGAAGACCGAGAGCGGCCTATGGACATGCAAGGTGGGTGGGTTGTGGGTGGGTGGGTGGGTGCTTGTGGGAGCAGATGGGAGGGGACAGGTGTGGTGGGAGCAGATGAGAGCATGAACGGGGACTGGCTCGAGGGACACGGGGTGAGGGACGGGACGGTCGTCGGTATGGGGTAGTTATGCTTCTTCAGCATGCAGGGCAGAGCTTCATGGGATCATGTCTTGAGCTTTTGTGACACACTAAGCAACAGCAGTCACAAAGCAGCAGCAGAAGGAACCCACAAGAATGCAAGGATAAGCAGCCAGGCGCCATGCCTGCACCCCCATCCTCACCCCCACCTCACAGGTCGTACTGCCCGACCCCAAGCGCTCCGAGGACGATATTGTCGTATTTCTGGACGAGCAGTTCGCTGCGCCGGACGAGCAGGAGGCTCGCGAGAGGGGCGCTGTGGCGGCGCTGCATCGAGTGCAGGGTGGGTTGGGGCGCTAGCAGGGTGGGTTGGCACACTACCCCCACCTCTTCCTTACCTTCTTCCAAACCCTCTTCTGCCACCTCCCTCCCTGTCCCTGCTTGTCGTCTGGCCTGCATTCTCATCCACCCATCCATTGGGAATTCATCCTTTCCCCTTTCCCTGCTTCTTTCCTCCCACCTCAGGCGACCGGGCGCTGGAGCGCATCCTGCCCCGCGACTACGTGCCCCTCTGGACGCAGCTGGGGGAGGCGCGGAAGGCGCGCGAGGAGGCGGCGGCGGTCAGGAGGGAGGCGGAGCAGCGGCGGAAGCAGCAGGAGGAGGAGCGCCGGCGCAGGACGGGGCTGCGAACACCGCAGGCGAGCGGGGATGGTGGCGGTGGTGGTGGTCTGGATCTGGAGCGGTGTTGGTGTGGCAGGAAAGAGCGTGCGTCGTTCAGGAGGGTTTCCATGTTGAGCGAGGTTTCGCTAGGAATGCAATGTTTTTTGCCGTCCCGATGGAAAGGAGTTTCCTGTCTTGAGTTTTGCCCTGGTTGGGATGCCGTACATATACAATACGCACCCGAACTCCTGCCGAACACCCGTACATCCCATGCAGGTCGTGGTCATGAGCGCCGCCAAGCAACGCCTAGTGCAATCCCTGCTACGCGACCGGGACGAACTGTTCGCGACCCACGGGTCATCGCTAACCAGCGTGACCCGCGGGTCGGCCGACGCCGACGCCGAGGCTTTATCCGCAATGGTGGACAAGCTCAGTGACATGGGCTTCAGTCCGCAGCACGTACAGCTCGCGTACGAACGGAGATCTCGGGGATCTGCCGCAGGCGGCTGCGGAAGCGACGTAACGGTCGAAGCGTTGTTGGATTGGCTACTGCTGAACCTACCTCCCGATCAACTACCGGGCCAGTTCACCAAGGGCTCAACAACCAACATGGTGGGGATTGTGGCACGAGCCGGATCCGCTGCTTCTGGTGCTGGAGGTGGTGGCGGTGGGGGTGGGGGTGGTGGAGGTGGGGGTGGCGAGCCCTCGTTGCAGTCCGTGGCGCGGCTCATGTCGTACGGCTACTCGAGTACGGAATGCGAGGAGGCGCTGCGGGCGGAGAAGGGGGATGAGCTGGCGGCGCATGTACGGCTGTACGGTGTGCTCACTGGTAGGTGCTGTCGGGGGTCGGGGATGTACGGCAACTTGGTTTTGTAATGGTTAATGGTAGGAGGTGGCCCCTACACAAGGTTACAGGAGGAGAGTAAAAAGGAAGAGGCTGACAAGCAGGAGGAGGGTGGAGGCAGGAGGTTTGCTCCGGATTAAGATACAGAGGTGGCAACGGCCTTTCCTGATGTGTTTTGTTCCCCAGGTATCAAGCTGCAAGCTCCTTCTGCCTCCAGCGGCACCTCGGCTGATGCCAGTGACAACAACGACGTATGGGCGGAAGAGCTCATGGTCCTCGAATCCATTTACGACAACCAGTTTGCCGTACTTTCAGAGGACGCCGTACGACTGTCCTTAGAACTGCCGGAGGGTTGCGCCGTCGCAACCCGTACGGATGCGCCGCTCGTACTAGAGTTCGTACGGCTCACTGGGCCCAATGGCGGCGACGGCAGTTGTACGACGGCAGTATTGTCGTACCCGGATGCGGCACCGTTGGTTTCGGTTAGCTGCGCGGGCCTGGCAGCGGCGGCGTTGCGGCACCTGACGCGGGTGCTTGCGGAGGTGAGTGAGAGGAGGCGTGAGGTGTAGCGCAGGGGCCGGGGTCGTGTAGGAGGGATGGTCTCATGCCGTCCCTTTCCTCCCCTATTCTCATCCTCCCCCCTTACTCTTCCTCTCTTTCCTTACTCCCTACGCTTTCCTCTCCCCCTCTCCCCCTCTTCCCCCCCCCAGGAGTCCCTGCGGCTGCTGGGTCAGCCCGCGCTGCATGACCTCGCCTCCCGCGCGCTGGAGGAGGCCGCCCGCGTGCAGGAGGAGGACCTGCTGCGGGTGGGCAGGAGCGGGGCAGCGGCGGCAGGTGCAGCAGCAGGGACGGCAGTGAAGGGGGCGCGCAGGCAGCAGGATGGGGAGGACGAGGAGGAGGCGGAGGGCGGCAGGGAGGAGGTGTTGGAGCGGCAGGAGAGCTCTCTGGTGGAGGGCTTTGAGGGGCTGGTGGTGGAGGAGGAGGAGGAGGAGGAGGAGGAGGAGGAGGAGGAGGAGGAAGGTACGTAAGGGGGCTGGGGGGCGGGGTGACGGCGCGTGCGGATAGCGCAGCATGTGGAACCGGCTCTCCGCCCTGACCAGCGCCTGAGAGGTGTGTATGCCTTCTTCGCCGGTACCGCCCCGTCCACATGTCGCCCCGTCCGCATGTCTGTCAACGTACCCCCCCCGTCTTCCACACCCACCCCGCAGGCCCCACTGCCCCCCGCCGCACCCGCACCCGCACCACCCCCGCCTCCACCTCGGGCAGGCTGGGCACCCCGCCCCTGCCACCCGGGCGACACACGCCCCCTGCAGCGGCGCCGGCGGAGCGCCCCCGACCCCGCCGCCGACCCCAGGTGGGCCGCCGGGCCGCCTGCATCACACCTTGCTCCGTGCCGCTTCCGTACCATACCGTACCGTGCCGTGCCGTGCCTTTGCTTGCCTTGTGTGCAGTACCTCTCGGCAGCCGCACAAGAGCGCAATCCCCCCTGCCTCTGCGCCTGCCTATCCTTCTCCTGTGCACAACACACCTCGCCCCGCCTCCGTCTACTTGCTGTCCTCTCCCTCTCCTTCCCTCCACAACTCCGCCTTCCTTCCCTCTCCCCATCCTTCTTCCCTCCCCGCGACTAATTCGGGCTGGGCGGGACGGGCCGGTTACCATGTTAGCACCCCATGGTGAAGCCCTGCCATACAGCCTGTCAGTTTCCTCCTTTTTACCCCCATCCCTCCACAACTCCCTCCCCCCCTCCCTTCCCGCACCCTCCCCCCCCTCCCTCCCCCCCTCTCAGATCGACCTCGCCTCCGAGTCCGCCCGCCTTGCCCGCCTGCAGGCCGACCTGGACTCCGCCCCCCAGCACGACACCATGCGCCGCACCCGCCGGGGGCTGCCCGCGTACAGCCGGCGGGGGGAGCTGCTGGGGCTGCTGCGGGGGTGCGGGGTGGTGGTGGTCAGCGGGGCGACGGGGTGCGGGAAGAGCACGCAGGTGCGTGGGGGTGGGGATGTGTATGGGCGTGCTGAGGAAGCTGGCCGCGAGTGTGGGGTCGGAACAAGTGGGCATGGATGATGGGGAACAAGGGGGACAAGGGGCGGGGAGATGGGGGCGTTACTCTGCGGGCTGGGGTGAGGACCCGCCGGGGGTGCAACAGCACATGCACAACGGAGCCAGACTGCAGTGATGGGAAAGGAGCGGGGTGCTAGGTGCTGCTGCTGCCTCTACTGCTCCTCCCTCTCTCCACCCGTACGACGAACCCTTCCTACGACACACCACATGTCGTACTACAAATCACCTGTAAAAACACCCAAACCCGAATCCAAATCCACAGGTTCCGCAGTACATCCTGGAGGACGCGATCGCGGCCGGCAACGGCGCCGCCTGCAACATCATCGTCACGCAGCCCCGCCGCATCTCCGCACTGGGGCTGGCCTCACGCGTGGCGGCGGAGCGGGGTGAGCGGGTGGGCGAGGTGGTGGGCTACAGCGTGAAGCAGGACCACAAGACGAGTGCGGCCACACGGCTGACGTTTGTGACGACGGGAATCCTGCTGCGGAGACTGCTATCGGATCCGGATTTGGAGGTGAGGTTGGTGTGGGAAAGGAGGTATGGGGAGAGGAAGAGGAGGAAGTTGTTAGGAGGAAGAGGACAAACGAAACTTGTACGGAAGAGGAAGGGGTTACAAAAAGTTGTCCGATGTTCGTCTCCTAAGCTCCAGGCTCCCAACCCTTTGCTTTTTGTTTTGCTTATTCGTTCCTTTCCTCATTTGGGGCACACGACCCACCTCGCTTTGCATGTTCCTCTCTTGCGTTCTCCCGCCACATTCATCCTCGTTTTCCTCGTTTCCTCAACACTCCCTGCTCGCTCCGGCTGCTCTTTCCCCCTCTTCTTAACCAGGGCACTACCCACATCGTGTTGGATGAGGTCCACGAACGCAGCATCGAAATCGACCTGCTGCTGCTGCTGCTCCGGGACCTGCTGACACGACGCCAGGAGAAGGCAGCCGCAGCCGCCGCCGCAGCAGGCAGTGGTGGTAGAGCCGGGGCGTCGAAAGCATCGCCACTGCCACCGCTCAAGTTGATTCTGATGTCTGCAACTGCCGACGCGCAACTCTTTGCGGATTACTACACGGGCGCTGCTGGGAGGGGCGGTAAGGGGTCGGCAAAAGCGGCGGCGGCGGCGGCGAAGATGACCCATGGGTCGGCAGCAGCCGCGGAAGCGAAGACGGGGTTGGAGGTTGGCATGATGAGCATTCCTGGGTTCACATACCCGGTTCGGGAATTCTATCTGGAGGTGGGGTGGGGGGGTAACAGGGGGGGTAGTAACGGGAGGTTTGGAAGGAGGGGATGGGGACCAGAACGATAATGACCGAAAGAGAGCCGTAATTGAAACAACTTGGCCGGGCCGTGTACCGGTACACGATCCTATTGCTGGCTGCTTTGCTCGGCAGTCTGCGCTGTGTTGTCGAAGCGACACCAAGCCGCCTAACCGCGACACTGGTCTGCTGGCTATTGGTCTGATACGTGTGTTCATGCTGTTCAACTGCCCGCATTTCGTCTGCTACCGCTAACTGTGTGCCCACCCGCAGGACGCCCTGGAGATGACGGGGCACGAGGTGGGTCGGGGCAGCAAATACGCGAAACGCGGCGGCGGCGGCGGTGGGAAGGGCAAGGGCGGAGACGGCGACCAGCAAGGGGAAGACGCTGACGGCGGCAGTGGTAACGGTAACGGTCAGCGGCAGTTGTCGTACGCGCTGCCCTCGTACAGCGAACGCACGATGCGTAGCCTGGGCAATGTGGATGAGGACCAGGTGCGATGAGGGGTTCTCTGGGGTGGTGGCGTGTGGCAGTGGCGTGGGAGGGACGGAGGGAGGGACGGAGGGAGGGACGGAGGGAGGGACGGAGGGAGGGACGGAGGGAGGGACGGAGGGAGGGACGGAGGGAGGGACGGAGGGAGGGACGGAGGGAGGGACGGAGGGAGGGACGGAGGGAGGGACGGAGGGAGGGACGGAGGGAGGGACGGAGGGAGGGACGGAGGGAGGGACGGAGGGAGGGACGGAGGGAGGGAGGGAGTGAGGGAGGGAGGGAGGGCTCTTACAGTCAGCGGGTGTGCGGATGGTTTGCCCCACACCCCACACCTAGTGATTCTGCCGGTACCAGAACAGGCTGCAGCAGGCTTGCGGCGGAGTCGGAGTCCGAATCAAGATCGGTGTACACTTGCCTTGACCGCCATTCCTGGTGTTTTGACGTGTGTTTCTGGTTTCCTGAAACACGCGCTGCTGTACCCGTACACTACCCTGACATTCGCGTCCCCTGACACGCATCCCCCCCCATCTCCCCGCCTCAGATCAACTACGAGCTGCTGGTGGAGCTGGTTGCGGAGATCATCCGTCGCCACCGGCGGGAGGGCGCACAGGCCTTCCTGTCGGACTGGCCGCAGGTGGGTGAGGGGGTGGAAAAATATGATACGCTGACTATGCAACTGACGAGCTGTATGACAAGGCTGGGAGTGGGCGCTGCAGCTGAACATGCTACTGAATTGCCTTCGCACCCTCCATGTGGTGGCATCGGCAGCTTCGTGGCCGTGTGTCTCTGCATCGCCCACCTCTGCATCGCCCACCTCTGCATGTGTGTCCTCCTCCGCACACCTCTCCCTTCCCCCTGCCCTGCTCTCGCCCCCGCCCGCAGGCCTTCTCCTCGGGTCGCGGTGACCTGAGCGGCGGCGGGGCGCTGCTGGTGTTCCTGCCGGGGGCGCCGGAGATAAGCAGGCTGCAGGTGTGTGTGTGTGTGGGGGGGGGGGCGGGGGAAGGGGTGTTGGTTGTGGGTGTGTGTTCAAGGTAAGGCGCACATGGGGCGGTTCCGGTTACCGTTTACCCTGCGAAGTCGCCTGTCATTCGTGCTGGTGATGCGGCGAGTGCTGTCCCCATTCTCCTCGACCCTCCGCTCATCGCCTGCTCCTCTCCCTCCCCCCCCACTCCCCGCAGCGGCTGCTCCTCTCCTCGGACAAGGTGTTGAGCGCTGCGGGCGGGTCGGCGGGGCTGCGGGTGCTGCCGCTGCACGGCTCACTGTCCTCCGCGGAACAGTCGCGGGTGTTTGGCAGGTGAGGGGAAACAGATACTAAGAAGGCTGGTAGAAGAAGGCCTTGCCAGCCCCAAAGTGGAAGCCCTGCCTGCAACTAGTCGGGCAACAAGCTACTGCGCTTCCCCTCCATTCATAATCTTCTTCTTCCACACCCAACCACCGCCTGCACGGTGCTTCAAAGTTGTCCTCTCCACGCAACCCGCCCAGGCCCACATTTATCCTAGCTACCAACCTGATCTTCCCCCCTACCTCTCCCTTGCCCCCCGCCTTCCCCCCCCCCAGGCCCCCCGCCGGCTGCTTCAAGGTGGTCCTCTCCACCAATGTGGCGGAAACTTCCATCACCATCGACGACGTCACGGCGGTGCTGGACACGGGTCGGGTCAAGGAGATGAGCCATGACGCGGAGCGGGGCATTCAGAGGCTGCAGGTGGGGGGCGGTGCCGTACAGTGCGGTTTGCTTTTGTTGGTGATGGACGATCAACTGTCGTACATGGCCTCCCATGGCCTGTCATGGCCTGTCATGGCCTCATGTATCCTTACGTAAGGGTCCCATACCTACCCTAGAGGCTGATGCAGGTGCAATGCTGCTTGTGCTGGGTAGCGGTTCCCTCACGGCGCCCGCATGCCCGCAGCCCTCACTGAGCCTCATACCTCTCAAAAACCCCTTCATCTGGCGCTGTGCTGTACCTGATGATCCTGCCATCAGGCCTTCATGTCAGGGCCCCATACCTCAAGCATTCAGACATCTTGAGCTGAGCCCCCCGCTGTCCTCCCTGCTGTTGCTGCCCGCAGGAGGGCTGGGTCAGTCAGGCGGCCGCGCAGCAGCGCCGCGGGAGAGCGGGTCGTGTCAGGTGGGGGGGCATTCACCCTGCCGTCCTCCTCTGGTGTGCGTGTCCTTACCTCCTTACCGCTTCCCTCTTCCTATTCCTCTCCCACTCCCATCTCCCTTCCCCCACCCCCCCTGCACAGGCCCGGCATCTGCTTCCGCCTCTTCAGCAGCCAGCAGTGGCGCCGCATGCCGCACCACACGCAACCCGAGATGCTGCGCTCGCCGCTGGAGAGCGTTTGCCTGCTCGTGAAGGGAATGACGGAAGCCGCCGCAGCCGCCGCAGGCGGCTCCACCACCTCCACCTCCACCGATACCCTCTCCTCCTCCGACCTTAGCAGCACCCTTGGCAGCAGCAGCGGCGCCGCAGCCTTCCTATCGCGCTGCTTGTCGCCCCCCTCTCCAACCGCCGTGTCTAGCGCGCTGCGGCTGCTGCGAGGCATCGGCGCGTTCGACAGCTCGGAGTCGCTCACCAGCCTGGGTCGGCACCTCAACCGCATGCCGATGGACCCACGGGTCGGCAAGGCGCTGGTGTACGGCTGCATGCTGGGCTGCTTGGATCCGGTGCTGACAGTGACAGCGGCCATGGCGCATGGCCGACCCGTGTTCCTCAACTTGCAGGTGCGACTGCGGTTGCGGTTGCCGGTGGTGGTGGTGGTGGTGGTGCGACTGCGGTTGCGGTTGCGGTTGCGGTTGCGGTTGCGGTTGCGGTTGCTGCCGTGTTAGTCAATGTTAAAGGCTTTCCTTATACGGTATACCTGCAGTAGTTGCCTTCCATGTACTACCGGTACCTTTTGACTACCGGCACTCCTTCCCTAACTCACATGGTTGCATGTTCCCCGCTGTGTGCCTGTCCTGTCCTGTCCCGCGTCCCCTTCATCTGCTCCTTGCCGCACCTTTTGATGACGTTATCGGCGTACCCATATCAAGCCCAACCGGCTGCAGCGGCACCACCCAACACACCTCTCTAACCAGCCCTAACCCTCCGGACCTCCCGACCCTGCTGTTGCTCCCCGCCAGAGCGCCCTGGAGGGGGCGGCCGCAGCTCGGCAGCAGCTGCTGCGGTCCGCAGTCACATCCCGCAGCGACCACATTGCGCTGGTGGCGGCGTACAATGGCTGGATCAAGGCGGTTGAAAAGGGTGAGCAGGGATGGAGGAGGGGCGGCGAGGGGCTGCTGCTGCTGCAGTGATTGGCATGCAGCCTTCGGTTCCGCTTGAAGACCTCCCCTCCTTCCCTCCCCGCAAGGGTAAAGAAAGGGTCTATTTGCATCCCCCAGGAACTTTCCACCCAATGCTGTTGATAACATCATCATTCCACGCGTGGTCTCCTCCTGCTGTTCCCCCTCCTTCCCCCATGCATTCAACACAATGTGTATCCTTCTCCCACCCCCCCCTCCTTCCCCCACGCCAGGCGGTCGCTCCGCCGGCTCGCAGCTCTGCTCCGACTGCGGCCTCTCGGAGTCCTCGCTGGAGGCAATTCGGGCGGGACGGGTTGAGTACGCGCGAGTGCTGGGGGAGCTCGGGTTCCTGGAGAGTGACCCGTGGGTCATTGCGGCGGCAGCAGGCGCCGGGACCGGGGCTGGCCAGCAGCAGCAGGGCGGAGCAGACAAGGAGGACCCGGCGAACCGCAATGCGGGTAACGCTCGCTTCTTGAAGGCGGCACTGTGTGCCGGGTTTTACCCGAGTGTGCTGCGAGTGCAACACCCCAAGACCAAGTACAAAGAGGTAGGCTGAAGGGAGGGGTATTGATGGGGGTAATGAGGTCGGCATGGAGTGGGCTATGTGCGAGGGGTAAAGCCCCGTACTGCCGTACACGACACCCATGTCCCTTGTCGTACGGCTCCCCCCAGGTGTACGGCGGTACGGAGGAGGCGGAGGCGGACGCCAAGGACGTCAAGCTGTTCGACCGGGAGCGCGGCCGCGTGTTCCTGCACCCCGGCTCCGTGTGCTTCAGCGTGGGCAAGTACGAGAGCGGGTGGCTGGTATACACGCAGATGACGGAGGTACGGCAGGCGGCGGGGGGGAGAGGGAGAGGGAGAGGGAGATTGGGGCGGAGATTGGGGAGGTAGCCGTACTAACTGCGGCTTAATCATCCGGGGTTTATAATACCACACACATAACGCACCCCCACTGCCCCCAGCTCCCTCCCCTTAACACCATTTTGGTCTTACACTCTTATTCTTCCCCTCCCCCTCCTCTCCCTTCCCACCTCCCCGCCATCCCGCTCCCCCCCACCCCAACCCGCAGATGATTCGCGATGGTCGCCCCAAGCTGCTGGTCCGCGAGGCTTCCATGGTGCCCGTCTACTCGCTGCTGCTGTTCGGGGGCGAGGTGGCGGTGGAGCATGCGGCGGGGCTGATTCGGGTGGACGGGTGGGCGGAGTTCAAGGTGGGGTGGGGCGGTTGTGGGGGCGGGGAGTGGAAGGACACGGATGGGGGGAGTGCCAGGCGGTTTGGAATATATGGAGATATATGGGCATCGATGAGTTGGGGCGCAGGTGGCGCAGGATGCGGCGGGAGAGAAGGGTACCGGGGTACGGGTGGTGGTGGCTCCTCCTTGCGGGTGTGTGTTTGCCACCATGCGTACGACAGGTGTGCGTACACATGTCGTATGCCGTACATGTGCGCGAGTTCTTACGTCCTACTTACTCTCAGCACCACTACTGGACTTCTATATGTACATACGATACCATATTCCTCGGCTTCTGTGGCGGTTCTGTGGGGACTTCATCTTCCGACATCCCCTACGTTCCTACTCGCGGCCAGTTTTCTTAACACACGCGGGCCCGCGACACCCCCTGCCTCCCCCTCCTGCCTCTGTTGCTTCACTTTCCATCCAATTCCCCTCCCCCCTGCCTCCCCCCCCCCGCTGCCAGGCTGCCGCCACGGTGGGTGTGATGGTTCGCGAGCTGCGGGCCGAGATGGACCGACTGCTGGGCGCCAAGATCGAGCAGCCGGGGCTGCAGCTGGGCAGCAACCGCATCGTGGCGGCGGTGGAGCAGCTGCTGTCGTCAGACGGGTTTTGAGGAGGGGAGGGAGGGAGGGGATTGGGTGGGCTGAGCTGCGAGGAAGCACTGTTTTCCGTCTGTGTGAGAAGGGGGGAGACGGGGGCAGCTGCTGTCGTGAGGTGGGTTTTGAGTGAGCGGGGAATGGAGGGTGGTGGCGTGGAAGGGTGGTGGTGGTGAGAGGGAAGCGTGCCTAGGGGGAGCGAGGGGGGCCGCCCATGCGGCGATCGATGCTGTGGAGATACGTAGCACTTGTTTTGAGAGCGGTTTACAGAGCTACCCAGTGATACGTTCGATACCCGGAGGGAGAGGGGTGAGTTTGCTAACTGATGTGAGGAGGAATCGAGGTGCAGGTGTTGTCGCGCCTGCGCGCGCGGGTGCAGCTGCGTGAATGCGGGTTTTGTTGAGCAGCAGCAGCACCTTGCCGGATGGAGGAGGAGGAGGTTGGTGGACGTTTGCTAGAGCCTCAATTGCGGCATGCGGGCAGGGGGTGCGCAACGTGTTCCCTAAGGATACAGTACGGGAGAAGTAGAAATACGGGAGGCTCATGACATCGGCATGCACGCATGCAGCCTATCTAGTTTGCATGAAGCAGCTTCGTACCGATAAGCTCCATGCCCACCATACCACCGTAGTGAACAGTGTCTCCCACAGCGTTGTTACACTCCTCCGCTCGAAGCAAGTATGCTCTTTTTGCAAGCACCATTCTCTCCACCCACCTCTCCAGCAATAATACCGTTAACCCTACCTAATAGCACAATCCCACGCCGCTGCTAGGGCCATGAGCTATAACCTGTGTGTACACCCCCCGGGAAACGCGCCCCCGTCTCCGGCATCCGCACAACACGCCTCTTTACTCCCGTACACACGTAGCAGCCGGGCAGGCGGTTGAGACCCCGGCCCCGCCAGGTCCTCGGGTCCCACAGCTGTCGGTGCAGCAGCTTCAGAGCCTCCCATGTCGCCGCTACCCTCGGTGCTGCTGCTGCTGCCCCAAGCATGCACCCCAAGCAACGAGCGTACGCTGCTTCGGCTGCACAGCTCTTGCGCCCAACGCCTAAGGCAGAGAAACGTGGGTTGAGGCAACCATGCGCTCCCGCTGCTGTTGCCAGGAAGACCGCTGCCGTTTGTAACAGCCGCAGGAGGACCGATGGGATTGTCGCGGCCCCCTTGAGCACTTGTTGCGTTAACGGGTGTCGTTGCTGCTGCGGGAAGCGACGTCCCCGGGCAAGCCCACGGGATGATCGATGTCGTTGTGTTACCGCCGCCACCAAGCGCCGCCGCGGGCCTCAGTGTACCAGACAGCAGGCTGCCCCAGGCAGCAGAAGTAGAACCAGAATGCATCATCACCACTGTGTCGCCGGTTGTTGTTGTTTCTGCGCTCGTGTCGGCTGTTACAATGTTGGCTGCGGCTGATACCGTAAAATTGGCAGCGGCTAAGGAGGATGTACGATGCCCAGCTGAAGACTGAACGCTTGGATTCGCTGCCGGTGCTCTGGTGGTGGACACGGAATGTGGTGACGAGGAGGCCGCTTCCTGCTGCATGGAGGCAAGCAGCGGCTCCAAAAGTGCTCGCTCGCAGGCGGGTAAGGACGGCGGGAGGTCGACTGACCCATGGGTCACACTCGCTCGTCTGGATACGGCGGCTAGGGTTGCTGCCACGGCAGGTTCCGCATTTACGCCCGCGTCGACACCTCCAGCCCTGCTCCTGCTGCTGCTGCTGCCGCTGCTAATGATGCCGATACTGTCGCTGCGGCTGCTGTTGCTGCCGCTGTTGTTGCTGTTCATGTTGTTGGGATGTTGTCTGCTGCTGCTGTCCAGAGCCTCCCATCCGTTCAGGAACTCCCAGGGCTGCCACATCAGCGCGCAGGCATCCCAACTTGCCATGCATTGCCCTTCAATCGAGATGCCGCTGCTGCCACTGCTGCTGCTGTCGGCAACACCAGCAGCGCGTGTTCCAATACCGGACTGTCTCCGCAGCACGAGGGGGGCCCAGCAAGAGCACTGGCAGTCGCTGCTGCGGGTCGCGTTGGGCCCTCCAGTCCGTCGGGCAACCTCCGCGGCGTGTGCTGCTGCCAGCTCCAAGGCTCTGTCGCCGAGCACGACTCCGTACAGATCTGTCGTACAAGGACGCGGGATAATGGATCGTTCGTGTAGTGACCCATGGGTCATGGCGGCTTGTAGGCACAGACATGGTTGCCGTATTCACGCTTCTGTGTTTGAACTACGCAGCAGCTACGATCTGACCACATTTTATTCAAGAATCTTACAGCCTATCTCTTCTTGCAATAAATAGCGGAAGGTACAGCTGCACTGGTGAAAAAACCCAAGTCCCAAGTCGATTGAAGGGGAATGTCAACCCTTCATCATCACACCCACCCAGCATGTCCTCCGTAAACACTTGCAGCTGCCAGCTCCAAAATAGCGACCCAAGCAGCACCCCGCCTCCACCTCCGCCAACCACGTCACGGCTGCTGCTGCTGCTGCTGTTGTTAGTCCTGCCGTGACCGCCCAACGCAAGCGCCCTGCTAACCTCGGCATAAGTGGTGGCATATACGGCATCACGTGCGGCTAGCGCCGAGGGGTCCCGTAGAGGCCGCTGCTGCTGCTGCCCGCTGCGGCTTCCCCTACCTCCACCACCACTTCCGCGAGCAGCTGTGGCGGCAGCTGCCACAGTGGCTGCCTCCGCCGCCGCAGGCGTGGCACCAGCAGCTCCAGCAGGAGGAGGCGACAGGGAGATCTTCTTTCCAAACTCTTCAAGCAGCACGGGTTTCCTCAGCAGCGAGGCAGCTGCCTCCAGGTGGCTTGACAGCCAGGAACGCAGAAAGGAGGCGTAAGCCACCCTGCCGGTTGGGAGGGGAGGGTAGAAGGTCGAGGGTGGAGGGTCGAGGGGGGAAGGGAGGCATCCGGCCACACGGCTTCTTTGTTACCGCTCTAACATGAAGCGCCTTACGGTGCTGCCGGTACTACCGGTTGCAAGCGGTGAGACTAGCGTCTCCTCAGGCATCCCCCTTCCCCCCCACCAGCGTCTGAACCCTAGCACCGTAGCTACCGGTAACAACGAACCCACCCGCTGCTGTCCCAGTTGTCGGGCCAGACGTGCACTGTCGCGAAGTCGATGTTGGGCGCCGCATTGTTAGCTACGAAGTCCTGACCCAGGGTGGACGCCCATGCGCCCGGGTTGTAGTGCTCCAGGGCAGGGGTGGAGGCACTGTAGGCATGCAGGGCGGGCGGGGATACCGGTAGCTGGGGTGAGCTGGGGTGCAGCGTTGGGCCGACACAGCAGACAGTTGATGAGAGACATGGATGGATTCTTCCAATCAACGGACGCACCCTAAACGCACCTCACCTGCCCGGCCCAACACTGCCGACAAGTGTGAAGATGGGCTACAGACATACCCTCCACCGCGTCACACCATGCGGCCCGTTTCTTAACACACCGCGCAGTACCCTCCACCGCGTCACACTGACACGCTATACATACACCATGGTCACGGCAGGAAACGCCGCTGAGGAAGGCAAGACGGCTAATCAAGATAGATGCATTGAGCACAAGCATGCATGCAAAAGCTGAAAGGCACTGGAAGGCATGGGTTGCAATTGCATTAACGAGCGCACGCATTAGCACGTTTCGCATCCCGTACCACATGCAATACCCCGTACTACGTACCCGAAGAATCCCTCGCTGCCAATGGTAATCAGGTGGTTGGGATCCAGCTGCCGTACGTAGTTGCTCATCTCAACCACCCAGTCCTGCGTGCGGTTGCCAGGGTGAGTCAGGGTGGGTCATGCATTGGGAGTGGCGTGGGAGGCGGGTTAAAATGTACACTATACAACCCCGTTCAGCCCAGACTAAGAGGTAGGCCTGAAGACGCTGACAACTTGCATGCAATGGGGTATGCCAAGAAAGCCCTGCTGCCAAGTCGTGTACATCTGAGCCCGCCCAGGCATTGGGCACTGGCATGAGGTATGCCGTGCATGTTAACTACGCACTACTACGTACGTCTCATGATGTAGTCAGTACCGCCCCACCCCACCTGGAGGATCTTGTTGCAGTCGGAATTAGCCAGCGACTCGCACCGCGGCTCGTTAGCGAGGTCCCTGGGCAGCAGGCAGCAGCGGGGAGGGGGCAGGAAGCAAGAAGCAATGGAAGGCCGTCGCATACCCTAGCGTGCGAGCACAGCACCTATCACATGTGTATGTGCAGGTATACACGGGATGTGATATGTTGTGTGCACCAGCAAACCCAAAGCCCCCCTCCACCCGCCCACCTACCCACCCACCCACCATGCTAGGATGGCCGGCTCGTCCCGATACAGACGCCTGTATGCGGCAGACCATCAGGGGTGCAGAGAGGAAGGTATTGCATCACACAACATGGCTAATTCCATACAGTTACGTCCTTAACCTCATGCAGAACCCAGGCATCCTACGTGCGTGATGAAGCAACCCCACACACCGCTGCGCACTCGGTCAGATTGTTACGCCCCACTTGCCTTCCCCTCTTGCTGACCTACCCAACCCTCCAGCCATTTCTCTATCTACCTCGTAGCGGCCCCTGCACCCTCCTATCCACGCACCCGGTCAGAGTGTTACGACGGTTGATGATGGTCGCCACGTGGTTGCGGTACAGGGCCCTCGAACCAGGGTCACTGAAGAACAGCGAATGCCGGTGCGCCTCATACAAGTGCGCAGCAGAGCCACTCCTGTTAGCGCTGCTGACGGCCACCCGCACCACACCAGCATTCACTGTCACGGTGTGGCGTGTTCCTGCTCCTGCTGCGGCGGCGGTAGCGGCGGTGGCGGCGGTGGCGCCCGTGAAGCCGGCTGGGTCGCCGGGGGTGTCTGCTGGTCGGGGCCGCGTGCGGGCTGGGGCGGTGGGGCTCCAGTCTATGTACTGTTGAGACGGGGCGGCGGGGTGCATGTGTGGGATGGGAGGGAGGGATGCGGGATGAAGGGGGGCCGCCGAGTTGCTGCATACACGGGATGATCTTATTAACTTTCCGAAGACCCGTAAGCGTATTAACCTGAGTACGTAATACTCATCCGGGTAAGGCACATCAACGCCCGAGTGTGTAGGCTGTCAGCTTGGCACACCAGCTGTCCTAGCACACATACCCCACATACCTGCTCCGTGCCGTTATCGTTGTAGCGTAGTAGCCTCCATGAAATTACAACCCTAATAGACGGGCATGCACCGCACCATTCTTCGTACACATACTCCGTCCACGCCGTATACGCATGCCGTACACGTCCCCGCATTCGCGGCCAACAGCTTCCTTCCCCAGCCCCTGACACACCTGGTCTACGCCGTTGTAGTACTTCCAGTTGTCCACAATCGACAGCACCAGCTGCAGCCCCGAGGCAGCCGCGTTGGCTACCACCCAGTCCAGCCCCGACAGAGCCGCCTCCAAATACACACCGGGGGCCACCTGCGGCGGGTTGGTTGGGTCCGGCTCGACCCCGGGTTGGGTCGAGCAGCAGAGGGCACAACATATCACAAGGTGGACTCCAGATGTGTGATATGACCGGAGGCTCTGCAGCAGGGGATGGCGGCCATGGCATCATGCACAACTGTCAACGGTCAACCGCCACCCGCCACCAACGCACCTGGAAAGGGAACTTGGGATCGGAGCTGTGGGCCCATGTTCGCACCACGTTGAGGCCGCGGCTGGAGGCCTCAGCGAACATCCGGCGGATGGCCTCACGACCGCTGAGACCACCTGGAGGTGGCGTACGAACGGGATGGAGGTACCGGTAGAAGGGGGAGGCGTGGTGGCGTTGTAGCGTGGTGGCATTTCCTGGCGTGCTATTGGAACTAAATACGGTTTAACTTGCGTGGGGAAGTCCTCTGCTGTCGTACCGATGTACAATTCTTGCGTGCATGCATGCATGCGTGCATACTTGTGCTGTGGTGTCGCACACAACCGGCACGTACATACCGTTTGTACGGAAGGCTTTCGGAGTGACGAGCGCCATGGCAGCCAGGTCATGTGCGTTGAAGCCCACCAGCAGCAGGGGGCGGCAGTCGCGCCGGAGCTGCGGGGGGATGGGGGCGGAAGGGAAGGTGGGCAGGCGGGGGCGGGCAGGGGCGGGCAAGCGGGGATGCATTTATGAAACCCGCATTCAAGACCTGCCCTAAGGAACTCAGGGGTAGGTTTGTTCGGAAGGCATCAAACACAGGGGCACAGGTTACAGGCGCACGTCCGCTGCGAGGTAGGCACGCCAAAGAAAGCACATGCCATGGTTACAGGCTTCGCCAAAAGGGAGTGGACAGGGAAACCCGTAAGTTGCGCCGTGCACCCAAACAATTACACCCGCTAGGTACCTGCAAGTCATGGGTGATGTGTGCGAATGCCTGGGACTGTATCCCAGGCACTCTACCTCCTCCTCCCTTCCCTGTCGTACTGCCATTCCCCCTCATGCTGCAGTTGGTTTCCGGGAGCCTTGGGGATATTTTTAACACAGTCCTAGACGCCACTGCTGCTCCTTTCTCTTCCCCTGCTCCTGCACCACTGTCGCTACCACCACGGCCGCTGCCTGAAAGCGACGCCGCGCCCGTTACCGCGGTGCTGCCCTGGTTGTCCCGTTGTTGGCGCTGATGCTGCTGACGTACTACAGGTACGAGTACGGCAGTGAGTACGACAGAGAGAAGTACGACGGCGCAGATCACTGCGGATAGCACCACCATGCGACGCCGGCGGTTGCGGTCATGGCGATGGAGGCAGGTGTTCGCGGCACCTTCATCGCCGCTTGACTGAGACGGTCCACCGCCGCCACCGCCAGCTCTGTTGCAGCAGCAGCAGGAATCCTCCTGCCTGCTAACGTTGCTGCTGCTCTCATAGCCATGCCCGCTGCTGCCCTCGTGTCCTGAGCTGCCAACTACCGGCTGCTTCTTCCACTGCCAACCGTTCAGCTTCTCCACCCTTCCTCCCTCTCCTCCCTCTCCTCCCTGCAGCAGACCGGGAAGCGGCCAGGGACAGCCCCCTCGGGCTGCCGGTGATAGACTGGCTGCAGTTGGGACAGCAGCCTCTCCGACCATCGCCGCAATAGCCTGCTCGACATCACCCTCCTCCTCCGCGCTGTCTTTGCCGGATGGTGCTGGCGCCACCGCCACGGCAGCCGGCTGCTGATTGCCTCCTTCCAAGGTAGGCGAGCTAGGCGGGTCCCGAAAGGGATTGTAACCGTTTACTGTCGATATCGTACGGCCTCCCGGGCTGCCGCTGATTACCGTTGCGGCCATGGCGTTGGTCGGGGAGGCTGCTGCTACTCCTGCATGCCCTGCTGCTGGTGAGGAGAGGCTGCTGCTGCTGCTGCTTTCAGAGGCCTGGGGCGGCGCGGCGAGCGGTGCTAGAACTAGGGATGCCGGAGGTGACGTTGATGGCAGGGGACGTGATGAGGGAGGGATGCCCGGTGCTGCAGCAGCCATTATTACGGCCTGCCTGGCTGCGTAGCGGCAATAGGGGTGCACGTACGGGAGGTGCGGTCAGCCATACGAAGCATGGCGGAGGTGCACGCACCACACACATCTATGTTCACTCGGTATGTTTGTTCGTGCGCTGTGCTGGATAGTTACAGAAAGCCGTGTCACTGTAGTAGCAGCAGCAGGGCAGGATTACTGGCAAAGGTGCATGCAGGCAAGCAGCTAGGATGCTGCTGGCGTGGTCCAAGGCTGTGTGATGCTGTGCATCGCAGTAGCTTCCCAGGGGGAACACTTGCCTAGGTATTATTGGGGCCCTCTATCTGGCGCACAGTTGCCACTCCCTCCTGCTGCTTGCACTGCCAGCACCAGGACTGTGCAGCTATTGTGCATGAATCATCCCTGGTTTGCTGCTTTGGAGTTGCATGGTGCAGGTACGCCCATGATCTGGTTAGCGGGAAAGCATACCCACAGCAACTAGCCGACTAGGCTCTTGTTAAAGGTTCGTAGAAAGAGTACGAAACCATGTGTATCCATGTGTCTGTTCAAGTCTATTGCGCGGCAACGGACGAGTGAAGCTAGGGCTGCCGGGGCGTCAACCTCCAAAGCCCGGCTGTCAACCTACACTTTGGATCCACCCCTTGGCTGGATGGTAGCAACCCCGCAGCAGCATGTTGATGCCAGTCCGATCCCCCCAGCAAGCCTTGTTGCGGTCTAATACATGGCTGCGTACAGCAGATTTGGGCTTCGCGACCCATGGGCGACGCTGCCCTTCGCAAACATGTGCACATGATCGTAAAAAACACCAACCGGAGCGGCGTAATCAACACTGTTGCAGCTTTAAAACGGTTACAGCTTACAATTCACGGGGCGGCGCTGCATTCGAGGCACACACCCGACGTGCAAGCTTACCTCAGGAGGCATGTTCCATAGCCCGCTTCATCATTCGTAAAGTTTTAAGATATCGGAGATAAGCTTAAGGCATTTGCGGAGCCTACAGATATTTAACGATACGTACGGCTGATTACTTGTACGGGATGGGCGGGAATTGTGAAAAGCGAAACTGTTTGCGCAGGTCCTGGGTAAGCTATGCTTCCAAGACAGTGATACGGATATATGTATTTGCATGAACGCATTGGTTGATTATATTTCCCGCTGCCACTCTCCGTGGGTGACACGGCAAAAGTAGAAAAGCTCGCTTAAACTCAGTATTCTTTTGAATTTGGTTACGATGCTTGACGTAACAGTGTAATTGCGTATTACAATTGGTCTGAGAGGGTTGGATGCAACGCTGAGCAAACTGTCGGCAGAATGTTTCCTGCCTCAGCGGGTTTGCGCGGGGATGGCGCTGGCTCGATGTGCACAAACAACCTTTCCGGAGCGCCTGGGGCGCCACCACGGGTTTCCTTGTCGCTGCGGTCTGTTCCTGGCCTACCTAAGCGCAAGCGCTCAGGTAATGAACGCTCTTGTAATTTGTGTGTATACCCAATTTGTTTTTATAAGCACTTATAGCAATAAAGAGTTGAGGCAGTTTGGGGTGGACCCCGTCCGCTTGCGCATTGGTAACTCCTGCTGATGTTGCTTTGTATGCAGGCTTTCACATTAGCGCCTCAATCCGTCGTATATTTTCTGGACGAAGCGGTGCCCTACAATTTGGGTTTACTCGCGAGGTAGGATTGCCTTAATACTTGTGCCATTTGCCACATGTCAATAGCCACATGTCAGCCCGGGACCTTTGACACCTGGCCGCTCAGTTGTTGTATTCCCCATAGGAATGGCCTGATGGGGTATAATTACCAGCAACCTCCGATGTCGCCAACCCAGACGAAAGCTACTTAACCGCGCTCGATCCGCCCCATACAGACCCCGGAGGCAGCCGAACCACACGGCCATGAGACGCGTCATGTCCTTGCGTCCGCATCCATTACAAGCAGCGCAGCAACTGCAGCGCCCACAGCGACCACATTCGCAACCTCATTCGCCACCTGCTCCAGACCCCCGGTACCTGGTCTCGCTAGCTCGCATCTCCTTCCTCCTGAAATTGACCTCTTACGGCTTAGCACTGGAAGCAGCGTGAACGGAAGCAGCGTCAACGACGGCAGCAGCGTTAAAGGAAGCAGCTCGAGCTCATCCGCCCCGTCAGCATTATCAGAAACAACAACCGCAACAACAACAACAGCAGGAGCAGTCCCTCATGTCACCAACAGCACCGCCGCCGCGGCCACCGCCGTCGCCTCATGTCGGCGGTTGTGCTTCACGGTTCCCTCCTTCGCCACCCAGCCGGGTCAGCAGTTGGTGGTGGTTGGCGGTTGCGAGCGGTTGGGTCGTTGGCGGCCGGCGGATGGGCTGTTGCTGACGTGGCACGAGGGGCATCGCTGGAGGGGCGAGGTGGAGTTGCAGCGAGAGGAGGGGGAGCGGCTGGGGAAGGAGGGTCTGGAGTTCAAGGTGGGATCGACGCTGTGTTCAAAACCACATGAATGCGGCGTTTTTTACACCGAGCGCATCCTGATTTGGGTTTTGTCGTACCGCCCCTGCATGACGCATTCCTACTGGACCCGTCCTACTTACCCTGCGCCATGTACCTCGTTTTGCATGCAACCCACCATGATGATGCCTTATCACACGGTCGGTTCGTTACTTCCCCTTCACCCCGCTCTCTTCTCCTCCCCGCCCCCGGTCAGGTTGTGATGGTAGACAGCCGCAGCCGCAGTGTGCTATGGGAGCCGGGGCGCAACCGGGTGCTGCAGGTGGGGGGGAGGCCGGGGGGCGGGAGGGAGGGGGGAGGGAGGGGGGGCAGTCGGGTTGGGGTTGTCAAGAGAGAAACCCAGTGGGGGTGCATGAGAGCCAGTCAGGGGTCCTGGTTGCAACCGCGTGTTGCGAGTAGGGAATGTTGCGCCCCGACCCAGATCGCAGGTCGCCAGGGCTGCTTGTTGTTGGGTCACACGAGGAAGGCAGTTGGGGTCTGGAGCGAGTGGGGGTCAGTCAGGGGCCAGTCGGGGGTCGAAGAGGAAGCCGAGCGGAAGGGGCAGTGTCACGGCCCAGATGGCCGTGGAACCTCGTTTCCTTTCCTTCTCCCGGCCACCCGACCCAGTTGGCCAAGGCCTCTTTCCCTCGCTTCTCTTTCCTCCTCCTTACGTCCTGCCTCCCTGCTCCTCCTCCCTGCACCCTCCCTGCACCCACCGCAGCTTCCAACCCAAGCTCCAAGCGGCGACTCCCCCGCTCACCCGGAGGTGCTCTGCGAATGGGGCAACGAGCTCAGCCACGTCAGCACCGCATCGCAGCAGCAGCAGCAGCCCGCAGCAGCAGCAGCCGCAGCAGCTGCCGCCTCTTTCTCACCCCCCGGCAGCACCCTTCCCTCTTCCTCCTCCACATCACCCGCCTCCTCTTCCTCCTCCTCCACGACTCCTACCCCTCCTGCTCCCCCGCTGCTTCGCGCCCGAGTGCAAGTCGTGGTGCCCCTCTTTGTGGGCGGCGGCGGGCAGCGGCTGGTGCTGGTGGGGGGAGGCGCGGAGCTGGGCGGGTGGCGGGTGGAGGGCGGGGTGGAACTGAGCTGCTCGCCGGGACACATCTGGCGGGGGGAGGTGGAGCTGCCGCTGGGGAGGCTGATTGAGGCAAAGGTGAGGTTTGGGTGAGGAGCTGTGAGGAGGGCCTCCCTCGGGCTGGCTGCGGTGTGTTGCGAAGCACAGGCCGCGGGATGTTAAGAAAACTGGCCGCGAGGCCAGTCGCAACGAGGACACATGCATACGTATATGGATGGCGGGAGTGAATCTCCGTACCAGTGTTAGTTGTGTGGGAGCGAGCTGCTGCCCGTTCATGGGATTCCGTTAGGCGCCCGTTCCACGCTCATTTCCCTCGTCCCTGCTCCTCCCTCCCTCCCCCCCTAAGTGTTGTTGCACTTATTTATAATTTTCCCCCCCTCCCCAGTTGGTGGTGCTGGGGCCGGGCGAGGGCGAGCAGCGCTGGGAGGCGGGTCCCAACCGCACCCTCACCCTGCAGCCGCCGCCTCGGGAGGACTGGCTGCTCCCCGCGCCGCCGACACCACACGCTGCCACCACTGCCACTGCTGTCACGGACACCGCCAACTCGGCAGCGGGCTCCTCCTCCGCCTCCCTCTCCGCTGCTACCACATCGCCCGCTTCTTCCTCCTCTTCTTCTTCCCCCTCCCCCTCCACCTCTCCCTCCCCCTCCCCCTCATCATCATCTGCGTGCGGGTCCGTGTCGGGTCACTACGTGGTGCTGTGCCACTGGGGCATCACCGGCTGCACGCAGGCACTCTACCGACCCAACCTGGCAGCACCGTCGTCTGAGATGGAAGATGAGGAGGCGGGGGAGGAAAGCTCTCGACAGGAGAATAACACCGGCAGCCTTACCACCAGCGGCGGAGGTGACGCTATTTCCGGTAGTAGTGGCAGCAGTGGTCTGACTGACCGCGAGGTTCTCTCCCTGGTTCACTTCACGGTTCCGCAGCACGTGACGGTGCCGGGTCAGCACCTGGTGCTGGTGGGGTCGCTGCCGGCGCTGGGCGGGTGGAACCCGGCGGGCGGGGTGCAGCTGCGGTGGGGGCCGGGGCACGTGTGGAGCGCGGAGCTGCCCGTGGGGAGGCTGCAGGACTTTGAGGCCAAGGTGCGGGGTGGGGGAGGGAGAGGGAGGGTGGCAAGGGGAGTGAGAGGGATTAGGTAGACTGACCTCGGAAACACTGCGGGAGAGGGACGGGTATGGGGGCGGGTTGGGGGAGGTGTTGTGGCAAGGTGGTTCGGGGCTGACACATGGGGGCAAGGTGGCAACCGGAAGTGGTAGGGGCGCCATGGGCGGATGTAGTGCCGTGTGTTGCCTCCTGTCTAGGATCTTCATTACGTCTGACGAGTGGCGGCCCTCTTATCCTCTCGTCATCCACCCTGTCATCCACCTCCATCCACCTCCTCTCCGCTAACTCTCCATTACACTCTTCCTCTCCTCCTCCTGCTCCTCCTGCTCCCCCCTCCCAGGTTGTTTACTACGAAAACGGCAGCTACAGTTGGGAGCCGGGTCCCAACCGCTCCGTACGGCTGTCGGAAGTGCTGGCGGGCAGCGGCGGACGGGCGGGCGCGGAGCCGCTGTTCACTTGCTACTGGGGGCACACAGCGACCACACCGGTGAGGGGGGGGGAGGGAGGGGAAGGAAAATTGGCGAACTGCATGGCGAGGCCTCACCATAGGTTGCTAGTTGAACCTGGCCCAGCCCAGCCCAGCCCACCCCACCCGTATTAATTGAGCCAAAACAACAAATGGAGGAGGGGAAGGAACATGCTGCCTCCGCTGCTGCTGACCTGTTGCTGCATTCTCTGCCACTGACCTGCTGCCTCCCCCTCTTCTGTCGCTGCTGACCTGCTCCTCGGTGTTCCCACCTCCCCGCACCCCTCCAGGTGGTGGTGGTCCCGAAGCGCCACCCGCGCGACCTGCCCCCCGGTCTGGAGCTGGTGGAGGGGGAGGTGGTGGCGGCAGGGGGCAGCGGCAGCGGGGGAGCAGAGGAGGCTGCTGCTGCTGCCGCGGCGGGGGCTTCAGTGCAGACGGAGGTGGAGGGCAGCAGCAGCGGCGCGAAGGGTGGTGATGCCGACCCGGAGGCGGGTCTGCTGCGCTTCCTGCTCTTTATGCTGAGCACCTACATGCAGGAGGGAGAGGGAGACGGGAGCCCGCAGGAGGCGGGGAAGGACCAGAAGCAGCAGCAGCAGCTGGGGGCGGCTGATGCGGCTGTAGCAGTGGGCACCAACGCTGCTGTCGGAACGCAGCTGCAGCAGCAGGAGGACAGCTCAAGGACGACGAAGGCGACGGCGGCGCATGCAGCCGCAGCCGCTGCGGCGGCGCAGGCGGCGCACCGCAGCGCAGTTGCGGCTCACGCGGAGGTTGAAGCGTTGCGAGTGCGGTTGGCGGAGGTACGGCGAGAGCACGAGCGGCAGGTGGCGGCGGCGGAGCTGGCGGGCAGGGAGGCGGAGGATCGTGGAGGTGAGGATTGGGGAGGCTTCGGGATGAGGGGGAGGGAGGGCCAGGCTGCCGTCTATGGGTGCATGATTGGATAACGATAGTAACGTTTGCCACTCTGCTAGGTGGTGCAAAACGACGGTGATTGCAATCGATTGACAAGAAACTTTGAGATTGTATTAAGGACATTATGTTGACCGCTCTTTGCAGTTGCTCGTATAGCGGAGCTAGAGGCCCTTCTGCTCGTGGAGGCCCAGCGGCAACAGCTGCAGGGTGCCGCCGTACCCGTCATCAGTACGACAGAAGCCGTACAGTCCGCCACCTCCCCGGACACGGAGGCGGAGACGGAGACGGCGCTTACAGACCTTCGAGCTGCTGTACAATCCGCAGACGCCCGCGCTGCTGCTGCGGCGGCTTCCGCTGACGCGCTGGCGGCAAGCTTTGCCGTACGTGAGGCGGATCTCGTACGGCAGCTGGCGGAGGAGCGGAGGCGGTACGACGAGGTGGTTTCGGAGCGAGGAACGGGACAGCAGGCTGCAGCAGCGGCTTCAGTGGCTGCTGCTGTTGCTGCGGAGGAGAGTGCTGCGAGGCTGCGGGCGGGGTTCTATGTCCGTGAGGCCGAGCTGATGCGTGAGCTGGAGCAGGTGGGTGGTGATGCGTCAGGACTGGGACATGCGGCTATGGGTCGGGGGTTAGGGTACACGGGTGTCTTGGTGCGGAAAACCCCGCAACATCGCACTCACGAATGTCGGATTCCAACACGCTGAATGCGTTCCCTTCCTGCGTCCCCTGCGCCCCTGCGCCCGCCCGCATACAGGAGCGGCAGCACCACCGAGCGGCGGCGGAGCGGGCGGCTGCTGAGGTGGCAGCGCTGGAGGAGGAGGCGGCCAGGCTGCGAGGCGAGCTGGAGGCTGTGCGGGTGGGTGGGCGGGTTGGGTGCTGCTGCCGGGCATTTGTGTCTTTGAGCTGCTGACGGGGGCCGTCGGGTTATGGGGGACGTGATGCCATGAGCCAATCAGCAGCAGCTGTGGGGTAGGGGCTTCAGGGAAGGTGCTACTGACGCTCTTCGTTTCATTGTGCAGCACACAAAGCTCCCGGGCATACGTGTTATGCGTACGACACATAATGCCATATGGCCGTACTCCACCTACATTGCCTCTGTCATCGATCCCATCATGTACCGCTACGCATGCGGTGCTCAGGACTCGCTGCATGGGCAGCTGGCGGCGCTGCGGTTCCACCTGGCTAGCCAGCGGTCGGAGGCGGCTGCTGAGGGCGCCCAGTTGGCAGCAGCTGCGGCAGAGAGGGAGGCGGAGCTGCAGGCGCGGCTGAGGGTAAGGAGGGAAGCACCTTGGGAAGCGGGCGAGCTAGGGTGTGGCCGAGCTCTTTTTGTCTTGTGGGCCACAACACCGCTGTCATCTTGTCATCTTCCAACCGGTACCCGTCCAGCCCTGCATGCACGTCCTCACGTCATGTACCGATCCAACCCTACGCAGGAAGCCCAGCAGCACTACGAGGCCCTGTCGGCCGCCGCAGCAGCGGAGGCGGCAGCAGCGGAGGCGGCCATGTCTGGGCTACGGGTGCGGGTGGCCGGCGGGGAGGCGCAGGTGGCGGCGCTGGGGCAGCAGCTGCAGGAGAGCAGGGAGGCGGAGCAGCAGGCGCGGGAGGCGGGGTACGAGCTGGGTCGAGAGGTGGAGGATCTGGTGGGTTGAGAGGGGAATTGGATTTGTGGGGCGGGTTTGGGTTGGGATCGCCGGTAAGGACCTGGGTAGCAATGCGGCCGGCATGGGTAGCGCATGGCGTTTGCGTGCATTGCGGGTCTGTGGAGGCCGCCCTCATGCCTCTTTCCTTTGCATCACTGGCTGGTCTTCTGTAGACCCTGCTTCATCACCCTTATTGGTACCGTACTCAACCCGCGTCTGCTGCCTGGCATGCAGGCATGGGAGCTGGGCGCTGCGCTCTCGGCAGCCGCCGCTGCCACCCGGCCGGAGGAGGAGAGCCGAGCAGCCGCTGTCATCACAGCTAGCGGCCGCCAGGTGAGGCAGGAACCGCACCCTCGCAACGGACCTAGGTGCCAACTCATCAGCTGCCTGTTATTGCTTTGCTCGTGTTATAAGTTGCATGTCCCCGTGCCTCTTCCTCGCGGCTGGGTTTCGCAGGGACGCCAGCCCATGCTGTGCCTGACCGGAATACCCTCGGCGTTCTCCGGCGTTCTCAATCCTTGGACCTTTGTACCTCGTGTGTTAAGCAAGCATTTCGCGTGTTGTTGTATGCACTCGCAGTCGGATTCCGAGACCATTGCCCTCACCACCGAGGTAACCCAGCTGCGGACGCATGCGGCCTCCTTAGAGCACCAGCTCGCGGCCGCCGTACAAAAGTACGACACCGACATGCGTGCCGTACGGCAGCAGTTGGCTGCAACGACCTCGGAAGCGGCTTTCCTGGAACGCAAGCTTCATGCAGCAGACGCGGCGGCCGCTGCAGCAGTGGCTGCGGCGACTCGAGGAGAGATGGAGAGGGATCTCAGGCTACAGCAGCAGCAGCAGGAGGAGGAGGAGCAGGAGGAGGAGGAGGAAGGGATGTTGCGGGCGGCGCATGTGGCGGAGCTGCAGGCTGCTAAGAGTCGGGAAGGGGAGCTGCTCAGGGAGCTTCAGGAGCGGGAGGTAAGCTGAGGTTGGGTCTGTTGGGACTGTCAGGAGGAATGGCAATGAAAGAGAGTCCGAATAGGGTGATTCCTCGTGTGTTGGAATGACCCAATTCGTTGTAGTACGTCCAGGGTAAAATATAACAGGACTGCCGCTGCGACCCCCTTTTTACCGTCTCAGCACCACCGGCAATCCGGCATAGAGGCACCACTCAGCCTCCTCCATATCTCCCCGCCGCTCTGCCTTGGCCCCTCACGTCTCTTAACTCGGGGTGCCAAATGTCGTCACCGACTCGGTCACCTTCCCCTCCCTCTCGGGCTCCAGGCTGCCCTACAGGCCTCCTGCCGCCAGCTGGCCGCCCACCGCTCCGAGGCTGAGCAGCTGCGGGCTCAGGTGGCGGCGGCGGTGGCAGCAGCTGCGGGCGAGCTAGAGGAGACGAAGCGCAGCTATGAGGCGCGGCTGGCTGAACAGGAGGCGCGGAGGGGCCAGGAGCTGCAGGTGAGGGGCCTAGGACACCTTGGTGAGACTGTGACCCAGGGATTTCCGCAACACCACTGCACCCGCTGCTGCTGTTGATCCCATTCTTTACGCGTATTGTTACTTCTATTTCCCTCCGTTTTCCTTTTTCTTTGCCCATCCCATCCCAGGATCTCCGTCTTGCGCTCGAGTCCGCCGCAGCCTCGCGAGAGGCTCAGCTCCAACAACGCCTGGACGCCGCACGAGCCGCTCGTTCCGCCGCAGCAGCCGCGTCAACCGCTGCAAAGACCGCAGCCCGGCAGGCAGAAGCCGCCCGGGCTGCCGCTGAGGCGGACAAGCAGGCCGCGGAGTCCCAACGCCAGCAGCTGCAGCAGCACCTGGACCTAGCCCGGTCTGAGCTGTTGGACATGGCAGTTAGAAGGGATGAGGCGGCTGCGGCGTTGCAAGCTTCGGAGGCTGAGGTGGCGAGGTTGCGGGATCAGCTCGCTGCTATGGCTGCTGCTGCCTCCTCAATGCATGCTGTTGATGCGGATGCAGGTGCCCCGCTGACCCAGTCATCAACCCAACAACAGCAGCAACAACAGCAACAGAAGCAGTGGGGACCCTCGACCCAACAGCAGCAACAGCCGCAGCAGCAGCAGGGGCAATGGGAGCGGGATGTGCGGTTGGCGGCCCAGCTCAAGTCCAAGCTGGAAGCCAGGTGGCAGGAGTCCCACGCAGCTGAACTGGAGGCGCTGCGGGCGCAAGTGGCGGATTTGCAAGGGGAGCTGCAGATGCAGAGGCGGCGGGAGAAGGAAGAGGAGGAGAAGCAAGGAGGGGAGCGTGCTGCGCAGCTGCATGCCGCAGTGCATGAGGAGGCACATGCGGCTGACCTGGTCTTTCCAGACAAAGAGGCACTTGCGGCTGAACTGGCTGCGGCTAAGGAGGCGCATGCCGCCGAGGTTGCGCGACTACTTGAGCGACAGACAGCCCTGGAGGCAGCGGCGGTGGAGGCGGCGGAGGCGGCTACCTTGCCCTTGAAGGCGACCCATGATGCAGAGCTGGCAAGGCTGAGGGAGGCTTACTCGAGCCGGATGGCTGACCGGGAGGCCCAACTTGGCGTCCAGATGGCTCAGCTAAAGGACGGCCATATCACAGAGTTGGCGCAGATGGAAAGTCGGCACTCCAGGCAGCTTGCAGAGCGGGAGGCGGAGCGTCTGATGACCCATGGGTCGGCGCTGGCACAGCTAGAGTCGCAGCATTCGCGGCAGTTGGCGGCGCTAACCGCCGCTCACATGGCGCAGTTGGCGGAGCGGGAGGAGGCTCTGCGGGTGCAGTTTTCCGCGCAGATGGCCGGCTTGAAGGAAGGGCATGCGGCTGAGATTGCGCGATTGGAGGCTCGGCATAGGGCCCTGGTGGAGGAGCGTGAGGCGGAGGTGGAGGCGAAGCATGCAGCAGACGTGGCTGAACTGCAGCAGCTGCACACGCAGCAGTTGCGGCAGCTGGAGTCTCAGCTTGTGGTGCTCAAGGAACGCCACGCGACGCAGCTGGCGGAGGTAGAAGTAGCCGTACGGCAACAACAACAGCAGCAGCAGGTGACGGCGGGGAGGACCGTTGACTCCGCCTCTGACAGTAACACACCGGTTACGAAATTTACTCGCACAGGTGCATTCACTTCCTCTCCCTTTGGTGGTGAGGCGGAGGCAGCCTCTGAAGACTCAGCAGCCGATTTCATCGACGAGATTGGACTCCCCCTCCCGCCTTCTATTTCTAGAAATTCATCCTCCTCCAATTCATCCTCCTTCCGGACCTCCAAGGCCAGAATTGTTTCCTCTACTTCCGCCTCAACATCGACTGGTGCCGTAGCGGTGCCGGCTGCCATAGCGCCCGCTCGCATGGCGGCGCAAGACACAGACGTTTCCTCCTCCTCCAGTACAGCAACAGCCGCGGCAGCAGCAGCATCTGGCAGTGGTTCTGCCTTCGCGGCCAAATCGCGGTTGTGTGAGGTGAAGCGCTGGCTGCGGGAGGTCGGCGGCGAGCGGATGCCGGACTTTGGGTGAGCGCATGTGACACACGTACGACACTTGTTTAGGAGTTTCAGCGTCGTATAAGGTTCTATAATGGCCTCTAAGTGCATTAAACGTGCCCTCCTATGTGCTGATCGGCGAGTGCGGGAGTCTGGGATGGGCAACTGTGCTTGCTTCTTTGCCTTCACGTAGTTGTGTGCCCTTACTTGTGTGTTCCGCGTGCAGGGACCGCGGTGAGGCGGCGGCGCTAGCGTTCCAGCTGGCCGCGGTACGACAAGAGACCCAGTCGTCGGTGGCGAGTGCGGTGGCAGCAGTGCGTGAGGAGCAGGTGAGAGAGGAGTTACTGGCCCATGCACCGATTTCTGGGGTGGTGGTGAGGTAGCATGACCAGCCGCGCTCCCTACTGTTTCCTCAACTCGTTATCGTCCCTAACTTCCAGCCCAAGTTCAATCTACCAACATGCGTCGCTCGGAGTGAAGGCGTTTGGTGAATGTGTTCTCCCGCAGGAGGCCAAGACAGCAGCTCTGGAAGCACAGGTTGCGGAAGCTTACGCGGAGCTTCAACAGCAGCAAAATATCGCAGCAGAACTCCAAAAACGCTTGCAAGCAGCCGAGACGGCGGTTTCAGAGCGTTGTGCGGCTGCCGAGTCGGCGGCGGCTGAGGCGGAGACCCAGCGGAGGCGCCTGGAGGAGCGGTGTACTGCAGCCGAGGCGGAGCTGGCGGCGGTACGAAGTGAGTATGTACGGCAGGTGGCGGCGGCGGAGGCGGAATTGTACGACACTCGGCAGAGGTACGAGGCAGCACTCGTGGAGCGGCAGCTGAGGGTGCTGGAGGAGGTGGCCTCGAGGAGGGAGGAGCTGGAGGCTAGGGAGGAGGCGTTAGAGGTACGGGGCGGTGGGGCGGCACGGGCTGAAGCTGCATGGCGTATCGACCTGGCTGGGCATTGCTCGACATTTAGGACAATCGGTCTTAATTTTTGCGCGCTCCAACGCTGTTAGAGGTTTAGGATACCGGTAAACGTGTTCGGTTCTTGGCTCCTTGGGTCTCTTTGCAGGCGGAGAAGCAAGCCATTGCCGAGCGTTACCAGCGGCAGTTTGCGGGGGCTCTAGCGACCCATGGGTCAGAGATGCAGGCTTTGAAGGAAGCCCATGCATGGGAGCTTACGGAGCGAGAGGCGCAGCACAAGCAACAGGTGGAGGTACGGAAAGGGAGGATTCTCACACCAAAAATAAGCCCTTGCCCGCCTAATAGCCACTTGCCATCACGAGTTTGTTCGAGATCTCTGCTCCTAGGGTGCATGTAGGGTGCGCTCCTGTCCGCATGCACCCTAGGCCAACGCTCACATCGCGCCCCGTCCCCCCCCCGTCTTCACCACCCTCTCTCAACTCGCCCCTCAGGAGCTAACCGCCCAGTTAACCGCTCAGCTAGCCGCCGCTCTCGAGGAATCTGAGGTCCGGGAGCAGCACCTCGCAGCCGACCTGGAGTTGCAGCTGGCGGCGGCCATGTCTGGGCACTCGGAGCAGTTGGCGGCTGCTGCGGGTCGGCATGCGGAGCAGTTGCAGGAGCTGCAGGAGGCGCAGGCGGAGGAGATGCAGGTGAGCGAGGGGTGGGGTGTAATCGTATGGCTGGTGACGTTATCAGCGGCATTCCCTTGTTAGCGGCTTATGTGAACCTGCCCCAAGTGAGTCAGTCCCATGAACTGGTCTGAATCTTGCTATCTAAACCTTACCCCGTATCCCGTACTGGATCTGCCGTACTGCTGTCATAAGGTTCTGAGGCACGCCGCGTCCTGGTCTCTAGAGCAAGCGGACGCCGCCGCCGCTGCAGCCGCCCGCCGCCATGAATCCGAGCTAGCGGCGGTACGGCAGGCGGCGGAGGCGGCGATTGCGGAGCTGCAGGCGCAGCTCGCGGCGTCACAGGCGGCGGCGGAGGAGGCTGTACGGCAGAGGGTAAGGTCGCGTGACGTGGCATAGCGTCCGATTGCACATTTTTAGTACCGGTATACATTTATGGGCGAGGGGGCCGGGCGAGAGAGTGTGTGTCGTGTTCGGACCTCCCGTTCAGCCAGCGCCTACGGATGCGGATATCCACGTTTCCTTGCCATCTTGCACTTTCTTAGGAACGGGTTGGTCTCTCGCCTCACCCCACCTGCCCCCTTCCAGGACGCCGCGGCGGCTGAGGCGGAGTCACGGGCCGCCGCCGCCGGCAGCTCCCAGCTGCTGCAGTCCCGCCTGGAGGCTGCCGTACAGGAGATGGCGGGCATGGCGCGGTTCTTGGGCATGACGCATGCCAGCTACGATGCTGAGCTGGCGGCCGCGGAGGAGCGGGCGAGGGAGGAGCAGCGGCAAGCCATGGTGGTAGGCGGCGTAGGGGGTGGCTGGGTCGCTTACCTGTGTTTGCTTTCGAGGCGGCGCTGTGTCTGAATGGAGAGGAGAGTGCTGTTGCCTGCTGCGTGAATACGGCTTTGGTAATGCGACAATGCCGTACGGGTACTCCACACAGCGATTGTTTGTGTGTTGCTGTACAGGCTGAGCTGCATGAGCGCCTGGCTGAGAGGGAGGCTGGAGTGGCGGATCTGCGGGCTCAGCTCGCAGCGGCTCACGGAGAGCGGGAGGAGCTGAGGCGGGAAGGTGAGCTCTCCTAAGCAAGGACTCCAAAGCTCAAGGCTCACCCTAGTGCACACTAGGCGCGACTCCGCCCTGATGTGCCAACACAACACCTTACAAGTGCTGTATTGACCGTACATGACAGCCGTATCAGGCCGTATACCGCTTTTTTTTGTGCGCTCCTGACTGACGGTATGCATTGTCGGCGTCCCTCCTGACCCCTGGGTCGCACTCACAGCTGAGGAACTCCGCTACCAAGTCGCCAACGCTCATTCCGCGGTGGCTGAGGCGGAGGCGCGCGCCGCAGCGCTGGAGCGGGAGCTGGCGGAGGCGGTGCAGCTGTTGGGGGGCCGCAGCAACCGAGTGGCTGCGTCGGTTAACGAGGCTGCGAATGCGCGAGCGAGTGCGGCGGTGGCGCTGGCGGAGGTGGAGGAGCGGCTTCGGAGCACGCATGCGGCGGAGGTGGAGGCGCTGGAAGCAAAGGTGAGATGTGCGCTGGGATCCAGACGGACATGTTGGCCGCGGCATGTCAAACAACCAGCCCTGTGGGTCATGCAATATGCTTCCTCGTACGCATCCATTCTTGTGCACACCGCCGCTTTCTACATGCTTCTGGACGTGCTCCATCGTTAACGCTTAACCCATCATCCTGCCTCTCGTGTTTCCCGAACATAACGCTCCTGCTCGCGCCTTGTAACCCATCACCCACCTTTTAACTCATCAACCCTCACCCTACCGCGAATCCCTAACAGATCTCCGACCTGCGCTCCCACCACGCCGCGGAGCTGGCCCTCCGTGACGCCGCTCGCGACTTGGAACGCACCACAGCTGCTGCCCGGCTGACGACAGAGGTGCAGCTGCTGCTAGGGCGGCAGCAAGCGGCGCTCGCGGGGGCGGAGGAGCGGACGCGGGAGGAGATGGAGGAGCTGCGGAGGCAGCAGGAGGAGGCGTTGGTGGCTGCTAGGGAGGAGGCGGAAGAGCGGTTGCGGGCGGAGGTTGAGGAGGTGAAGAGGCGGCAGGAAGAAGAGTTGGCGGAGGTGAGGCGGAGCAGCGGGGGAGGGCTGATGGGAAGGAGCGGAAATAAGGGGCGGTGTCGATCCCATGCATGGCGACGGCAGTGCTGTTGCTTGCTGACACTCAGTATTCGTCCCTCGAATCGTCCTGGTCCTCAGGTTAAGCGTGCCTCTGATGCGCAGCTGAAGGAGCGGGAGGTGGCATTGCAGCGAGCATTGGGCTTTGTGGCGACACTGCAGGTGCGTGCAGCAGGGGGTTCGGGCTGTGCATGCAGGGGGGTGATTGTAGAGTGTTTACATGCCTGCATGCGTGTGTGTGGCATGTAGGTCGCATGCATGTTGCTGCCAGGATGCTCGACATGTCCATATGAATACGCCTTGCCATGTACTGGTGTGCGCGTTTTCAGCACTAGATCATGCAGCTGATGCCTCCTTTGCTGGCGCCTTGTGGTTGATGGCACAGGCGCAGCTTCAACAGCTGCGACGGCAGCAGCAGACCGCAGCCGCCAACGGCAGCCAATATGATGCCGCCTCGGCACCAGCAGAAGCAGCAGCAGAAGCAGCAGCCGAGGCCTGGGATGCTGGCATGCTAGCTCCCATCCATGCGCCTACTCCAGGACTCCTGCTTGCGAACAATGTGGTTCCCAGCCCAGGTCTAGCCAGCCTTGGGCGGCTTTTGGATGCCTTCAGCAGTAGTGGTGGCAATGGCAGCGATGGCAGTGGCAGCGACGGCGGTGTGGAGAGGGGTGCGGAGGCGACTGGGAGCAGCGGCAGGGGTCAGGTGGAGGGTAGCGGGGGCGGGAGTGGAAGCGGTAGCTGGGGTACCGCTTCTAGAGGCGGCGAACCCAGCAGCAGCGGCGGTGGCGGCGGCAGTGGCAGCATGCGGGCGGGTGGTGGATCATCACCGTCGCGCTCCTCAGGAGGAGCCCAGCTTCTCACAGCCCCGGCGGCTGCTGTCATGGCAGCGGGGGCCGAAGCTCGGATTCTGCTGGCTAGCTCCTCTTCCTCCCTACCCTCGGGACCGCCACTGCCCATGTTGCTGCCCTTCATGGGCGATCCTGACCACGGAAACGCAACCGAAGCAAAGGCCCCTGGTGGCGGCATGGCTGCTGCCAGCACCACGACGGCCGCCCCCACGGTGACCGTGTATCCCAAGGCAGGAACACCGCAACTGACCAGCATGGGTGCTGCTGGCAATGGTGGTGGGGAGGACGCGGGCCGCAGAGACGGCAGCGGAGGACTCCTTGGCGGTCTGCTCGGCTTGCTCAACGGAGGAAACAAGCGGCGCAGCAAGGCACTCGCCTCGTCCACGACGCCCACCGCCCCAGCCCCTACAAGCACCTCGTCCTCTACCTCAGCGAGAGCTCGCCCGTCGCATGCGGCAACTGCCGAAAGCGCGGTAACGAAGCGTCAGTCGTCGCTGGTAACGCCAACAGCATCGTCCGCGCTTCGTCGTCCAAGGTCCGTACCCGTCAGTGATCTGTACGACATTACGGAAGGCGGCAGCGCCGTCATTGCGGCGTCACTGTACCGAGAGATGCAGGTCCGCCGTCGGCAGCAGCAGCGGCGGAGCCGACGTCAGCAGTACGGCGGCGCTCCTGGTGTGTCGTACAGTGGCGCCGTTGCTGCTGCCATTCCTGCTAGTGTTACTGCTGCAGTTGGTACGACAGCTGTTGAAGGCCGTATAGTATTGCCGGCGTCGGCGCCAACGCTGCCGCAGCAGCCATCATCAGCCATTGTTGCATCACTGGACGCAGCCAGCGTTGCCAAAGCCTCGAAAGCCAAGCAGGCGCAGGCGCAACCACAACGGAAGCACATTACCGTGCCTTCGAACACGGCCATGGCCGTTACCGTTGCAACGGCCACAACTGGCGTTGTTCGGCGTCAGAGCCGCAACAGTGCAAACAGCAATCGTACAGTGAGGCCACCGCTTGCGCCGCCGCAGACAGAGCCCTCGGCAGTAGCTGTTTACAGCTGGGCTGCGATGGTGTCGTCACTGCCGTTGGAACTCCTGCGTGCCAACGTTCCGTCCGTTGATATGGACGGAAACTGCAACGACAGCAGCAACGACATCAGTAACTTTGGTTACGACTCTCATGAAGTTCTGGTGCCGGAGAAGGAACTGGAGGTCGCCAGCGTTACTGCTGTTTGACGAGGGGGAAGAGGTGGCTGTGGTGTTGCGACTATCCGGTTGCATCCAGAACTTGCGACGTTACGGACCGGTATGCTTTAGGGCAAAGGGCGCCTCGTTTTGTGAAAGCGGCGCTTGCGTGTTTGGACTGAGTCTTATGTTTCATTAGCGCTCGTGGTTGATGTTCCCTCTGCGACTACTGCTCTGGTCGTTACGGTGTTGTTGTCCTTAGTTGTGGCTTGTGATTTGGCAGTAGTCTTCAGCGCTTGCATATGTTTGTGAAAGGGTAGTGAAAAGGGAGAGAGGTTTGCGGCAGCAGGTGCGGAACGGCTGCAGGATTGAGCGAGGGCGGTGGCGGCGTTGTACGGCAGGGGGCAGGGGCAGCTGGCATGCACCCCGGCGGGTTTGTACTTGGATGTGATTAGCAGCGAGCGTTCTGCGCTGGATGACTTTACACCTTCCATTTCCTGCTGATTAGGCTCGGATGAGGCGCGCTTGAGACACGTTGTAGACGCTCACGTCAGCCATTGTTCTGTCGTACCAGGATGTACGGCCTGTCCATGGTTTTCTGGAAACCTGTGATCCTGTTTGCTTCCAAGGATGTCTACCGGTATGCGGGCTTCGAAGGATATCACCTGAACGTGACAGGCTGAGCATGCGTCCAAGTTTTACCCGCATGTGGCTTTGCGTGGAATTACTGTACTACTATTGTCGTATTTTGTTTCATGGTTGGGCCACTCCGCCAGCGAGGTAGAGCATTTCGCGCGCCAGTGACGTTTCATTCTTGCAGGTCTTGTGCTCTTGTCTCACAGGGCAGTCCAGGGTTGGTGTCATTAGTTGCGTGCGGGGGACCATGCAATTTCATTGGGTGGGCTGCATCAGGGATAGGTACCATTGCAAAGCTTTGCTTTGGGAGTGCTCGATGATTGGCGGTTGGTGGATCTGTGATACCAGCGGACCATCAAAGAGTATCGTACCGTATTGAAGAGCTCCAAGGGGTCGAGCTAATGTGGGCCATAACCGTGCATAGGATTTACATGTAACCATACATCACAGCCATCGTATGTGGGCCATGCAGCCGTTGCCCCTGCACCCCTACAAGCTCCTGACACGAGCTGTGGTGGTGAGGAGGACAAGGGGGTCGCAGCATCAGGAAGGATTAGGGTTGCACCTTTAAGACGATAGCTTTTGCCGTGATCACGTGACGCGGTTGGCTCCCGTTGCACCACAGGTTGCATCACCCTAGCTACTACAATGGGCCACGTACGCCACCGTTCGCCCTAGCTACGGCAATTAACCAAACCACCGTTGAGCCAAACTAGATAACACCAAAGCACACTGCATGGGGTTCCATGTAACACAATCCTGACGTAGGAACGAAGCGGGACGAGATCACGAAGGAAATACAGTATTCCCAATGGCGGGGTTGCATACCTACACAATTCTGCTATCCATACAAGCCTTGCTCCCGCCCTAGTCACAAATCGAGAAACGTCTCCAAACTTAACCCCCCCACCGCAAACCAATGCAGCCTATCACTACCCCCGTGCTCCCTCCAGCTTCTGCTGCCCAGGTCCCCAAGAATAATCCCAAGTTAGGCAAACTCAGGAGAAGCAGCAGCAGCTGCCTCACCCCCCAACCCTCCGGGCACAGCCTGTGCAGCAAACATGCTCCTGAACCCACCATCTCCTCCCACCAACCCATCAGCAGCAGAACCCTCTTGCTGCTGCAATGCCGCTCGCACCTCAATCGTCTCAACCCCGCTGTTACTCACAGCGGCTGCGGGCTGCGATGCCGCCGCTGACACCGCTGACGTGGCAGCAGTCGCTGCTGCAGGACACACCTGTACGACAAGATCGTCTCGATCTTGCGCGCCGTACGCTCCCGTCCAACAGGGTGACGTCATCATGGCCCCTAGCACGCCGTCAGTGATGGGCATTTCACGCAGCTGCGCGCGGACAGCGATGGTGCCTCGGAGGATGCCATAGGGCAGGAAGAAGGGCGCGGAGGTGGCGTTGGTGGGGAGGGGCTTGCGGGTGTCGGGGTCGGTTGCGGGGAAGCATTGGACGGTGGAGAGGTAGGTCCAGGGGCGGTCGGGAGACTGAGGGGTTGCAGGGTGGAGGTTGGGAAAGAACGTTTGGACACGTCAAGTAGGACTCCAGGAGAGCTTGAAAAGCTGGAAGCGCAACGCAATCGAAGGCGAAGGCATCGCACAACACGCAGGGCATATGGCTACCGGTATACTCGACACACACGCGCCTTGCACGAATAACACACATCTGACTTAACGCACGCTGCCTGCTCGCCCCCTCAACATGCCCCCACGCTCGCCCTCATCACCCTCATCGCCCCCCCCCATGCATGCGTGTCGTACCATGGTCGTGTCCCCTGTGTAGAAGAAGTCCACGAAGGACGCCGGCACCTCGGGATCGCACACAACCTGGGCGGTGATGAGAGCAAGCTGGCCGCTGTGGGGGGGAGAGGGGGAGAGGCAGTGGAGGGGAGAGGGAAGGAGGGAGGTATGAAGGCAGCAGGGGAAGGAGAAGGTTCGGGAAGGATTGAGGACGAGAGGAAGGAATGGCAGGTCGCCAATGCAGACAGTAATAACTTAGGGCCTATTATGCAGAACAATCTCCATGATATAGAAACCACCCGGCCCCCCCCGCCCCCCTGTGGCTTCCTATGGTTCGATATGGTCTTTGACCGTCCCGCCCCACCTGCGCAGCATGAGTCCCGGCGCCTGCGCCTGCAGCCCCACTGCCGCCACGTGGCCCTGGCCCCCGGACGTGTAGCTGGCGCCGCCGTCAGGGCACTCGCCGTACAGCGTGTTTGGTGAGTAGGCCTCTCCGCCCGGGCCCTTGCCGTCCAGCCTGTAAACGTTGTGGGTAAACGTGTCGCATGTAGTCAGGTGTTGGGTTAAGAGGAATGATGAGAGCATCAAGAGTGCGTCTAGGTCCGCAGGGAAGGGGTGAGTACATGCATGTATGAGCTGGATGTATGAGAATACTCGCAACGCGTTATCGTTCATAGTAGGATTACACCCAACAACCAGTTGTTCCACTCAACTACCCAATCCCCACCATCACCCCCCCACGCACACCAGCCGGGCCCTACCCGCTCGCAAGGCAGCTATGGGCGCCCCTCCCCTCGCATGCGGGTGCCTCAAACAGAGCCGAATACTCCGCAGCAGCAGCCACCTCAGCCGCTGGGTCGGTCGGGGCCGAGGCAGCGGGATCGCAAGGGTCGGCTCCGGGCTCGGCGCCAGAGCTGCGGCCCTCCCCCCCAGTGAGAGCTCCCACAAGGTCAGCGGGGTCTGTTTGTTTGGAGCCAAGGGGGGCGGCATGTGGGGCGGAGGTGGGATGCTGGGTGGGCTGTTGAGTGGAGAGGGCAAGGGTACAAGGGAGCAAAGGAATCCACTGTACTCCCAAGGTATACGTACCCTAGCAAAGGCAGGAAGTATCCAAGACATGTGTAAAGGCCGACCTGCCTTTTCAAGCAGACCGAAGGGTACCGGTACCACGCATACCTGCGAATGGCCACTCCTCGCCGCCATATCCCGGCACCGTGGCATACGACTTGCTGTCCTTGAAATCCAACAGGATCTCATCAGAAGGTGCCGACTGATGCATCTCCAGTGCATCTGCTGCTGATGAGCTGCCGTAACTGCCGTACACTGCCATGGTCGTACCCTCACCACTGGATCGGCTGCCGTACACGGCACCGCCGTACGCCGGCGTGCCGTCGATGGCGGCGGTTGCTGCGGGGTACATGGGTGCGGGGGCGGGTCCCGCGGCAGCACTAACCACGTCAGCAACGTAGGAGCGGAAAGCGGGTGTACGGCAGCTGGGGACGTTGGTAGGCCTGCAGTAGAGAGGAAGAAGGTTTCAGGGCGAGTGGTTAGCGGGAGGGTTAGTGGGCTTCAACATTATATTCATGACGCATACTTCCCGCTGTTCATTCGAAGTACTGCTGACAAATGTGGTGCTAGCACAGGAAAGCACGGGGCTTTGCCTAAAGCTGCCTGCTGCGAACAGTATCTATCGGTTAGTAACGGTTAATTCAGCTGCTGCAGAGCACTTCACACGCGCCTCTCCAACTCCATTTTCCCATACACTCCACGCAACTGCATCGCATCCTGCAGCTTCACGCAGCACCCACCAATCGCACAGCCCCATCTTGGAATTGAACACCAGCGTCGAGTGACCCGCGCAGCCCGGCCCATCACCCATGGCGCCGCTGGAACCCACGCATGCAGCGCACGCAAAGATATACGTGAGCCCATCCGAGCACGTGATGAACTTTTCACAGGAGCCGGGGTAGGGGTGGCTGCCGGGCGCCAGGCCGTTGCTGGCGCAGTAGTCCTGACCCACGGGTCCGTCCGCCTCGCTTTGCAGCAGTTGACGTTGAGCTCCGTTGAGGAGAAGGGAGGTGGCGTGGTTGCCGCCGCTGCTACGCGACTGTACAGCGGATTTGATGGCGCCACCGAACACGCGGCGGAAGGCTGGGATGCTGGAGGAGGATGAGGAGGAGCTTGCCCGGTGGTGGGTGTTGATGGTGCCGGGCGTGGCCTGGGAAGCGGTTGTGGGGGAGGTGGCGAGCGCTAGAAGGGCGATGCCGGCTGCTAGGAGCAGCCGGTTAGTGGCTTTCCATGTGCGCATGGTAGCTGGTAATGGGCAGTTGGCAGCTTTCCGTGCTTGCAGCGGTAGATTGCTAGTGTAGTGTTGGTAAAATATGAGTTGTTAGAGTGGAATGGGGATGCTGGTTTCGGGCTTCGAGGTGTATCGGAGCGCCAAAGGGTTAAGCCGGGTGGCACTTAGCATTAGCCGGGAGCAGTGAAAACGATGTAAAAGACAGGATGCCAAGCTGCATAAAAGATGGGAGGGAGGGAGAAACATGATGACGTCGGAACCTGGGGGTTCACGTTCTCCCGTAGGGGGCGAGCCTTTCTTCTGGGATCAGCCCCAGCGAGCGCGCGGGGTCGGAGGGCGCAGACCTATCAAAGTGTGTCGCTTATCATGCTGACGTGGATGGTCGTGCTTTGCACGTACGCAACGGAATGGTGTTTATTGGGATGGTCGAAGCAGCCGTACGCTACAATCCTATGTCGAAGCACGGAAACAACGTAGCACTGTACGGCGATCGCTCGATAAAAAAACCAATCCTTAGGGTAGAGCTGTAGGAGTTGCGGATGGTAAGTGAAAAATTGCGGGCGCCGGGATGAGCTGGAGTAGGAGGGTTGTGACCCAGGGGCCGAGCGCAAGAGATGCGCAAGTCCTGCGCCATCCGCAGCGGCGTCTGTCAGGATCTTAATTCGGAGCAATCTATGCTTGCGTTTACACAGCGCAGCGAGAGGGCAAGGCAGTAATCACCAAAGGGTAGGGCCTGAGGGATGTACCTTGGCGGCCACGCACAAATAGGCCAATAGCTCAAACCCTGCAGAGTTGGAATGGGTTGCAAGACACTGAAGGGTTGGGGGTCGCTGATAACTGCAAGCGCGGACAAGCTTAGCGACTGTCGAAAGGGTTTACAGCGCACGTGATCACATGAAAAGTTGCGGCAAGCAATTTGTTATCTGTAGATTAAAGTTGTTAAACCTTGAGTCTTGAAACATACGAAGAAGCAATGGGAGACGCAGCGCGCTTTTGGTTCCATGCTTGCCATGTCTGCCGTAACCTGAAGCCCTAAGTCGTTCTGCAAGCCGTCTTCTAATAGACCTTATTTCGCAGTGCGTTCCCAGGTTGACGTAATTTGTTTAACACCTGGCGTGTACACAGCTTGACCTACTTGATCAAAAGTCGCAAATCATGCAAGCCGGCGTCATGCACCGCGTTGAAGCGCCATGCAGCACCAGTACCTCGTGTAGGGCGTTTAAGTCAGCGATTGTTCGTCCGGCTCCTTGCCGACGCCAGCGGGCGCTGCACGTCGTCGCGGCGCAATCGACCCAACCCTACTGGTATTCGGCTAAGACAATAGCCCCCCCTAAGAGGGGCAAGCACTTCCTACACCTTGATGACTTCACTAAAGATGAGCTGCTGGACATGCTGGAGAAGGCGAAGCTGTGCAAGGCAAAGTTTTACACACGTGACGAGTCATTTAAGCCCTTTGCTGGCCAGACCATGGCGATGATCTTTACCAAGCCCTCTGCACGCACTCGGGTATCCTTTGAGACGGTGAGCTCGCCTGTTGCCCATGGAAGGAGGCAAACCATCCGTGTACATTCCTTGCACAGCGGCGGCATTCACCCAAATGCGCATACATCTGACACAACCTTCCTTTTCATCAGGGCTTTTTCCGGCTGGGTGGCCATGCTCTTTACCTGGATCCGAACACCATCCAACTCGGCAAGCGCGAGCCCACCAAGGACATTGCGCGTGTCCTCAGCGGCTACAACGACGTGATCATGGCTCGCCTGTTCGCGCACGCGGATATCCTGGAGCTAGCAGAGTACTCGTCGGTGCCGGTGATCAACGGCCTGACCGACTACAACCACCCATGCCAGATCATGGCAGACGCGCTAACAGTCCTGGAGCGGAAGGGCCGCATCGAGGGGACAAAGATCGTGTATGTGGGCGATGGCAACAACATTGTGCACTCCTGGTTGCGGTTGGCGACTCGCCTCTCGTTCGAGTTCGTCTGCGTGTGCCCTCCCGGGTACGAGCCCTGCCCCAGCACGGTGGAGGGCGCGAAGGCGGCTGGCCTGTCTAAAATCACCGTGACCAGCGATGTAAACGCGGTGAAGGGCGCGGACGTCATTTACACGGACGTGTGGGCGTCCATGGGCCAGAAGGAGACCATTGACACCCGCAAGATTGACTTTGCACCCTACCAGGTAAAGCCGGGGCATGGTGTAAGGGGGGGTTAGGGGGCTAAGCTGCACAGGAGGAGGCAGGGCATACCTGAACGCAGCGGAATAGGAGTTAGAGGATGCAGTACTCTTGCCCTTTCACTGCAGGCCATGCGACCAATGCTGGCAAGTGCTCATGTGTCCAGCCTTAGGATGGGCCATTTGCCGCCACGTACAGTACCGTATCCTTGCACGACAGCAGCCAGCAAACAAGCTATAGCCGGAACCGTCGTACGCTCCCCATATTCGTAAGCTCATAAACCTCTTACCAGCACGCTCGCTTACCGCCCCCGCCTCCTCAACCGCTCCTGACTGCAGGTCAACGAGCAGCTCATGGCGCTTGCCGGGCCACAGGCGCTGTTCATGCACTGCCTGCCTGCTGAGCGCGGGCTGGAGACGACTGACGGCGTGATGGAGGCGCCCACCTCGGTGGTGTTCCAGGAGGCGGAGAACCGCATGCACGCGCAGAACGGTATCCTGCTGCACTGCCTGGAGGCAACCAAGCGGCTGTAGATGGGGACTGGGTCTCTCTGGGCTTGCGGGGGAGGCTTCAGGATGGCTAAGGAGGATGGTGGAGGTGTGGGAAGATGGTTGCGTTGGCGGCTTGGAAAATGCTTAGGGTTGCGTCTGACTTAGGGGCCGAGTTTAGCTTATACGTCGGATAAGGAATGACCTGGCACGCTACGCGTGTTAGCAAGTAGCTGCAGTAGTTGCACCTGGCTTATACCCTAATACTGCTGCGCCGCTGTCTCCGATGAGACCCCGGCTGGCTGAATGTGAATAATGGAGAAGACAAGTTGCGCGTTGCTTTGGCTATCATGGCGTGTCCGTGGATAGCGCTGCGCTGAAATAGCGTGCAGGGGTAGGATACATCCTTCCTCGACACATTTCGCAGGCGTTTTTGGTCGCTGCTGGTCGCTTGTGGTTGTGCTAATCCTGCCTGGGATGTGTAGGTTGGGCACTGTTTGGCTGTAGGCAGTGGTGCGCATTCCTAAATTTTTGGGGTTGGTACATAAGCTGGTTATGGGTCAGCAGCCATGTGGTGAACGACCACTTAATGTGACTGCCCTAGCTTTTCCTACCCCTTCTCTCAGGGTAGCTCGCCAACTGCTTACAGAACGTTTGCCAATATCCAGGAATAAGCAGACGATCATACCCCAGGCAGTCGCAGTAATACGTATCGTGGTTCCAAACTAAAAAGAAGGTAGGATGAGGCGTGGCTGAAGGACACAGCTTTGCTTCGTACGGCAGGGCTTATAAGACTTAGGAACCCAGCTAACAGAGCTCCTGCTTTACAGTGCTACCGCTACCACGTTTAATTACTACCGTGGAGAACCTTGCTTTGACGCTGACTAGTTACTTTGGAGTTAGCTGCTTAACAGAAGACTCTTCGCTGTGGACCTGGTTTAAGAATGGCTGAGACGCTAGTACTCAACTCTGTAATAGGTTTTGGAGGGACAATTGAAAATGGCCTCTTGGTGCATCCCGACGGGCGGACCATCATATACCCACTGGGCAGCACCATCGTCCTGCGCGACCGAACGGACCCTCGGTCTCAAGAGTTCTTGCAAGGCCATAGCGACAAGGTGCATATTATGTCACTGCATGACGCTGCTGGGCCATTTCGTCAACACGCGGCCGCGCCCCACACATCCGCAGGTTTCCTGCCTTGCGCTGTCGCGGTCGGGCAAGTACCTAGCAACAGGACAAATCACGTACATGGGTTTCACAGCGGATATCATCATTTGGGATCTTGAGACGAAGCAGCTCTTGCACCGTATGGCCCTGCACAAGGTACGCAAGGTGCTCATGCATGGGGATCTGCTCAGCTGGTTTCGTGACCGGTGTGGGCGCGACATACGACTTGCAGGTGAAGGTCCAAGCGCTTGACTTCTCATGCGATGAAAAGTACCTGGCGTCTCTGGGCGGCCAGGACGACAACGCGCTGGTGAGCTTTGGGGTTTGGGTAATCGGGTCAGGGACGGAAGCTGGTTCGGGTATACATGGCCACAGGCCGACGTTCTCAGGCATCCCCGCTGCAACCACACACACCAAAACCCCCACCCATAACCGCGAACCCTTCAGGTACTGTGGGATGTACAAACGGGGAACGCCATCTGCGGAAGCCCCACCGCCACCAACTTCACGACGTGTGTGAAGTTCTTCAACAACAGCAACGACAAGCTCGTGACGGCGGGCAACTTCAACCTCAACGTGTGGACGTACGACGCGATGAACATCAAACTCCGGCCGCAGGATGCCAGCTTGGGGACGCTGAAGCGCGTGTTCAAAACCATCTGCATCGACAGCAACGACCAGTACGTGCACTGCGGCACAACCACCGGTGACGTGCTCCAGGTAGGAAGTTCCCTGGCCCCTCCCTGACACCCCATGTGGAAACTGTAAAGATGTCACAAGATGCGATAGCAGTGTGGACCTTGATGAGGCATAGGACTTGGGTCGGCATGAAAATGCGCTGTAATACACGTTCCCCTCCTCCTGATGCCTCCTGCCCCCTCGGTAATGGGGCCACCGGATGGGTGCTCGAAAGGCTCATGGAAACACGGCTCACTACCAGCTCACTATTAGCTCACTACCAGCATTCCCTTCCTCACCCATGCCAATCCACCCCGCTTCCCTTCCCCCTGGCGGCCAGATCGCACTGGAGCGCGTGCTCTTCAAGAACACGGGGCCCGCGAAGGGCAACGTACAGCTGGGGGTCACGGCCTCATGCGAGGCGCCCACAGGGGACCTGCTGGTGGGCGGCGGTGACGGGTCGCTGCAGGTGGGCGCGGGCCGCGGAGGGCGTACTGTGCATGCATGCTGCCGCGTGTTTGGTTGGGAGGGGCGGAAAGAGCCTGAGGGGCGGGTGGCGGACTGCTGGAGGGGAGGAGGGGAGGGTACTGTGTTTGGGAGAGGGCGCGGGAATGGAGGGACAGCGTGGAAGCATGGAGTCAGCTTTAAGCCCAGAGCGAACCCTGGGTACGCAGGAGAAGCGCCCTATCTTGCTGAGTGCCATTTTGGACTCAGCAACTTGGTGGTTGGGTAGCGTGCGTTGCAGCAGCCCGCTGCCCCGTGCCTTCAGCCCGCTAGACCCCCTGGTTCCTCAGCCGCCGGGCGCTGCACGCCATAGCGGGGCCACCGGTAGGCCTATGGACCACCGCCGTAGCCCCTCTTGCATCCCACCCACCACCGCGCCAACACCAACCCCACATGAACACGCGTGGCCCCCGGGCGCCCCTCCTCCTCCTCCTCCTGCTGCTGCGGCACAGGTGCTCCGAACGGTCCCGGAGCCCTCCTCCACCAACCCCAAGCTGCTGCGGAAGATGCCGGCGCTGGCCGCGACGCGCGTGGAGGGCGCCGTGACGTCCATCAGCCTCGCCGACATCACCAGCCGCGCCTTCACCTTCTACGTGGGCACCTCCATGTGCAACATCTACAAGGTGTCGTACGAGCCAGCAACCGGCAAGTGAGTGCGGGTGCAGCTGGAGAGGACGGCTAACCACATGGGGGGAAGGGAGGGGCGGGAGACCAGGGGTAGAAGGAGCACACTTGGAAAGCTTTTGGTTCCCATGTCAAGCCAAACGGGTGCTGGTGAGTCGCCCAGGGCGTCGCCAAGGGACAAGGCTGATGGCAAGGGTTCCACTACCACAGCCAATCCTCGCTGCCCCAGCCCCTTGCTCTCTGCCTCATGCACGTTCTCACACCAGTGGCCCTAAACGGCCCCCGCTCCACCTTCCTGCCACTACCTAACCCGACACACCCGGCCGGCTGACCCTCAGGCTCAAGGAGGAGCTCATCCAAACCGCCCACTCGGATAAAATCAACGGCCTGGCCTTCCCGCACGAGTACTCGGAGGTGTTCGCCACCTGCGGCACGGGCTTCATCCGCCTGTGGCACCTGTCCACCTGCCGCGAGCTGGTGCGCATCGCGGTGCCCAACCTGGAGTGCTTCTGCATCGCATTCAGCACGGTGAGAAGGGGGCGAGGAGCAGCGTGGGGAGGGACCTGCCAGGGCTTCGGACACAGGCGGGCAGGATTGCGCCCCATGCGAACCGCTCGCAACCCCAGCAAAGCTACTCAGCCCCATGCACGATGCAACCTCGTCATCTTAAGCGCCCTCTCCCTCCATCCCTCCCGCCCCCCCTCCCTCCCGCAACAACCTTCAGGACGGCTCCGCCATCCTGTCGGGCTGGTCCGACGGTCGCATCCGCGCCTTTGGTCCGCAATCCGGCAAGCTGCTGTTCACCATCAACGACGCGCACCAGAAGGCCGTCACCGCCATCGCCTCCACCTCGGACTCCTCCAAGATCATCAGCGGCGGAGAGGAGGGCATGGTGCGCGTGTGGCGCCTGGGGCGGACCTCGCAGGTGAGCGGCTGGCTGAGCGAGGGTGGGTTTGGGATTCCTGCATGCACGCTTGACACATGCATGCATGCGTGCATCTGCCTTCCCACAAACATTCATTCTCTCCCCTCCTGCCGCCGCTCCTGCGCTGCGCCCCACAGACTCTGGAGGCCTCGCTGAAGGACCACAAGGGCCCCGTCAACTGCATCCGCATCAAGGCCGCCGACGACGAGTGCGTGTCCGCCTCCTCCGACGGCTCCTGCATCATCTGGGACCTGCACACCTACAAGCGCCGCACCAGCCTCTTCTCCAACACCTTCTTCAAGTCGGTGGTCTACCACCCAGACGAGTCGCAACTTGTCACCACGGGAACGGATCGCAAGGTGGGTTGGGGGCGGTGTGGCGTTTACCTGTGCCGGCGCTTGAGGTAGGCTAGCGGTATGTTGGGTTGGGCTCCACTGCCAGCTCCCAGCTCCACGGCGTGTCTCATGCGGCACAGCACCGGGTACCGGTAACATGTGGATTTTTTCACTCAGCCGTTCTTTCATTCACTCCTGACACATGGTCTCTCTGCCACCGTACACCCCCTCACTCAGATCACGTACTGGGACGCGTACGACGGCAACGCCATCCGCATCATCGACGGCAGCGAGGGCGACGAGGTGAACGCGCTGGCGGTGGACCGAGACGGCGAGGCCATCGTGAGCGGCGGCGGAGACAAGCTGGTCAAACTGTGGGGCTACGACGAGGGGCACTGCTACTTTGTGGGGGTGGCGCACTCGGGGGCCATTTCGGGCATTGGTGTCACGCCGGACAAGCAGCGCATCGTGTCGGTGGGCACGGAGGGCGGCATCTTCATCTGGGACTACCAGCGGCCGCAGACGCTGGTGGATATCTAGGCGGCGGCAACGAGATGCGGGGGGTTTAGGGAGAAAGCAAGCCCCGCGAGGTGGGGGGATGCGGGTGTGGATGGGGAGCATGTGCGTGGGGACGGGTAATGGGGTACGGGGTTGTGTGATGGAGACATGTCGTGATTTGACGTTGTGCAAACGGGCGGGCTGCAGAAGCAGCATGGCATGGCAAGGGCAGCCTGGTGGGTGCGGAGGGCTTGGGTTGGTAGGCTCGGGACGACTGGGGAGGTATGTGCGCAGCTGTGGGGATGCATGGGTGTGAGAGGCTGGTAGCCTAGTCAGCGGGCGAAACTCTCCCTCTGGAAGAAGAGGGAGTGGGGCGGAAATCGCGGATGTCGACCTGATACTGTGAATAGCGACGAGGAAGAGGCGTGGGATTATAGAATGATTATTGACAGTTAACATTTATACCATAGCTGTGCGTGGTGTTAGGGGGGGTGGTTTTCAGTGCAACATGGAGAAAGCAAGTTTACATATTGACACAGATTATACAGAGAACCTTTGCACTTGACGCCTTATGTATCCAGAGGGCATCGGTACGTTCTAGCCATGCCTTTTAGTGTCTTGATTAGGGGCCTGCTTGGTAGCATGCGCAAGGGGCTTGCTACGTGCTTCAGGGAGGGGTTTGGCGACTGGATGCATCGAATGGTGCGGGTCGACCTGGCCTTGTGATGGCTTCAGATGATGACTTTTACATGTGCATGAGGACCTTGTCTCAGGACACCTGCATTTACCGGTATGTCCTTACGCTGCTGCTTGCCGTACAAATACGGTGCAAGTGTTAACAATCCAAACATGCTCCTGCTCCTACCTATTGCTAATATACAGTATGTACGTCTCGTTCATAACAGCTGCAGCATCCGACATCCTCGTCTTTACAGTTCTTGACATGACAGCCCTACCCGGCTATCAATGTCGCCAACGCCCCCGTGTCACCCCTTAAGTCATACAAACATGGGCCTTATCAAAACTGCGGCAGCTCTCCTCGCACCGCAAGCACCTCGAGCTTCCGAAGTCGTGCACGCATGAGCTGGGATATCACGGCTGCCAGCGCATGCTCCAGCACGAGCTCTTGTAACCGTACCCTCTGCACGGCAGCAGGGTCATTTGGGTCATAGTGTTGCCGCTCTTCCTGCATATCACGCGAACATAGCAGAACAAGCGAAGGTGATCGTCCGCTTTGAATGCCCGGCCCAGCCAAGTAGCAAGCCTACCAATGTCAATCGCTCCCGCTGCGCTTGGACGCGAGCCATTTGCTCTTGCGCCTTATTAAGCGCTTCCTGCGCCGTTATTAGGGCTGTTTGGAGTTCCATGGTTGTAAAAGCTAGCTGAGTTTCCTTATATCCGTGCTACGTGGATGCAGTAGACGAAGAGCCAAGTGCCGCCGCTGACGCCAGACACTCGACGATAATGGTCTTCTTACGTAGGGAGGATGCAAGTTAAGCTGAGATGATCTGCGAGGACGCAGTTAGTGCCGAGGTTGAAACCGCGAAAGAGCTTCCTGGGTGTCTATCGACCTTCCCACGATCAGGCAGAAACTTAGCGGCTGCTTTGCGTATGTTGGAATACGTTTCTTTTTACGAACATGTGTCCTTCACCTTTCTTTCGCACAGCTTTACTCGTTTACACGCTGTCAGTGCCTAAGCCAGAAGATGAACCGACACGGCGTCCCGCGATACACCAGACACTTTCCGCTTTCTATTTCCTCCAAACACAACCTTAGTGTCAGTAATCTATTGCTGTAATTTGTAATAGCACTCAGTAAGCATCATTGCATGCAGGATCTAACCTTGCAGACGGCCAGAGCAGACGGCCCGTGAGTCACGATATCATTTCCCATAGCTAACCGAAAGGCCTTAATCGCATACCAAACCCCGCTAGCGCCGCACGAGTTGCAAGGACAACCACAATCGCAACCCCCTTGGGCCCATTCACCCCCATCACAACCTCTGCATTGTCGTACCTCAGCACACATCCATCCTCCGTGCCCCTTCCTCTCAATCCCCCCTCATCCCATTTACTGCGCTGCTGCCACCGCCGCCGCAGCCGCCGCGGGAGCCGCCGCCGCTGCCACCGCTGCTGCCGACGGCAGCGCCGCCAGCACCGTGCTGCGGGTGTCCTTGTACAGCGCAGCGGGGCTGAACTCATGGAACAACTTCACAAACCGCAGACGCGCCTTGGCGGGGTCCACGCCTCGTAGGGCGCTCCAGGCGTCCCAGCGCGCCCTGCCTTCGAAGTCCAGACCTCCTCGCTCCGCCCACATGGGCCGCTCCGAGGTGTTGTCGCCCTGGGTCGCCTGCGGGCATGCATGGTGGTGTGGGGGTGGGGATGTGGGGGTGGTGTAGGGGAGGGGTTGGGGGGGTGTCGGGTGGTGTTGTGGGGGGTTTGTGGAGGGGTTGCGGAGAGGGCAAACAGGCCGCAAACGTGGACATTGAAGGCTGGCAACAGCACAAGCGCATGCTGTGTCTCCACGCGACTAGGTAAGATCCTGCAAACGCGGTGTCAGAGGACTGGCGGCGCAGCTCCTTGCTCTAGGAGGTCGCAAAGCAGGTACCGGCACGCCACCTGAGCATGACTGTGACGGCTCGGCAGCCCGGCACCCTAGCACAGCCTTGCAGCGTCACCCGCCCCCCACCGCCCCCCACCTGCATGCACAGCCCGTACAAGCGGTAAAAGTCGTCTGGCTTGACGGTGGCGCCTCCTGGCTTGCTCACCATGCGCCAGTTCAGCTTCTCGTACTGACCTGCAGTACATGCACGGTTGAATGTACGGTTGAACGTACGGTCGACGCGGCTGTGGTCAGTACCGTAAACACTACGGTACGCAGCTTACAACTGCTTCGATATACAACACGGCATGTCTCATGTGGCTCATCATGATGCGTGGGGGGCAGCAGGAAGTGCAGCGCGGAAGCGGGGCCGCGGGAGCACGCGTACAACGACCCATGAGTTGACAACTACCCATCCTGTCACAATTCCCGAACCCAGCCCGGAGTTGCAGCCCCTGCACACCCATTCCTTCCCTCCAGGCCAACCCGCCCAGGACCATGTGGAACAACCGCAACCCCGCGCAAAAGCAGCACCTGTGAGCGATTCAAAGTCCTCAGCCGAGTACTCCGACTTGGCATGCGGGGAGCGATCGGCGCTGTCAGCTCGCGCGGCAGCAGCGGTCAGCTGCCGGAGCCTGGCCCGGGCGGCTGCGAGGAGGCAGGCAGCAGGTGGAGCGGGTGAAGCAGGTCGGCATGAGGCTGAGAACATGCGGGCTGGCAAGCGTAGTAACATCCGCCCATCCGAACACCTCCCGACTTGCCAACCCCTGCAAGCCCTTCACTCCGTCCATGCGGCTGCTGCACTCCTAACCTCACATGCAAACGTAGCCCCCCTCCAAATAGCACAGCCTCAACAGGCAACACAAGCGCGCAGCTCGCCCTACCCCGCAGCTTCTGCCTGTGATCCCCGGGGGTCGCATCTAGGAAGGCCGCCTCAGCAATCGCCTCCGCAAGCGCTTCGCAATCGTCGCCGGCGGCATGCAGCAGCGCCACCGCGGCTTCCGGATCGCGCTTGGAACCGGCTGCTGCTGCAGCTGCGGCAGAGGATGAGGCGGCTAGGCCTGGACTCATGGCTTGGAGCTTGGGAGGGTGGACTGTTCCAGAGGTCAACCAAGTAATGCAGAAAACTTTGTGCCGAGATTTAACGAGAAGTGGTGGGGATAAGGGCGATAGGGGAAGGTTTAGAGTTGGGAGGGCAATGGTCACGCGTTGCGTGCGTTTCCCAGCAGGCCTTGTGAGAGCCGCGCGCGGCTACGTTTTGAAAGCGCTTTTCAAGATTAGTCACGTTTTTGCTTTACACACTTTTCCGCAAGGACTGTCGAAGCGGCCGATCCAAGGCCGTGCGCCGTTCGACACGCACCGACGCTCTCTCGGAGCAATCGAGATCCAAAGTACTACAACCGTTAACGTTGGAACCGATACCAAATCGGTGTACGAGGTAAGATGGCTGAATTCAAGGCAAGCCGACCGCCAGTTTACAGCCTAAATTTGAATGCCGTCGGCAGCGACAGCCAACGTGCATTCAAGCACCCGCCCCTGCTTACAACGTAGCAAGTACAACAGCCAACGCATTTCCGGAACCTCCATTAGTAAGGTCTCGAGGCCCCCATCCAACCCAGCTCTATCGGCGGCGGCCCCCCCCTTCCGACCCGCTATCGCTCTCACTCCCACTGCTGCTGCTACTGCTGCTCCGATGTCGCCGCTCGCTCCCTCCCTTCTTGCTCTTCTTGCCACTGCTCTTCTTCTCCTTCTTGCTCCTCCGGTCCTTGTCCTTTTTCTTCTTGTCCTTCTTCTCCTTCTTAGAGCCTTTGCCCTTGCTGCCTCCATGCGCCTCTAGGATTGCGAGAGCCTCCTCTATGCTGCTAATCCGCGGCCCGCCGCCGCCACCGCTTCCTCCGCCAACAAAGTCAAGCAGCAACGAGCCGGGGTCTACATCCCGGTCCCGGCCCCCAATCAGTTCGAACTTGGAAGAGGCCGGCAGCTGGTTGGGTCCCGGGAGCTGTTGTTGCTGCTGCTGTGGTTGTTGCTGCGGTTGTGGGGGCCCCGGTGGAGGTCCGGGAAGGGAGCCGGGTGCGGGCGGGCCGCCACCGCCGCCGCCAGCCGACCCTTGGGTCATCCAGGCTGGCAGCACCATGCCGCGGCCGCGACCCATGGGTCCGCCGACGGGGGCTGGTGGGCCGGGCCGGGAGGGGCCTGTACGGTTCATAGGAGAGAGATAATGATCAGGGGTGAAAGCCGTTTGGAGGATGAGGAGGTAGAGTGGAAAGGTGCGTCAAACGTTCAGCTTGGGAACGCCATGACATGCGAAGCTGTGGCGTTTAATGGGTAAGTGGGTAAATTTTGACGGGGCGCTTAACCCACCTCCCCAGGACCCTGCTGCTGGGCCGCCTCCGCTGCCAGACATCGGCCCGCCAGCCAGTTGCGGCGGCGGCGGCGGCAGCGGCCGTTGCGGCGGTTCGTCTTCCAGCAGCTTATACTGCGACGCCGCCTTCTCATTGACGTACAGCTTGTTATCCGCTGCCAGGTGGCCCCAGTCGATCTTACCACCTGAGCGCGAGAGGGGTGAGGATGGTGGCGGGAAAAGATTTCAAATGACCGCGTACGATGTGGTGAGGGTGTGCATACCGGTACCATAAACAGGCTTTGATAGCTATACCCGCAAGCAAGCAACAAAGGAAGCTCAACCCGACCTCTGAAAGCTCCCCTTACCTCTCCCAACTTCTCCCGCACTCGCCCCAATAGCTCCGGGACCTCCCGGACGTCCTCCCGCGCCATCGCCCCGTGGCCGATACCTGCAGCAGGAACAATCGCCGCAGCAGCAGCAGCATCAGAAAAGGGTTACGAGGTACACGTTACCTCCCTCCCTCCCTCCATGCATTTATCTATATTTTTCCCTCCCTCCCCTCACCTGGTGTTGGCTGGGTCCAGGTCCTCCCCGCTGGTCTGGTTGACCAGCTTGATGGAGCAGCCGATCTTGAAGCCGCCGCGAGCCTCGTCAGGAGCCACCTCAACCACCTGCACTCAGGGCAGATGTGTGTTTCAGCGTTGGGAGATTGACCCAATTGTGTATCAGCGTCAGAAAGGCGTTCAAGATGCAGCGGTGCGGTTGCCGCTTGGGCGCATGCACGTCATGGGGGGGGCAACAGGTGGGCAGCCAGCCGGCATGCGGGGGTGGTACATCTGGACGACCTGTTGACGGCCATTTGCTTACCTTGACCCAGATCTGCTCGCCCACCGTCACCACCCCGCCCAGCTCCGCCTTCTTTTGCTCGTCCGAGTCCTCCCGAGTGAAGTTCAGGTAGTTGCTCACCTGCGCGCATGACGGATCGCGGGGAAGGGGGGGAGAGGTTGATCGGGACATCGAACTAATAACCCCAGGGGTGCCCACTTTGACAGAACCCTGAGGCAGGGGGTTGGGGCCCAAAATGACGTGTTCGGAACTCCCCTCACGTTTCAAATCAACAATGATCCAGTCCCCATACAAACTCCCTCCTGCCGTACACCACACACACCCCTCCCACCTGGCTGGTATGCACCAGGCCGTGACGCCGGTACCCCTCGAGCGCCACAAACACGCCGTACGCCTCGATCCGCTTCACCACGCCTCGATGTACGGAACCCACTTCGGGAGGCTCGTCGGTTTCGGGGCCGCCTCGGCCCCTGCCCCCGGGCCCGCCCGCACCCCCCGCGGGGTGCTCCTGTCCGTGGGCCCCAGCCATCAGGCCGTCCGGGTCCAGATCGGTTCCGGAGGTCTGGTCAACGGCGCGAATGGAGCCGTTGACTCGCATCTCCGCGGGGTTGCGGTCGTCGGGAGCAACCTCCGTAATCTTCACCCATACCTGCATGCGTGCATGCGTGCATGGATAGGTGGATGGACGGACTGATGAGTGGCGGAGCGCGTGGGTGGGGAATTAGGAGGAAGTAGGGAGGCGACAAGAAACCAATGCCGACAGTTCCCAGGGTGCCTGAAGCCTGACCCAGGAAGCACTGCCCCCGGCCCCACCTGCTCGCCCCTGGGGAAGTAGAACTCCAGCGCCTTCACTTTGGCGTCCTCGTCATCCTCCCGGTTGAACCGCAGCTCATCGCTGACCTGTGTGGGTATCGGCGGGCCCGATAGGTATGCCATACAGTGCCGTACAGTCCGACACAGTACGACAATACGTTGACCAAGATGTCTGTCAGGCGCCTTGAACAACACGTATGTGATGGACATGGAAGCAGAGAGCCTATGTGAGGCGTGGGAAGGGCCCCGTGCGCCATGCACCATGCAGCCCAGCAGCCCCACCCGCCAGACCCCCCCCCCACCTGCGAGTTGTGCACCAGCACGTGGCGCCGGTAGCCGGGTAGCGCCAGGAAGATGCCGAAGGGGCGGATGGTGTGCACGGTGCCGCGGTGGATGGAGCCGGGGGCGGGCGGGGCGGTGGACAGCAGGGCGGCGGGGGGCGGGGGCGGCAGGCGACCTGGGGGGTCAGGGACCATACCAAACCATAGGAGAACACAGGTTAGGGCAAAGTACATCCATGGGTGTGGGCAGCAGTTAGGATGGGCAGCAAGGAGGGAACGGAGAAAGGTCAACACTGTTGTCTTGGAACGTTACGCCAGCTGGATGGCGGGTTACTGGGTGCGCTCTGGGCCCTCTGGACCCTACCCATCAACTGCAGCGACCCCTCGCTTCAAACACTTTCCTAACCCCTCTGCACAGCAATACACCACTGGCCACCAGTGCCAAAGGAGCAACCCCGCAACGCACCTCCAGGGAAGGGTGGAGGCGGTGGCGGGTTGTTCCAAGCCGCCCCCGCCCCACCACCGTCACCCCGGCCCGAAGGAGGGCTGGGGCTGCGCCACCGGCGGCGCCGCTCTGGCGACCTCCCACCACCACCACCACCGCCACCGCCACCGCCGTCTCGGCCCACGGCCCCGTCATCGACACGTCGTGGAGAGCCCCAACGGGCGGCACCGCGGGGGGCGTCACGTTCACGGCTGCGGCTGCGGCTGCGCTGCTGCCGGGCTCGGTCCTCATCCTTGCCATGTTCTCCATCCAAGTCCCGACCGCGCTTCCGGTCACGATCTCGCTCCCTGTCTCGATCATGGTCCTTATCGCGGTCGCGGTCCCGGCCCCTGTCATGGGCCTTACTGGTATCCCGGTCACGCCCGTGGTCGCCTCCTGGGCTGGTGCTGCGGTGGTGATCCCTCCCACCACGCTTGCTATCGCGTGGGTAATCCTCGCGGCGCTCATCGCGCCGAGGGCTGGCGTCACGCCGGCGTTCTCGGCTCCTACTGCGGCTGCGTCGACGCCTATCTTTGTCGCGGTCACGTTCCCGCTCTCGATGGTGGTCCGCTCGACCCGCGCGGTCACGGCTGCGACTGCGTTCGCGTTCACGACAGTGACGATCATCTTCTCGACGCACTTCCCTGCTACCGTCGTCGGGATCGCCCCATCTGCCCGGGTCGGCGCTGCGAGACCTGCTCCGCGACCTAGCCATCGTAGGCAGAGAAGTCGAGCTTAGACCAGGCTAGTGTCCGAGTACACTTCTATTCTTAATAGGCGTAACCGGTTATGTTCTTTAATGCGTAAAAGGGCATATGGGGCCGCAGACAATGTAGTTGTAAAGACAGCGCTAAGAAGGGCAGGATTTAATGGCTATTTGAGCACCATCTAGTATATGAAGGCAGGCCAGCGTGACAGATCGCGGCCTGAGTTAAGGCCAGTGAGGTCCTCCCCAGGATGCTATCTTGCGTTCCTCCCAGCCAGAGCTGGTTTACGAAAACACCACACCTTTGCAGAATACTTTTCGCAATATATAAGCAGGTTAGTGAAGTTCGTTCATATTTGTTTATAGTGACTACCGGTAACGTACATAACTGCCACAACATGTCGTACAGCTAGGCAAATTGCTCGGGAGGGTGATGTCGTACGGATTAAAGGCAGCATCAAAGGGGAACCGGACATGTGCTCACGTTGCACCGTGCAATGCCACTGACTCAAATGCTAGAAAGTAGGAGGGTGGATCTGTAGAATGAAGTGGAGGGGAGGGGTGACGGAGGGGCGAGAACGCGTCGTACAAGTACGGTAACGCAAGGGGGCTCGCTCATGGCAACACTGCGCCGCGTACGCCTGGTGATCTGGCCTGCATTTCAAACAAGGGCGAGCAAGACATATGCACGGGCAGCACGGCAGTATCTGAGGTACAAGGCGGAATATCCAAGCTGGAAACGCTAGACTGCAGACGTTCCAAACCTGCCTCACAACTGCCTCCTCTCCCACAACCTCCTCCACGCGTCCCACGTCTCCCACGTCTCCCACACGTGTCCCCCAACTTGAGACGGGTCCCACACACCTCACGCGTCACGTCACGCGTCACGCACACACCATCCAGGTGAGGACGAAACTGGAGAGTGCGATCCCTAGCCTGACACCCTGAAACGCTCCTTACGACTCCTCCATATCCCGACTTCAACTAAGGAGCTTCCGTCGAAATCGAGCCTGCCTTAGATGCCTTGCCTTTCACGCCCTTTCCCTATAGGGAGCCGTGCAGCGGGACACGATGCGCAATGCAAAACCAACCTATGAAAATAAGCTCCCGTGTCTCAGCTTAGCCGCCGGAAAACACCGCATAGAATACAGGTGCGAACACATACATGGCCAACCAAAGGACATGCAAGACTCAATCAAGCGAACCCACATCAATGCACTGCATTTCAACATTTTCATGAGGATTTTGGAACATGTAGCCCGTTTGTAGAAGTAAAACACGATGGTCACGGCAACGGTTGTTGGGCAGGTTGGTTGAGTAGTCATCGCCGCTCTTGAAGCTCGAACTTTAACCGAATGGTGTGGCTGTGTTAATTGCTTCCTTTATATATGTTGCGGTGTACGGGGTCTATGGCGCATATCTCTTCTCGACCTGTTCACAACCTTCCTTCATTTTCGGCGACCCATATAGCTATAGCACCAAGGTTGTGCCTTTAGTATACATCTCACCTGAAATGAGCTGCTAACTATTCTCCACGCGACACTTTGACCAAAATAACGACAGCTGCACTTCGGGGTAGCCTGCACTAAAATGTATGGAAGGAGTAATCCAGTGCTAAGGCACTTTAGCGCAGATGAGATTGCGACGTTGGGGAGCTTGCAGGTGAGCGCTGAGAGCCTGCCGGTAGCCGATGCCATTGAAGTCTTCTTGGGCGCCTGAAGTTGAAGGGCTTAATGCTATCATCCTGCCTACGATTTGGGATATTTGTTACAGGTTTTGGATGACCTGCGTGAGCAAGGCGGTCGAGTACCAACCCTGGAAGAGCTGAACCCCCGCCCAATCCCCAGCTACGAGGATTACTTTGAGTTTGACAGGCCCATGACATCGGGAATAGCAGTTACAGGGTCACGGGACTTGCTTGTGGAGGAGGCGACGATGGGCTTTCATTCATCCGACCTGGCGCCTGGTACGGTAATCCTTGCATAGGCTGCGCCTTGAGCCGATTTGGGTCGCGCTGCTTCCCCCTACTCAACCTCAATCTGTCCCCCCTAAGTCTTAATCGCTTGTCCTGCGCCTTGCAGGCATGGCATCTGTGCCCCTTGACAGCGGTTCCTCCGCCCCTTCGGACCTACGAGTCACCTTCACACCACCACCACCCGGCTCCTCCTCGGCGCATGAGGTGGCCTACCACCGCAGAGGTAGGCAGGAAGGGCGACCCAGCAACCCAACATGCATACTATTCCGGCCTGCTGTGCCACCGAATCGTAAGCTCCTAATGCCGGCACGCACGACCGGCATGCTTCAGTGCCGTTCCACGAATCCGCCCTTCACCAGCGAGCATCCCACATGTCTGTTTGCTGGTACTCTTGGTACGTTCGGTTTTGTATGTTAACAACCGGCACTGTGTGTCCCTCCGTAGGTCTTGTCATCAGCGCCAGCCTGCTCGCCAGTCGCAGCAGCGAGCTGGCGTCCCTCAGCCGACATGGCCCCCACGCGGCCTCCCAGGGGCGCCCCTCCAGTGGCCACAACAGCCGCACCGGCAGCCCCGCGCCGTACACACGAACCGACAGGTGAATCCTGCGTTCACAGTACGGTGTGATTGTGTCAACATACCGCTGTGTGTGAGCGAATGATCATTACATTGGTTTGCCAAAAGGGAATACGGTTGATGGGTCCAACAGTACAGGGCAGGACATTGGCGCCATTAGCAAAGAAACGAGATGTGCACATGGCGGCATGGGCTTCGTATCCTGGTGTGCATTCGTGCGCACGAAAGGAAAGCTAAACACTTGATCATTGCTCCTTCCGTCGACACGCAGGTCTTCCGAAAGTCAGGCGGCCGTGACGCCTCGTCGGTCGTACGACGACCGGCCTTCCTTGAAGCAGCCGCCCTTTCGTGCGGGCAACCCCACCACTGCGACACGCAGACCAGCGACCGCAGGTACGGCATGTAACTCCTCAGCTACTACGGTGGCAACCCCAATACGACATGCTTCTGACACTCCATTACAATTGCAAACGGTCCCGCTAGCTGCTTCACCTCTACCTTTCTTAGGTTGTCGCATGGTCCCTCGCTCCTGTCAAGGCGGACAGGGTTAAGTGTTAATTAACAGCCTCTTACCGCTTTCTCTTCCCGGCACTTCCCCCTGCAGGTGCCTCCCGCCGGACCGTATCCACCTCTCCTGGCACCTCCCGCAGCCCCAGCCCCCGGCCCAGCCACCAGCCCCCTTCCAGCGAGGCGGGCACATCATCAGAGCCCCGCACCCAACCTGACGGCGCCACCGGCACCACTGGCAGTGGCAGCATTGCGGCCGTGCGTGGAATAGGCGCCAAGATATCGGGCCGTCCGGCCTCAGCAAGAGTCGAGCGAGAGCGGCGAGGGGAGCACCCTGGCGGAGACGCGGGCGGCACTGGAGGTCCCGGGGCTGCTGCAGGTGCTCCTCGGCCTGTGAGCGCGTCGCCCCGCACGCCTCGTGGCGGACAACCTCAGGACTCGCGGAGCAGTGGGGATCAGGGGGATGGTGCGGGTGCTGGCGGGCGCGGTAGGGCAGCGGGCAGGCAGGCGGGGCCGGTCCCGGCGTGGTCGCCTGCGGCCGGAGTGGAGAACATGCGGTGAGCGGGTGTGAACATGTTGTTTGTTAGGGGTAAGGAGGGGTCATAGTCCGAGGCAAGTGCGCTGGATTTGCAAACATGGATTGGACAGTACTTGCCAGACCCTCACCCTAACGCCGAGCGCCGTCCCCTGGCATTGTACATCCCTGCTCTCCTACCTTCAGGCTGCAGGATGACCCGAGTGAGGCCGCCCGTGTGGCACACTTGCTGAACGACCCACGGGTCAGTCCAGCGGCGACCAACGAGGACGCTCCTAGCACGGAGTCCAGCCCATTCGAACGCACCCCGCTGCAGCTGGCGGAGCAGATCCTGGGCGGCTCGCCACGGCCCGGGTCGCCCGGGGCCCAGTCCAGCTCCCCGGGCTTCGACCGACAGGCTCGGGCGTCCATGGTCTCGGACAGATACTTTGACCAGTAAGCAGTGGTTGCAGGGTTTGCAGGGGCGAGGAGCTACAAGGACGGTAGACTCGTTACGGCCAGGTCCCTTTATGCTCGCTGTACGGTCCCTCATGTGCCCCCGACCGCGCACCTGGGCAGCCTTCGCTGCCACCATGCGAGTCATGCCCCATCCCGCGTCTTCCTGGTCACGGTTCGTGTTCCCTCGCGGCTCACTTCACTACCGTACCCCTCTCGCTCCCCCCTGCCAGGTACCGCCTGCGCAAGCACCGCGAGGCGCAGGGCGTCCCGGACTACCGCTACTCGCAGCCTCGCTCCCACGGCGCCCATGTGCCCGTGCAGCCGCGTAACTTCTCATTCGATGAGGCGCACCCCGCGCTGGCGCAGGAGCACTACGTGAGGTCGCCCGCACAGGATGCCATGCTGCAGGTATCGGTACAGGGAGAGCAGGGGGTAGAGAGAGGAATAGAGAGGAGGAGTTAACCATGTGTGATATGCGGGCTCCACCTTGGGGTGCATGTTGGGTGCTGACTCGTCCATTCCAGACAGGTTTAGGAGGAAGGGGGGCCAGGGGGTAGCGGCGGACTGAGGGCGATGAAGCTGGCGAACGCGAGGGGGGGGGCCGCTGGCGTTTCCTTATCTCCCAGCGTTGTAGAGGATCTTTTCAGTCAACGGTAAGGGTGGTGTGCGCTGCTGACATGCAACGGCCCTTCCTGCTTGTGCCCCCTCTGCCCCCTGCAGGCGGAGCGCCGCAAGATGCACCAGCAACTGATTGGGTGAGCGGCCAGATGTTTGAGCTGTGAACGGTTCGTTTACCGCTACGTTGCCGCCTGCAACCTCACATGACGTCAGCAGCAGCTTGCCTACCATACCTGTACCGCTACCTTGGTAGCGGGGCTGGTGTTCATGTGGTACCGGGCGGCAAGCGGCGCCATACACCTCTTGCTCCACGTAAAGCATCTTGTTAGGCTTCTTTTACCCTTCCCCCGCCCCTCTACCGTATGGTCACGGGCAGCAATACAACGCGGCTCAGTTGCAGTGCCCCCCCTCCTTTCTCCCAGCCTCGTCATACAGCTTGTCAGTTCCCTCTTTTTACCCTCCACCCTCGTTCCCTCCACAGGGCCGCCCGTGCCGCCGCCAAGAACCGCATCACCATGCCCGCGAGCGGCGGTGCCGGCACCCCCACCGCCGCCTCACAGCAGCTGTCTGGCGATGTGGAGCGAATCGTCCGGGTGCGGGAGGCGGGTCGAGCGCGGCTGAGGCAGCTGGAGGAGGAGGGCGAGACGCTGCGGCTGCAGACAGTGCAGGTGGGGACGTGAGGGGCATGGGGGGGCTTGAGGGGGCTGTGGGGCTTGAAGCATGGGGCCTGCTGTTGGGCTCTGATGTTTCTGTGGGTTGTTGCGATGGCGCCGCCGGGGGGGGAGGTGCTTGATGCACCGGGCTGAGTTGACAGCACCAGGAGGTTAGCACCAAACTACCTGTACTAGCTCTTTTCGGGTATGTCGTCGGGTAGTAGTAAAGGCATGATCCCTTTCCCCGCCTCCTTATAACGAGAGCAGTTTCTCTCCACAACATGAACAACAACTATACGCACCCATACGACAACTACTCGCATGCATGCAGATCCAGCAGCGTGCAAGGGACGCGATCGCCCGCAGCACCCAAATCACCGCAGCCACGGGCCTGCGCTCACGCCCTACCTCAGCAGCCGCCTCGCCCTACTCCCGACGAGGCACCCGCTCCCGCTCCACCTCTCCCATGTCGTACAACGGTGGTTTCGGAGCCTCTGGAACCATGTACTACAGCAGCCGCTCCCCTAGCCCCTCGCCCAGCCGCTTCCGTCCCCACAGCGCAAGCCCGGTTAACGGCTCACTCGGTGCGGACCGCTCAGGCGTTGCTGCCGGGGATGCTGCCGGCGGCGGCAGGTTTAATTATGAGGGCAGCAGCTACTATGGTTCGCCGCCTCGACAACACTACGACCAAAACTACGATCATCACCATTACCAGCAGCAGCACCAGCAGCAGTGGCAGGAGGAGGGCGGGTACTATGGCGTCGGCTCTGAGAGGCCGGCAGCGGGGTGGGCTGCATCTCAGCGGCCGCTGTCGGCGCCGCCACCCCGGCAGCAGCCGGTGTCACCGGGGCCGGGGCCGGGAGAGGCGCTGCAGATCTTGGATGTGATTGATGAGGTTGAGGGGTAGGTCGGGGGCGCCGGGTCTGGGGGCCGGCCCAGACAGCATGAATGAAACTGTGAGGCTGTGTGTACACATGATGGCAAGAGCACACGGAAACTATTGGGTGCTGCCATTGTCACTGGGGCTGTGATAGCCCTGGCAGGGCCCCCACCATGTAACATCATGTCATATCACTGGGGCTGTGCTGCTGCTACGAAAAATGGTCTTGAGTAGATAACAGCAAAGGTGATAACACTTGCCGCTACCGTTACCCTTGCCCGTACCAGGTATCCTCAGGGTACTTCCGAGCGCGCGGCCACCCGACAAGGCCAGCGCCGCACCCCCAGTCGCCGTGACACCGACAGCAGCGGCCAGGAGGACCCCCTGGCCCGCGCCGGCCGGGTGCTCTCCTCCCGCAAGCACGCGGGGGTGATGGACGAGCAGGAGCAGCGGATTGCCACGGGAGTGTACGACGAGTCGCGGTACGAGGAGTACCAACGGCAGGTACGGCACAGGGCGGATACCGGTACTTGGTCGTACATGGGGCTCGATTGCTTGGGTGCGATACTATCAACGGGGCTTGCATGGGTCCATGTCAGTCGCATGGGTAACGTCTGGTGAGTCTTCCCTGTTGGGGATGGGCGTGCACGTCCCTTGTGCATGAATATGGGCGGGGGTGTCAAAAATGGAAACACCACGGGCCTGTTGATCTGACCTGACCCCAGGTGGACCTGGAGATGCAGCGCCGGGCGGTGGAGGATGGCTACGACTCGGACCTGGAGCGAGACGAGGCGGCGGGGCTGTTGGTGCGGGACCATGAACAGGTGGGGGGGTATGGCGGCGGGTCAGGGGACGGCGTCGCTAATACGCTGGTACGCCGTGCGTGGTTTGTTGCTTTCCCTGGCACACGCTCATTTGGTTTCTCATTGCGGCTCTTTGCATGTTGTATATTTCTCCCTGTACCTGTCTTTCTCCATGGGGCTGATATAGGTTTGGCGTTTCCTGATCACATATTGAACCACCTGCAGGAGGCGGAAGAGGAGGAAGAGGAGCGCAAGAGGGCACGGGAGGTAAGGGCACGCGGCATGGCGCGTCGTGTGTGCGTCCATTCCATCCCTATTCACACAACAAGCCGGCGGCCGTTGCACTACTTGCGCAGCTGCCGCACATCTGCTGGGAGGCGGGCTAGCGGTCGCGCTTGTGGGCCATGGGTGTCATCATGTGGGCCATGTATGTCATGTGGCCGCCGCGTGTGGTGTTGGAACAGGACTCCTGCGCCCCCTGCGCTCCCCTGTCCTGCGCTTCAGGGTCGGTGGACCCCCGTTGCCATCCTCTCTGTCCCCCTGTTCTTCCGCCCCGCAGTTCAGCTGGCAGGAGGAGGATGAGTGGATGGATGAGTACCGACAGCGGTTTGGTCCCGAGGTGGGGTGGGGTGGCAGGGGCGGGGGCGGGGGCGGGGGCGTGTAAAGGAGTGTAGGGGCTGCTCAAAGCACACAGCCATTGTACACCGCCCTTGAGGTTCAGGGTTCTTCTTATCTTCACACATAAAAGAGCCGTTTCGTGTCCTACCGGAATGGGGCTAATGCAGCGTACTGTACCGTACTGTACTGCTGACGTGTACCCACACGTCGCCACCGCCTCGCTCTCCCCGTGCCGCAGGACGGCTACATGCCCTCACGCTCCGTATCTGCCAGGGAGGGGCCCGGAAGCGAAGATGAAATTGACGGCGAGCCCCACGCCCATCAACATCATCATCATCACGATCACCCCCATCAGGGCCGCGCACATCTTGGTCGCCATCAGGCTGGCCCTGCCTACCAACATCGCCACCACCACCAGCCTCATGGCGGCGGCTCCCCCGGCACTTCGTCTCCCCTGCGGCCGCAGCGCTCAGCCCTATCCGAGGCAGATGAGGAGCTGCTGCAGCAGCATTTCGTGCCGCTGATCTCACCGGAAATTTCCATGTGCGTAGGTGGTGTACGGTGGTCTGGTGTGATGTGTCAGGACGCGTGCATGTATGGATGCATGTACCGTACGCATGGGTGCAAGCTTGGTAGCCCCTACACCCTGCTTTTGCTACCAGTACCTTAACTGTGCTTCATTGAGCCATGCTTGCACGGTTGGGCTCTCCGCGCCCCTACACAGCCTCCCCCGCATGATGGCATTCTCTTTGGTTGCTCCTTGGGCTCCCGCATGACTGACGTTCCGTTTCTTTCCGTCCTTTCCTCCCACGGTTGCATGCGTCCACAGGAATGCTGCGGGATACGCATCCGAGGGCCCGGAGACCCGCCGCTCGCGACGCCGGCTGTTTTTCAAGAGCACCGTGCCGCAGCCCTTCACCTTTGAGGAGCGGGAGAAGGCTCGGCCTAAGCGCATCTCAAAGGCAAGGAGGGGGGGCGTTCCCTGGTCAGTGGCCACAGGGATTCGGAAGGCTTGCGGATACAACAGATTGTGTGCACGTCGGAACCCAACGACCGCGTTTCTTGCTTGTAGTGCCGAAGCACGCGTCATAGGCTTGTAATTGGATGTATCGTTGTTGACACGTTGACATACAACCCGTGTTCCGACTCGCGGCCAGTTTTCGTAACACACCATGCGGCCAGTACATATCCCTCCGAAACCAACCCCTCACTCAACGCAGGTTAAGATGGAGCAAGACATGGCTATCCGGCGCGCCGAGGAGGCGGCGGCCCGCAGCCGGCACTTCAAGGCCAGCCCCGTACCCGACGCCGTGGTGGAACCGCGATACGAACACATGCTGGTGAAGGCGGAGGTGGGTTGTGTGTCGCCAGTGTTGCTGAGCGTGTGTGAATGAGGCGGATTGCAAGTGTCTCGCTGGGAAGCTTTTTTCTTGAATGAGAGTTGCTAAGCAGACCCACGGGTCACTCCTGCACTCCTCCACAGGTGAAGCGCCAACTGAGCCACCAACAGCACATGGACAGGTGAGACTAGCAGGTCCACATCATCCCATGCTAGCCTCCAGGACCTCCCGTGCCATGTACCCTAACCCCCACATCCAGTATAAACAAGCAAACTAGCCTTTCTCGCCACGATCTTAGGCTGCGTCTGAGCCGCATACCCACCTGCCCTTCCCCCCACCATGCATGCATGCAGCGTGCTGGGCCAGCCCTTCTCCTTCTACTACCGAGACCAGGAGATGCAGGCGGAGCGCGAGGCCCTGGCGCGAGCCGCCAAGGACCCCAACCGCTTCCGAATGCCCTTCCAAGCCAGGGACGTGCCCTCACACACCAAGGAGGTACGTGGCTGCATGTGGATTGTACGGAGTACGGAAACAAGGCACTCATGCCACATAGCCCAATCGGGTAGCATCATGACTAGCACGGGACTTGCCACAGGCCCCAACATCGCTCGTACCCAACCACAAGCTTTGAAACCACCTCCGAAAGCACCTAACCACCTTGCCCCTTACAGGAGAAGTTCCGAGTCATGATGTTGGAGCTGGAGGCGCGGCGGGAGTACTCCAAGCGGCGAATCGAGGAGGCGCGGCGGGCGGCCCGGGAGCGTGTGGAGAGGGAAGCGGAGCGCAGGTAAGCTACAAAAGCTCTCTTGAGGAGAGCCCAGTGGTAGGCGAAGCTCAGCCCGTTCGCGTATTTTGCATGCTGCATGCTTGTCACGGCTCCTGCATGCTTGTCACGGCTTTTGCCACTCTATTCACCACACCACACCCCAGCGTCCGACGTCCCCACGTGGTTTTGTACCTCCCTGACCCCTCCCTGACCTTACCCCATGCCCCGGTCCCCAGGCGTGAGGTCGCCAAGCGGGCCTACCAGGAGCGGCTGCGAACTGTCGACCCCGCCGTGCACCAGGGCCCTCACCCCTCCCGACCCGCGGGTGTGGTGCCCGACTTCAACACCATGCACCGGCAGTTTGAGGTGCAGATGGCACAGGCGAGAGCCAACATTCGCAAGATGGTCACGGCGCCACGGGTGAGGAGGATTGGTGGGGTTTTGGGGGTAGCGTTGGCTCTTATTGTAGTAGAAGGCTAGAACGGATCGACTGGGCGGATGGATTCCAGGATTCCTAGCAAGCTGGTTTTGTGTCAGCCTTCATGCGCCCACTGGAGCTGGTCTTGTGATTGCCACGCCCTGACGTCCTCGCCGTCCTGGCGCCTGTTCATTCCCTTCCCTTTTACAGGAGTTCAGACTGAACGGAGGCACCCAAGAGGAGCAGGCGGCCAGGGTAAGTACGGCAGTTAAGAGGGCATGGGGGCGCAGATGAAATCTGCCTGGGGTGAGGAGGGTGGCCTCGCAGGGTTTCCTGCGCGATGGCGATTTCCCCACTGTCATCACGTGCGGTTTGCTTCGGAGCGGGTTGCCTTCTGTCTCACCCGGAAACCCCACTGTCGTACTACTACTGCTGCTGCCTCATGCACTCAGGCTCGCAAGGCGGAGGAGCGGCGGCGCCGAATCATCCTGGACATGCAGGTACGGCATGCGCGCGCTTCGTTGCTGTGTGGGCGTAAACCTTCAGCGTATATGCCCTTAAGGCGCGTCCTCCCCCTCGCGCCTTCAATGTTATTTATTGTTTGCAAGGTGTTTGCCTCATTGATACTGTTTATACTCGCCATCACGTGCCATGCATGTGCGCGTACATTCCCATGTCGTACATGTGCGGCAGCTACATGCCCCCCCCCCCCCCCCCTCCTGGAACCCGCAGGTGGATGCGGAGCTGCTCCCCGAGTCCCGCTGGCCCTTCAAGTCACCTCGCGGCAAGGTACGTGCCGTATGCGCCCCGTACGGGGTTGGGGCATGCCCACCTTTCCTCGGTCGACAGCTATAGCCGGGTACGATTACGATGCTCTGTTACGCTTTAATAACACATTGGACCTTCACCCCGTCCCGTCCGCAGGTACGCCGCAACCCGCCGCCTGCCTACCTGGTGGAGTGGATGACTCGCACTCAGGGCACACATGCCGCCAGTGCACGCAAGTCCTCCACTGCTGCAGCGGCGCAGGGCGGCGCCTACCAGACGCGCGCAGAGAGGTACGGAAGTAGCAGGCGTCGTCCGGGCTTGTTCGTTTTGCATGTATGCCGGGCCCTGACATTGACAAGCGGGGGTAATATACACGGCCGCTGCCTTTTCCCACAGCCCCTTCGACGGCTATGAAAAAGGGCTTAACATGGACATACACAAGCCCTCCGTTGCACACAAGCCATCCGTTAACACTTTCTGACCACGCCCACACCGCTTGCCGCAGGGAGGCAGCGGATCGTAAGGCCTCCGAAAAGCTCCGAGCCGAGGCGTTACGTCGTGCGGACCGGCTGCTCAAGGCTGCCCAGGAGCGCAAGCAGCGGGAGGCAGCCTCCGCCGGGGTAGGCGGCGGGGAGTTTGGGATTCAGAGTGACGTGGTCGCCACGGCGGGTGCGGGCCCAGATCAGGGATCGACATCAAGTGGCCGTGGCGGCGCACAGCGGCGACGTGCGGCAGTGGCGGGGCGCCAGGACAACCCGGAGGTGTACGTGGACGCTCGTCATGCGCAGGTGGGAACACGGCTTTTGTGTACGGCACTCGAATCTCTTCTCCCTTGCCTGTCGTTCCTGACCCACATCCCCCCGGCTCTGCTGTCGTACACCGTTAGTGTCGTACTCCTACTTACGTTCTGCTGTCGTACACACTTCTCCGCAGATTGAGCGGCGCGTTCGCTCCGTGGTGGAAGATGCGCTGCTGGACCAGGGCATCGAGGCGTACCGTTATGTGGAGGGTATTGACGCCAACAAGAAGGGCAACAAGACGTCCAATTAGAGGATTCGGGTGCTGCTGAGAGTGTGACCGTGCCCCGTGAAACAGTGGGCTATGTATGATAAGTATATGCAGTAGTAATTAGGTTTTACGCGCGCTGCTGGCGGGTACCCACGTCTCAGGACAAAAATGCAAGCGGGTGGGTTACTTGGAGACGGGCCCTGAGTGGGCCGGGGCTGTGTGTCGTAAAGGCCACTGTTGCCGTACGAGAGGATTACGTCGCTGGCACTTATGACCTGGCAGTACACGATCATTGTCCTGTAGAAGGTGCACCCAGCTCGCCTACCTTAAAGGAGGGAGGGCGGCAGGGAGGCACGTGGAACGATATGCAGCGTGCAAAAGCCAGGAAAGGAGGGCGCCCCCCCAGTTGGCCTGGCTAACTTGGACCGGGATCCATCGGTCGGCGGTTATTACACGCACTGCATGCATGCTGCCCTACTAACACAAGAATAGTTGGTCAATGTTACCTCCTTCCCCCTCCCCTCGCAACATGTGGCGACGTTCTTCGGCAATGACGCTACATAACATCTCATGGTCAGCTGCTTTACCCCACCCCCATGAGCATTCCACCCATGGGATACTGTACGTTTACCCCTCCCCACATCTCACCATGTGGTTGAGGCACTGCACGGCCTGCTTGCGGTGTGTGGGCTGCTGGAAGCCCTCCGTAGCGGCCCCGTAGCGGCCCCAGATCTCATGCGGCAAGAACATGCGCGGCACGGGCTTCCCCAGGATGTCCTCCTGCGGGGGGAGGAGAGGGCAGGGGAGTTCAGCGGGATGGGATGAGAAAGGTGGGTTTGCCAAGGTGAGTGAAAGGCCGGCAGGTGCGACGGCGACACGACAGCGGCCTTGGGCTCGCAGGGACCGCCCCAGAGGGGCGCAGCGGGGCCCGGCACGGATACCCAATAACAAGTCGCAAGCCGCGCTTGTCCCCAGCTGCGGTTGCTTGTGCGCTTGTTTATCATGAGCCGTCACGTGGCATACGCTCTGTGTCGTGCTCGGCGCGGCTCAGTTAGGACTGCGTTCTGCGGTTTCGACATGCTGGGGCACCTGCCGCCCCCGGGCCCGAGTGGGGCAGCCGGGGCAGGGCACCTTCGTCCCGCTCAAGGCTTGGGGTCCTGACTCATCACTGCCGCGCCACCGGGCGCCGAGAGAAGCAACGTCCCTGGAGCTAACGTCATGCGCTCCCACCCATGCGCAGTGGCAGTACGTGAGAGGCTAGGGGTGGGCTGCAGGCTGCTCGTCGGAGCGTCCACCCTTGCCGGAATGACTCTGTGCGTCATGCCATGCCGCCATCAGTGCAACAGGACAAGTAGTACCTTCGTGGTCGCCGCTTCGGTGCTAGCACGCTTCCGTGTGTTCCCAACAACCCACATCACACGGCCCGCACCAGTTCAGGCGCCCGCTCTGGAAGGCTTCTTCCGGTATGTAATCTCTCGCGGCCAGTTGCTTCTTACCCCGATCCCACTTCGCTGTCAACCCCACAGGCGCCTATTCACCCCCTGCCTCAGCGGCTATCCTTCCTTCCCTGCCCCACCTCCAGCATCCCCTTTATTCCTGCCTGGGAGCTTGCCTCACCTCCTTTTTGGCCTGCCCTTGATTCTAGGCGCTCCGAAAGGCCGCGCCGTGGAAGCAAGGGAAAAGCCACCCCACCGCACCGTCAGCCCTCCATGCCACACACCCGCTTGGGCAGGCCATGAGATCGCTTCGGTCTTTTCAACAGACTCCGCTGTGCCGTACCCCATGCGCTTCGTACACCATGTGCTTCGTACCCCATGACCCGCTGCTGTGGCTCCTCCGGCGCTAGCAACACGTTGACCACGGTGCCGAACTGCTCCATCAGCCGCTTGTAGCGCTTGTAGCCACAGGCCATGATGAAGCCCCTGTACGGCAGCGGGGAGTGCGTGGGAGTACGGCAGCAGGAAGAGCGGGTGGGCGGATGGATTGAGGAGTCTGCTCTTATTTATACCGTAATTACCGTTCTAGTGGAACTATGGCGAGGGGTTGCATCTAGGAGGCCCTTTTGTCGGAGCCGCTGGAGGAGGTCATTCTGCAGGTGTAAGCGTAATTCGCAAAAGATACTGCTAGGCGACACGGCTGTGACGCCCAACTATGAGATAAGTACTTCGTGCTTCGCCGGCGCAAGTATGCTCCTATTCAGAGGGACAAGAAGCTCGGACGTACATGCCACATTTTTCTCTGGCCTTATGTCATAATAACGTACAGTTTCTTACTCTCTCGAAGGCCATATGCAAAATACGTTCATATATAAATAGTATCAATCACGGCGTTCTTTTGCAATCAATGCATTCCCACCTACCGTATTGAGTATATCGCTTGAGTGACAGCCGAGTGCGCCTCCTGCGAAACTCCACGGCAGGCAACAATGAAGCCGGAGGACGACAGCGGCAGCACATTACTGTTCACGGCACAGCCACCAACACAAGACGCCCTGGCTTTCCTCCTGGAGGACAAGATGTTTGACATTGTCGGATGCATATCAACGCGGCTGCTGGGTCCTGCCAAGTATGTGTTGCACAAGAGCACGTTGGAAAAAAAGTTCAGCGATCCAGACGAGCAGGCGCGTGTTGCACCCCTGCTAAGCAAGCTCAACTTGGCGGATATCAAGCCGAGCGACCTGGGCAAGGTGCTGGACGCCGGTTACTACAAGCGCAACTGTAAGTTTATCGGCAAGCTTGGTTGTGGTGGCCTGGCAGTGGCGTTTCCTATGTTTAGTTGTAACTTCGCAGGCACGTCCCACGCTAACGACGCGGAGCTTGAGCGGCAAGTCAAGAAGTTCATCGGCATAGGAGGTGTCGCCATGCTGCAGAACGAGTTTCCGATTGAGTGCGCGCTGCTCCAGGCCTTCGATGACATCAAGGGCCAGTTCTTGTAGCCAGGCGCTGGACGCATGAATGTGGCTGAGCGGTGAAGGTGGGGCGGAGTTTCTTGCTGTGGGATAGGCGAGCTGGCTTTCACGGGGGGTGGCTATGTGGCTGTTCGTAAATCCTGGTTTGAAGGCAAGTAAATTGAAGGTTGTGATGGAGGGGAGAGGGTAAAGCGCAATACGACGGCACACTTACGGTTGCATGGTTATCGTTTGGGGAGGAGGAGGAGCGGGGCGGAGCTAGGGATGCGGTTGCAGCTTGCAGCTACAGTGGTTGGGGCTTGCGGCTATGAAAGAGTGAGAGCCTACGTAGGCAGGGACACAGTCAAGAGGAAGAAGCGCCGCATTGCATCGCAGTCAAACAAGACGCATGCAATGCGGCGCTTCTTCCTCTTGACTGTGTCCCTGCCTACGTAGGCCCTCACTCTTTCATAGCCGCATTGCTGCTAGACAATGAAACGCGTGAGGGATGGCCCCTTATGGGGAATGGGAAGACCCACCCAAGCAAAACACAAGGCATGCACGCATCACTAACAAGCATGCAGTGCGCTACACGAACGGGCGTACCTTAAAAGTGCCGTCTTGCACGCGGGATGAGACTTTGGTATCCGTCTTGGCATGAGTTTTGGGCTTCGCCTCGGATGCTGCCTTGAAAGAGCCCTTGTCATACATGCGAAAGCCAAGAAAGGGCGGATTCAGTGACAGGATCAGGATATCAAGTCAATGTGATAGCGGCTGACAGGTGTCTCCATGATGCACATGCAACGTGTAGGGATGCGTGCACAACGTCTAGATAGGTAAAACAATTGACCCTATACCATCCAGGCAAATCCCCACGGGACAACCATTGTCATGTCTACACGCATGCATGCAGTGCCCCGCACGTCTGGACGTACCTTTGTAAAGCACGGGTCGGCAACCGAAGGGAACGCGATTCCGTGGGCTGCTTGGCTGTCGGGCTTGGCCAAAGCTTCAGGTCGGAGAGGTGGAAGAGAGTGCCAAGCGGACTCGGGGAGGGGGAGGCGGAGGGGGCAACGAGGCAGGATGAGGTCGATGTCTGCTTGGAGTTTGCAGCCGTGTGCAGCCTTCCTCCCTTCCAGCGTGCCAACGCTGAGCATTTCCTAAGATATGTGCTGCTATATCAGCGGACGCCATGTTTACGATTAAGGAAGTGCAACGTCACGATAATTGCAATCGGCACCAGTTCCTAATGTAACGCCACAAGGCATTGTGCCGCACTCCTTTGTGGGAAGGTTGGTGGGTCGGCTTAAGAGTACAGTAGCGCGGGCAAGCTATGGAGAGAGGGAGCTTGGCTTTAATTTCTTGGGGGTCACGGTGGAGGAGATGTGGAAGGGGAGGCCCTGCTCGACCATTATCACAGAACAAAATAACCTTACCGCTGCCCAGCACGTCGTGTTAACACACAAGCTCCTAATCCGGGCATTGCCCCCCCCCCCCGAAGCCTCTTCGCGGCGAGGACTCCGCCCAAAAATGTTTCACGCACGTCTCAGGACTTTAATGAAAGCGGGTGGGTTACGTGGAGACTGGACCTGAGTGGGCAGGGGCTGTGTGTCGAGCCCGTTCGCATTGCTGCAGTTGTTCTGATGGCCCCTTATGGAAGCTGCAGGGCTAGAACTAGATGGCGCCATCGGACCGGGGGAGGACGACGGTTATACATGAACCATTAATTGCTTGGGAGAAACTAGACACGGATGTGGCAGTCTATCATCCTTGTCCCATGTCCCTTCCAAGACTAAACACGCTGCCCATAAAAGCCCATAACGCAGCGCCGTATAGTGGTCTACTTGTTCCCACTTGCCGTACACATCACGGTCGACATTTTGCGAACCAACAGTCAAATATCGTCAACTCAAACGCACACTGAAGCGTAGGAAAAAAGGAAAAAATGTCCAAAACGTCGAGGTTCGTGGTCGTTTAGCCGGTTGTTTCACCGCAACGCACACTGCAGTATATCTCGCGCACCTCGTTAACAAAAGAGCGTGTACGAACACAAAGCGTGCTGCCATACAGACTGTACGACAAAGGTGGCACCACGCACAACACACACCGTAGGTCAGCGATGGGTATCTCCACCGTATCCGGATTTGCACAATGCACACGCACCGGTGTATGCCAACGGAAGGCACGTAAGTGATGGTGGTGGTAGTGCACAGCAGCCAAGCAAAAGGGCAAGATCACGACGCCCCAAACTGAATGTTTCTTGAGTTCGAAACAGGCCCACGTCTTAACAAAAACCTGTACAGGTTTCGACGCCAAGACCCATCATTATGGCCGTCACTTGTTTAGGCAGTTTAGGCAATTTAGATGCCATGCAACGAAGTAGGGCAGACAGCCTAAAACGCTGAAAGCAACGCCCACTAAAGCAATATCCAGTATCCAAATGAACGCTCGCCCTTCACAACAAGTAAAAAGAGGTACCGTAGCAAGAGAAAGCCAGCCCCAGCCACAAGGGGCAGAGCCCACAACGCCTAAGTGCAGTAAACCCGTTGAAACTGTAATCACAACAACCGACTACCGTACATTTATCAAGGCAAGCCAGGCCCTTCAACACATGACAATAGCAGGATTGCGTCCCAGCAAAACACGTCTCGGCTTCCACCACCTCCTCAGGCTAAGCAGCACAAGCAGAACCTGCAGAAGCAAAGCTGTATATGTGTCTTCAACCAGCTGGCTGTTTGTGGGTATAAAAACTGGCCGCGAGTGTGTTTGTGCGTCATGGCACACAAGTGACCCTGCTTCACAGCGCAGGGCACCTAAGCCGGTCTCGCCTGACTGACTCCGGCCCACATGCCTAATGAGGACAGCCAAGGTCGTATTTCATAATACCCGTACATGTCCGCCATTGCTGTCCAAGTTTGCTGAGTGCATGTGGGCTGACGCGCTTGTCACTCCGGCTGTGCAACCTCGGCAGGGTACGTCACGTGGGACGTCCTGTCCCGTTCATCACACATACATAACGGCACATCACATGCGCTATCGTCCTGCGTTATCGCCCGTTGACGCTGGTAACCGTTACTGCGCTCTGGGGGACACAGCAGCAGCGGCTGCTACCACTGGTAGTGGGGCCGAAACGGTTGACCCCGATCTGGACGCGGGGCGGGTCGCATTTTGATTCACCAAAGACGGTAAAAGGAGACCACTGGGCTTGGCAGAGTTGCTAGTGTTGTTGTTGCCGTTGCTGCTGCTGCTGCTGCGCCCAGACGTTGTCACGGGCGAGGCAGCGCTTGCAAGGGCCGCGCCGGCTTTGCGCCGCACGTAGGGCCTGAAGGAGGGCAGGGCATGAGACAAGGCGATGTAAGCATGTAAGCTGGCAAAACGTCTGAACCGGCACGCATAACGTTCACCGGTATTCCACGGGTGCTAGAACTATTTCCAGCGCAACCCCACCAGCGTGCACACAACTCCCGTGCCCTACCTCAGGTCAGGCACGGACTTGCTGATAGACAGCCCTGAAGCCGCCACAACCGGGCTGCTGCCAGCATCCGCGCCCGTCGACGCTCCCCCAGTGCTTCCCTCCCCGCTGCCCGATATCGCGTCCATGGACCGAGCCTGCAGTGGTCCCCGCGCGGGGCCGTCCGCCCCCTGGTGGTGCCCGCGGTCGCCCTGCTGACCTCGCTGCTGTACGGCGAAACGTGCGCGGGGCTGTACGGCGCCCTTATTGATCTTGTTGTGCCCGTCTGCGTGCGGGGAGTTGCCATGCAGGGATGGCAGCACCGACGACCCCGCCCCATCCGCCACCCCAGCTATCCGTTGGTTGTCTCTACTACTCGACTCCTCAGGCATGTCAGTTACAGCCCCAGCCCCGGCCCCCGCCGCGGCCGCCCCGGTAACTGCCGCCGGCTTACCGCCGCCGTACGCTGTGCCCCCAGCGGATAACCCGCACGACGGCCCCGCTGGCTGCGTGCGTTCCTCCGCTTGCGGCGAGTCACCGCCGTCAGTCGACGAGAACAGCCGCAGCGGCTGCGGCCGTACCCTTGAGGCCGCCTGACGCGGCGGCAGGCGCTCCTTAGGCCGACCCGCTGGGAAGGCCGCTGGGCCGGTTTGCGGCCCCGAACGCTGACTGAGATTCCTCGGCAGTCCGGAATCCGAGCAACCGGTGCTCGATCCCACGCTCTTGCAGCTGTCCTCGACAGCAAGCGGCGGACCCGAGCCCCGGCTACCGCACTGCCTCGGCCGCTGATCCCCGCCGCTGCCACCGCTGCTGCCGTCTCCGGTGCCGGTGCCTGCGAGCGAGAGGGAGTGCCCCTCAAAGCGTGTGTTCTGCTGCTGTCTGTCCGCACGCGACAGGAAGCTAGGGTGGCCGCCAAGCAGCGCACCGCCGCCGGCGCCGCCGCCGAAGGGCGATCCCCGACGCGGCAAGCCGCCGTGAGGTGACAGCGGCGGCGGCCGACGACGTACCGGTAGCTCTAGCAGTCGTGGCGGTACAGCAACCACTGCCGGGACGCTGGCGCGGGAGCCGCCCGAGCTGTTGCCGTCTCCTGCGCCGCCCCCGCTGCAGGCATGCGCCATGCCACCCCCGGAGTGCTCGCCTCCAGCCCGACCAGCGGCCCGGGCGGAAGGGACAGTCACCACCGCGACAGCCGAAATGACGGCGTCCTTGCAACCATCTGCTGCAACTGGCGGCTGCACTGCAGCACCGGTAGTTGCTGCATGGCCCGCCGCAGCAGCAGCAGCCGCAGCTGCTGCTGCTTTAGCCACGGACTTTGCCGACGGTAGAGCGGGCAAGCGCAGCTGCTGACCGCGCCCGATCGCCTCCAGACCAATCTGCGGCAGGCTTTGTGCCCTGCGACGTAACCGCCAGTCGTTTGCCCAGGCGCTGGAGCCACAGCCCACTATGCCTCCCGGTGCCGTGACGGATGTGGGGTTGTGCTGCATGCAGGGCGGAGATGATAACGAGCTACGATCCAACGGATGCTGACTGGATCGCGGGCGGCCCACTGGCTTCAGCAGCTGCTCAAGCCGAGCTGACAGCTGGGCGGCGGCTGCGCGTATGGACGACAGGGGCTGCAGCTTGCCGCCACGGCCGGGTTCGGGATCTCGGCCCTCCGTTCGCGGGTGTTCACAGGCGGCGGCAGCACCCTGCGCCAGCAGTGGGGATGTGGTGAATGCGCACACATGGCAGTGGGGATGTGGTGAAACCTTGGCAGTGCCTGGGCAGCAGGTTGCAACGTAAAGTGGATACATGGTGGCCTGTCCAAAAGCCCCCTAACAAGCACAACAGAAAGCCGGGGGTTGCAGCCCTGTGTAACAGCAAGCCTTTACCGTACCTGCAACGGCGCTCGTCGGGACTCCTCCAATGACCACGCGGCTGCCACCTTGCCACCGCCGCTCCTCGCGCCTGGCTGCATGCCCCCGCCGCTCACCCTGCCCTTGGAGCCGCACAGGGGGTCCGGGCGCGGGTGCCGCTGCTGCTCATGCAGTTGTTGGTGTGGCTGCTGCGGCTGCTGCTCCTGGTGCACCTGCCGCTGCCCATGCGACTGCTGCTGCGCCTGCTCTTCATGCTGCTGCCGCCGTATCGGTACCTGCTGCTGCTGCTGCTGGGGTCGGTGAGGGCCGTCCGGGGAGGGTAACCGCTGCGTGTGAACGGAAGCCGGCGGAGGCGAGGTAGCAGAGGCTTGGTTGCCAGCGCTGTGCCCCGACTGACTGGGCGGCGGCGGGCCGCAAATGACGGGTATGCCGCCTCGAAGGAGCAACACGTAGGACCCCTCTTCAGGAGCCGCCGCAGCGGGAGCAGCGGGGGCCGTGGCGGCGACAGCAGCCGCCGCAGGTGCGGCGGCGGTGGTTGCAGCAGCACCTCCCCGGTCAGCAGCCGCGCCGCCGTTGTTGTTGCTATTTATGTTGCTGCCGCTGTTGTTGTTGTTGTTGTTGTTATTGCCAGCCGTGGGGCCGGCACGCGTGCTGGCCCGGGGCCCATCAAACTGCAGCATGACTCGATGTACCGGGCTCCGAGGGCCCCCGGGTCGGCTGGCGGTGTCCTTGAGTGCCGGCGAGGCCACCCGCCGCGGCAGCTGGGGGGAGTCAAGGTGCCCGGCGGAGGTGCTGTCCGCGCTGCCGCTAGCGTTGTGGGAGCCGCTTGGGCTCCTGCAGTCGCTTCGGCTGCTGCCCCTGCCGTTGCTGCTGGTCAGGCTGCTGCGGAAGGGGCGCATGATGGGGACGAAAGGCATAGGGCCCGAGGACGTGAGCAGGCCTGCCGGACCAGGACCCGGAGCACCGTCGATGGCGATGATGGTGGACCGCCGGCTTACGAGGCCGGTGGGGGGCTCAGGACTAGCAGCCCCGTCCGTACTTGAGGATGAAGTGAGTTGTGCTGCTGCTGCTGCTTGTGCTGATGATGATGCAACTACGGCGGCGTCCTGGGATGCTGCTGCTGCAGCAGCAGCGTTTCGGGCTGATGCCGCATCTGCAGGCGCTGCTGCATCGGCTGGGGAAGTCACACCGACCGTCGTCATGGCCGTGCCTGCCGCAATGGCTGCGTCAGGTAAGGAGCTGGGAGCACTTGCCGTGTCGGCTTGAGCTGGCGCCTCCGAGGCAGTTCCACTGCTGCTGAGGCTTGCATTGGAGCTGGCGGGAGGACACGTTGCGGTGGTGCCTGTGCTGAGGTCCGGTGTGGCATCTCCAAGAACACCCACAGCAGCGGTGGAGCCGAGAACAGTGCCATCGTTTGCGACATGGCTGGAACTACTGATGGTGACCCCAGCCGGGTCTGTGAAGGAAGCGCCAACCTCGCCGGACTGCGGCTCCTCTGCAGGGCCGCAGATGGCATCCCCGGTAGCCCCGGCAGCAGTACCAGATACGGAGCGGATGCCAGCTGGACGTCCGGAAGCTGTGCATGCTGTAGGTGACTTTTCACAAGCTTCTAGGTGTCCTCCAGCAGCCGAGCGACCATCGCCGAGTAAGGATTCAGGCGCTGAGGCAACGACGTAAGCATGGGAAGAGTCACGGTGGATATTAGCGGCCTCTCCAGAAATCGTGCCGCCATTGGATGCCCTTGCGTTTCTGCCTGGAGTGTTATCCGCTGCTGCAGCATTTGAAGCAGCTAGCTCAGCGACGCCATTTCCGAACGCCTCGCCTGCATCCTCGTGCTTGCCAGCTTCAGAAGTCAGCGCGCCCTGCGGCTGTGTCGCTACCGCCTCTGTTGCATCTAACAGAACTGCTGCTACCTGCTCTTGTGCCGTGCTTGCACTTTTCGCTGTCGGTTGGAAGGACAGCCCCTCCGGCCTTACCCAAGCAAAACCCTCGATACGGGCTTTTATGGACAGCTTACGTGGCCCACTAGGGTTTGACGGGTTGGCGGTCCCGCAACCGGGGTCAGCCAAGACAACCGGCGACACCTCATGCGGAACAGTCACCACGGCTTTGCGGCCGCGCCGAGCCACTTCGCTGTTATTAACTGGAGCTGGCTTCAGTATAAGATCTTGAAGATCCGGTCGGCGTTGCAGAATGAGTTGAAGAAAGTCTTGGTTTTCTTCCTCGTGCATTGCACGCTAAATGTCCGCGTAAGACTTCACAAGAAAGGTCAAATTCCATACGCGAGTGTTTGTAGGCATATATTGCATCGCGTGAAAACTTTGTAATTTAAGCCGCTAGTCGGCTTGCGCTGATAGGTGAGGGGTCCAGGCTGCGCGGCTATGTCATCCTAGGTCAGCAAGTTTTGAACAACTAGCAAGTAAGGTAATCTGACATATAAAATGTGAGGTTTGTGCGCCTAGTGAAGGGAGGCTCCACAGGTAGGTCCTTCGCATTCATACGACAGAATCGAGCAAAAGGAACCAATACAGCAGTGCCTGGCATGAGTTTCCATGCTACCAAGATACGAAGCTATACTCCACTAGCTTAGACACTTCAAATATAGCGTGTTTCGTTTTCCAAGCGCCAGCGTGCCAAGGGGATAGTGAGGAAAATAGCTGGCATCCACTTTTGCAGACACCTCTGTGATGGTTATATGGACACTGGATGTACCTATCTTGGCTGCTCATTTATTCGACCGTCTACTGAACGACGAGCATGTCCCAAGAATTGCTAGATATGAAACATGAGGTGTCTCGGAGCGCTAACCCATCGATGTATATAGCTGATGAGCCTGCACCATCGTATTCACAGCTGGAAGACGGGGCGCCGGGGCAGGATTCGGCGCCTTCAATGGGGAGCTCTTCGCGCGTTGTCCGCGGCAATGCCAGACAAACCGACCACACCCCGCCACAAAGTGCTGGGGCTGATCGGCCTTCCAGCGTGACGGCCTCGTCCCTACCAAGCCGCGAGGCCTCCATGAGCGGCTGCAGGCCCATCAGCGGGCCAGGCCCGGAGGTCAACGGCATCACATCCCAATCCCTTGCCCCACGCGGCCCGGTCCCCGGCACAAGCGACAGCCACGGAACCGCGGGGTGGGCGGCACCCTGGTCTGCCCAAGCCAACCGCCCTCCCAGCGCCCTCTTCCTCACCGCTGTTGCCCATGCTGGGGGCAACCTAGCCAACCCGGCAGACGCGGCCCCCAACCCCAAAGCTCCGGAACGCAGGACCTCCTCCTCCACAACTCCTCGGTTACCCGAGATTCCGGGCGCGGCCGCCTCCTCAACAGGCGCCTCAGGCGACCCGCAGCCGCGGGCAGTCGACCCCCGGCCGGTCACTGCAACTGACGAGCTCCTGGCCGCTGCTGTCGCCCGGCTTCATCGGGAGTCCGGTGAGCAGGAGCAGCAGCAGCCGCAAACGGCGCTGACGCAGCAGCAGCGGCAGCAGGCGCAACTGCAAGACCCGCAGCCGGTGTTAAACAGCAAGTCACCGCTGATGGCCGGCAACACCGCGATCGCACTGGGTCTGCTGGGGTCGGGGCCGCTGGCGCCGTTGTTCGATAACGGGCGGCCTAGCTTCCGGGCCCGACAGCCCTCTGTTGTCCTGGAGTCTGCAGGCCGCCGACGGCTGGTGTCGCGGGATGGTTGCGTCTCTCCAACCGCTCTGGGAACCCCGGCAGCAGCAGGCGCCGGCGGTGTGGGCGGCGGCGTGAGGACGCCTGCGGCGCTCGGGTGAGCGCATGCGTTCATGTGTGCCTGGCGTGTTACGCCGGCCATGACGGCCTGTGTCGTGTATGCGCCGGAATGTGCGCCGGCCGCCATCGTGCTCCGTCGTGGGACGGGTGTCATTGTTAGTGCCAGTTCTGTGAAGCTGTGTTGTGCCTGACTGGAGTGCCGTACCACCATTGACTTGCCATGTTACCCGCTTTGTTTATGCCCATGCTTACTGCCGTCCCTCGCTCCGGCGCTCCCTCCCTTGCTCCCTCTGCAGCTCCCCCACCGGCCGGACGCTCCAGGACAGTGCCAGCTACCGAGGCCTCAACCCGGACTCCCTCACTCGCACTGCCACCCTGGCGTCATGGCCCCAAGACAGCAGGTAGGGAATTGGCGGCAGCTACCGTTGAGGAGACGCCAAATGTCTTCCTCCCATGCAAACGGGTGCATAAGGCCATGCCTTAACTGCAGACTGGGTGACATGCTCAAACCCACGTGCCGGCTCTGCCTCTCCTTCACACCTCTGCATCCGCTGCTCGCCACCCCAACGCGGCAGTGATTATACTAACAGCAAACTCCTTCCTCTTTATCCATTGCCCCCTTGCTTCCCCTGCCTGCCCTCCATCGCAGGCGCTCGCTGACCTCAAGCAACCCGCAGCGCCCGAGCTCCTCCTCTCCGCTGTACCCCTCCCCGCCGCCGTCAGCACCCCACAGTGCCGGGTTGCCAGCAGGCAGCGGTGCGGCGGGCGCCGGCGGGCTCAGGGACGGCCTTAGTGCGGGCCGAACCTCCGGGCACATAACATATGGCACCCTGAGTAGCGCGGTCGCCATATCGCAGCCGGGCATTGCCTCCTCCTCCTCCAGCCACCCATCAAGAGAGCCCTCTGCACATGCAACCCACAGCAGCACGGCAGTAGCCCATGTCGGCTACGCAGCCGATGTGGTTCAGGACCAAACAGGCAACCAGCCACCGCAACAGCAGGCTGGGACCGCCACCGCAACAGCAGTTATCACCACCACAACCACCACCACCTCCTCTGCGACATCCAACGGGCGCACCAGCTTTGCCGGCGGCGGCGGCGGCGCAGCCTCCCACCTCCCACCGGGAGCTGCGCCGCCAGCCAAACGCAGGGCGCGCATGCAGGCCTACAGCGCGCGCCGACGGACCCATGGGTCACCAACTCTTTCGCCCGAAGCCTCGGAGCAAATGGCACCTGTGCTGCATCTCAGTACAGTCAGTCCCATGCTGGCTCTAGAGCCGCTGGAGCAGCCCAAGCATGCCCTGGCGCATGTCATGCGAGTGCTCCACATGCGGTCGGGTATGTCAACCATGATCACCAGACACTACGTGGAGGTATCACACCATGTGGGGGCTCGGCAAGCGGGCATGTTGCCGCATGCAGCGCATTCCTTCCCGGCGCCCATGCTGCCCAGCGTGCCGCGCTTTACACCACTCCCGCAGCAGCAGCCACCAGCGCAGCCGCTCCGGCCGCTGCTGGCTCGTTCCAAAGCGCGAGGCGTGTCTGCTCGGAACAACGCCGCAGCTGAGCCGCGACGGCCCAACAGTCCGCCGTTCGCAAGGCCTTCTCAAGGCCGTGCTGCAGTACGGCAAGGGCAGGTATCGGATGCCTCTGGCTACATGTCGGGTGACGCGGCCGCTGCCGCCACTGCTGCTGCGGCATCAACAGCAGCTGCATGGTCGCCATACGGACAGGGCTCAGGCCCGATCGATGCTGCAGCGGAGGCAGCGGAAGTCGGTGCGGGGGCCACGTCTCCACGCACGCAACCGCCCACCGTTACCGTGCCCAGGAGGCCCATTCCGTACAGCGCAGCTGAGACGCCCATCGTGTCGCCGACGTCGCTTCAGGGCCGAGCCGCTGCGCACGCAGCCGCCATGGCCGCCGGCGGCGGGGGGCACTACGGTGCCATACATGCAGCCGGAGGAGACTCCCCCATTCGCGGAGGTGTTGCACAGCCGCTTGCAAGCTCGGTGGATGGTACGCCCACGCTCACTTTGATAGAGGAGAAGGGGGCCGTGGGGCCACGCCAGCCGCGCGCGCGGTCGCCGCATGCGCAACAGCAGTTGGCCATGGGCGGGCCCTTCAGTTTAAGACGGACGGTCTACTATGACTGGGTTGAGAGCACGCCGCTTGCGGAACGGCTTGGGGCGGGGAATGTGGGTGGTGTGATTGCAAACGGGTTAGAGGGCAAGGCGCTGGTGCTCAAGCGGCAGCTGCCGGATCGGTCGTCACCTGTCTACTTCAAACCCGCGTACCAGAAGCCGCTGTTGGGCGGGGATGTGTTGCATGTGCTCTAGCGTGTCGGGCTGCGAAGAGGGTGAGGAGGTGTGGACGAGGCACGGCGCCTCCAGGGTACCGGTACTGCTTGTGGCGTTGTGGAGCTTTGTATCTTCTACAATCTTGAATTAGAGCATGTAGCAGCCGCATGCTGTCTTTCCTCAGCTGCCTTGCCGCTGTTAATGGCTGTTTATCTGCGGTCGTGAAGGGATGTGGACCGTTTTCGCGCTCAGGGAACACCGCTCACTGCAGGGCTGTATGCCGACGACTTACGTCAAATTCCTTTGCAGACGACGCATGGCGTGCGATTTCTCCTTGGTACGCCAGTCCGATTGGACGAATGCGGCTCGGCTGCGGTTCTTGGGTTTCCTTATTGTTGGCTATTGTATTCCAGTTGGCTACATACAGCAAGGCTCGGTTGTCGGTGGTGGTGGAAGGTATTGTTTGTGAGGACGTTTTATGAGGAGGAATGATGTGCATGAAACGCTAGTGCATTGGTGTATTGTGGTGCTGAGAGACGCACCTGCCAATAGCGCAGTCGCCTTGTTAGTACGGTTAGTACGCACCCTTTTGGTCCGTCTGCGGAATCTTTATTATCCGGCTTGTATAATGGATGCATCTAGATGTGGCGAAATGCGTTCTCCTGAGGCTATACGGTCGCTTGGGGGCTTCATCTGAATTATTAAGGTTACTTGTAGGCTCTTGAGGTTAAAAGATGGCATGGGGGCCGTTGCAGCTTGGGATTCGCCATGGGGTTCACTGCAGCACAGGTCTCCCAGCTGCAGACGGCCGCATGCTGCCTTTTGGGTTTGGTGCACAGTTGGTTAGCGAGTGTTGGGAGTTGGTGGCTCTAGGTCTGTGACCATGGCTATGGCAGGGCCCGAAGATGTACCTGCAGTGCATGGCTGGTTCATACCTGTCGTTGAAGTTTGCGTTGCATGGAGGTACGTTCTTGTCCTAGTCGGCCGTAGCTGGTAAGGTTTTCTAATCTTGCTGATGCTCTCGTTTTTGCCGGTTTTTGCTGTAGCACTGGGTACCGTAATGACGACAATGTGATGTGGAGCCAACGCTCCCTACCGGATTAATAAGCGACATGCTTGCAAGCCTGTAAATGTTTGGTCCGTATCCATTCGTCACCAGTGTCCCAGGCAATCCTTCAGTTGAGAGGACTGTCGAGTACAAACCCATCATCCTTCCAAGCATCCTTCTGGTGTGCTGTGCGAACACCTGCACACTGCATGTGTGGTGTTCTGTGGGGACTTCAGTTTCCGACTCGCTCCTGCCCCTCTATCGCAGCCGGTGTGCGGCCTTGCTCGCACTGTGCTGCTGCGCCCGCTCGCTGGCCGCCAGCAGCCCCCCCGGCAAGCGCACCATGGAGCAGGCGGACGACCTGGCGGCGCTGTTCAAGCGGCTGCCGGTGAGGGGGAGCGAGAGAGGGAGGCGCGGGCTCGGGGGGAGGTACTAGGGCGGGGCTGAAAACTTGGAGCATGGGGACGGGGGAAGCAGGCATGTGTGAGCAATCGAAAGGGGTGGGGCGGGACAGGAGCGTGCTTTCGGCTGTAGGTTAGCTTGTGAGGTAGAGTAAGAGATTGTTCGCATAGGGCTTTCTTTATGCAGCTAGCTACCTTTTTGTTAATGGGCTCTTTCATCGCCCTGCCCAACTAACGTCCTCCCGGCGTGTCGCATGCTTTCCCTGCAGGGCCTGGGTCGCACCCCTGCCCCCGTGCTGCGTGCCATGTCTGAGGCGGCGGCGCTGCACCGCCACCATCCTCTTTGAGCAGCACACCCGCAGCAACTCGCAGTACGTGGTGTTGGCAGGGGAGGTGCAGGTACGGCACCGGCAGCAGAGCAGGGAGTGGCGGGCAGCCCTGGCGGCGCTGCAGCAGGGCGCAGGCGCGGGCGGCGCAGCACTTGTACATTGTCTTCCTGGCGATTCAGTACCTGCAGTGGCGAGAAATTCAGGGTTGGCCGTTACCTTCTTCGCTTGCCCGCTTGCATTGGGCCCCGCACGCCGCCTTAAGCTTTGCCATGACTTAGTTTGGGCTTTCGCTACTGCAATAGTCCTGTGAGCTTTACCTGATGATGCAGGATGGTGAAATGCATGTCAGGGATGTTGGTATTTTTGCAGGGACTGCTGGGCTTCCTAAAATGCATGGGCTGTGTGCTAGGGATGGCCAACACTGGCAGCGTGCTTGAGTTGAAGCGGCTTGCTACGCACATGAGTGTTGCCATACCGGGGGCCGTCCCAGTAACTGCGAGTAACTGCGTGGCCTCTAGCGTCGGCCTTGCAAGGTGTAACAGGAGGTAACCTATCTTCGTGTGATCTCTTGCATTTGGGACAACCGCCCAACATAACGTGCCGCTTGGTTCAACGGGATTACGAGTGGGACGCTAGAAGGGTTTGCAATCCTAAGGAGTAGAATGGCAAAGAAGTCTGGTACAAGACGAATGTGTGTCACGGTATCATCGTTCTACTTGTCACTGTGGCTGCTTTACGACACGAGGCCCAGCTAGGCTGCTGATCTGGCTGAGTAAGGAAATCATGCAATACGTGCCATGCAGAGAACGCGCACGGGAGGTGCCCTCCCCTCGCAAGGAGGGGAGGAAGAAAAGCGTTTTACATCTTGCAAGTATCCAGTAAACTAACAGCAGCTATGTAAACGACAAATGCTCTATAGCCTCAATATCTCTGTGGTTATTTCTATTTACAGCACAATAGCCACCAAACACGCCTGACGCAAACGGTACCTTAAGGCACGAGCCCACAAAACATGACCCGTGGGTCGCACATGTGTACTACACCCCGCATTGAATGAAGCAGCATACGAAAAACAAGACGCATGAACAAAGCATGCTTACCCCGCTCAGACCTCTCATGTTCCCGCGCAATTGCCTTCCGAGCCCCCCCCTATGGTCTCCTATGGTATGGTCTTTGACCCCCCTCTGCCGCGGATTGGGCCATCCGCTACCTTTGCCCCATCTGCGCTGTTAGTCTCACTCCGCTATTGACGTTGCTGTTATTGCTGTTGTTATGGATCTTGGCATCAGTCTTGGTGTTAAGCCTCGGGTGCTGCCTTGAACGAGTTTTGCGCCTGCGAAAAGCCAAGAAAGTGCGGGATCAATAACAGGGTTATGCATGCAGAGGGGGCCACTGCCATGCGAGGAAGACACACCCAAGCAAAACACAAGCCATGCATGCGTCACCAACAAAGATGCACTGCTCTACACGAATGGGTGTACCTTCAAAGTGCCCTCTTTTGGTGTTGGTCTTGGCAGAAGGAGTCCTGGTCGTAAGGCTCGGATGCCGCCTTGAAAGAGCTCTCATCGTACCTGCGACAGCCAAGAAAGGGCAGGTTCAGTGACAGGGTCTTGATATCGAGCCAGTGTGATAACAGCAGGTGTCGCCTTGATGCATAAGCCTAGAGATGCATGCGCGACGTTTAGCTAGATAATACGTGACCCTATACCATCCAGGCAAATCCCCACGGGACAACCATTGTCATGTCTACACGCATGCATGCAGTGCCCCGCACGTCTGGACGTACCTTTGTAAAGCACGGGTCGGCAACCGAAGGGAACGCGATTCCGTGGGGCGCTTGGCTGTCGGGCTTGGCCAAAGCTTCAGGTCGGAGAGGGGAGAAGAGAGTGCCAAGCGGACTCGGGGAGGGGGAGGCGGAGGGGGCAACGAGGCAGGATGAGGTCGATGTCTCCTTGGAGGTTGTAGCCGTGATTGGGTCTTGTCACTGGCTCAGGGCGGCTTGCCCTTGGTGGATGGAGCCCGCAGCTCCCGAGTGACGCAAGCATTCGGTGTTCATCATGCTGCCAAGGCTCTGTGGCACAGGGGTCCGGGCGACAAACGTATGGTTAGGATTGCGATCGCGTGAAGACGTCTTCACAAGCAGCGTAGCGCAGCAGGCTTGGAACGTCATTGCCATAAAGCATTAGCGCCGAAGGAGCCGAAGGATGTCAATCGCCGGATGCCTGACGCGCCACTAACGAAACTGACTACAACAGAAAATCCTTATCTGAATACAAAATGACATGATGTAGAGCGATAAAGCACTATGGTTGAAGGTAAAACTGGTTACGCTGAAAAGGCCCAACTCTTCGTACCGGTTAATTAATGCTTGGGATAGCCTTAAGAGTACTCTAGCAGTCTTGGGCAGCACGCAGACCTGCGAAAGGTAAACAAACGCCTGTCAACTGGCAGGAAAGCATCGATGCGGCCAAAGCACATTTTGAACCTTTAGTTATAAGAGCACCTCTTGCCACGTTAACACCGGTGGATAGACAGTGCGTGTGGAAAGCCTGCAAAGGCTTGTAAAGACTTACCTTGACACCTGGTCCCAGCCACCGGTAGTCCGCCGGTACACAACGCAGTGTCAAGACTTTCACACCCGTTTCTGAGGTTGCCTAAGACCAAAGCTGCATAGTTAAATATACGTTATTGCTGTGGTAATAGGGCATGGCCTTTTGGGTATTTATTGCTGGACGTTCAGTGTCGTACCTTCGCCCAGTAGCGCCGTGCGCGAAAACCCTGGAAGCGTAATTGCAGGTTACGCTAACGGATTGATGACATAGATGCAAAACCACAACGGTCGATTTCCGTATAGACGTATTCACGAAGGCCGCATAGGGTAGTATAGATTATTGGCATCCTTGGATGGCGAGCCAAGTAGCTAAGCCTACTGTCAGATATTACGAAGATGCACACATGTCAGGTATCATTGCCCGTAGATATCTTCATGTAACTGTCAAGTTGCGGAAAAGCCAAGGATGCACACGTGCGTTAAGAGCATTTCCACAGAACTCTGCTGCTATATTAGCCGACACCAGGTTTATGAGTTGGGAAGTGCCACTGCGAGCTCAGACAGGATAATGCCACTTTGCGCCGTCTTAAGGGTTCCATATTTAACGCCACAGCACTCCGCAAAACGTGGGAAGGTCGGCGGGTCGGGTTAAGAGTGCAACAGCCCAAAACCACAATGGTAAACCAACATTCATCACTAGATGACATATAATCACTTCATTACCACCATAATGCAAGATTCACCACATCCAGCAGCCTTTCCTTCACAACGCGTCCCACCACACTCCAACACCACATCCTAGCGCGGCACAAAGCCCACCTGCACAGCATCCTTCAAAGCGCCTTGCCACGCCCACATCACCCTTGCATGATACCGGTATATACCCCTCCCACATTCCGCACGCACCCCAACCACATCTGGGTTGCGCCACACATCCTGCCTCCAACCAACTCACAGTCCGGATCCCAGGATGCTTCATGCAGCCTCCAGAGCTCCTCTACGCCCGTACATCCCTTCCCCCCGTTCCTTGTTGGCGAGAGCCTGGGCTACAAGCCGCTTCTCCGCCTCACTCGGAGGCAGCCGCCGGACCTCCATAAGCGCAGCGTCCTCCTCGGGCAGCGAGATGGAGGAGGGGGGCACCTCGAACGCCCGGCCATTCACCGTGTGAACCCTGAGACGGGGCGCGGGCGGGGCGCAGCAAGCGACCGGAAACCGGCAAAGAGTAGACTCAGTCTTTTGGCTAAGTGGGGTGCATCGTACATGCCTAGCGCAAAAGAAGTGGGGTGCATCGTACATGCCTAGCGCTCCAGTACGCGGAAGTCTTGCGGAAGAAGATGCGAGTGGCTCCTCCTGCCCCACACAAACTTCCCAACTCTTCACACCCCAAACCCCCTCCCGTCCATGATGACGCCTCATCATACGGTCAGTTAGTTGTTTCCTTTTTATCCTCCCGCCCCGTCGGCCCCCCCCCCACCTGATGGAGGTGATGTACAGCCGCTCCATGGCCCCAGTAACTGCCACGTGCGCCAACCGCCGCTCCTCCTGGGGGTGGCGGGGCAGTGGGCGGGACGGTGGTACGACAGTGTACGGCAAAACCGTTGTAGAGGGCGGAAATGCCGCATGGGAAGAGTTGGGAGATGTACCCACATTCGGCTTATATGCATGTATGCACCGCACTGCACTGCACCTATGCTGCACTGCACCAAAAAGGGCGCACACATCACAGCTCGCATCACAGCACGCATCACAGCACGGCCCCACCTGGGAGTGCTCCGCAGCATGCTTTCGCTCGGCTTTCACCCTCTCCTGCGCAGGCAGCCGCTCCAGCCGCTCCTGCACCTCCTTCTCCAACCGAGCAACCGTGGGCAGGTAGCCCTCGTTCCATCGCGCCACAAACACCACCGGCCACTCCAGCCCCTTGGCCGCATGGATGGTGCTGATGGTGACGGCGGGCCGGCGAGTGGCCTTGGCTGCGGCACCAGCAGCGCCGCCCCCGCCGCCCGCCTCAACCTCCCTGCAGGCAGACACCCGGTTAGCGGTCAGCAAGCAGGGGGGGAGAGTTTAGGCCTACGCCCTAGCCATCCATCCGACATGCACGCATGCAGGGCCATGCAAGAAGGCAGAGGAAGAAAGGACCAGTAAGTTGGCATGGAGGAGCTAAACGGAGGAGCTAAACGGAGCATGGAGGAGCAGCGGAGGAGCATGGAGGAGTTCGACGGTGTGTACGACAGCCTGGTGTCGACAGCCAGGCATCAGCGCTACCCCTCCACCGCACCCACCCACCTGTCACTCAGGCACACGTGCGCCAGGAAGTCTCGCAGCACCAGCGGCCCCCGCCGCACCTCGCCGTACACCTGCTCCAGCACGCAGGGCACCACCGGCGGCAGCCCCGTGCAGGGGCACACGCGGTGCAGGGCGGCCTGCAGGGCGGGTGTGTGTGAAAGGGGGGGGTGTGGGGGTGGGGGTGGGCGGGAGTTGGAGATGGTGCGTGTGCACACATGCAAAGAAGCAAGGGTGCGCTCCGAGTGCGCTCGGGTTTAGGGTAAAGTGCGTAACCCCTTATGCGTCATGCCTGTTCACTTGCTCAAACTCGCAGACGAGTGTGTCGCACAGCAGGGAAGGGAGCCCCTGCGAACTGCTGCCCCACCAGCGCCCGCCTCTTCTCTCTCTTTCTTTGCCTCCAGCCGGCCCCCAGCCGACCTGATGTCCGCACCTGCAGGTCCTCCCCGCTCAAGGAGGACATGGCCGCCTGGGCAGCCAGCTGGAAGAGCTCGGGCACCCCCCGGGCCTTGAGCTTGCCCCCTTGTGGCTGCTGCTGCTGCTGCTATGGTTGTTGTTGCGATGGCGGCGGCGGCGCGGAAGAGCCAGGCTGCCAGCCCTGCGTCCCTTTCTGCTGCTGCTGCTGTTGGTGTTGGTGTTGCTGTTGACCTTGAGTGGAAGAGCTGCCCCCCTGCTGCTGGCGGCCCTCCTCTCCCCAGTCCCCCTCCTCCTCCCCCTCTGCAGCACCAGCCGCAGCGGGAATCCGCCACTTGGCAGCAAACAGCTGCGCCTCCTGCGGTGGAAGAGGAAGGAAGAGGAACACACACAGGACGGAGGGAAGCGGGTCACGAGACGACAAGATTAACATCCACTAGGAAAGGCATGCGACGTGTACCGGCAACCAAAGGAACAAGGGGCCTGGGGACAATGCCAGACCCACGCAAGGCATTTTCCTTTCCAGAAGGTCTGACACCTCCCCCCGGCCCCTTGTGCCGTATCCAAGCCCTCTCCCTCTCTCGTGCATGCATGGGCATTCATGCTGCTCCGCTCTGCGACCCAAATGGCCTAAAAGGTCATGTTCCTTCGTTTTTTTGACCCAGCCACACAACACGATACCAATTCCTATACCCGCCACCATCCCTCATCCCACGAAGCCAGTTCTCCTAACACTCTGCATACACAGCGCCGATGCACAACCGGGTATCCTGAATGAGCAAAGCCTCCAGCGTTCTTCAAATGCCCTCAATAATTTCTCCAGTGGGCTCATTAGGGCCTCAGCTGCAGCACACATGCCATCCGCCGTCACCGCTGCTACTGGGGCCGGAGCCAGCGCCGCCGCTGCTGTACTGCCGGTCCGCCCGTAGCACCCCCACAAGCGTGCGGAGCGCCTCAGGCGGCCAGGAGCCCTCTTCTGCCGCCTGCCGTACCTGCTGCGGGCATGAAGCATACGATTGCGTTATGCACCAATCACCTACCAAGTTGTGACGATGCGGTATTCTTGAATGGACAGATTGCTAATGCGCTGGGCTGGTACCCTCGTAACGGGGTGCAGCGTCCCGGTCGTCGCCAGTCCCGACCGGGACGCTGCACCCCGTTCGGTGGATGATGTTTTGCCCTAGGCCTGGCGTGTCAGGGCTTGTAACAAAGCAACAAGTGTGGCCTATTATTAGACCTGTCTGCCCATTCCTGATATTCCATATGTGTGGGTTCCGCTTGCCACTTCCCTTAGGGCTATGCCCAAGAAAAGGGTTCGGGCGAGCTTGTGGGCGCCGTAACGAGCGGTAGCGGGACTTAACTGCAAGCACTTTTCATAAGTTTCCCAGACAAAACATTTGCTCAGTCGCCTAAAGATAGCTCCTGGAGACACCATGCGCGTGTGCAGTTGTTTACCCGGCATGGCTTCGGAGCGCGCATCGATGTAACCAAATTGCCTGGTGACTCCATGTTTCTTGGTATGATCCTCTTGACTATATTCCATTGCTCACTACAAAAGAACAGTACCGGTGACAGTAACGACCATATACACAGTTTTTAGACGTTGATGCTTTCAGGGCACACGGCTACCCTATTGATACCGCTTAGATGAAGGCAGCTGGATACATGGAAGTCCTCTGATAAACTTATGTTGCAACTCTCGGGGCGCCAAGGCGTCTAAAAAGAGTCCGCGCCGTTTCTGAATACCGGTAACAGTGACATCGAGTTTCGCATAAGCTGCACATATTTGTGCTTCCTCAAAAGGAAGGTTTAGCTTTGAGCCACAGTTTGCGCCTTAAATGATTAGCTTGGGTAGCCGCAACGCCCGGCATGCAACCAAAGCAGCTGGCTGGGTGCCCTCCGCCCACGGTCGCCACAGCTACGCGGCAAGCTAAGCTGCGGCCCCTATGGCGCTCTATGCAGGTACGTTAGGTTGCGGTGTTTATTGTCAAGGGCAAAATATGCAGTTATCCTATCTGTTCTTCCTCCTGCGCTGCGGGCCTGATGGTGCCCTTAACTGATGTGGTTCCTTTCCTTGTACTTCAATCGGCGGTGAACTGCAGGCGTCCATCCGCACACCTGGTGGAGAGCCAGATGAGGCGCAAGCCCCGGACCGATCAACGAGCGAGCCCCGGAACCCGGCTCAAAACGACGATTCGCAGCAACAGGTAGCAACGGTGGTGGCGGGCCCAGTGCTGGAGCATCTGCTGGTTCCAACGGTAATCGGACCCTACGCTAGCGCCGATGGCCCTCCGTATTCGCTCGACGCAGCGGCTGCAGCTGGATCAGCTCTGGGCCTGTTCGGCGGTCGCTGCATTCTGACAAGAAGTTCTGATGATGCAGCAGCCGCTGCCAGAGTCAGCGGGAGCGCCGGGCGAAGAAGTCCTGAGCCGGCACACCTGGGCCAGGCGCGTGACTTGGCAATAAGCGCGATGGTCTTGTCAGAGCTTGTTGGAATGCTTTCTGGACACGGGAGAAAGGCAAGTGAAGTGGGTTGAGGGGATTGACACACGGTCACGGGGCAGTGTTACGAAACCATACATGGGCTATGCAGGTCGGAAGCGTGTGTGCGGTAGAGATGCTGCGCTCTAGGCAGGCACTCAACCAGCGACACCTTCGTTTGGTTCAACCTATATGAAGTTAAGTCCCTGTTCAGTAACCTGTATCCCGCATGCTGCATGCAGATCTCGCCGGACGAGATGCGCCATGTCATGGCGAGCCTCGACGCGAGCTTGCAGGGCATCCCGGGCACCGGTGTCGCGGGCACCATGCCGCCTGAGTGCCTACGCGATCTGGGTCTGCACCTGCCCTGGCACACGTCTGCGCCTCAGCAGCCTTCAGGCCCGCAGTTCCAGCCATCATCGCATCCGCTGTCCTCCCAGCTTGCTGCTGCTGCTGCCTCAGCGCCAAGCGTCAAAGCACACCAGCCGTCCTCCGCATCCTACGCAAGCGCGGAACCATGTTTAGATTCCGCAGCGCCATCAAGCTGTGCGCAATGGTCGACTCCACCCGACCATCCTCCTGCGGTTCACCTCCCAGGGCTCGTGGCAAGCTCAGCTGCGCTGATGTGTGCGGGGTCGTCCGACGCTGCGTCACAAACACGCGAAATCTTTAGCACCGTGCTGTGCAGTCTGTTTGACGAGCTATCGCAGGCCTGCGTTGGCGCAGGCGGCGGCAGCGGCACTACATCTGGGGGGAACGGCGGTGGTGTTCCAAGAAGCGGCGGTGGCTCAGGGAAAAGTGATGCCGGTGGTGCAGGTGGAAGCGCCGGGGACGATGACCTGGATACCAGTACTGGCGGCGGCGATCGAAGCAGCGGAGGCGCGTCGGATGGTGGCGGTGGGGATAGCGGGGGCTCTGGCGGCGGCGGGGACGGCGGGGAACTAGGTGACGACGATGGTCCGTGGCGGAGCCAGCCAGCAGGCCCTGGGCTCCAGTTCCATCGGCTCATGCAGTTGCTGTCAACGCTGTGCTTGCTGCTGCCGCCCGACCGTCAAATACAGCTGCTTCGGAGCTTCAACACCGCGCTAACGTCAGCGCTTGGTGCATGGGATAGCAGCAGCGCCGACGGTCACGCGCACATCGGCGCCAGCGCGTCCAGGCGTAGCCGTGAGTCGTCGTCGCGATTGCCGCCGCCACACCCATTACCACCACGAGGAGCTGCCGTACGGCATGCACGTGTCTCAACGGACGTTGAGTCGCCTCCACGTGACCTCCTGGAGTGGACCATGCCTGGGGATTGCCATTCATCAGCGCTGGTGGAACTGCTGGGGTCGGATCTGCCCACGCAGTACGTACGGCACCCATACCGGCAGCACGAGGGACACAGCAGCATGGCTGCGCCTCTGGAGCAGCTACCTGGGAAGATCGCGACCCATGGGTCATCAGCAGGTGTTCAAGGCGCACCATCGTGCGTGCAGCCGGCAATGTTTGTCGGGGCATCGCCTTGCATGCTGGTTGCTGGAATGGGCTCAGATGGGCCGTGCAACACTGGTGCCCAAGGCTTGCACGGGAGGGAGTCGGAGGTGCCGGACTTGTGGGCTGCAGCCCAGTCAGTGGCTGAGGTGGCCGATGACGACGTGCTACCTTCCTGGCTTCAGCAATGCGGGTCAAGAGGAGCGCGTGTGTCTGGGCCGGATGCGGTCGACAGTTTGGCGGCGGCAGTGCTGCCACCATCGGTTTGGCAGCCGTCTCCAACGGACGCCGCTACGCTGGGAGCAGGTGCGCCCAATACTGCCACGGCTTCCACGTAAACAAGGTTGATTTGGCAGCATACGGTGGTTTACATCTTCCCTCATCCCCGCTTCCCGAGCTCCTGATGACTCTTAACCCTAGCTGCTCGCTAACGTTCTGCTTGCCCCATCGTTATGTTCGATACTTGCAGGTGAGGTCGTCGGCACCGATGCTTGCCCCAGATCCCGGGTCCTCAACGATGGCAGCGTCCCGCTGTCAGGCAGCTCGCTAGGCATCCCGGCGGGCTCCTGCCCTCCGAGGTCGGGATCGCCGAATGGGCCAGTACTGTCTGCGCCTGACCCTACCATAAACGTCTCCGCTGCGGCGGCATCTTCCGGGGCTAATGAGCAATGCGGCATATGTGACGTTTCGCTCAATCTGCGATCCCATCCAATCACTTCGCCGATCCCTTCACCTGAGGTTGACCGTTCGCTGCTGCTGGCGCGACCACTATCTACGGCCTCTCCGCTTGCGACGGCTGCCGTACAGCTTGCGTCACCGCCACCGCAGCAAGAAGAACCGTTACCCAAGCGTTTTGACAACTCAGCCTGCAGCGCTGTAGCTCAGTTGGAGGATCCATGGAGCTGCCTTCATGGCGAGATGAACCCGACCCTCGCTCCCGTAGACCATCCTTGGCTTCCTTCCAGCCGCCTGTTGCCCGTTACTGTGGCGCCACTATTCCAGCCGCCATCTCCATCAGCCGCCAGCGCTGCGGTCTGTGCTGCGGATAGCATCCACAGCAGCCGGGTGCTGCCGGGTGCTGCAACCATGGCCAGTGGGGTCTGCAGCGGCCATGGTGGACCCCTAAAGCCCATGCTGCATGTTGAACACCGGAAGGAGGCTCTTGTCGAGGCCCCTCTTGCTGAGTGCTTCCCTCGCTCAAGTGTCGACTTTGGGTGGTCAGTAGCGCGGGGATCGGCTGGTGGCGCCGCTGGAGCAGCAGTTGCTGATGCTGCGGAGCATGCTACCGGTATGGTGTGGACTGTCCCAGGGCATGGAGGTGGGCATGGGGGTTCCCGCAGCAGCAGCGGCGGCAGCAGCACATGCAGCTCGCAAGATAGCTTCTGGTCTTCGGGTTTGTTGCCCAGGCACCCCGGTATGCCGGCAGCAGAAGCAGAGCTGCAGGGGGGTGCTGGCAGGGCCAGTGCACGGGGATCCCTGCTGGCGGGTGCTGCTCCTCCGGCGGACGTGCATGGCTTGCGACCGGCGCCACTTCCAGTCGGCGGCAGCCTTACGGCTGCGGCACCCTTTCCGGTGGCTCATACCAACCTTTACGGCGGCTTGGAAGTTGCCGGTGCGGCTCCGTGTATACCAAGCCGCGCTGCGGAACGCTCTGCCACCTCCCCATCCTCTCGGGCGCTGTGCTCTACATGCCCGGGCAGTCTGCGGCACACACCGTCGGACGCAGGCGACGGAGGTCACGCCTCATCCGCCTCAGCTCCATCGTCACCTCGGCGGCCTGGCTTTGCTGCTACAGCAGGCAACGCCTCAGCCTTGCAGGGTACACCGCCGCGGCATGTACCTCATCCGGCCCTGCTGCCGGCGGACGGGCGTGGAGGTATGCGTGCATCGTCGGCAGGCGAGCAGCAGGCTGCGCGTCGTGCAAGCTCTTCAAATGCCGGCGCAAGCAGGTCGGGTCGTCCGCCCCTCCCTCGGCAGCTCTCGAGCACTGTCATCATCTCGCGCGATGCCGTGCTGTGTGGGGCGGCTCCTCTGGGGCTGGGCGGCAGCGGGCTGGCGGGCCGGCGGTCGACAGCCAGCGGATTGGTGAGCTCGGAGGGATGGGAGGGGGGCTGTCGAACGAAGCGGTGTTGATATAGCATGAGGCACGCGGTGACCCTACCTTGCAACCCGGTGACTTGGCACTTACGATGGTCAGGTTGAGACAAGTTCTTTGATTGCTTTGTTGAAAGCAATGAAATGTTTCTTTGTCCCCTCTTTCGGCTTTTGCCTGGTCGCAGGTCTCCAGCCCTGCTGGCCGTGGCTCCCTTCCCATGCGTCCGCCTCAACAACGCAGCCACTCCTCTCCGGCGCTCGGCAGCTCACTCGCCGTTCTCGACCTCCTAGACCTGCTGCCTGCCGGCAAACCAGCGGCTGCAGACGACGACGAGGCCAGCACCACAGGCAGTACGGCGTCGGGCCAGCACCGCACGCATGACTCCCCCTGCAGCAGCTCTGACGGCTGGTCTCCAAGCAAGGTCGCTGCAACAGCCACCTTGATGGCCATTCCGGCGCTGGTTGCGACGGCCTGTGCTGCGACAACACGCACAACAAGGTCCGCGTCGGTTGCCCTGCAGGGCGCTGCCTCGCTGCCGCTGCTTACGGCAGGCGGTGTTTCAATTGCGGGTGCGCGCTCGCCGTCGTTGGGTAGCGGATGTGGCGGCGGCTTGTTAGCGAGTCGGTGGTCTGGTGGCAGCTGCAGCATCGCGCTATCCGCAACGGCAGCGCTGCTAACGTTGCCATTCGTGGCCGCAGCCGTACTATCCTGCAGGAAGGGTTCGCCTTCGCATGAACCGCTTGACCCGTCCAGAAGCAGCGTCGTAATGCCCGCCGCAACCGCTTCCGCGCCACGGCGTCGACACGGCCTTGCAGGAACTGCCCGGCGCCTGCAGGACGCCGTGTTCCAGATGGCCGCAGCAGCTGCCACTATGGCCATGTCCACACGCGACGCCGCATGGTGCCGTCTTCACCCAGCCGCCGCTTCTGCACGCCGGAAGCTGTGGACTGAGCCGCATCCGAATGGCTCGGATGTCTTCTGCACGGCCCAGCAGGCCGTCTCGTCCAGCGCGTCTCCGTTTGCCCGCTCGCCGCAACGGGCGCTCTCCAACGGTTTAGCAGATGTGCTGCCGGGCACCATGACTGACGCTGTTCCAGGCGTGGAGCGTTTGGGCAGCCCAAGCGCTTGCTCGCTCATTCCCCCGCGCAGCCCGGTGACGGTAATTGACTACCAGCAGCTTCAGCAACAGACGTCAGGTTCATGTAGCGCAGGACTTGGGTTGGGGCCTGCGTTTCCGCCAGCGGGAACGGAAGTGCCTGTGCTCTTGCCTCTTGCGACGTCCGTGCCCCTGGCGCCGGTCCATGCCGAGGAGCCAGCAGAGCCGGCGTTCGGGCGGCCATTGGCGCCGCACACGGCTGCTGGTGGAGGGTCGCCATGGGAGGTTGCCGCTGCCATCGCAGCCGCGGCTGCGGGTCACCAACATGCATATGCCCGCAACCAAGACCATGTTGGAGGGCGGCAGCCAGCCAGCAGCGCGGCTACGGCTGGGGCTTCAGCCGGGGGCAGCCAGGACCGTGGTGAGGGCGCTGCTTGCCTGGTTGCTGCTAGCCCTAGGTGCAGGACACCAGGGCGTAGCGGTAGCTCTGAGGGCCTTGCGGACGTGGCTCGCCTGCTGGCGCCTCCTTGTGCCGACATGCACCTGCTGGGCATGCGGGGCCCGTCTGACATGGTGCTGCCTGCGGGTGGGAACGCTGGGTTGGCATCGATTAGCTATCGGTCACCCACAAAAGCCGCGTCGCGGCTTGTCAACCAACGCGGTGCATCTGCGCCCGTGCTTGGCGGGGTTGCCGGCGGGTCAGGAGGGCCGGCGGAGCGAGCCGCGTCAGCGCCTGTTGGCCCTGCTAATCAGCTTTCTAACGCCGCGGCGGATTCGCCGGAGCGCTCGGCGGCAAGCAGCATGGCTGAGGTCCGTCGGATGGCTTTGGAGACGGCCCCGGATGTTTTGCATGCAACCGTGGACAGCTGTGATGCTGCTGCTCCCGCAACCGGACGTGAAGCGGATGGACTGCAAGGTCAGCAGCCGCAGGGCTCGCTACCGGAGGGTCCAGCAGCACCCTGCGGCGCTTGGCGTGGCGGGGACGAGGGCGGAGACGGTGTGGCAGGGTCTGATAGCACCGAACCTCGGGCTTCTGTGGGTCCTGCTGCTGGCACGGCTGCTGCCATGTCTGCATGCGGAGGAACCCCAGCGCCTGCGGAGACGGGGGCGGTATGCAGCGCGCCCACGTCAGCTGCTGCCTACCTCGAGCTGATCAGCACCGGGGCTCCTTTGTCGGCTACCGGCGACACAGCAGAGGCCAAGACCGCCACGGAGGCGGCAGTTGTTCAGGATCAGGAGGTCGGCAGCTCCCACCCTGGCGCCGATGATGTCACCATGTCTGCTACGGAGCTCGGGCTTAGCAGTGAACAACCAGACGTCGCGTCAGGCGTCGTTGCGGAGGCGGTTGGGGCCGCACGCCACATGCTGCCTGCCTTGCATGCAGGCGATCTCGCAGGCGCCTCAGAGGCCCCAGCAGTAGCAGTCACTCAAACAGAGGCTGCTGCCGGCGCTGGTTCTGCTACTGCAGTCGCTGCTCCTCGTGTCGAAGACCCGCTGGTGATCGCTGGAAGCAACGGTGATAGGAGCAAGAATGCTGGCTGTTCTGAGCCCGCCGCATCCGCGGTTCACCAGGCGGCCGCTATGGATGTAGAAGATGAGGAGAGCGCCGCTGCCCTAGCTGCTGCCGGCAACTCAGGGTTCCAGGAAGCCACCGCCCCAGCGGTAACCGCCGCCGCAGCTAAGATCCCGGCGGCAGTCGCTGCGGCGGTAGGGAGCGCCATCCATAAGAATGCTGAGCCAGCCGGCGATGCGGAGGTGGTGTCTGCCGGCGATGCGTCTTCCTCCTGTGGGACAGAATACGCAGCCGTAGAAGGGACTGCAGCCGATGGAGCCGGGCGGGTTGCTTCTACACTGTCACCTGCCAGCAGCCCTGTAGACCTGGCCATGGTGGTCGCGCAGACAGCCGTAAAGCCTCCTGCTGAGGAGGCGGAGGCTGCCGCCGCCGTGGGGCTCATTGCCGCCCCTACAGAAGAGGCGGCCGCCGCCGCTGCTGCTGCTGCATGCGATGTTGTCGGAGCTGCTGAGCCACCTGGAGCAATGCTAGACGCCGAGGTTGCCGCCGCTGAGCCTTTGGGGACCCATGCGGTGGCAACCGCCACCCTTTCTTCTGCGCGTGTGGCTGGGGAAGCTGTCGCAGACGCTTCCGGTAGCGGCGAATCGGCTGGTGTTGCCGCTACGGCTGTGGTGGGCGTTGCAGCAGCCGTGGAAACCCATGCTGCAGCTTGCCGCGGGCCCCACCTGGGGGCTGCAAAGGATACGGTTGTTGGAGGTTCGACGGCCTCAGCTAGTGAGGTCTCCATCGCCATTGAATCGCTGGCGGCTGCAACAGCTGAGACGGCCGCAGATGACTTTATAGGCGGCATAGCTCCATTGTCCGTTGGCCCAGGTGCAGCCGAGCAGTCTATCCTCGCCGAGTCCGCCGCCGTCACAGCCGAGGGCGCTTCCGTGGTAGATGATCAGGAAGTGCCCACTGCCCCAGCTTCTGGCTTGCAGGCTGTGGAGGAGGACGTCATGGCCGAGTGGGCACCGGTCCTGGATGAACTGGCTGAGGTGGGCACTGTGAAACCGGCGGCTGGTGTGTGCGAAGCAAACGGTGCTCGCGGCGTTACATCCGTTGCAGCATGTGCTGATGATGATGACCAGCTGGCCCGCACCGCACCCCGCGCATGCGACGCCGAGGCGGCTGCGGTCCTGCGGGCATCCAGCTGCTGCGTAATTCCCCAGCCTGCGATCCACGTGGTCGAGCAGGACGCTACCGCCGGGCCATTACCCGTTTCAGCAGGTGTGGCAGATCACGCAGCACGGGACCCTTCCGGGGGCAGAGTTGCGGAGCATGTGGTCCTTACGCCTGCCGTACATGCAGCTGAGAGACGGCCTGGTGAGGCCGTGGTGGTGGCTGAGCCAGTTAACGTCAATGCAGCAACCGCGGTCGCTGTTGTTGAAGTGGACGGGGTCGTGGAGGCTGCTGCCGTTGAGTCTGCTTCAGAGGCTGCCGAGGAGGCTGACGCCGCTCATCCTGGCGATGCCGGAGCAGCCGAGTGGGTTGCACCTGCTGTACCGCGCGTCGCTGCGGCAGCTGCGGCGACAACTGCAGTCAGGGCACCTTGTAGCAGCGGTGGTGTTGAGGCGGAGTTTGTGGTCGCTGGGCCTGCTGGTGCGGCAGCAGCTGCGGAGGCGGCTGCTGAACCGGGGGTCGCAGGTGCTGCCGAGGACGCTACTACCGCAGCGCCTGCGTTCGTAGCAAAGGAGGCGGTCACAGCCGCTGCTGCGTCCTTCACGCGTGGAGAAGCTCCGAAGCCCTCCGCTGACTCGGAGGCAGCACCCGGCGAAGCAGCAGCTGGTGGGGTGGAAATCACAGGGATCATGCCGGCGGAGGCGGGTGCAGCTATGCCAGTGGGAGCTCCGTCGGCCGCAGCCGCCTGGGAAGAGCCCGAGGGCAGTGACGCAGCTGAGCAAGAGGTGGCAGCCGTACCTCCGGCGGTCTGCAGCAGCGGCGTTGTGGAGGCCATGGCCGCGGGGCCTACCGTCCTAGACGCAGTTGAAGCGGACGGCGTTGTTTCGCCGCCTGCCATGCTGTCACCGTTAGCGGAGAACGCCGCTGGGAAGCTTGCAGCGACTTGCATGGGCGAGGTGGGCACGGTTGGCCCAATCCAACCTTTCCAAGATGCCGTAAAGCGGGAGGCTGGTCTTGCTGTCAGAGCAATCGAGCGTGCTACTGCCGCTGAGGACCCGGTGGACGTGGATGCGGTGGCTGTCGTGGCGGCGCCTCCCGCAGATGCTGTAAACGTTGCAGGTACGGTTGGCGGGGTTGCCGACGGGGCTAGCTGCTGCGGCTAGAACTCATATAGACACTGCTTCCTTAAGCCTTATGTGCTTCTGCAAGCTAGCCTTTGTGTGTTTGTTGAGCTTTAACACTGCCGTGCCAATTCTTAATGTACCACGTATCTTCACAGGTGCACATGTGGAATCGGAGGTTGCCGAGGATGCTGCCGGAGCAGGTGATGTGGCTATTCCCGCAGCTCTCCAGGAGTCCGAGGTGGATGTCGTGGCGGATGGTTGCGGTACCCACGGCGCGGACGTCGCTGTTGTGGCTGAGAGCGGCGAAGCAGAGGTGCCCGCCGCTGCTGCAGCGGGCGACATGGAGGGTGTCGTCGCTTGGCCTGCTTGCGACACAGCCGTCGCTGGGCAGCGGCATGCTCCTGATGTCGCTGCTGCGCTTGTGGCTGACTCCACTGGAAACGTCGTTGCCGCTGATCCAGTCGCCGAAGCACCTTTGCCTGCTGCCGCTGCCGCCGCGTCCGAGCCGAAGTTTGACGCAGGCGCTCCCGCTGCACCTTCCACTGATAGCGTTCACGGGGAGGCCGGGAGCATCGCCGTACACATGGGTGAGGGGGATGAAGCTGCCGCTCTGGAGCTTGCATGTGGGGCAGCGGCAACGGCCTCAGATGCTTCCGAGCTCTCCACATGCGCAGCTTACGAGGCTGCCGCTGTTGTCGAGGCTGTTGTCGAGGCGCCGCGGCACACGGGTATCACTCCTGAGGCGGCGGCGGCGGACGACAGAGCTGGAAACATGGAGGGGGCTGTTGAGGCCATCGCTGCGGAGCTTGCCGCAGTACCCTTCGCAGCCGCAATTGCTGAGCCGGGGGTCAGTGCAGTTGAGGACACTACCCGTGCAGGTTCCATCTTTAGCGGTACCAGAGATCTGGCCCCTGGATCCGCCCTGGCAGATGTCGCTGAACCGGAGGTCGTTATCCCTAAGCTCGCCGCGGCAGGTGGTGAGGTGCAGCCCGAAAGCCAAGAACCCTCGGAGGATTCCGACCCACAGCCCGCCCAAGAAGACGCAGCACGAAATGCCACCGTTGCAGCAGTGGAACCGCTCTCCCCGGCAGCACTAGAGGCGTGTGGGCCGGGCGCTGGTGTCGCTGTCACCGCTGCTGCAGGTGTACGCGCTTCCGATGCGCCCGGCATTGCTGAGGGCGCAGCCGCCGTCGCTACCTGTACGTCACAGGCTGACAACGGTCAGGGGACTTCCGCTGGCAGTGCTTCCCAGGGGACCCGTGAGGCTGCAGCCGCTGCTGCTGAGCCGGTGACGGGTGCGGCTGAGGTTGCTGCCGCCGTTGCCGTGCCCTTGGCGTGCATGGGTACGGAGAATTTTGCTCCCGTGTCTGCCGAGGTCGATGCCTCCCCTGCTGCCTCCCCTCTCGCGGTCGCTGCTGGAAGGGCTGAGGCGAGCACTGCCTACTCCGGTTCGAGTCCAGCTGCAGTGGCCGCCGCGGTGGGTGCAACTGAAGAGGAGGTCTTGGAGGCCGTTAGACCCGCGCTTGCCGGCCCCACAGCGGCCGCCTCCCCGTCTGAGGGGGAGGTTGCTGCTCAACCCAGCTCGACAGCTTCGAGCAGCACATGCGCCGCCAGTAGTGAGCCCGCCGCGGATGTGCCCCTCTGCGTCCCAGCAGCAGATGTAGTTGACGAGGCTGTCGTCGAGAAGGATGATGCCGCTATGCCTGCGTTCGAGGCCGCTGCTGTCCGCGCGCCTGATGTCCAGGCAGCTGCAGGGGCCATTCCTGCAGCAGTCGAGGAGGCAGCCCATGCAGCCGACGCGAGGCAAGCTGCTGCGCCTGCCAGTGACCTTGCAGGTGACATGCCAACTGAGCCCGCCCTGGATGCGGTTGAGGACGTTGAGGCAGTGGTTGTTAGGGAGCCCGCAGAAGCCACCAGAGCTGCGAACGGCGCCGGTGCCACGCAGCTTGCGGTTGGTGTCCCTGAGGGTACGGCTCCTGCTCCTGCGGCAGCTGTTCCCGATGGTGGTGCAGCTACGCAGCAGAGCCCTGCACCGCCGCCCGTAGCCAATCTGGTGGAGGGGGCTGTCGCAGCTTCCACGCCGGTCGCTGCTGAAGCAGTTGCAGCGGAGCCCATCGCGGCCTCCGCCAGCAGCGCTGCGGAGGAGGCCGGCGTCGGTCTCAACGCTTATCTTGGCGCCGCCGTCGCTGCTGCTGCTGAGGAGGAGGTTGCAGCTTTGGAGGGTTTGGCCGTCGACGTGTCTACGGGGATGAACACGAGTGAGGGCGTTTCCTCCGCTTGCGTGGAGCCCCCTAGTGCGGCCGCAGGAGGCGTTTCCGAGGAGGAGGAAGCGCATGCTGCCTTGCCCGCCCTGGACGCACCCGTAGCCGCACCCAGCGAAGAGGCTCGCATGGCTCAAGCTGCGCCTCGTCTTGATACCCTGGTTGCTACCGGGGAGGTGGAGGAGGTTGCCGGAGGTGCAGCAGCGGTCGTGGACGTGGACGCAGCAAATGCCCGGCCGGCAGTCTGCTTGGGTGCTGCTGCTGCTGCTGAGCAGGCGACTCTCCCTCCAACCGCCATATCAGGAGCCTCATCTCAGGAGTCTACTGCTGCTGCTGCTGCTGCTGCTGCTGCTGCTGCTAGCGGTGCAGCGTATGCAGCTTTACAGGGCGGGGCCGCCGTCGCTTCTGCCGTGCTAGCGCATGTCGACGACGTGCGCAGCAAACCTGCGATGGATGCAAAGGTCTTTGAAGCAGTCGCTTGCGCTGCTGAGCACGCACTGTCGGATCTGGCAGCAGCAGTTGTTGAGGGGGACCCCGGCGACGTTGCGCAACGGATGGCAGCTGGGGATGCCACCGGGCCTGTGGTGGAGCTGCAGGCAGCCGCTAGCGGTACCACGGGGCATGCCTCGGATGCGGGCCACGTGCCTTCAGCGAGCCCTGCTGGGGAACACGTCAGGTAGGGTTGGGCGGCGCTTGATGGGGCTGCTTGACGGTGTTCACATGCAGGCTGCATGCTTGCTCATTGCCCATGCTGTATGCTGTCCCTGCTGGTTCGTCAGGAGGGTAACACCGGCTGAAAAGAAGTTGCTAATCCACTAGCCTGTCAAACAGTTCACTGCACACGCTGCGTTTCCTCCCCTTTTCCCTTCCTATCTCCCCCGGCAGGCTGTCCTACCCTATGGATGCTCCAGAGACCCCGCCGCCGTACGCCAGCCCGTACGGCAACCCGTACGGCAGCCCCCAGTCCCCCAGTCCCCAGTCCCGCTCTAGGATCCCCAAGCCGCCCCATGGCCTCCCTGATAACCCCTCCACCGCCGACACCAGACGCTGCTCCAAGCTGCCCCAGCTCGCAACGGCATTTCCGCGCGCCGCCTCTGCTGCCCTACTTTGCGAGGGCGTGCTGTCTCACAGCCCAGCGTCAGGGGGTGCTGCCGGTACCAGCTTTACCAGCTTGGATGGGAGGACCGCCGTCGCTGCGTCGGCAGAAAGAGCGGCGTTGAGCGAGACCATGCGCAGCGGCTTTGCTTGCGCCGGTATCCGCACGACGCCGTCTTCACCAAGCCTCAGCCAGGTTCGCCAAGCAGCCATCGCAAGCAGCAGCAGTACAGGCGGGGCTCCTCCAAGCCGCGCTTTCTCGCAGCCTGCAGCCATGCGGCGTCGTCACAGTGTAGGTCCAGCTGCTGGAGCTGCGGCCGCTCCTCCAGGCGATGTGTTGCTGCTAGCAGGAGGCGATGCTGCCAGCCGTGGTAACAGGGCCCGCCGTAACAGCGCCTGCGTGTCGCCGCATATCCAGGCGCTGGCGCGCGCGTTTGAAACACGAGCAGCTACCGGCGGTTCTTCAGTTCCCGTCAGTCCGCGTCAGCTAGCAGCTGCTGCTGCTGCTGCTGCTGATGCCCAAGCAGATGCTGCTGCTGCGTCCAGGTCTGCTGCTGCTGCTGCAGGCGGTTCGGCCCGACGGGTGGCTGCGGGGAGTCCGCTGCGGTTCGGTAGCAGCCCTGGAGTTGAGGTCAGGGTGCTGGAGCAGTCCATGCTGTGTTCTGTTGGCACTGTGCATGACGGGGTAGCTGTGGAAGCTGAGGTGACGCCGGCCGGCGAGACAGACACGGATGCAGCTCCCGCTTCTGCAGCTGCTACACCTGTGGCGAGCAAGCCTGTTGCCATGCTCAGAGCCCCCTCGCTCGAAGCTACGGAGGCAGCGGATGACAGCGGCGAGCCAAGTCTCAGCTCGCCACACCTGCTGCCGCCGCTGCCGCCGGTCGCTGACCGGTGCGAGGCACCCGCCGTAACATCCCCGCTTCCCGCCGCCACCTCGGGGGCTGGAGTGCCCGCAGATGCGACTGCATGCAGCATCTCCGCACCTGCCTCCGCCGTATCAGGTCCTGCAACCGCAACAACCCCGTCAGCCCTAGACCCAGCCCCAACAGCAGCCTGCTCCTCCTCCTCCTCCTCGGCCCGTCCTGCCGCAGTAGCTCCCCCGCTGCTAGCCCGTCGGAGCAGCACCACTACCTCCAGGTTCGCCCCGCGGCCGCAGCAGTTCACGCCCGAGGGAGGCGCCTCAGAGCCGCTTCCGCAGCTTCGACAGGCTCCTGTAGCCGCACCCCCGCCTCATGAAAAGGAGGAACCCGAACCACACGTCGAGCTCTCTGCCGGTTCCAGTCCCAACCTCCGCGCCTATGCCATGTACCGCCCAGCCGCACACTACGCGCCCAGATCTGCGGCCGGTAGCAGCATGCCCGGCAGCGCTGCTGCGCCCAAGCAGCCCGTCATCCCGCCAGTAGAACGCCGCCACACGGTGGGGGGTGCGGCAATGGTCGGCTCGAAGAACCCGGGCGGCCTCGTCGCCCGGGCGGCGGCGGCGCTTGAGCGGCACGTGAGTCGCCTCCGTGAGAGGAAAGCCGCCGCTGGCACCGGCATTGTCACTGGAACCGTTGCTGGTGACGGTGCTGATGGTTGGGACGAGGAGACAGCAGCAGTGGCTGCCCCGCGGAGGAGCAGTAGCCGTTCGGAGCGATTGGATGCGCTGATCAAGCAGCATGATGCATCGGTGCAGGCAGCGGCTGCAGGCGCTTCTGCAGCGTCATGGTCGTCGCTGCAGCGGCAGAGCACGCCGCTACCGCAGCTCGGGCGGCGGAGTGTGGGGATGGTAATGGATGTGAGGAGGGCGGATTCATCGGGCGGCTTGCTGGAGTGTACGACAGGATACGAGGATGTACTGCAACGGTCATGCGCTCCGCATCAGTTGAAATACGCAGCACCCGCACTGGCAGAACCCGCCAACGCAGATCCGGAGGCTACCGTTCCTCCGGACTGCAACACCTGGGCAACCATGACACGTGACGTTGGGGCAGCCGACTCGGCAGCAGCTCCGCCGGTCATGCCGCACGCACCCAACCTGCAAGCTGATGACGGAGGAGCGGCCGTTTCGGCAACACCTGAAAGCAGCCCGCGTGAGCCGACTTCTCATGAGCATGCTGCTGCGAGGACGCCGGCAGCAGCCCGCAGGGGGCCCGCGTGGAGGGAGGCGACGCCGCAGCGGCCAGCACGGTTGCACGTTGCCGCATGCGAACACGCCCACATGCGAACTGCCGCACCTAGCCGTGACGAGCAGCAGGAAGAGCAGTCGGAGGGTGATAGCGAGGACTTCTTCTGCTTGCCGACCGACTTGCTCTCACCAGGGCAGCTGGTCATACCGCAGGCTGTCCTCCAGCTGCTGACTGGGACCTCGAGGCACGAGGGGCCGGGGCAGGCCGGGCCGGTGAAGCGCCTGGATCTGGATTCTGTTGGGGAGCCTGGTCTGGGCGGACGAGTTGCCGCCGATCAGGTGGCGGTCGCTCCGGACTCGGTCGTTGCTTCCCCTGTCCACCACCGGGAGGGCATGGGTGAGGAGGAGGAGGATGGCGATGTCGAGCGGAGCCCGGCAAACAGCCCGACAAGCATCAAGCCTCTGGGCCGCCGTACTGGTGACCATAGCGGCGCTGGTGAGGAGGTAGCCGGAGACGCGGGCAGGGAACTAGTCGATGGTGGTGGGGTGGCTCAGGAGGGCGAGCGAGGCGGTGCGATAGCTGACGGACTGCATGTGCACAGCGGGGAGGGCGAAGGGGATGGGGGTTCGGACTTTGAGAGTTGGGACGAGGAAGATGATGGGGACGGCGAAGACGGATGGAAGGGCGGAAGGGTCGCAAAGGTGGATGGGCGGGGGGCCCATGAGGAGTGTGCTGACGTGGAGGGGGCGGATACGGGGGCCAGGGTGGCAGTGGAGCAAACGGAGGAGAGCGAGGGTAACGAGGAGGAGGACGAGGGCGAGGAGCGGCGTGCGCTGCCGCTCGGCGGAGGGCCTTCCCTGTCAGGTTTCCTGGCCGTTGCTCCCCTCGGCAGCTTCACAGACCACGCGGCCGGTAGCTGCAGCAGCCCCGCAGCCCCCATGCGGCGCTCCATGTCCCCGCTCGCGCCGCCCCCGCTGACCTACCTGCCCACCATGCGGGTGGCCTTTGCCGCTGCAGCAGCCGACGAGGAGGGCGCCGGCAGCCCCGCCACGCCCTCCGCATGCGCCCCCTCGGCCTGTGCCACGTCAGCATGGGGGGCTTCACCCATGACGACTCCTGGTGCCAACAGCCGGGACGCCAAGAAGCACAAGGGCAAGCTGGCCAAGGCTTTCAAGGTGCTGTTCAAGAAGGGCGGCAAAGAGGGAGCTGGTCAGGCGGGGGAGATGCATTCCTCGGTAGCGCTGTCCATTGGAGCGCCAAGCACCCTTGCCGGCATGTCTGAAGCGGCATCGGCGCTGGAAAGGGCGATGACAGGCATGGACGCCCTCAGCTTTGCGGGCACCAGCGACACCGGAATGACCCATGGGTCGGCCATGACCGACCCGCAGGGCGAGTACGGCAGTGCAGCTAGCAAGGAGCGGCGACGCAGGAAGGGCATGTGGAAGCGCATGAAGCGGAAACTAGGGAAGTTGATGGGCATTATCCCGCGTTCTTGGGAGGTCGAGGCAATGAGGGCGCAGGAGGCCGCGGCAGCTGCGACGGCAGCAGGGGCTGCGGCTGGGCCTCTAGCGGCAGGTGTAGCAGATGGACAGGGGGGTGAAGCAGGGGCAGCGTCGAGAGGACGGAATGAGTAATTAGCTAGACGGACGTTCGTTTCGTGCGTGTGTGCGTTGCGTGCCTGTGTTGCATGTCGGCTATATGGGGCGAGTGTATGTTGTATTTTTGGTACTGTTATGAGACCGGAAGAGGGTGAAAGAGTGAGGAATGCAAGCATCCAAGCACCGGCGCTGCAGTTTGCAACGGCAGTCAGAGGTTTTAGGGCATTGTTCATAGCTTTCTCAGGCCCAGAATGTCTAATCTGTACAGCATAGAGGATCGCTAGCGAGGGAGAATTGCAGTAGTCGCGGTGTGCGCGAATGTGTGTGTTATTGCAGATGCTGCCGGCTAGTGTTTGAGCGGCTCGCGGTGTAGGCATTGCCGTACATACCCTATGGGCAGTGGATGACAGACGACGGAACCGTGTGTGTTGGGAAGAAGAACAGGCACAGCTTCCGAGGCAATGACGTTTGACACAGTGCTAGCTGTACAGGACTATACGGTATGTGACTTTCAGGTCCATATTTCGCTAACAAAGCAGCTGTGGCAGTTCGCGTGCTTGCTCTGTGTGTTTCTGTGCGGGTCGAGCCGTTGTACAGGTTAAACATTGGTTTTTCATGTTCCACTTTATTCATTACATGTCGGTAGCACAGAATTTCTTCCGTCGTTCGCATCTACGTCCAAATGTTATGCGGGCCAGGTGCTTTCCTACGTATCGCAGTGTTAGGGCTAGACGGTTTTGATGTTTGTTTGTGAGGGGATTATTTACTGTGCGTCCTGTGACAATGGAGCAGTTGCGGACTATTACGGCCGGAAGGGCCCATGGGTCGCTGGTGTTTGGATCTGGGTTTTACTGTACGAGAAACGCCTTGGGCTGCTTCGAGTAGCCTTGTCGATGAAGGGGCAGCTGTCCTTGCTCGTGTGGAAGAACGCAGTAGTACCATGGCGACACTGCACGATTGTGTAAGCGTGCAGACTTCGACGAAGGGCATATGTGCATTGTTACGTGTCCCATACTCCCATTACTTTAAAGACCTTGTTTTCAGCGGTCATCGTTTGCGCCATCATGCCTGCTCGTAACTGCTGCGGCAGTGCAGTGAAGTCGAGTGAAGCACTGGACTAGGCCTCCTGCGTAATGCTCTCCTCAGCTCGTGGCCGCCAAACGCCAAAACACAGGTCTTCCATCCTTCCGGCGTATCCGGTGCGGGCACAAATCGCAACTTCCTACACAGGCTCGCTCTAAACTATGCCGGCGAATCATTCCGCAAGTTACCCGTGTCGGGTAAACGAAAGTCGTACAACTGATAGGAGCCAGTAGCAACTTGGCGCTGTCCCACCACACTATACTTTGCCTAAGAGTTTAGGCAGTCTACACAATCCTAGACAGTCCTACCATGGTTCCCTGCACCAGCTATCTTACTGCCCTGTTAATTACTTAGGATCAGCAGTTTATAGTCATCATGCAACATGCACTTCGTCAGCATAGAGGCGATGACACTGGCAGATTCCCACTGACACGTGTTTATCGGCACCAACTGGCACTTGTCAACTGCAAAACGGCTACAGATGCCACGAAACATGCCGTGTAGCCTTCCACCACCGACCCGTGGGTCCCACGCAGCAAAGGGGAATGAACGGCGTCAGCTTTCTTAGGCCTAGCTAACATAACACGGCAATTGCAGAGCAGCACCTACTGCTAGAACCCCAACGCCTCAAAGACAGCGTGCTAGAACCCCAACGCCTCAGAGACAGCAGTCCTGACAATGTCGGACACGCCCGAGCGTCGCGCCTTGATCGCCCGCCGCTGCTGGCAATGCTGCGGTTGGGAAGGGAAAAGCTGCTGCTGCGGTTGCTGTGTAGTAAAGTGCTGCTGCGACTGACAGTTAACGAGCATAGAATCCTACATGCAGAGGGTGAAAGGAAACCGGACATTGAGGCTTTGTTGTACGTCCGCACAGACGAACAGGAGGGGCAAAGATCCAAGTTGGAGCAGCACTGCCTTATGAGAAGGCGCACTCCTCACCCTCACCCACAACATGGAACCCCAAACAGCCCACCTGCACTCCCTCCATGCCCGCCGACCCCACGGGCCCCTGGCTGTCCTCGCTGCACTCCCCGCAGGCCCCAGCGGAGCAAGGCATCATGGGCTGCTGCGGCTGCTGTCCGCTGCTGGGCGCTCGGCTGAGCATGAAGCCTGGACCCACACTCCCGCCGTCACCCATGCAAGCAGCAGCCCCACCAGTGCCGTCACCGCCGCCGGGGCCGCAAACCCCGCCTCTCGCCGCCATGTGTGGCTGCTGCTGGTGGTGGTGCTGATGCGGGTCCTGCTGGTGTTGAAACTGTGGGTGATGAGGATCCCCAGGTCCCAGCGCTTGCGGGAACTGCTGCTGGGAGGGCTGTCGCTCCAGACACACCCGCTTGGCAAGCGCATCAGGGTGGCCCCCACCGCCCCCACCGCCGGCCCCTAACCCCGCATGACCGCAGCAGCCTCCATGCGGGTAATGCAGCCCACCTGGCCCATGACCCTGACAGCCCTGGCCCTGGCAGTGACCGTGTCCGGGTCCGACGCACGTGCCTTGCCCCTGCTGGCAGAGCTGGGGGTGCGCATGCGCATGGGGGTGCTGCCCGGACCCCAGGGGCATGGCGGACAGCTGCTCCGTCACCACATCCACATCCGGCTCACGGCGCTTGCTGCCGCAACGCGGTGAGATGCTGGTCATGTAGGAGTCACACCCCAGCAGCCCTCCGCCGCCGCCGCCGCCGGCATCGCTACCTGCGCCGCCGCCGCTGGTGTTGCCGTACATTAACAGTGACGTCAGGTCGGCTGCAGAAGATGAGGAGCCGCACCTCTGGTGGTGGTGGTGGTGGCCGCCGAGGAGCAGCAAGTCGGAGCCGCCGCCGCTGCCGCCTCTGTGGAGTGTGTAGCAGACACCGCCGCTGCCTGCTGCTGCTCCGCTACCTGCCACGTCAGCTGTCATACGACGGCGGGATGAGGAGCGCATGTCCTCTACAAACTCATCCAACAGTACGGCCCATGCGCCCGCGGGGTCGTAGTTGGAGAGGTCCTCGTGAACTGTACGGCTAAAATCCAGAACCTGTCGGGAAAGAGGTGAAAGGTAGAAGGCGCGTCGAAATGGGTCAGATCGGGTCAGTGTCGGCTAAGGGAGAGGTGCCTTCAGCTGCTAGAAGCCTACATTGCCCCAGCCCCCAGCAATCTCGTACTCCCAACCGCACAATTTCCTCCGCCAGTGCAGTTTCCCTGAGTTTCCCCCCACGCCAGCCCCTCACGTCCCTTCCACAAACCCGCGGCACGGCCCATGCCCCGCCCCAGCCCCCCGCTCCCGCTCCCGCGCCCCCCCCTCACGCCCCTCCGCACCTGCCGCCAGGTGTCTTCCGTCACCACCCTCGCCTGGCTTGCCGCTGCGAAGGCGCTCCAGCGGTCGAGCAGGCGGAAGCGGCCCACCATGATGCGCCGCCAGGCTGCCACCGCCTGCTCCATCTGGGGCTCGGGATGGGGGTGAGAGGTGGCTTGGGTGAGGGTGGGAGAAGGCTGGGGGGAAAAGGGGAGTTGGGTTCACGCTCCGTGGAGTCGGATAACGTACGGGGCGGATGCGGGTGGGAGAGAGGTTCACGTTGCTCCTGGTATTGGAGCGGCGCGTCAAGGCTTACCGATATGTTGCGTTTCCCAGGCTCCCGGCATATGTGGAAGACGAATCGATAAAACTTATGAAATTGGTCGGGTGGCATGTCCTGTGTCGCATTGGGGGGAGGGCCTGCGTTGGCTGGTATGGTAAAGCAAAGCGTGGGTAGCTGAGGCCTGTTCGTACCTGCCATGCTATTTGAGCTTGGTATTGAGTGATTGTGTTTAGGGCGTTGGCACTGCAGTCAGGGAACCAGGCTAGGGTCAGCGACGCTCTAGATGGCGATGCGGGGTTCGGGGTAAGAGTATCGCACCCGTAAAGCCCTTTCTCTTGCCACTGCTGTTGGAGTTGTTGCAGCTTTGTTTTACAAGCCTCCCAGCAGTTAACTTCCGCAGTCAGCACCTCTGCATGACAACGCTTCGTCAGCGCTAGGCCATAGTCCGTTGAGCTATAAGCGAGACATGACGCACCACAGAATGCCATAAAGCTCTCATGAAGAAATAATAGCATGGCGTCGTGTCCTGCCATCGTTCCCAGTGCTCTATCAAGGATGCGCGCGAAAGTTGGTTCACCGCTTTCCTTTCCGCCAAATTAAAGCTCCCACGCAACGACGAAACGGTATCAAGCAAGCTTTATAATACTTTGCATGGAAAGGAACGTAACATAGACTAGTGGAAAGCGCAAGACGTGACGCCGGAAGTCCGAAGGCCCGGGAAAACAGCAGACGGTACCAGCGCACGTAGCGTGGGTGCGAAGAGAGGTGCAGGAATGAACCCGGACGTGCTTGCCGCTCCATCCGATCTGCACGTGCGTGGTGTGTCGTTGTGCCGTGTGTACGGTTGTCGTTCTACCGGCAAGCCAGCTTTTGGTGCTTGCGCCTACATCTAGCCAGTATAGAACGTCTTCTTCTTTTCGCTCATCTCTGCTCATGCCTCCTAACTCGCGTCGATCTTATAGCTTACAAAGCAAGTATTACCGTAATACTTGGGTGGGATGATAACACCCGCCATTCTGTTTCTAAACCCATTGTGCTGCATCTCTTAGGTTCTTCACTGCACTCAGCCGCTGCTGGTTGATGAGGGACCGCAGGTGGCCTGGAACAAGTTGAGACAGGTACGGCATGCCGCACAACAGACGCACGCAGTGTGGACGACACGTTAGCTACAAGTTACATGAAAGGACAGGACACGCAGGCGGGGACAGATTCGTACCACCCTGCAACTCCCTGCTGCGCCTTTAGGAACGTCCTCCTCGGAACTCCTCCCCCCCTACTCGCTTCTTTGCATCGTGGTTGACCAGCTAAGCAATAGGAAATAGGCTAGCAGGCAATGCTGGCCCTGCACAATTTCCAACACAACACATGACCCAGAAAACCCAAGCACTCAGGAAAAATGAACCAAATAGACCCTTGTTTGCCAACCACCGTCGATTTCATGTGCCCCAACAACGGGGCAGGGTCAGCGCCCATGCACAGGTATCACCCCATGCCGCATATTTGTACAAAAGTTATGAGCTGTCTTGCAAAGGCCGCATACTCTCGCGAGACGTTTAGGAATTAGGTAAGGAGGAATAACGCGCACACCACCAGGAACAAGAGGACCAGCTAGTGTAAGGCTTCTTTGGGTTATAGCTTCCCTGCTGTTGCCCTGGAAAACACACCGTGCGTAGCAAACTAGCAATCATTCTTTTGCCACCGATTTCCAACCACCACCAACGACCGCCAACAGTCTTAATTGAATGAATAATCTAACGGCCGGCGTTATTGCTGCGACAGCAGTTTCAATTCAGGCCGCTCCAGAACAAACGGCATTGGCCAAATTGGGACCGTATGCCGCCACGCAAAAGACACCATGACACGCACGGAGCACGGGAATGGGTGTGCATCTGGCTGCTACACGTAAGTACAGTGCATAATTCCCCATCTGGTCAAAGCACGAAACGCGGTCAAACACGCCAACAAACCAAACGTCAAAAGGACAGCTAGCGCAGACCCCGCAGAACTATGTAGTATGAACCCATGACATACAGTGCCCCCCTAGTGATCCTAGGGCACAGGCAACCATCACCCTTCACCGCTCTTGATGCCGGTAGCAACAAATCCTCATACCTGCTACCGCTCCTGCACTCGTACTAGCGATACTGTGTTGTCTTGACATTTCTCCATTGGCCTCTTAGCTACCACTTTCTTCACTGCCCTATAACACTTTTAACTACCAAAATGTACGACAGGTAGGGGACACTGTGCCATCAACAACAAGCGACCGTTGACACATATTGCGGACGCAGGGTTGGCAATCGCTCGTGCAGCTTCGCTCTCCATGCAAACCCGAGAGCCATGACTGAGTTGTCATAAAGCCCAAAAGGTAATAAAGCCAAAAGCACAACTAGGAAAGCACAACCATGGGCTCGGTACACCGGCGGTGCTCCTCACCAACTCACCATCGCGCATGCCCTCCCCGTGACACTGACAGGCATTCACAGCCTCGCACGACCGCACAACATGCACCTGTGCAACCCCCGAGTTGGTAAGCACCGCAACTTTATGGCTCAATAACCGGCCTCAACTTTCCTCCGTTCCCACTCAAAACGTACATAATTCACCGCACCTCTTCCCGCAGTAGAAATGCAACAAGGATATGCTGTAATCCTTTCCATGCGACGTCCGTTCCCTCCTTCCTCTCTTGCCTAATGCGCAGCAGCGGCTACACACTACATGCCACCCCTCACACCACCCTAACCTCCTCTCCTTCCCTCTCCCCGACTCCACAGCACCTGGCCATGCCTCTCCCCGCCGTTCAGCAGGATCCATGCCCGGTACGACATGCATGGCGACCTCCTCATGTGCCCCACCATCGCAGCAATAATGACCATCAGGGGATACCACTGCTCTTCAAGAATGTGTACTCTTGACTGCCCTCGCACACCACCTTTGCAGTCAAGGAATACTGAAGCCAGCTCTCTCCCTCCTCCTGCCAGCGCCAAACCATAGCCCCGGACACCACCCAACCTCATTCCCATCCCGCTTTCAACAATTGCCACAACATCCTCCCGACGCCCACACCGTCCACACCCCTCCCATACATGCGCCTCATACACACCATCACCACCTTTACTTCACCTAAGCACATCATGCAGTTGCCTTCCCTTTCAATCGGCCCCTGGCAGCCCGCAACTCTTCACCAGCCCTCTTTACCACCCGTACACTCTGCTGCCCGCCCACTCCACCTCACCCCACCCCTCACAGAGCCCGCACACTCCCCAGCTCCTGCCACCGAGGCACCGACTCGTCCCCCGGGTCCGGACCCCGGTACGTCGCATCCCAGGCGCCATGCAGGCTCACAGGCAGCCGGTGCGGCAGGTGAATGGTGGCCAGCGGCCCGGAGGACAGCGACTCCGCGTCAAAGATGAGCACCTCCGCTCGCTCCGTGGCGGCGTTGTGCGCCCCCATCAGCAGCCAGCCCTCGCCCTCGCGGTTGGAACCCGGGCGCGGCACGAACATGGGCTCGCCAGGAAAACTGCGGTCGGGCAGGTACCAGGCGTCTACGGCAACACCCGGTACGGCACCCGCATCGGCGCCGTGCACCGCGCCCGGTGCCGTACAGGGTGGTTGGAGTGGCGGTTGGTGGTTGGGTGCAATGGTGGAAGCGGCGGAGGGGAAGAGGCTGAGGGTGGGGTCGAGCTCGACTCGCATGACGGCTTGCGGGGGGGCCCAGTGGACGGGGTCGTTGACGGCGTCGCCGACGAACCAGGCGACTCGGTGCGGGCGGCCGACGACCCGTGGGTCAATGGCGGGGAACTCCACGGTTCGCTGCAGCAGCTTGCGGCGCTCCACTCGGCCGGTGCGCAGGTCGCATGTGAGGCGGGTGAGCTGCGTGCGGGCGCCGCCTGCGGGGGGAGGAGAAGGAGGGTGGACGGCGTAGGATGGAAAAAGGGATGCAGTAATGAAGGCAGCGGCAGAAGCCACAAGCATGGTACTCGGTACGTAAAGGGCACGACCGCATAGGATGCAATGAAACAACGTTCATAGCTTTACACATGCAGCCCTGCAAGCACTCCCCAACCCACCCATCGACCCACGGGTCACCCCACCCCCTCCCCCAACACTCCACTTCCGTCCCCCCTCTCCCCACTCACCCACGAACCCGTCCAGCCGCTTCATGTCCTTGTCGAACAGCTCCATCTCGAACGACACGCGGTCCCAAGCCACCGTGTCCAGCACCAGCAGCTGCCCGCCCTCCGCCTCCCAGCCGTTGACGTTGTGGAAGACGAAGAAGGGGTCGGCGGTCAGCACGCGGGGGGACAGCACTGCAGGGAGGTGGGGGGTGGGGGTGGGAGGAGAGGAGGGAAGGCATGGGGTAAGGAGGACGCGCGGGATGGTTAAGGTATGTAACACAGCGTGCATATATAAGCACGGAGGGAAATGAGGGGACGGAGGTACCATTCTTTGCAGCAGGTGGCTGCCAAGAGCCCTCCCTCCTCCCCCCGCCCTCCGCCACTTGCCCCCTCCCAAGCAACCTACAGCACACAACTAGCCCCCCCCGCATGCAGCCGGCACCGCCAACATGCGCCAAAGGGCACCCCCCCCACACCGCCCACATGTAACAAGAGGAGTAGGGTACAGTGCGGGGGCGCCTGCCCCTCTCCTCACCCTTGCCGCTGGGTCGCCCCGGCCGCGGGAAGAGCATGACCCGTGTGGGCTGCTTCTCGTCGAACACCAGGCACTCGGCGATGGAGCAGCCGCCCCACACGTACTGTGCGGAGGCGGGGGAAGAGGGGGCAGAGGGGGAGAGGAGGGGGAGAGGAGGCAGAGGAGGGAGGGGTTTAGGCAGGAGAGAGAACGAGCTATGTACAGCGAGGTAGGACGGGATCCCTGCACCCTTCCCTCCCTCAACCCTTGCGCTCCTCTCTCCTTCCATACACCCCCCATCGAGAAGCTCCGCTCCACCGCCCCCCCCCTCCCCTCCCCCCCTGCCCCACCTGCGTGGCGAACTTTGTGGGCTGCAGCCGGATGGGCCCCACCACCAGCACGTACCAGTGCTCCGTGACCAACATGTCGTGGATCAGCGCAATGTCGATACCCTGGCGGGAGGGGGGGGGAGGAAGCAACTAAGTGACCGTGTGATGAGGCGTCATCATGGTTGGCAACATGCGAGCCCGATACCCGACACGCCCAGCCCGAGAGGTATGGGGATTCATAGGAGGTGGATATTCCACATAAGTAGGTAAGGGCGGGGGAGGGGAGGGAAGGCGGGGCGGGGTGGGATTGATCCTATGCGTGGGAGGAGAGCGGCAGGCGGAGATCGAAGATGACTTTCTTTAATGCGGCCCCAACACGGCCTCCGACCCACATCTTTCTGCCTGCGCCCCTTGCCAATCCAGGCTTATCCCAGGCCCCCGCCTTCCCCCTTGCGAACGTCGCTTTCTTCTTCTCACTCTTCCCCACCCTCCCACTCCCTTTCCTACCCCCATTCCTGTGCCCTAACCTCTGGTTCGATATGGTCTTTGACCCCCCTCACCGGCAGCGCATGCTCGCTCTCGTGCAGCAGCCGCCCGCCCTCATCGAATTCGTAAAACACCGCCCGACCGCCCGTGAAGCTGAACTCGTTGGAGAACGCAACCAGCCGCCGACTGCTTCTGGTGAAGGAGGAGGTCGACTGACCCATGGGTCCATCACCCGCAGGGCCAGCTGCTGCGGCGGGCTGCTGCTGCTGCTGCTCGTGCACCACTCGGTAGTGCGCTGCGAAGGTGTCGGTGCGGATCTGGCCGCCCATGCGGCTCTCACGCAGGGTGTCCAGGGTGGCCGGGTCCATCAGGTGGGGCAGGCCGGCCTGGGGGAGGGGAGGGGTAAAGGGGAAACAATTAACTGACTGAGGGAGAAGGCGTCAACATGGTTTGCAACATGTGAGCCAGAGGAGAGGGATGGGAGGGGAGGGAGCACATACATGGGGAGACCGGAGATGCGCCCTGCAACGTACATCACATACCTACGCCATTGCTAATGTTGTTGCCTTGGTGCCCTCCCGCACCCGGCCCTTCCCAACCGCTACCCACCCCAGGGCCCCCCCTTCCTCACCTCCCACAGCGCGTACAGCTTGCCCGCCCAGGGCAGTACGTTCGTGTTTGCCACGTTCTTGAAGCGCAGGTCGAAGGGGTTGAAGCTGAGGCTGCCGTCCACCGCACCCCGCGTGAAGCTGTTGCGCAGCAGCGGCCGACCAGCAGCCTGGTGGGGGGGCGGGCGGGGGGAGAGGAGGAAACGGGGGGTGTTGAGAGGTTTGTCAGTTGTCACCCACCCCGGCACCACGACGAACCCCAGTGTCCCGTGTACCTTCCCCCACCCGCACCCCTCCCTCCCCACCTCCCCGCCCCCCCCCCCTCCGTTGCTTCACTTTTCTTATCCCCCCCCCCTTTACCTGCTCCTCCAGGAAGCCCTTGGTGCGCACGTAGCGGTTGCGGAAGTAGGCCCGCCCGCCGCTGAAGCCCAGGCTGAACACCATGCCGTCGCCGTCCAGCGTGTGGCGGCGGTAGCGCGGGTTGGCCACGTGCAGGCCGGGGCCGTTGCGGTAGTAGGTGCCGTGCAGCTCGGGGGGGATGGTGCCGGTCACCTGGGTGGGGTGGGAGGGAGGGGGAGGGTGGGGAAGGGGAAGGGAAGGGAGGAGGAAAGATCATGAGGAGGGAGGGCGAGAAGGAGGTGGGTAGCCATGTGGCAGGGAGGGAGGTAGAGGGGCAGAGGCAACATCGGTCGCTTCGGGGATGGAGAGGTGGAAGACCGGTTCTGGACGGGGACAGCGATGAGGGTAGGGTTGAGGTGGATGTACCTAGAAAGGGGCCCATTTCTGGTTCAATAAGTAGCTGCTGAACGCATTGCTTTGCGCTAACCGACGATAGGGTACATGAGAGCCATGTTAGTTGGGGACCAAGCCAAGTCACTTACCCAGGCCTCGTCCACCCAGTAAGCGTATTCGTGTAGTAGCGAATTAAACATAGTCCGCACGTCATTCAGCATCGCCACTGCAACGGCAAGGAAGGTACCTTGACTAGGGCATTGAGCTTGCACACGCTGAGCTACAGCAGTGTTTGGTACGGCTCTTACATGTTACAGGCCTAGGGCTTTGGAATCTGTCCTGCGCCACAGGGTTGGGCCTGGGGCAAGCGTATTCGCCCGCTGTGCGTCGTTCCCCAGGAGGTGCAGAAGAGTTCGCCCCCCTTCCGCTTGTTGTAGGTGGGTCGGTAAGGAGTGTGGCGGTAACTACAAGAAATGAAAGTTGGAAAACATTAAGCCAACATTCCTGTGGCCCTGGCCAGCAATGTATTGTGGACTTACCTCCATTCCGGCACCTTGCACGCGAGCTGCGCCTGTGAGAACACACCTTGTAAGCAGAATTGGTCCTCGTTCGCAGCGCGTAATCCATTTTCTCTCTTCACGTCTTCAGCTTTCGGCAAGGTATGCCTTCCTTAAGAGTTAAGCCGGGGCATCCAACTAACGCCCTAAAGAGTGTGCTAAATATAGGGATCACTTTTGACACATATCCATTACTCAACTGGACGTGGGTGGCCTTGGAAATTGTCATAGAAGTACGGCGTGATGCTTGTAACTGGCGGGTACCGGAAAACTCGCCGGAAGGCTGCCGAGACGACATATAGTGATGTTTACGTAAGCATCCTTGTCATATAATACTTTTCGTGATCAGACGTATGTTATCTTTCTCGGCGACATAAGCTAGCGGCCACCGACGAAGTCGAAGAGTCAGGACACCGCATCTCTGCTTTTTGGCATTAAAGATATGCTACAAGCTATGTAACCGCATGTAATAGTATTTCGCTCAAGATGGAAAGCCTGGCGAGCTCTTTGGAAACCGTCTTAATGCATGCTGTGGCAGCCTTAGAGCATGAGGATAGGGGAGAGCCCCTGCAAGGTCTTCAGGAGTATAATAATGCTTGGGCTGCTTTGTCATGCGCTCTGGAGGTTCATGGCAACGGTGCCGAACCCAGCTGTTTCGACCCGTTGCCTGGGCTGGTGCGCGAGATTTGCTCTGCGCTTTTGGACACCTACACCATACGCCATGAGGCAAGCGACAGTAGGGCTTAGTGCCTGTAGCACTACGCATCTATCCTGCATGCCATTCTTTAGCGGGTCCTACGTAAGACTTTTGCCGCTTGTATTGGAAGTCAAGTTGATTTACTCAACGATGTCTGCCCTGTAGGCTATCCGTTCGATGCTCCAATCCGCTGGCCCAAGCCACAGCTGCATCTCTGCTCGACGCTACGATGATTTGGGTCAGCCGTCGGAGCCGGCTGCTGGCAACGGTAATCGTTCGGGTGCGTTGAGAATCCTGGAACGGTATTATAACAGCATTTTCATGTTGAAGGGCTTATCGGAGTTACTTACCGTGTATGCTGTACTGGTAGTTCAGCCTTCCAGACTAAACGCTAGCCGGAAAGCGATCTAATAGCAGGCTGACCCAGATCATGCCACGTCCCCAGATCGCATGCCTCATGCATCTCCTGCATTCTTATGCTTTCAAGTCCCATCTACACATGAAAGCCGGTTCAGATGCAGATGCGCACATCACATCACCCGCGCACACATACCCACCAGCAGCCCATGCACCCCCTACCGCAGACCGTCCCTACACCCCGTCACACCCCACGGCGCATGCTCTCTCGTCAAATACCACCAACCCAACCCACGCCTACCACACTCAAACCGGGACGGACGGTTCCGACGCGAGCCGCCGCGATGTGGGTCGGCCGCCCGGGACTCCCATTGGCGGCGCCCATGGTGTTGTACTGACGGCGGTGATGATGGATGTACTGCAGCAGTGTCAGCGGCCGGTGGCAGCAGGAGGCAGCCTGGACGACATGGCGGGTCTAGAGTGAGTCGGGAGTGAGTGGGCAGGCGGAGGATGTGGGTCGCGTGTGACCCATGGGTCAGCAGGCGCATGTGGGGGTGTGTGATTCAGCTGATGATAACTGCACCATCAACTGGCGGCGCCCTCGCGCATCCTGCCCATCACCACCTCGTTCAGGGTGGAGAGGCACACCCCATATGCTGTTGCTCCTGTGCCGACCCTGTGCCGGGTGGCCGCACCCGTGTCATGAGTGAAGCCTCAGCGCCTCCCCGCCTCGCCTCCTGCCCCTTCCCCCCTTCCCCCGCAGTTCCGTGAAGGAGGAGGTGCGGCTGGCGCTGCTGCTGCCCATGCGCATGCCGCACGTGTGAGTGACCACCGGCAGCGGGAGGGGCGGGCGGGGGGAGGGGGTAAAGAGGAAGAACGCGTGACTCGTGTTGTGCACCGGGAGGGGGGATCGGGGGAGCCCGAGGTGCAGCAGCGCGGATTGGGGTGCCTGGTGCTCTGCAAGTTTCAAACCCAAAAACCCACATCAGCCGCCGCTTCCGCACCAGGCAAGCCTCCGCTCTCCCCCCCTCCTCCCTCCCCCACCCCTCGCCCCAGGTTCCGCGGTATCCGGCAGCCGCCCAGGAACTTCCTGCTGCATGGGCCGCCGGGCACCGGCAAGGTGGGAGTGGGGGAGCCGGGGGGCGGGGGGGCGGGGTTAGCGCGAGTTGATGAGTAATGCCGCGGAGGGGGGGGCCCCCGGGGACACAGGGTCTCCTGAGAGGGGTTTGGGGACGTCTTGCCGTCCACCCCTTCCTGACACACTCCGTGACCCCCGCCATCAACCCCTACCCCCTCCGGCACCTTCTCTGACCCCTTCCCTCCCTCCTCCACCCCTCCACCCCTCCCCCCTAGACCATGCTGGTGGAGCGTATCGCGGCGGAGGCGGGTGCCACGCTGCTGGTGCTCACCCCGGGGGCGGTGCTCAGCAAATGGTGGGGAGGGTTGGGGGGGAGATGAGGGGGTGGGGGGTGGGAGTGTACCAGTGCTGCTGCTGTAGGGGCACAGCCACTGCTGCGCCCGCCCGCCCTGGTCCCCTTGCGCAGCCGCGCACCGTGTGCAGCACCAAGTGCGGTGCCTGGCTGCCCCCCGCCTCCCCCCCCCCTTAGGAGCGGTGAGAGCGAGAAGCAGCTGCGGGCGGTGTTCGAGTTGGCTCGGGCCATGCAGCCGTGCATCGTATTCATGGTGGGGCGGGTGAGGGGGTGAGGGGCAGGTGGTGGGGGTCCAGGCGCTCGGAAGAATGGGAACTGGGCCACAGCGAGTACGGCACTAGGCGTCACACTTCCACAGCTAGACGGGCGCTTCCCCCTCCCTCCCCCCCTCCCCCAGGACGAGGTGGACTCGCTGGCCCCCGCCCGCGGCCCCGGTGACGACCCCGTGTGCCGCCGCCTGCTGAATGAGCTGCTGGTGCAGATGAGCCACCTGGCGGCAGGGGGAGGGGCAGGAGGGGCAGGGGGAGGGGCAGGAGGGGCAGGGGGAGGGGCAGGAGGGGCAGGGGGAGGGGCAGCAGGAGGGAGCGAGGCTGCTGTGTACCTGTTCGCCGCCACCAACCGCGTCCAGGTGGGGGCTCCGGGGGGGCGGGCTGGGAGACTGGGGGGCGGGGTGGCTGCTGGGCAGGCGCGGGGCCGCTGGGGGAAGTGGTGGGTAGGGGGGAGTTGGAGATGGTGACAAACACCAGGTGGCAGGGGGGGAGGTGTACCAGGAAGGGCCCAATGTACCCAGATTTGAGTGCACCTCCGCCCACATGCACAAGGATGGTGGGAAGGCCGGTCGGTGTGGGTGGGTTCCAACAGCTGTGGGCGGGTGCAACCTGCCTCCAGTTCAGCACCCCACCTCGCACCCTCCCGCCTCCTGCACAGGACTGCGACCCTGCCCTGCTGCGGCGCTTCGACCGGCGGGTGCCCGTGCCGCTGCCCGACCCGCCCGCCCGCGCGGCCTTCCTGTCCGCCACTCTGCGGCGGCCCGAGGTGGCGGGACACGGACTGGGGGAGCGGGAGGTGCGGCTGCTGGCGGAGAGGACGGAGGGTGGGTGGGGTGGGGTGGGAAGGGTGGGAAACTAGGTGGGTTGGGAGGCTGGTACGGCACTTTCTGCTTGCACACAATCCGGTCTCCACCTCTGTACATCATGCACGGCAGGCTAACGTTGTTCCCTTCCCCCCCTCCTCCTCACCCCTCCCCCTCCCTCCCCCAGGCTACAGTGGCAGCGAGCTGGCCCAGCTGGCTCGCGAGGCCGCCATGCAGCCCGTCAGGGAGCTGCTGGCACGCTGGGTGGGGAGCGGCAGCGGGTGGGGGGCCGCGGGGGGGCAGCAGGGAGCTGCTGAGGAGGCGGCGGGGGTTCGGCCGCTGGAGCTGCGGGACTTTGAGTACGCGCTGCGGGCCATCAGGCCGGTGGCGGAGGTGGCGGGAGGATAGGGGAGCAGGTGCCGGGTGGTAGGTAGGGATGGATTCGGTGGTGCGGGGTGGTCGAAGTTACTATGGGGGTATCAGGACTGTAGGAAAAAGTACGGATAAGGAGAAGACGTACGCCGCCGGCGCGGCTGCATTCGTACATACTTGAATAATTGTGCGTGACGCCAATTTGCTGTTAAGCTGGTGGGAGGAAGGGGGCGGAGGTCGTGAGGTGTCCGGCGTGCAGTCACGAGGTGTCCGGCGTGCATTGAGTAGGAGTAGCCAGGTAGACTTGGCACAGAGGAGCCAGTGCTTCTCGATTTGCATTTTACACTTATTCGCATGAAAGGGCAAAAAATTTGCTTTGGCGTGCAAATAAGCATGGTAGTATTTCTTACATATTTGATCCATTTCCGGATCCAGACATTTTGCGCGCGAGCCAATTTAGAATGTCTCTCACAAGTTAGATAGGTGCAGGTTGCGTTATACAGGCAGTGAACTTACCATACATGGTTATTGGCTGCCCGAGTGAAGGCTTGCCCGTGCGCAAGTCGGCCTTCACATTGCTGCACATTGTACATAGCTGAGCCTGGCTGAGCTGCAGCTTTTCTGCGTCCTGTCCAAGGCAACTATACTTTGTTGTTGTTTGATAATCCTTAATATTGTATCCAAAAAAGGGTACCGGTAACAATGCAAACCAAGCCTTGCAGCTCACGGCTTCAGCGACACTCTCAGCAACGCCACCCTGCCTTTCCTCGAATCACATCGCAACTCTTTCCTTTCAATCGGAGGACATGCTTCTCCAGGAGAGCTCCTGCTTGCCGGTTGGTAGCCATGCCCGCAAGCCGAAATTCGCGCCTTGCCATCCTCGCATTTCGCGAACCAGGCCACCGTCAACCTGACGGACATCCCTCCAGACGTAACATGGCCGTCAGCGAGCACGTTTCTGTGCCCGTGGATTACTACCGTCTACTTCAGGTCCCACGCGTCAGCCGACCCGATGCCATCCGCAAGTCCTACGACAACCTTATGAAACAGTCTCCAGCCACTGCCTACTCCGCTGATACGCTATTTGCTCGTGCGGTGCTGCTAAAGGCTGCCTCGGAGTCGCTAACCGACCCGGACCTGCGCCGATCCTATGATGCCAAGCTCGCTGCCGGCCACACCGCCCTGCGAGTCAGCCAGCAGGACCTCCCTGGAGCGCTGGTGCTGCTGCAGGAGGTGAGGCGCTGGGAGCGGTGGCAGAGTGACACGTAGCGGTTATAAGTGCATGACTTGTTACAGTTGTTCTCAAGGAGAAACATGGAATAGTACACGTAATGACGGTGTCCCTCTAAGCCCTTGCCTGCTCAGTCGGTAAACAGTACCCCCGTCGTCAACACCATCCAGTCATCACCAACCCTGCTTCTAACCTCCATCCCAACCTTCTACCGCACCAACCTCATCCCCAGATCGGCGAGTTCCAGCTGGTTCTCGAACTGGGTTCCCGCTGGCTTGATCTCAATGGAGCTCAGCCGGACGCGGGTGACGTGGCGGCGGCTGTGGCGCTGTCGTACTGCGACCGCGCCGGCGAGCGACTGCTAGCGACCGACAGCCAGGGCGCCGTCATGCCGGCGTGTGACGACCTAGACGCGGCACTCACTCGGCTGCGGCGGTACGGCGTTGCCAAGCAGCTGCAGACGCAGATCGTGGGGGCGTTGCGGGTGGGTGGGTGCCCTGGGTGGGTGGGGCGACGTTTGGCTGAAGCGAGGAGCAACGCATGGGTTGAGTGGTTGCTATAGCGCCTGTACAACGCAACGCAGGGGTTTGGAAATAGCAGCAGCAGTAGTGGCGTGCTTCTCCCCTGCTGCTTTGTTATATCCAAGCCATTCTAGCCCCCCCGTCAGCAGCCCCCGACCTCCTAACCTCCTTCTGCCCCTTGTCACCCCCTGCAACTCTCTGTCGTCCCCTGCCGCCCTCCACCGCAGGATCTAGCACCCGAGTATGCTTGCGAGCTGGCTTCCCTGCCGCTCGACTCGGAGAACGCAGCCCGGCGTGCCAAGGGAGTGGCCCTCATGCGGGGGGTGCTCCGGGCCGCCGCCAGCGCCGCCAGAGCGGTTGCCCGCAGCGGTGGGGGCATGGGCGCTGCTGCTCCGCAAGCTGCGGCAGGAGCAGCGGAGGGGGACATGGCGGATGCGGGGGGCGACCCGCAGAGCACCGTGGTGCATGCCCGGCGCATGTTGACACGCGCCAGCAACGTCCTGACCTGCAGCGAGCAGGTGTGAGGTCTGGGGCGCGTGCAGTGTAGAGGGTCTAAACGCATCCCGCTACTGCCGACTGCCAACACAAATGTTGCCTTGTACTCACCAAATGCAGTCCATGTAGAGTTCTTTTTCTCACAGACAATATATAATCCAAACAGGACAGACAGAGCAGGACACCTCTCACCTAGTCCCCCACGTACCCCTCCCAGGTATCCCTGCTGCCTGACGCCCTCCGCGGCAGTGGCCTCACTCCCCACCCGGACGTGTTGTACGACGGAGCGCTCGCGCACATCGTACAGGGTTTCACACGCGGCTGGCCTCACTCGGTGCAGCAGGCGGACCGGCTGCTAGCCCAGATGGAGCAACAGCTGCTGCTGCAGGCGCAGCAGGGCAACGCAAAGGGTTCAACTGCAGCCGAAACAGGCAAAGAACCCGTAGGAGCCGCATCGTCATCCCCCTCACCATCATCGCAGCAGGCGCAGCAAATTGCGGAGCTTCGGGGTTCGAATCACGCCGGCGGTGTGGCCCTGGAGCGTGCTGTGTGTGCTGTGCTGCTGGGGGACTACCGAGCGGCAGTGAGTCTGCTGGGGCTGCAGCAGCAGGCGCAGCAGCAGAAGAGGGGAGCCGCAACTGCTTCTGATGCAGCAGCAGCAGCAGCGGAGGAGGAGGAGGAGGCAGCGGAAGCAGGCGCCTCCAGGGAGCCCTCGGAGCATGAAAAGCTTGTGGAGTTCGTAACGGTACGGACACGGTGCATGCCTACTCTGCAAGACGAGCTTCATGGCTCCGCTACTCCACTCTCCTGCGCCCCAGTACCTTCACTTCGTCTTTGTGACCATCGTCCTTTTCCTTTCTAAGTACCCCTTCTGCTTCATCTCCACCTTCTGCCCCCACAGATGCACTCCCCCAACGCTGCTCAAGGCGATCTGCGGCCCGGCCTACGTGCGCTGGCCGCCCGCTGGCTGGAGGGCGTGGCGCTGGCCAGCTTCCGAGACACTGCGGGGCAGTCCGTGGCGCCCCTGGAGCAGGCCTGGTTTGGCAACCCCCGGGTCGCTGCATACGTGCAGGTGCGTGTACGGGCTGCGTCGGTGTGGTAACGCCTCTGTGGGTTGCCGTAATTCGACTTTGCACTAAAGCACTGACCCATGGGTCTGCATGTGCTGTATGCCACACTAACATGCGTCTGTGTTTCTACTCTGGCGGCTGCCCGCCTGCACGGTCCTGGTCCCCTAGCATGCGATTACCGCGAGCCCTTGGATTGGCACCAACCCGATAACCGTGAGCCCCTGGGCCCTACCTGCAGGTCTGGAAGCTCAGCCGCAACGACCAAGTGCTGGCCGGTACGCACTTCCTGTGCAACCTGCTGCCAAACTTCATGCAGTTCCTCGCATCCCTGGCAGCAAAGGTCGCCGCAGTGTTTGTGGCCATCGCGTCCCGGGGCAAGCGTGCTAATGAGGGTACGGCAACCGCTGGCGGCCGTACGGCTTCCATGGCTGGTACCCCTACTGGATCGCGAGCGAGTAGCAGCGCTGCAAGCATACATGTTCCGGTAGCGCTGGAGCAAGAGCACCAGCACCAGGAGGCCTCCGTGTCAGCAGCAGGGCCCACCAACGGCGCCATGCTAGCAGCCACACCCGTGCCTGACGCTGCAGCCGGCATGGGACCAAGCGGTACCAGCGGCAGCAACAGCCCAGAAGCAGCTTCCCCTGCTGCGGTTGCTGCTACGGTAAGCCCGTTTGGCCACCCGTACGGAAAACCCCTGCGAGATGCTGCGGCTGTTGAGCTCGCCACCGCAACTGTTGCGTCTAACAGCAGCGGCCTTGCACCGGCGGCATCCACCTTTGGCGGACCCATGGGTCGAAGCCCGCAGTCCTCACGCGGCACGAGCAGGGCGTCAACTGCCAATGCAACCGCTTCCTCCAAACCCGGCACCAGGAGCCTCACTGAGGCAGACAGTAGCAGCGTCGTACGGCACACCGGCGATGCGGCTGATATGCGCCGGCGCTTTGCCGCCAGCGCCGCCGTTGATGCCGCCGCCTTGGCTCCACAGAAGCCCCAGCGGCTACTGGAGGTTGAGGTTGAGGGCCAGGCGAGTCAACAGCACGAACTAGCGAGTGATGTCGAAGAGGCCAAGTTGGGCCTGGAGGACATGGAGGAAGTCGAGGAGGAGGACGACCCCTCCGATGTCCCGGATGAGGAGGAGGCGGAGGATCCCCAGGCCGATGCGGCCCTTGCAGCGCCGCCGCGGCGAGGCATGACGGAGCAAGACCTGCGCGCGCATTTGGCGGGGCTGGAGGCAGCGATGTGGGATAGCGAGGTACCGACCCTTGGGTCGAAGCCGCAGAACGTGCTGCTGTGGGCCGCTGCACTGGTAGGTTGGGGCTGGGGTGCTCGAAGCAGGGTTGAGGAAGGACGGGCTATACCTGGGGTACTTGCGAGCGACTTGGGCCAAGCTCGCATATGATTGTTGTCTTGCATGACCGTTGCGCAACGCTCTGTCGCACACACGCATAAGCCACTAAACGTGGTTTTTGGACAGACAGCTCACATCAACGTCGGCTTTCATTCCACTCCAGGTTGCCATGCTGGCTGCTCTGGCCACGGTGCTCTTCCAGCGTCGAGACACTGCCGCCAGTGCCTCCCGCCTGACCCTGCTGAGCGCGCCCACCGCGGCATGCTTCACCATCTCGGCCCAGGGACCCGCGCCAGGCTCCTTCCGCAGCGCTTGCTAGGAGGGCCCCAACGGCATTCTCGCAGGATGAGAATACTAATGGTTGCTGCACTATGCATTGTTGGTTGTAGGGAGGGGGCGGGCGAGGAGCAGGCTGGGTATTGGCGAGCCAGGGCGAGCCGGGGTAGCTTTGCATGTTCGCACGAACGTCGTGGTCCGGTCATGATACGGTGTCGGCGTCTGGCGGGGGTTTTGCATGTAGGAGGATTGCTGCACCATGAGAGGTTCGAGCGTCGATGTTGAGGGGTAGGATGCTGTGCAACACGCCAGGAGAGACTTCATACAGTGGTAGGATGCACCGGCTCAACTATGTTACAATGCTGTTGGTATTCTGTTTATGTTGGGTTAGGGCAGTGGTTGCCGCCCTCAGCGGTCCTTTCAGTTGAGTCATGCCGCCGGACCGCATACGGTTTTGAAACCACCGTGATCCTAATCGCATGACTACAGAGACATTGCAACTGTAATGGAGGGACCCTTACTGTTCCTTTGCTCGCTTCGCAGCTAGATTGCAACCAGCCTTACGACTGCAGTTTTCAGCAGCTTTCCAACCTTTCCGCAACACCGGTATCTACCCTTCGCTAACAATAGCAGCACCCCTCCCTCCAGCAACTTCTACTCAATGCACCTCTGCACCTCGTCGCTAATCCAACACCCTGCCGGCAGCAGCCCCGCGGATCCCACAAGCCGGCGACCAGCATGCACGCACACCGCACAACACCTCTCGCTCTTCCCCCCTCAGCGCGCATCCTTCTGCGCCCAGGGCTTTTCCTCCTCCAGCTTACCCCGCGTGGGCTCCTTCAGGCCCTGCCCCACGGAGCTCTCCACAAAGCTCTGCTGCGCCTGTCGCGCCTCCTCACGTGAGGGCGGCTTCCAGTCGGAGCCGGGCTGAGGCCAGGGGAATTGGGAGAGGCCGGGGCGTTAAGAGAGGTGAAGCTCAGATTATTTGAGAACATGTGCTCACGGGAAGTTGCACTGTGACATGCGTTTCACAGTGCCACGCGCTCTACTACCTCCCGCCCGTGCTTTCACTACTGGTATCTACGCCACAGCTCGGGTCTGGATTGTCCCAACCCAACCCTCTTCGCATCCACACAATCCGTTGCCGCAACTTTCCTCAGTCCGACCACCCGCTGCTGTGGGGCCCCGAGCGGTCATGTGGAGCCGGATGGATGCGATGAGGTCGCCAGACAGCATGGTGGGGTGGCACAACAGAGATGCATGTTCACAAGCATGGAAAAACGGCGCGTGAACTATGGAAGAACAGAGGAAGTTTGCAAGGTGCTGCCTTCGGGGCGTGCGACGACCGGGTAACAGACCGGTTAGGCCGCCCCTGCCGCCCGCGCCCTACCTCACTGCACCTCAATGACGTATACCTCAGCGCCCAGCCGCACCCTCACCGCGTGCGTGGCCGCATCGTGCTCCGAAGGCGTGTCGCGCGTGACGCCAGTCACGTCGGGGCGCGCCCCCACGTCCGCGGAGGGCGGCACGCGGCCCTCCACATCCCGGTCGGCGGGCGCAGGGCCGCCCCGTGGGACAGCGCCAGCCGCTGAAGGGGAAGAGGATGTTAGGCCAGGTCGGCAGTGGAAGGAGTGCGCGTTAGAGGACCGCAGCATGGGACGATGTGGCAAGGAAATTGGCCACGCAGGAGACGAAACGTGCTGGCATTGCCGGAAGATGAAAGTCCCATGGGTCGATGTGTCTGTGCCATAACCATGGCTTGCAATTACCAAGCCCCGCCTGACCGTCCTATTAACCATGCCTGTCCTGTTAACCAAGCCCCCGCCTGATCGCCCCTCTCAACCTCGCTCCCGCACAACTCACCCTCAGCGGGGTTGCGGAAAGCCTCCTCCGGGTGCTGCAGGGAGGTTGATGGGTCCTCGTGAATAGGGTAGCTGCCCTCCGGCATGCGTCGGCTGTTGCTGGCGCCGCCCTTGCTGGGGTCCGCGCCGGCACCGAACTCTTCCTGGGTAGCGCCGGGCCAGGGGCTGGGTACGGGCTCGCGGTCCTGACGCCGGGAGAACACAGAGCGGGGCGTGACAGCGGAAACAGCGGGCACATGGACCTAAACTGATAATAGTTGTCCTATCGGCACGCGACGCCGCGAGCCGTTGGCAAGATGTGAAGTAAGAAGAGCCTCAGGCCCATCTGAAGAAGCAGCAGCCGCAGCATTATATGTACAGGCAGGATTAAATGCACTACGTACCTTTCGTGCAGACTCGTAAAGTCCTCCGGTCCCAAGCTCGTGCCCTGGATCGTCGCGAAGGCCGCCGGTGTAGGGCTGCTGCGGGAGGTCCTGGTCCTGGTCGCGCTGCTCACGCACAGCCGTTGATGTCGTGATGGAGGCTGCCTGGCCTGCGAACCGAACATTATAAGGGTGGTTTCCTGCTTTCGTCAATCGAGGAGACCGAAGCTCTCATGGCGCCCTCTAATGCGATATCAACATAGGGTTGTCGCATTTCCGTTGCAGATAGAAAGACGGCCCCCACACGCTTACCTGCTGCGAGCGGCCAAGCGCTGGTGCCTCGCGTTGCCAGAGCCGAAATGGAGCCTTTTGGTATACGGGAGATAACAAACTGGGCCATGGTGTATTTTGAAGAAGACGTTTTGCTAACTGTGCAGTAGGTATGTAGTGTTTTGTGACTTCATTGTTGCAATCCTTTGTATGCGCTCAAACGTTACCGTACTCCGACGCGTCATTTCGTTGGAACCTGGTGTTGTACTCGCCCCAAAAAGCTTCATGGCCAACAGCAAGTTTGGAAATGTGAGATTGGGAGGATACCATTGTAACACCAAATCGTGATATCGCCGGCTTTCTACCGGTATCGCTGGGGCTGACCCCTGGGTCGCGCTATCATGAGGCGCCGCTAGCACTGGATCTCTCGTTACTGTAGCTTGTGTTGGGCGGTGCCCGACGAGATAAACCAATGACATGCATTCACATCGCATTAAATTAATTCTTACGTCCGCCTAAGGCGTCCTGTGTCGGCAAGAGCCTACAAGCGCGTTCCGGAACCGAACTACAACACAAGAGCGCCACTTCCGGCCTAAACCAAGTAAAGAAGCATGCTTGAATGGCAAAAAAATGGAAGCTCGAAGCGGAAGGTGTCAATGCGACACGAGAAACGTCAAGCCAACGGCAAAGCCTGCCTAGAAGCATTCTGCCGCATACTGTGCTATACTGTTATTAGCAAATGGTAACCATTGCAAACACAGCTCAATGCTGCTTCCTCGACGAATCACGAGAAAGCCAAGCCTGCAGTGTTGATCACGACTGCTAGTAGGTTCGTTTGTTCAACGCACCGTTAACATCCCAGCAAGGAGGAAATTCTTACCCAAGGACAAGCTGGGCAGCACGGAACTCCTTCCCCACACGCCGGCACCCAACACCATATCTCTACTTAGCTTCAGCCCCAACCCACCCCCAGCACCTCGTCCGCAGCATCAAATGCAACATATGCCTGGCACGCAAGTGCAATGTATGCCTGGCACGCAGTGCGTTGGCGCCGATCCAAACGCATCCCAAAGACCTGTTGCGCACGCCGCATGAAGGCACAGCCGCGCGCAGCCTACGCCAGTCACTGCAGTTGCAAAGCCCCCTCGATGTTTACGCGGTAACGGTGCCGACAGACATGCCAACGGCAAGCTCCTCGAGGCGCAACGGCTCAACTGCTAGCGCCTCCTCCGCCTCCTCAATGCCTGAGCCGAAGGCCGGACGCATCTCATATGCGGCAGCGTGCAGCAGGTGCGTTGGGCCGTCAACCGAAATGATCTCGATTCCAGCACCGGGCGGCCCCATGCCGAGGTGCGAGGTAGCCGTGGGCGCGCTTCCCCGGTACACGCGCGCCGTGAGCACCTCGCCAGCCTCGGTGAAGACCTCGAGGCAGGAGTAGTCCAGGAACACTCGCAGCGACAGCGGGCAACCGGGCGCCGGCGGCCGCAGCAGCTTGCCGCCCACACGCCGTGCGCCGGGGGCAGCCAGGCTGAAGGTGAGCGTGGCGGGGTCCATGGCCTCAAACACAACCTCCAGCACACCGCTGTCCCAGTGGTACAGCAGCGCGGCGGCGCCCTCGGCTCCGCTGGCCCAGCTCTGGAGGAGGAGCCCAGATGCCGAGCACTTGGCCTCCTCTCCGTCGCGAGTTGCCGCCGGCTGCATGACCAGCTCCAAGTCCAGGAAGGGACCAGAGACGAACGGAACCGGCAGCTGCAACCATGGAAACAGCACAGTTAGGTAACTTGCTGGATGTGTATTACGGATCTGCAGCACGTGGCGGCACGCAAGTGCTGAGGGCTGGCTGGTCCCACTGATTACCTCTACTGAGCAAACCCACCTTAGCGCCGCCCTCGACGATAAGCTCCGGCACCGCGTCATGCAGCCGCCATGACCGGTGTGGGATACGCAACTGTGAAAGCTCGGGCAAGGGCTGCTGGTGAAGCGCCCAGCCGCCCGCACCCGACGGCGACGCCTCCGAGCCGGCCGAGGCCTCGTGACTGATCTTCTCCAACCAGAGAACGCGGGGGAGAGACAAACATCCAGAGTAGTCGTATGCGTCGACCTTGGTGCGCTTCTCTTGGTTCCAACCCCATAGGAGCGTGCGGCCCTGCACAAGAATAAGTTATATACCAGTGAGCGGTAAGGCGCATGCAGTCGAAGGCGCACTGTGAAGTGACGACTGCCAAAGAGAATGCATGGGGGCCTCGTATGGCTACCTTGGCGGTATCTTCCAGTGTGTTCGGTGCATAGAGGACGTCGCCCAAGTCAAGCTTGAAGGGGCCGACTGAAGAGTCAATGTCGAAGCGCTTGGCAACGGGGTCGTAGGGTCCCAGCCAGTAGTATGCAGGGTTGGTGCAGGCGTCCGGCTGCAGTAACGGACATGGGGGTGGGATGTTGAGCTCAAACAAGGTACGATGAACGATACAATATGGACGTGTTAGGGACTACTTTCCCCGTACTCTGCCAGGCAGACGTACCCTGCCAGGCAGACTATGATGGATGATCGTACAGGTGTGCTGCTGGTATAGACATGGAACCCACCCAACAATGTATCCATGGCAAACATAGCTAACAACCTACCGAGACGCAGAAGAAGTGTGGCAGTGGGTCTTGCGAGCCACCATCGCTGTTGCCTGGCCCGCTGACCGGCACGGGTGACGGCGAGAATGAACTCTGCATGTAATTTTAACGGGTATCGGCGTCAGGAGTCATGAGCTCGTTAGCCAGACAGCGTCTTGAACCGGCATAAGCATCGGCGTAACCGTTGCAGCATGCGCTTCCCCAACTTCTCACATCGATGTGTCCGCGGCCCTTGGTGTGAGGCATGAGGGTTGCGCTGGAAGGACGCGTGTCCAGCTTGCAAAGGATCGGGCATTCCCACATGACACCCGTTGTTGCAGCGTTACCGCGACCGTGGCAAAGCTCTCCATGCAGCTCCCAGCCTGCAGAGAAGGCACATGATGTAATCCATAGCAACAGCGACTGTGGATAACGTCGGTACCAAACGAGAAGCTCCCCCCTGGCACACCGTACCGTCTAGTAGGTCTCGAGACGTGTAGAGGAGGACGGTGCCGCCGTTGTCCTTAACCCCGCTGCCGATAAGGAGCGACCAGCAGTCATGGCCGTCACGGCCGGGCCTGTGAATGATGTAGGGGTCGCGCCATCCGGCCAGGCCCATGCTCGGCGGAGGCAAGGAGAGCCATGGGTACTCGATCTTGGTCCAGTACGTGAGCTTGGGATCCTCTGGAAAAAAAGAGCCAACGACCGGTTTGTTTTTATGGTAGGGAGCGTATCCTACGCAAAGGTGCATACCTGGGTCGACCGGCCGTACAGCGCACTGCGACTCGATGAACGGCAGTTCAAGGTCACACTCCTGGGGAGGTAGCGGGCCGCAAGAGTCGTTGCTCCGCAGCCGTACGCCCCTGCAGGCATGGATAAGTTGCGTCCAGCTAGGTTGCCAGCAGGTAGAGAACAAAAGAAGCAGGCATCAGAAGGATTTAATGTGCAGAAACTATGTATGCGGAATTTTAAGGAAATGTTTGACCGGTCAACGGGGCAACACGGTTTCGCCCATAAAGGGTACCGGTACTTTACTTACGTGTACATGATTGTGGGCACTCCATTCTCGTCGATTGTCGCACAGCCACTGAAGCAGCCATCAGAGTCCAGGCCTCCCGGCGTAGGCACTACTGCATGCGGTAGGTGCTCCCAGTGTACCAGGTCAGGAGAGACGGCGTGCGCCCACACCAAGCCGAAAGACCAGGTGCAGCCCTCCGGAACATGCTGGTAGAACCTGCAAATATTGATAAGCACAAAGCACTTCAAGGCCCAGGAAACATCTGATGAGACGCGTATGACGGCAGAATGTTGCAATGTCCATGGCTATCCGCTATTAGCCAAGAGCTTCAATAGAAACGTCTTATGGTCGGCACGTACATGTGATAATAGCCCTTATAAAACAGCGGGCCGTTCGGATCTGCGTGGAGGTAACGGGGAAAAATTGTTAGTTTCGAGTTCATCATCCTTAGCCAGCTAGGCAAGGCTGCTTACCGTTGAGCCATCCTTGGCGAGGGGCAATATGATAGGCTGGCCTATCGTGGCGCAAAGGATAGCTGGGCACAAGCGTTTGCGCAGCCTGCGTACTGGTTGCCATTTCGGGCTGCAAGGCACGCACAGCACGGGCAGCAACAACCTGCGGCTGCTGCAAGGGAAAGAGAAAGTAGGAGGGCTTGTTGGAGCTGGCAAAGGTCGAATATATAGTTAGCCGTATTCTCGATTTCCTAGTCCTAGGTGCTGGCTTGCCCTTTTCCTCGCGCAGCTCCTCGCGAAGCCAACGAGCGCAACAGATTGGCGTGAGAAGGAAAGATGAGACAAAGCCATTTTCGATGGTACGGGTAGTAGGTGCTCCATGCACCAAGGATTGTCCTGGAGCATTTTATACGCGGGCTCCTGCCCGAAGCCTTCGCCGTACAAAAGAGCGAAGTTTATCTATACACCTGCTCTCGACCTGTGATTTATTACAACAGGTGCAGGATTGCCCTGTTCCGTGATCCCGGGTGTTTACTGACTGGCTCAGGCACATTCGCCGCAAACGGTTTCCGGACTTCCACGGCGGCTCCTCGTCTTCGTCGGCAACGCAAACCAGTTTCTTTCAGTGTAAGCACATATTTGGCAGCCCTTCAATTAGCAAAGTCTACCTTGGCAGACGGGGATCCAGGTCAGCCGGACGCCATCCATCGCAGCAATTGGCGCAACGCCTGGACGGAGCATGGCCGCTTCGCACGATCCTAAGCCGCTGTTCCACATCGCGCCTCCGCAAGGTTGGATTAACGGTGAGTTGATTGCGCGCTGGACTTCCCTGGGGGGTTCGGCAGCAGCAGCTGGCCGACGCTTTCGGCCGGCAGGCTTGGACACTACTTTGGCTTCCTGAAAGCCTAGCAAACCTTAGTAATGTTGTTGAAATGTCGCAGATCCGAATGGACCTATTTACTACAAAGGATACTATCACATGTAAGTGGGTCGTCTGTCGGGTCGCAACAGCATGCCGAGATTCTCAGCACGCGGCAGCGCTCAATTTTCGCAACTTACCGCGTAACGCAATGATCGCATACATCAGATAAAAGTACAGCATTCATAATGGTCTTGGCAGGCTGTCGCCCGGTAGCTCGCGCACTCGCTGCATCCGTCAGCTCAACGCATTTTATTGGTGGTCACGTAACCAATGGCGATTACGCAACCTCATGAATACTCAAGCACTGTGAAAACACCGTCCTCGCGCACAGGTTCTATCAGTACGTGGAGACGGGTTGTCAGTGGTCATGGGGACTACTATGGGGCCACGCCGTCTCCCGCGACCTCATCACTTGGCAACATCTGCCGCCCGCGCTTGCTCCCACGTTCGGGGGATTCGACGGGGATGGCTGCTTCAGCGGCTGCGCAACTGTAGACGAGAACGGCGTGCCGACCATCCTTTACACCGGTGAGCGCGAAGCAGCACTCACTGTCAAGACCAGACCTTGAACATCTATAACCGTCTTTGCGGTAATGGGAGCAGGGGAAGAGCTTGGGATTCGAGGCAAACAAAAGGAGCAAGAGCGTGCCACCCCTTCCACTTGGGAAGCGGCGTCCTGATGCCCTTACTCTCGCTCATCCCCGTCACACCGACCCCTTGCTCCGCGCTCCTTTGTTCCCTCGCCCCTTGACCATCTCCTCCTTCCCCCAGGCGTGCGGCTGCGCTCCAGTGAAGTGTGCGGTCCGCTGCCGCCCCCCGAGTGCGACCTGGGCACCGCCTGCATCGAGACGCAGTGCATCGCCGTCGGAGACCCATGTGAGTCAGGGCGTGGGCTGTTTCCGGGAACCCTTTTCAGCGAGTCATAGCTGGGGGCCGGCCTTCCACTGCAGGCACTCTGCGGCTCGCATGCGTGCTACAGGGGCATATATGTATTCATTGCGCTCTGTTTCCGTCCCCTGCCGTTGCTTACACCCAACGCCGTCCGAGCTCCTTCGCTCCCCCTCGCCTTTGTAACGCTTGCCCTGTATGTAACGCCTGCCCGTAACGCCCCCCCTGCCGCAGCCGACCCCAAGCTCACCTACTGGACCAAGGACGAGGTGCCCTTCCTGTCGCTGCCGCCCCCCGGCATGCAGCTCACGGCGTGGCGGGACCCCTTCGTCATCGACCGGCCGGGACAGGGCGGCCAGGACTGCTGGTGAGGGGCGCGGTATGGGGACGGGGGACATTCAGGATGCGCACCAGCAGCGGAGATCATGACAAGGGTTGCACCTTCTGCAGCCGGAAGCATGCATGGAGGGGTATTCATTCCATGCTTTCCGCCTCTTTTCGATATCCTCGCGCCAACCGTTTCCTCGCAGGACGGTCATGGTGGGTGCGGGCGTCAAGGAGCACGGCGGTACGGCACTGGTGTATCAGTCCAAGTCACTGCGGGGAGGTGAGTCTCGAGCGTTTGAGGCTTGAGATGGCCGACGCTCCACAGGCTTGCACTACCGGTAGTATCGGGCTATCTTGGAGTCTGTCATCTTTCTTAGAGCACGCACCGGGTAACGTCTTCCTCCTCGGCGTCTGCTGCTGCTGCTGTTGCTGCTGCTGCTGATGCTGATGCTGCAGGTTCCTGGTCCTACGTGGGTGAGCTCTGCCGCGGCAAGGGCGACACCGGCGTCATCTGGGAGTGCCCCGTCATGATGCAGCTGCCGCCACTGCCGCCGCCGCCGCCCCGGCTGCCCGCACCGCCGCTCGCTGCCGCCGGCGCACGGGTGCAGTCGCCGCTGCCCCGGCCGCCACACGCCATCGTCATCCCCGACGCCAAGCTCCCTCTGGAGGCCGAGCCACAACACCTGCTGGTGGGCCCCATGCACGAGGTATCGGTATCACCCCTGGACAGGAAGCAGCCCTCCGCCCGGAGGTTCGGGGAGGAGCCCCTCGCCATCGTCATCCCCTCTCCTGCGTCGCCGCGGCCGCCGCTGAGGGTGGTTGTGGGCGGCAGCGGAGGGGAGGGCACCGGCATGCCGCCGGTGGCGCTGTCGCCGCGGCGGCCAGGGCAGCAGGTGCCGCCGCATGCGCCTCCCAGTCCGCTGCGCTCCCCCGCCCGCTGGAACCTGCCGGCGCTGCATGCGCTGCCGCACGCGCCGTCGCCGCCGGTGAGTGGGGGACTGGGGTAGTGCAGTGTGCCGGTAGGGTAGCCATGGAAGGCGATTCTAGAAGTGCGAAGTGCAGGCTACCCGTCGCCCTGACTTGACTGAGGGGTTGGCGACAAGCCAGGGCGAAGGGTAACTTCAAAATCGCAAATGTCATCATTGCACCCCAAACCCAACATGCTGACTCGCAATGAACCTCGTCTTTCACCAGGCTCCCAGGCCGCCCGCAACCCGCGTGCTCTCCAGCATCGGCGCCGGACCCTTCTCGCCCGGAGCTCACACCAACGCCGCAGCGGCCGCTGCCGCCGCTGGCCTGCAACGCCGCACCCCGCCGCCGTCGCCCCGCATTCCGCCGCCGCCCAGTCCTGCACTGACCCGTGGGTCAGTCGCTGGCGGGGGTGCTGCCACCTCTCCGCACAGCCCTATCGGCGCTGTTGCTGCGCTGCTGACTGGCAGTCCCTCCGCCCAGGCGCCCGCCTCCATCAACCTAGGCAATCCCCCCGTCACGGCCGCTGCGTCTCCCCACCGCGCTACTTCTGCCCTCCCCGAGCCCGCGACCCCAGCTGCAGCCGGACCGGGGGAGCCGCTGATGCCAGGAACCAGCAGCTGGGCGCCTGCAGCCCTCACCCTGTCGCCTCTCACGATCGGGGGTGACAAGGTGGCGGCGACCGGGGCCGGGGGCGGGAGCAGCAGCTGGCAGCGCTACCAAACGCTGTTTTGTGTGTGTCCTGACGACTGCAACAGCATGGCGGTGTACTACCTGGGGTCGTATGACCCACGGGTCGCCAGCTTCGACCTGGAGTCCGCAGTGGGGCCCTTCCCGCTGGACCTGGGCGACATCTTCTACGCGCCCAACTCGCTGTTGGATCCGGAGGTGGGTTTCAAGTGCTTAAGGTTGTGTGTTCTCGTCGGTAACCCGCACTGCGTCCACAACCGCATGCATCTTCTTGACGACATGACGGTTGGGCCCGCACTGACTCGCCTGCACTGGGCCCGCCCGCCCGCCTGCAGGGTCGCGCCATCCTGTGGGGCTGGCTGCAGGAGAAGCCGCGCCAGGTGGGCGCCTACGACTACGCGGGCTGCCTCTCCATGCCGCGACTGCTGTACCTGCAGGTGGGAGATACGGTCTGGTGGTTGGGGGGGAGTGATAAAGAGTAATGAGACACTGATGATGGTGGGTGGGGGGGGCGGATGGGGGCATCTGGTGGGGTCTCATGGTGGTAGGGTAAAAGATAAAAAGAGGAAACTGCGGGGAGCTGTTGGACGAGAGGGCTTCACCATGGGGGTTGCTACATTGGACCCCGCCCATTTCACACCTGATATGGGTCCCTGGTGGGGCCACACACAGTAACCAATTGCGCAAACGATGGCACGGAGTGACGTGTTTGTGCTTATACATGCCTGTTTCTGCAGTCCTGTGCATGGAACCTGGCATTGTATGCCATGTTGTTTATCGAGCAACACAACGTCACGCCACGCCGCCTGCCTTGCCATGGCCGATGCAGGTGAACGAGCACGCTGCGGCGGACGGCGGCGGTGCGCCCCCCGTGTACCTGGTGCAGAGGCCGCCCCCCGACATCGCCAAGCTGAGGGTGAGGGCATGTAGGGCTTTTTGGGTGCATACCTTGCTTACCTGGGCGTCGCTGTGTCGTTAGCCCTTGTGAATTGCGGTCTTTGGTTACACGGGGGGGTGTGAACCTACTTTGTGGTTTTGGTACCCCTCCCCCCCTCCCTGCAGCTCCCCGGCAGCGAGTGGCAGTCCGAGGGTCTGCTGCTGGAGTGCGGTTCCACGCTGCCCGTGCCGCTGTCCGCCGGACACCACATCGAGCTGCAGCTGCTCATGGCGCCCCTGCCGCAGCCGCAACAGCCGCTGCGGGAGGACAGCGGCGGAGCAGCCGCTGCCGCCGCTGCTGCTGCTGCGCCCATCGCCATCGGTGGCGGCGCCGGCAGCCGCTGCAGCGGCGTGCTGCTCCACAGCTGGCGCGGAGGCTCCGAGGGCGCCGCCGCGCTGCTGTACCACTGGGACAGCGGCGTGCTGGAGGTTGTGTTTGAGGCCATGGACCCCGCCACGCTCACCTTCAGCCTGGCTGCCCCCGGCGCACGGCGTGTCGGCGGCAAGCTGCTGCGGCCGCCGGCGCCCGGTTGCCCGCTGTCGCTGCGAGTGTTCCTGGACTACTCCTGCCTCGAGGTCTTCACCGAGGCCGGCGAGGTGCTCACGGCGCGCGTGTACCGGGGAAGCGCGCCCACAGCGGCCCACGCACACCACCACCACCACCACCACCACGGACAACAGGAGCATGGGCGCGGTACGCCTTCGCTGTCCCCGTCGCTGTACGGTGTGGGCGGTGCGGCTGCTGCGGGTGTGGAGCTGGTGTCGTTCGGGTGCAGCACGGAGTTCGAGAGTGTGGCGGCGTACGAGCTGGGATCGATCTGGGTCGAGGAGGTGTGAGGGGAGGACCGCAGGCGTGCCGGGGTTTTGTGGTGGTGCTGATGGTGAGAGACCGTGCTGGATCGGGCGTGAGGAATGCGGATTTTGAAGCGGTGTAACAGCGGAATGCAGTTGTCGGATGACTGGCTGTGGCGTTTGGTGAGGTGCGGGTGGCTTCCTCCTGAAAGGGGCGGGTGGCTACCTCCTAAGAAGAAGGACGCCCAAGGTACGAGCAGCACATGGGCGGCATGCTGCAGGAAGGATAATGGACGGTCCCATGGGGCGATGATGCGTGCGGGTTTCGGAGCAGCGTGGCTTGGTGCAGGGCGCATGGCAGGGAACGGAGAATGAATGAGGTCCATCTATGACGTCTAATTTTGTTTTGCGACATGTACATGAGTGGGTAGCATATAGGACACAGGCCTTCGACGCAGGTCTTGAAGCTTTGAAGCGCAGGGGGTGTATTTGTATTTGCAGGATGAGGTTGTGGGTGCAGGGTTAGTGCTTTCGTATGTGCGTCCCTTGCATGATTGCATGGTTTGCCAGGTTATCGCAATCCAACAATTAAGAGCCGTACAACTATTGTTCAAGTTGAGGTTCACGTTTGCGTGCTGAGTAGCAGCTGCGTGCCGCCATGCATGTGCGTGCTTATGTAGCCGCAAGGATTCTAGATTTTATGCTTTACGAGGCCTCGGCGGCTTTTTGACCGGAAGAATTTAAGTAGGTGTCAGCCGAGGTATGCCTAAAATGGTGCATAATATTCTGTGTTTGCCGGTTGCAATGTTCCCGTGTAAGGCCCTAGCTGGCCCAACATAGTGTGGCTTCTGCAAACTCATCTCTTAAGAAGGTAAGATGGATTGGCATTAAAACTCAAGCGGGGCTCATGTCAGAGGTAGCATGCCGGTAGCAGGGTAACGCAAAAGAGGACAAAGGGTAAAGCAAGCAGCAGGGACGGGGACCAAGGTGGAAGGGGCAAGAGAAACCAAATGATTGAAATCGCAAGTTATAGCAAGGTTGAAGGGGCAGGGCACGCGGCAGGCGTGCTGACGACACACCGTTGCTGAGAGAGGAGGCACGGAACTCTCGCACTGGGACAGGGGGTATCCTGCGTGGTTTTGCACTTGGTGCTGAGGGCGGTGGGGTGCAGTCGCAAACTGCTACCCGGGGGAGGGGGCGCAGCCGTACCGATGGCGGGGTCATCAGAGGGACGGAATGGCCCTGGTGAACTGGGGCACACATCCAACCGAATTATGCACTTCGGCATTACAGCAATGCATGTCAAGTTATAAGGGAACATGCGTCGGCTGCTGACCAGGGCGCATTGATTCTGGCAGCCCGCCTGAGTGCAAGCCCAACCTGCCTCCTGGCGTGAGGATCCGTACACATCCGGCGGATTTACAGGTGTATCTATTAGGAACAAGGATTGTGTAAAGTGCACATAAAAGCGCTTCAGGCGCGCACTTAAGCAACGCCCTACCACATACAAAGAATATCTCACAGTCTGTAAACGAATCACAGCCTGCAGTAGTGTACCAAAAACTAAAACCTACGGTAGTCTTCATTCGCAATAAATAGCACGCTGATTCATAGTTTGGCGAGGAGTTGCAGCACAACACACACAGCCTGCAGCCCAAAGCAAGTAACCGAGCGTGCGTAACCGCGATGGCGGCCGTACAAGCACCCGTAACCGCAAACCCCAACTGTATATGTATCCACGCACGCCCAGGCAACCGTAAGAACGGCTATAAAGTTACTGTTAATGCTACAACTGTACTGCACAAGTCCACTAAACGTCCTCAATCTCCGTATCCTGCACAATCCTGCGTTTCCCGGGTCCGCCACACAGTTGGCAACATCATTGCAGGCAGGCACCGGTTCTAAGTTCTGTCGCAAAGCAACGTTTGCTATTTCAGTGCTAGTGCTCCACCTCGCCCCTACAATCCTAATCACCATAGGGCGAGATGAGGACTGGGCAATGGGTCTCAAGGACCCATGCCCATGCAACGCACGCTGCAATTAATGCATGCTAGTTCCACGTTCGTACAGTCCTCACCCTGCCACAGCCGTCCGCACCCTGCTTGTGCCTTACCGCATGGCCAGCGGCACAGCACAGCCCGGCAGGCCCCGCATGCAACCGCGTGACACAAGCTCAAGCTGCTTGGTGGCCCAACGTAAACGTCTGTTGTGCACGCATTACGGAATCCCACCATGCCGGAAGCAGGCAACGGCTCAAGCAACCAGCTGAGGCACCTACACAAGGCAAACCTCACACTGGACCGCTTGGAACCACGCCACGCGTTTACACCGCATACCGCTCTGCCCTGCAACAGCACTCCCACATCCAAACCAGGCCTCCTCGCATGATATACATTGTCCAGAACTCCGGTCCCGTCCCCGCGCTGCAATCCTGCAAAGCAAGTAAGTCCCAAGCAATCTCCCCAAAACGCTCTCATGCAGCCATGTAGGCATCCACCACCTACCCAATTCGCGGCATCCATGCACTGCACCATAGGGCGACTGCTGCCGTGCGTGTGAGAATTTAGCATGCAAACCGGCTGGGATGCGCCCTAACGGAATACCAATATCATGCAAGCGTGACTGCCCGCGCTAGGCGCTGCTGTCTCAACGAACGTGGCAGGTTGCGTTTCTGCTGTTTTCGCAAGTTGGGCGGCAGTCCCAGCACCATAAGCGCTGACAGCTGAGGCAGCAGCTGCTGCTGCTGCTGTGTTTGCTGCAACTGTTGCTGCTGCTGTTGCTGGGAAGGTACGCCTCCACCGCCCTCCAACGCTGTCTCGCCGCCCGCCGCGTCGCCTTTCCGTCGTACCGGCGACGAAGGTGAGCTGTCCACAACCACCACAGATATGACGCTCATCCCTGACACCGTGCTCTGTCGTCTCCCAGCAGCCACCCGGAGCGGCGACCCCTGCTGTTGCTGCCGCTGTGTCGACTGCGACTGCGACTGGGGCTGCTGCTGCTGCTCGGATTGAGCCTGCTGCTGTTGCTGCAACGGCGGCGATGGCTCACTATGCTGTTGTTGTATTTGCTGCTGTGGTGGCGGCGGCGGCGGAAGTTGCTGCTGCTGTTGTCGCTGCTGCTGTAATGTCGCGCTCGACTGCGCCGCCACGATTCGCAGCTGCGGTAGAAAGGATTCAGACACGCCGCGTGTGTTGCGTGCCTGCAGCGGCACCAGGTTGATGCTGGCCGCCAGCAGATGCGGCGGACCGACTGCCTGCAGGGGTGTCGGTCCCGGGTCGCCGCCACCCAGGTGAGGAAGGTTCCTGGGATGCGGCACGCTGGGGCCGGAGGGCGCAGTGGAGGCGGAGGGTGCGAAGGACGAGCTGTTCGCGGCGCCGCCTCCGCTGCTGCTGCTGCTGTTGCTGCTGGCCGCACCGCTGCTCCCGCCGCCACCAGACGCAGTAGCAGCGGCGGCGCTGCTGCTTCCGTCGCCGCTGCCTTGACTGCCAGAACTCTTGCCCATGTGGTTGATGTTGTTGTTGTTGTTGCTTTCCTGCATCAGGGTTGCGGTCGCGGCTGGGACCGCAGAAGCAGCAACACCTGGCGGCGGTTTGAAAGTGAGGGTGAGGGGTTTGAGGGTCTGTGATGGTTGCGACTGGAATGGGAGGGATGGCAGGGGTTGCGAGTGGCTGCCTCGAGGGGGCGGGGAGTGCCGCGAGGTGGCCTGGGTGGAGGAGGTAACGGTGAGGGCGTCCTCTCCGATGGTTGTGATGGTGGCAGCGACCCTGGGGGCAGCAGGGCAGGAAGGGGAGCGGGAAGAGGGAGGGAGGGAGGGAGGGAGGGCAGAGAGAAGGTGTGAAAGAGGCGGAGGCAGGCGGAGGCCAAGATTAAAGGACGGAGCAGAGGGATGGGAGGCTTTCGTTGGAGAGGAGGTAGACAGGGGGACCAGGGGAGCTACAGCAGCGGGACAGGTTGGAAGCAGCAGTAGCGTGGCGAGGAAACAAACCACCTGTCCACTGCCATGGAAGCACTGTCCCACTCACTGCCCAAGCCACAGGCCAACCTGGTAAGCCCACCTCACCCCAAACCCCTTCTTTACCGGCACCTACCTTGAGGGGCCAGATGGGTGGGATGAGAACCGCCGCCCGCTGAACCCGTTGTTGCCGGACGGGTTAGGCAACCCATGACCCAACGGCCCCGGACCCAGCTGGCTGCTGGGTGCCGTGGAGTTGCTGCTGAGCATCATGGGCCGGTGCTGCGGCATCGCGCCGCCATGAGACGGCCCCGAAGCGCCCGGTGGCATGTCGAACAACATAACCGACGTCCGTAACGATTGCGCCGTCGCGACCGCACTCGAACGGCTGGCAATGCTGCTGGAGGTCGGCACTGAGGCATGCGACTGACCCATGGGTCCGTTTCCGTTACCTCCGAAGGATGATGAGTTTGTACCGCCACCGCCACCGCCATTACTGCCGTTACCGATAAAGAAGTTGTTGCTGGTGATGTGGTTGTTGCTGTTGTTGTGGTTATTGTGTTGGTGGTGATGGTGGATGCTGCCGACGACCGACAGCAGCTTGCCGTGACCCTCCCAACGTACTGCTCGAGGTGGCGGCGATATAGCGCCGCCGGCGACGTGTAGGTTGAGGCCCGCGGATGCGAACGCGCCTCCCCGGCGGCCGGTCGGGGAGCCCCAGGCATCTCCTCCTCCTCCGCCTCCAGATTCCCCAGTCGGCGGGTGTAACGTCATGTGTCGGAGGTAGTGGTGATGCGGCGGCACATGCGGCAGCTCGGGATTCTGCGCCGTCGACACATTACCCAGGCTGAGATCCTTCACGTTCACCGCACACTTCCGCACCGGCGGCAGCAGGTCTACCGCCATTGCCTGCGGCTGGCTTGCCGTACTGTTGGCGTTAGGGCCCAGCAAACCCCCGCGGTCACGGTTGATGCCGCCTCGAGGGGAGCTGGATAGGGTACGACGTAACCCGCCGCTGCCGCGCACGCCGAGCGGTGGCGGCGGCGCGTCAGGGCCCGCGTAGTTTAGCAGCGAGGTGAGCGCTTCCTCGTCCCAGCCGCTAACACCAGCGCCGGCACCGGCACCGTCCCGACGGCCGGCCTTGCCACTGGGACCCCCGCCGCCGCCGTTTACAGCCAGCTCGCCCTCAAACCCCGACAGCTGGTGGTTGGGGTCAGGCACCCGAAGCATGAGCAACGAAGAACCAGCCCCGCTTGACAACTGACTGCGAGCTGACCTCCCCAGGACATACCCGGGCGACCCGGAGGCCCGGCGTGAGGGCTCCAGGGTCGGACTGGGCTCCGAAGACAGGTCCCCGCCGCCCAGCAGCAGCTCCTCCGACCCCGTCACCTGCATGCCAGCACTGGGACTCGTGCCAGGAACGGAGGAGCGGCTGCGCAAGCTGCGCACCAGGGGGCCCCGGAGCGTCCTGCTCTCCGGCCGCCGGAGCTCCCCCGTGCTGTCCCCCTGCAGCTGCGTGTCGGCACCGCCAGGGCTGCAAGCTGGGTCGCCGCGCGGGGATCCAGCGCTCATGCCCACGCATTCGGCGGTTTCGCCATCTAGACCGGTCCCCTCTGCGCCGGCGCCGCCGCGGGGCGAGCCGGACAGCATCATGCTGCTGCTGCGGGTGGCCGCCGGGCCGCCGGGCAGCGCGGCACCGGGCAGCAGGGGGTCCTGGGAGCCCAGGCGGAAGGTGGAGCTGTGGAGGGATCTGCGGCCGGCGAGCGGTGAGGACGCCTGGAGGGAAGGAGGCAGGGCATGTAGTATGTTAGGGGGGAGGGTACTTGGAGTATGTTGCGGTATGTAGGGGAGGGGAGAGGTTCGATGGGGGGTGAATAGTACACAAGCGTTGTCAGGTGTTGCGGCACATGTCCGGGGTGCGCGTCATTGCCGTCGTGATGGACATTCAGCTCATGCTTGTGCGGTGCTATGACCCCCTGGCATGCGGCCATGACAAGCGTTAGGGAAGCGGCGGAAACGCAACATGTGCCTTTCTCACCTCACGCCGGGCGTTGTCCCTAGGGGACGTGCCAGCCGGTACCAGGTCGAGCCCTCGTGACTGGGTAGAAGAAAGGGCCGCGAGAGGAAGGGAGGACGTTAGCTCACTCCGGGCCAGCGCGCAATGAACCGTGGATCAGCTTACTCCCTACTCATTTGCTGCCCCGACTGATCTACTAGCGATGACTCTTAAGTCTTTCCCACCTGCATATCCGTTGTTCCGGGCCGACAGGACTCCGAGTTCGGTCGCCAAAGGCCCACCGGTGTGGCGCAGCTGCCACCGGATTGCTGGGGGCTCCGGAGCCGGTGCGGGTCGGCTTCGGAGCCGCCATGCAGCAAGTCCGCTGCGAGCCGTCTGCATGGTGCATGCATGGGGGGATGGGAAACGCACGACAGACGGTAGCGTCAGCAGATGTCAATAGGGGAAACAGTAGTGTAAACGCAATCAGTGTATTTCTCAGCGCTGGTAAGGCGCTCAGGATATCCAAAAGCATGCATGTCCAAGGCAGTGAGAACGGCATGCGACATTCTAAGCGGTCACGGGTACGAGACCTCACCCTGCACGCGTCAGACTGCCGCCAGACGCCTCCGCACCGCCCAGCCGTGCAGCGTGTGTACGCGCCGCGGACCCGGCAACAGCACTGGGCGACCCCTTCGCGCCAGCAGCAGTCCCAGGCCCATGATGAATCGAAGCAGCAGCAGCGGCGGCGGCGGCGGCCGCCGCTGCGGCAGCAGCAGCGTCCGCAGTAGCACTTGCCTCCGCGGCCGCCGCACCTGCGGCCGCTGCTGCTGCAGCCGCGGCGTCGGCAGCCGCGACGTCACTCTCGCTGGCAGCTGCTGCAGCCGCAGCAGCCGCTGCCGCCTCCATGTCAGCCGGGGTACCCTTGTCAAAGCCATCATAGCCATGGCCGAATAGGTACCGGAACCGCTCGGAGTAGTGCGCTGGAGCGTGCACCTCAACACCGTGAGCAGGCGCGGCTCCATCCCCTGACTGCTGGCCTGGCTCCGATTCGGACTCCTCGGTTGGCACCGGATCCTCCCTCAGCGTCCCATCCTGCAAGCCAGACGCGGGTAGCAAGGGTTTATGGGATGTTAGCCACTAATGCCTCGCGGGCATGCAAGTCCTCATGCAAGCCGCATGCACCCCTGATACACAACACGCTTCTTGGGGGCGAATGAAGGCCTCCGCAGTCGCAGTGCTAGGACCCCTACGCGTAATCCTGCCCCCCCCGGCCCATACTGCATGCCCCTGCACCCCGCATCCGCTCATCCCCTCCCCTCCCCCTCCTGGCCCCTTCCCCCCCCCATGGCAGCTCACCGGGTTCCACAGCTGCACACCGCGCATGGCGGCATTCACGCGAGCACGGATCGCGTCCAACGGCGTGAAGCTCTGCGTGAGGAAAGCGAGGAAGGTGGGGGCAGGTCAGAAACGCTAGCAGCCAGCAGGGGCCCTGTCACAGCAGGCGTAGGCAACAGCGGTATCCATCCATCCGCCCAAACAGCAAACGGTCCGTCAACCCCGGGCTGCTCCCCACCCCAAACAAGTCACATCCTCCTCCAAGGGCCCCCCCCTCGCCTGTGGTGCACCCCGACAACCATGCACTCCCCTATGCTTGTACACCCTACTGTCCCATACATACCCCACCGTGCCGTCTAGGTTGGGCCGTCTCGTGTCCTAGGCTTTAGGTTTTGTTACAATGAGCTCTTACTGCCTTCCACTGAACTTACCATAGTTCTTCTACCAACGAGTCCTCCCTTCACCCTTCCCGCATGTCTATTTCCTGGCTGGCCGTCGTGGCCTTCTCGACTCGCTCTGGACGGCTCTTTGGTCATGCCGGCTTGTCATGCACGTGGCTCCCGGTGCACCTCTCTTTGTGTGCCCAGGTACGTCGACTTTGTATCAGTCTCTGTCTTACGTGTTGCGCAGCTTGCCTTCCTTTGTTGTTTGTCTTTGTTCGGCGGCGCGGTGGGACTTCACGCCCCTTCGTAATCAGCATTCGAGAAGGCTGGCGACTAATGGTAAAGTGGAGCACTATTTGGTAAGTACGGTAGGTTGGATGCATGTCCCGATGTAGACGTTTAGGCTCGGCTAACTCGGTTCAGGTCACCAGGAGCTCGTCCGCTTGTTTTTGCTAGCATCATTAAACACCTTGGGATTCTTCCTTTCCCCCGCACCTGCATGTGCAGCCGGATGGCTGCCGAGATGCGCCGCTCTTGCTCCGCTCGCGCTTTCTGCACAGGGTCGCGTAGGGCCCACAGACAGAGGATACATGAGCACCGAGGCTTGCCCAGCCCGCGGTTAGGTAACCGCTTCACACGAGCCGCGACTTCCCCCCCCCCCCCGTGGCACCATGCCGCCCCCCCTGGCCCTTCCCTTCACTTCCCATCCGCTCCCCATCTGCATGTCCACGCCCCTCACCCCTGCTCCTGCTCCCCTCAGCCACTGCCACCCCTTCCCCCCCCCACACACACACCAACCTGCAGGATCAGGTTCACATGCGGCGTCACTCCGTCGTACTCCAGCCCCGCCCCCATGACCCCCACGTTGTGCTCCGTGAGATCCTGCAGGTGCCGCAGCCATGGCCGCCGCGTGGCCATGCTGAACCCCCGCGCGTTGGCCAGCCGCCGCGCCTTCCACTTCCAGCGTGTGAGCAGCAGCACCTTGGACACCACCTGGTCGCCCATGCGCGTGTGGGCCGGCAGGTCGTCCGTGCCCTTGCGCAGGACCTCCTGCGGGGGGGGGGGGGAGAAATTCCAATGTGTGAAATTCCAATGGGGGGGATGGAGGCAGGAGGAGGGGGTGAGGGCAGGAAGGGGTGAAGGCAGGAGTGGTGGTGGTGGTGGAAGGGGGTAGAGGCGGTGCTGGTTGGGCACTGGCTGGAGGAGGGGAGCGCGGGACCCGGGGGAGAGGCGCATGGGCGGGGCTGTGTTGTGGCATGAGGTTAGGGCCACAGGAAGCAGGTGTGGGGGGTATGGTAGGTACGGGAGAGGTAGGGGTGGGCGTGGGAGTGGAAGGCATGGGCCTGGCAACGTGGGGACGAGGGTAGGGAGGTGATCGGATGCTAAGTGGAGGGCTAAGGGTTAGCCCGATTGGATGAGATTTGACGGGGGTAAGCCGGGGAAACACAAATGCGCCCTCCTAGTGCTTAGGCGTCACGCTTTTGCCCGTTATCTGTGGTAAATCCCCTTTGGACCTTTGGAACACCCGGACGGCTTGCAGTTTCGGCCGCCCTAGCACTGAATGTCCTTTTCCTGAAGGTTCCCTGGCTACGTTTGATAAGGGGCCCGTGACTTCCTGCTCGTCCACAGTCCCAACCAACCTTAATGGCGAAGGTCCGCTGCGTGGTGAGTGGCTTACGGTCCCGTGCTGCTGCTGCTTTATTGCGCCGAGCATATCGAGACATCCAGTCCGAAGTAGTGGAGTCATTGCGATTGCAAGGAAGAGCCTCCACGCGTATTGTAAGCGGCGAGCTGGACTCCTCGACCGTTTGCTCTGAGGAACGTGGTGTTCCAGACTCAGATTGGGAGCTGTCCATGCTTTCCATGGGCATCAAGTTCCTCGGTGAGGAAATAGGTGGCCCTTTCTATACCACTCGGCCCTTTCACGCCTGGCGTGCATCATACTGTGACTTTGCAGTTATCTTATAATGAATGAAGCGCCCCTTGGGGGCTATCCTTGTTACGCCGGAAATCGAACAGCATGTGTATCGAACAGTGGCCTGGCAAAATCCTCGCCAACAAGTCCCGAACATTTAACTAATAGGCAAGTTAGATAGATGTAGAGCATTTTTTGCTGTTCGTCTACGTTCAGACTCCTGAAGCCTTGCAACGTGTTGTACGCTTGGAATCGATTGATGCTACGCATAATCATATAGTGCCTTGTTGTCCCTGTCATTATCATGGCAAAATAACCTCCCTGTAAAATGCAAGGGGGTAATCTGTTGCATGCGCACTATCTAGAGTTGCACTAGCTCGCTAGCTAACTGGACAGGCGTGGTCTTCGCGTTTCATGATGGATGTCCGCCAATAAGGGCCCATCCTGGCAGGCGTTTCTACGTAAACGACATGTCTAGCTATCTAGGTGTAATGTATCAGCACTGCGCAGCGTCGCCCGTCGGACAAGAAGCTAGTAATGGTTGCTCGGCCAAGCCTGGCAAGCCCAGAGCTGCTAATTGCGCTAATAGTGCAAGGCCGTGACATGAGGGCTTTGCAGCTGGCACCACGCTGATACTCATCCTGAGTGGTCCGCTCCCTTCCACTTTTGCGGGCATCCGGCACCCGGTTCGCTAAGCGCTATGTCTCTCCGTAGCCCATCGAACGCCGCGATTGCCGCTACAACTACTTTTATCTCCCTGTGTGTGGCTCGTTTGCAAACAATGCAGCCTATGCAGTACAGCTGAGGCACCCACGTGCTACTACAACTTGTGCATTTGCTTCCGTCCAGTCTCGCTGCAAGGCTGTTCCCATTCACGATGTTACCCCGCTTTGTGGGAACAGCACAAAGTACCTAAATTGCCAATTCCTCTTTTGCCCTGACCTTCCTTCTCGCCACGCCCAATCCCATAGAGCATTCCCTGCGTTTACAATCCCTTGGCATTAGATGGAGTTACAGACATAACATGGGACCAACATCTAGGCCGTCGCAAACTAAAATCGCTCCTGTAGTCCCGTATATATGAACATCTACTGGGCTCCGTACGTGCCCACACCTCCGCAACACCTCAACAGGTCCTGATGGGACTCGTAAGGCCTCAACGCAACCTTGGCAACCGTGTGACGGCCTCAACCCATGCACATGCGCACATGCACCTGCCTGGGAAGCAGCAACAACACGAGGCTAGGGGGGCACAGCACGCCAGCAGCGTTACGCAGCTAAGATACCGGTAAGCTTCTTGCCGGGGTCATGGTAGTCAGGCAACTCATGCCGTACTTATTGCAGACGAGCTGTCACGGTGATGGGGTAGATACAAAGCACCGGCCCAATGCATACGTCAGTCGGCAGCAACCCAACAGCCGCATACGGCCACTCACATGATAGCACATAGCAGTGTAAGAGCTAATACAACAACGCACGGCTTAAGGCAGTAAAGAGAGCCAACGCAACATAAACGCGCAATGCCTCGACGTCGGTTTGTGTGCCCATGACACCAGCAACCACTCATTGCGAACACGCTGCTAGTAGCAAGCAAGGACAGCACCCACAGGGGCGTCACATGCGCTGCAGAGACCCGTACCCCTGTGGAGACGGGGGCCTTATTTTGCCATCAACATCAAACGACAAAGCCACAAGATAATGAAAGGACCTCCAATCCGTGGAAAGGTCATTGTCCCATACCGCCACACACAGGGCTCAGTCAACAGCCGACACCGTCGGGCATGTGTCAGAAACCGTCTTGCTTGCTGGTTAGTTACACGCCTTAACATGTGGCAAAAGTCGGCGCCGGTCACCATTCGAACCACAATATGCTGTACTTACTATGATGCGTAAGGGATACTTCGGCCACGTTAGATAAATTGTAAGCAACCCAAGTCACCACCAGTTAGGACTAGCTCGACTATGCGAGCTGCCGGTATCAGGAAGCCCCCCTATCCTTGCTGCGAACGTGTGCAGATGCCACGGCTACCACTACCGTACCGTGCCGCAAGCCGTGGTAATGGTACGACACGACACATGGTACGACACGAATTGTAGGTGGGCTATATGTGGAGAGCCGCATACGGCACACGCTAGCGCCGAGTCATTGAAGGCTTGCTGTCCAGCGGAGGTAGAAAGGCGCCCCTGCACATGACACGGGGCAATAAGAGAGGGAAGGAGACCCACGGGTCAGTAACCAGAGGCTCTGGGCTGTAAGCACGTGCCGTACATTTCTTGGACTGCAACCCACATACCACAGGGACACATCCCCCCATCAAGTCACCCAACCCCTTCCCCCGCACGCACCTTATGGCCGGCTCCATGCGAGGACTGACACCGGCTCGCAGCCCCCCGCCGGGACCCAGCGCTGGGTGGGTTCCGTCCAGGGAGTGGCCCGCAAGCGCGGCGGCCTTGGTGGCGGGCTGCACGTTGACTCCCCGAACCTGCGTGCGTGCACATGGGGTTGATGTTGAGTGTAAATGATCAGCAGCAGCAGGCGCAGCAGCAGGAGCAGCAGCAGCTCGAGACCAGAACTGCGGGGCTGCTCATAGCCGGCAAGTCGGGATCCCATGCTAAAAAACATACAACATGCAACCTCTCGGCCCAACGAGACACAGCCCATAACCAGCCAATAACGCACCATCCATCGGGCGGATATCGCCGCCTCCTGCTGCCAGCGCAAGTCGTCGCCCTGCACGGCCCCCCTGCCGCCCGCCCCCCTGCCTCGCTTGACACCCCCCGCCTGCGCGCCAGGCGGCAACGAGCTGGCTTGTCGGAACTTCAGCTGGAAGCCCCCGGTGGGGTGCAGCTTGGACTGCGAGGGCGAGGGCTGCGGCGACTGCAGCAGGTCCTCCAGGGACGGCGAGGGCTGCGACTTGGTGGGAGACGAGGGCGGCTCGGCGCCTCCCTCGCCCTCCTTCGCAGCCCTCCGCGCCGACTTCAGTGGGGAGCCTTGCATAGCTCCCACACCCAGTGGCGACCTGATTTCCAGGCCGACCGGGGACTTGACGGAGACGTCTCCGCCCACCATGCGCCGGACCTGCGCGATGCCCTGCGTCAAGGCGGGCATCATTTGATTGAAGAGCTGCAGCGCCATGGATGACTCGGCATTGAAGCAGCTGCCGCTGTTACTGCCCTCGCTCACAAGCGCTGGGTTCTTTATTGCACGCAGCTGCTGCTGCGGTGGCGGCATCGACGGCAGTGGCAGAGAAGACGGCGATGGCGGCGAGTTGCCGCTGGCAACAACAGCGGCATCTGAGCCGCTGCGACCGTCGCCGCCTGAAGCACCACCAGCACCACCAGTAGCAGCAGCAGCGGGGTTGGCCTTGCCCGCTTCGCCTTTGTTGTAAATGCGCTGCAGCTGAGCAACAATGTACCTAGCCACCACCGGCGGCAAAGACTGCAGGTGCAGGGGTAGGTCGGCCAGTCCGTTGTTGTTGCCGCTGGTGCTGCAGCCGCTGCGGATGCCTCCGCCCGCTCCTACCAGAGCCTTCAACTGAGCGGCGTCGGAGCCGCCACCATTGGTCAGGAGCTCCGCTGCATTGAGCAGCACGTAATGCAGCTCCGCGGGGAGCTTGGAGAGTACTTCGTCCACCTTCCGTGCAGCCTCCAAGACCTTGGGTGTGGCGTCTTGGTGGGCCGCCACCCAATGAGTGTACGACATGGAGGTGCTTGGCTCAGCGTTAGTCAGTTGTACGGCATTGTGATTAGAGGCGGCGGTTGGACTCGCCGTTCCACGGTTGCTGTTTGCCGTTGCTGGTGTTTGCTGGTGTGGGGCCTGGTGGTGCGCGTGGGCGTGGGGATGAGGGTGGGGGTGAGAAGGGGGATGAGGATGAGGGTGCTGGGATTGCTGTCGGCGCGGTGATACCGGTAAGTATGTAGGGACTGCGCCGCGAGCGGTGGCTTGAGGGGACGTGTTGCGACCGCTGCTGCCGCTGTTAGCGCTGCCTCCGCTGCTCTCAACGCTGCTGCTTGCTACCTCGCCACCATTGCTGCTCGCGCTCTTGGGGCCTCGTCCACTGCCGCCTCCACCGCTTCCTCCGCTGCAGCTGCTGCTGCTGCTAGCATCATTCAGCTGCTGCTGCTGCCTACGTAGCAGGTGGCTGTAGCCCTCAGACGGCTGCTGCGGCGGCGACGGCAGCGGCGGCGTGAACACTTGCCTGCTGAGCGTCCATGCTTGCCGTGCAACCGCACCGCTGTGACCACCACCCGTTGAGCACCCGCCGGTAGCATGCGTCGGCGCTGTCATCGTCTCGGATCTGCACATCACGCCCGGTCCGAAAACGCCACCGGACAAGTGCTGCGACGCTGCGGCGGAAGTGGAGGTGGCGGCTGCCAGCGAGGCACAGCTCGCCTCCGGTGACGACGCAGACAGCGAAACGACCAGCGCTTGACTGGACGGCGCAGAGGCCAGGGTGCGCATGCGTTGCGACTGGTACTGGACCGCTGACACCGCGTTAGAGCGCAGCTGCCGGCGTGGCGAGCATGCGCTCAAGGGGGGAGACATGGGCGGCGGCACCGCCTCCAACGTCACCCCAAGGGGAAGCCGTAGGGAGCCCGCACCGCCGCCGCTGTCTGAGACGGCGGTACGGATTCCCTGGCGGGAGTACGGCGGTGGCTGTGGGGGTACAGCAGCAGTTGCGGCTGAGGTTGAGGCGGGGGCGGGGGATGCGGCAGGGGAGGTGGGGTAGGCGGTGAGGGGCGGCAGGTGATCGGCGGTGTTGGACGGGCGGCTCATGTGGAGGAAGGACTTGCGCATGCTGTTTAGGGAGCCCTCACTGGCTAGGGATGGGATTGTTGCTAGGGCTGTCACCGCTGCCACAGCAGATGCTGGTGCTGCTGCAGACGGGGAGGGCGTTCGTCCAGCGGGGCCCAAGGGCTGCTGACCCAGCGGCGACAGCAGCGGCTGCGGAGCGGAGAAGCTGATGGGGGGCGCTGCATAGGGAGCAGCCAGACCTGCATGCTGGTGCGGGCTGGGTCTGCCTTGCAGGAGCGGCCGGACGGGGATGGGGCTGCTGATGGCATGGTGGTAGGTGTTGGCTGTGGGTGATGTGGTCGCGGCTGCGCTGCTGGGAGGGGCTGCGGAGTAGGTTGGGCCCGCGGGCAGGGAGGTGCGGCTGCCCCGTCGAGAGTCCGGGGCCGAGGCACCGCCACCTCCGCCGCCGTAGCCGCAGCTGCTGCTGCTGGTTGATGTTGTGAGGTCGAGGGTGAGGGTGGTGGCAGCGAGTCCGGTGTTGGAGCATCGCGTCCGTGCGGTTAGCAGCGAGCAGGCAGAGGCGGAGGCGGAGGGGCCAGGAGGCTGCGCCAGCGGCGGTTGGGGGTGTCGATGTTGGTTTGGCGGCGGGGAGGAGGGCTGCGGCGGTAGCGATGATGATGACGATGCCAGCTGCCTTGGCTGCTGCGACCGGCGTTCCTCTAGCTCCTTGTCTCCTTCTTCACGAGTAGCACCAGGAGAAGTACCGGGCTCGGGGGATTGCGATGCTGAGGGCTGTGAGGAGGGTGTCGGGGATGCCGCTTGCGGGTACGGCGGCTGCGAACGCTCCTGCGAGGCTGCTTGTGCGGGGGAGCGTGGCGTTGCCGGCTGCGCTGCTGCGGTGTCGGGTTGTTGCTGCAGCCATGGAGTCAGGGACAGCGTCCGTGCCTCTCTTACAGCTGGTTGCGGGGAGTGCGGCTCCTGCGGCTGTCGAGGTGAGAGGGGGTGCTGCGGCTGCTGCGGTGGTGAGGGCGCTACCGACATTGGAGAGGCAGCAGAGGACCCTGACGGCGACGGCGACGGTTGGTACCGTGGTGGTGATGATGGGGATGATGAAAGCGCCTGCCAGGACGGCGGAGATGGTGGTTGTGAGGAACGTGGCGATGGCGGTTGGGAGTCGGTTAACCGATTGCGTCCAGGCGAGGGCGGCTGGGATGTTGAGGCTTGGGATGATTGTGCCGACGTAGGCCGCGAGGAGGAGGGAGAGGAGTGCGCGGAGTGTGGCGAAGGCGGCGGTTGGGCGGTTGCAGACGGGGTGGTTGATGGTTGCGGTGACGTCGGAGGCTTGGATGGTTGGGATGGGATGGGTTGCGGCGGCGGCACCGGCGAGTGAGGTTGTGGCGGCGGTGACGACGCCGCCGCCACCTCCACCAGCTCCTCCAGTTGCGGAGACCGAGCGGGGTCAGACGTGACGGCAACTCCTCCCTCACCCTCACCCTCAGCAGCACCCATCCCCAGCGCAGCAGCCGCATCCACCGCAGCAGCAGGCGGCGTGCGCGGCCCCACCACCACCTCCCCATCACCACCAGGCCCATCACCCTCGCCGCTCACAGCCACAATCGGACCTGTCGCCGCGACCTGCAGCCCTACCGCTGCCGACGACAGCTCCAGCGGCGGCGGCGGTACCACCGCCTTCACCTGAACCTTTCCACCCACCGCCGCTACCACCTCCCTGTCTTCCGTTGCCGCAGTAACCCGACCCACGTGAGCGGCTGCATCGATTGCGGTGTCGACGGCCTCGCTCTCTTCCTCCCCTACCGGCTTTGTTACCGATCCCGTACCGGCACCGCCACCTCCCACGCTGCTCTCCCTCCCCTGCCGCTCCTGCTCTTGCTGACGCAGCTTCATGAACTGCTGCAGCTCCCGCACCGCCTCCTCCAGCCGCTCCTTGCGGTTGGCCGCCTCCAGCTTCGCAATGCCCTCCAGCTGTACGGAGGAGTGTAGAGTACGGCATCAGCGCGCAGGAGAAGTAAAGAGCACGGACATTGTACGACAGCAAAGCACGCATGCATGTATTAGCACAAACATAGCAAGAAAAGAGCCGTACAATACCGGTACGCCTAGCAGCAGCAACAACACCAATGCGTTCCTCCCCGCACGCACGACAGCGCAACGAACGAAAACCTCAGCTCCCCCTACCACCACCGTACGGCAATCGTTTCCAGCTATACACACAGCAGTTTCCACCTCCTCCATCCCTCCTTCCCCACCTCCTGGAGTTCCTCCAACAGGCTCTTGTCGTACTTCTTCCCCGTCCGCTCCGCAGCACGTGCCTTGTCCTCCTCCGCCGCCCGCAACGTCGCCAGTCGCTGCTCGTCCCGCTGTGCCGCACGGAGGGCGGCCAGCCGCGCCTCCTTCTCCAGCACCCACTCCTCTTCGCCCATCAGGATTGCGGCCATGAGCGCATGCTGCTTGGCCTCCGCCTCGCTCTGTGGGGTGGGTGGGCCCAGCGGCGGCAGGCGGCAGCGGAGACATCAGGTGCATTAAGTCGGTCAGTAAGGTAAAGGTAGTAACCCTTGATCATCAGCAAGTAGACAGGCCTGCTGTACATGGGCGCTTTTAGGCTGCAAAGGACAGAGGTCCTGAAGGCGCGGTTGTTACTAGGCACAGTCCGACACCACCCGTAAGCCGTCACATGGCAACATGTTGCTGTTCCCTTGCCCCCCCCATTCATATGGGACTGGGACTCATTGTTTCACTTGTATGTTCCCCCCCCCATACCTGTGCCTCAGCCATGCGCCGCTGCTCCTCAGCTTCCGCCGCCATCAGCTGCGCCAGCCGCTCCGTCTCCTCCCGCGCTGCCATCTCCTCCGCCACCCGTACACACTCCAGCTCAATCAGCCGCAGCGCCGCGCGCCGCCGCTCCCGCTCCGCTTGCCTCTCTGCTGCCTCCGCCTCCGCCGCCGTCACCTCCGCACTCATCTTCTTCATGTCCTCCGCCGCGGCGGCGCAGCCGCTCATTAGAATCTGCAGCGCCGACGGCGAGTCGGAAGCAGCGGCGGCGGCGGCGCCGTCTAGTCGCTGTCGCAGCTCCGCTAGCGTCTCCAATGCCGCCGCCAGGCGCCGATGAACGGTGCCGTCCTCCCACTCCCGAAGCAGCCGCAGCTGCTCCTGCGTCTCAGGTTGCGCCGAGATCGCCGCCATCCCGGCATCGTGCGCAGCGCGGTAACAAGCCAACGTGACCTGCAGACGCTCCGCCGCCGCCGTCACGGTTGACTCAACGGCTGCAGCAGCTACCCTGTCGTACGATTTCCCCTGCGTGAGGCCACCTTCCTCCGCCGTTGGTTCCCCGAGCTCGTCAGCTGACGCCCGGGCCGAAGCCGACGCCCTGGCGGCGGCGGCGGCTTGTACGAAGGCTTGCAGCTGCTCCTCACCCACCGCCGCCACCGCCGCCACTGCCGCATCGAGCTCCTCCAGTTGCACCGCAACGTCCTGAGCGGCTGTCGAGCTCATCGCCAGCCAGGACCCCTCGGCTCCCGGCGACGTCGCCCCTAGCATCGACTCCTCCCCACTCAGCAACCCACGAATCTGGCCTTGCGAGTGGCACGACAGGACACTAGCCTCCCCCACTGGTGGCCGTGTAGCCGTTACGTTACACGTCCGGAGGGCCGTCCGCCAGTCGATCTGCGGCGCGCCGCCGGTCGCCGAGCGACGCCCCAATCGCCCCGGCTGACCGGTATTGCTGCTCCGTGCGGCCGCCGCCGCCGCCGCTAGCAGCTGAGCGTTGGAGTGCGATCGCATCCGCGTGCCCTGGCCCACAGGCTCACTCTCGTTCTCCTCCCCCTCATCGTCTTCATCATCATCGTCGCTGTTGGCGTCATCATTTCCGAGGTAAAGCAGCTCCGCAGCGTTCTGCAGAGCCATCTCCTCCACGCTCCCCAGCCGTCTGCAGCCCCCCTCCTCGCCGCGCGGCAGGCTCACCTCACAGCCCACAGGCGCCATGCGGCCGCGCGGGCTGGACTCCTCCAGCAGGACGGCTTGGGAGTACGACACGCGGCGGGCAGAGGACTTGCGGTGACGTGTGTTTTGATCACGGGGGATACCGTCGGCGTCCAGAGGTGAGGGCGGCCGGACGTTGGAGGCCTGTGGGGTGAGGGGAGAAGTAGGGTACGGCATGAGGAAGCGGCGTTTGGAGTGAGGTGAGGACCGAGGAGTCAATGCTGAGGGGTAGCGTGGGGTGTGTGGGGGAGGGGCGGCGGGTTAGTGTGATTGGAGGTTATTGGAGATTGGGACGGCTGCATGGGGTAGAGAGGAAGCGTCGGCCTTCTGGACAGACTTCCGGGTTTCGGAGCCTCTGTTGCAGCTTGCAGGTGTTGCATGGGGGCAGTGTTGGGGCAGCTGCACCCAACGGGCAACGCACCGGACCGGCGAGCTCCAAGCCCGCCACGGAGGAGGTGGGGCTCAGGGTGGGGCGCTCCTCGAGCCTGAGGGAGGCGGAGGCGGACAGAAACACACACACATTAACACACATTAACACGTGTCGTTTTTGGTGGGACATCATCTTCCGACAGTTCAGTACGTCCCTACTCGCAGCCAGTTTTCTTAAAACACACGCACAGAGAGGCAGAGAGGTGCGTGTGTGGGTGATGAGGATGGTGATAAGGCAGCGGCAAAAGCGTCGATGCATTACCACCCCAGTGACCCAACGTGAACCACGCCGACAGCCCGGCCGCACCGCCCTGCGAGGCCGCACCGCATGCGCACCTGCCCCGCTACCACACCACACCGCCCACTCGCTCACAGCCGCACGATAGGTGGCACACAACCCATGCCGCACACACGCATACACACGGCGGCAACCACAGTACGTTCCGACTCGCGGCCAGTTTACTTAACACACGCCGGCGGCTGGCGGCCATCTCACGTGTGACACCAAAGTCACTTTAAAGGTGCGTGTAATCATAGCCCGCTCCTGCCCGCGGCCAGCTTACTCCGGAGAACACACACGCCGCGAACACACATTAGCACACGAGTGCACACCGACACGCACCTCGAGGCCCCCGAGCCAGCCGAGCCGCAACGCTCGGGAGACTGCTCGTTGCTGGCTGCCTCGCCGGCGGGGGATGAGATGAGGATCAGGCTGTCCTTCACCTTCACCTGGGGCCGGAGGGCGGCGGATAGGAAGGCAGGCAGACAGGAGGGTGTGGTCAGAGGGCCAAAAACCAAGAGGTACCCCGAGAGGTAAAAAGGAGCCACAAGCCCTCCGCCGCCCCACGGTGCCCTAACCCGTCAGGCTGCAGGTGAGTGTGGGTGCGGGGAGGCGAGGCAGGCTGCACCAGACACGACGAGCACTACACGGGGAGCTGAAACGGCTGCGCGCATGTGTACTGGGGCATGATGCATCGGCGAGCAGTGTGTCCAAGCAGGAGCCTACGTTTGTTCAGCCGTTCAGCAACGACAGCTCCGACCACTCCTCCTCCTCTCCCCTCCTGCCGGCGGCTCGCGTCACGCCCCCCACGCGCGACACAACCCGCACCACGGGCCCCACCCGCTACGCACCCGCTGCGTGGGTCGGACCAGGGTGGTGCCGAACGCCGTCTTGCGGGCGGCTCCCCGGCGCCGTCGCTCCAGCCAGCGCGCGTAGATGGCGGAGGGCTCGGAGCCGTCGCCCTCGCCTGCACGCGGTGGTGCCAACGTGTTGGGCGGTGGGTGGTGCGTATGGGGGTGCATATGGGGGTCTGAGAGCCTCCCGGCGCTGCTGTGGTTTCGGAGGTTGGGCAAGTTGCTTGGGCAGCAGCGGGTATCAGTGTTTGGCAGCAAACGTGTTTCTCAGGCGGCAGCAAGACAGACAGACAACGCACACAGACAGTGCTTTCCTGGGCCGTTCGGCGGGTCGGGCGTGTGTTCATCCCGCAGGCAGCAGCAGCACAGGGCCATACGGCGCCCAGCGCCCCGCTCGCACGCCCGCCAACCCCGACACCACCAGCCGCGCTGAAGCCCCGACACACGAGCGGTACCTCCCCAGCCTGGCATGACCCCTCATCCCTCCCCTCCTCCCCTTGTAGCTCCCCCCCGCCAGCTCTTTTCCGCCCCCCCCCACCTGGGCCCAGCGCCCCCGGTCCGCCGCCCTCCGCTCCGCCCGCAGTGCCCCATTCGCTGCTCCCGCCGCCGCTGGGGTCGCTGGCGGCCCCTCCTGTGGTGCCTCGGGCGCCGCTGGGCCGCCCCGCCGCCCGGCTGGCACGCTCCAGGTCGCTCGCGGGGTACTGCAGGGGGAGGAGGGGGGACGATTGGGTGTCGCAGGGCGGGGAGCGGTGTGGGGTGGGAGCGGGCCGGGCGTTAGAGGTGAGTGGCGGAACGCGGAAGTGGAGTGGCGAGGAATGAGGCAAGCAGCGGCAGAGTTGTGTGCATTCTCCAGTGGCCGCGGCATCCAAGACAGCTTGGGGACGATTGCGGTAGCACGCGAGTAAGCGAGGCGGGGACTGCTGGGAAAGGGAGTTTCGAAACCAGGAGGCAGGTGCAATGCAGGTAGTGGTTCAAGTGATACACATGCGGCAAGGAAACTGGCTGCGGGTCGGAACGTGCTGTATACACAGGTGGTTATGCATGACAGCAAATGCGACCCACACCCATATGACCCACCTGCACCCAGTTTTCCTCCTTGGCCACCCTTTTGAGCATCTCCCGGATGAAGGCGCGACGCTTCAACTTCTCCTGCAGGGTGGAGGAGCCATGCCAATACGAAGGGTGGAAGAGCCAAAAAGGCCACTTGGGCGTCATTTCCCACCCTATCTGGCACCCAGAATGCTGGCGCAATACGATGCTTGGTTTGCACCCTTAGAAGCTGGCGCTAGTGCTGCGTGCATGCGCACCCCTACACCATGCCACCCCCCAGCCCCTCCTCACCCCGAACTGCTCGGTGTCCAATTGCATGTTGGCTTCCTGCCTCCGCAGTGCCAGCAGCTGCGCGTGGAAGGAGGCGGAGGGAGGGTAGCGGCGCTGAGAATCGGGGTTGGGGATGACGGGGGCGGCTGCGAGTACTACAAGGCGGCCCCGACATGCCAAACATGGTGGCTGCGTGTTGTTGATGTTGTTGTTCTTTAGTACATGCCTCGGCGTTGTGCTGCATGAATGGGCCCCCTACCTTCTTGGCAGCTTCTAGTCACAATGCCAGGCTAAGGAGGGTATCGTGCTCAATGACACACCCCTGTTTCCTTGCAACCCTCTTGCATACCCCTCCCTTGCCAATCTCTCTCACGCGCCTCTGCCGGGTATCCTCCCCCATTGTAGTCTGTGTTTGTGACCTGGCGTCCGTCTCTCCTCACCTCCATACCAAGCCTGACGTGGACATCATAGGAGAATGGCTGCAAGGCCGCCTGTGCTGTGGCTTTCGTCCGATCAGTTGTTGTGAGCGCTTCATTCATACGCCCCTCGTTCACGGCATCGCGGAGCATCTCCAGTGTGTCCTGAACGTCCACGAACCCCTTATCCGGCTCCATGTTGTGCCTGGAGGGCAGTGTTGACTCATTATGGGTCAATACAACGAGCTAAACGAGCTAAATATGAAGGAGTTATAATAGGCGGAAGTGACGAAAGACGCCTGGCCGTCTATCCAGGGCGTGGTAAGCAAGGATAGATGGAAACTGACCGCCAGTCGCGACTTACCTATACCACTCTCCCGAGGCTAAGCGGGTATCTTTGAGCGCCTTACAATGATATATTGAATAACTGGGAATAGTCAAGATTGCCCATGCGACTCTGCCCTGACGGGGACATGAAGCAGCACCCTAAAAATTTCACTGCTAGGAGCTGCCAAAGCCATCTACTTTGATATCATGTCTACCGGTATCTGCGTCGTAGGAATGACGCTCCCACCGCATATGTCTAGCTATCGCGTCGTTCAGACGAGGAAGGGAAGAACAACGTAAGGTGCTTGTTAGGTTGATGTCGTCTAGGTACATGCAGCCTTCATGAATACCATTGGCTTTGCAAGGGAGTCACCAACAGTCGGGAGCCCCGATGTATTGCGGTCGTACAAGGGACCCCAACGGACCTGTCTATAATGCCGTCGACGCATAGAGCGTGGTTTTCCTGTGCGTCCGGCTTCTGATGCACATCGCCTCGGTGTGCTTCCTCGCTCGATGTCAAGTACAAGTAAAGCAACTACAAGGCATGGGCAACGAACTTAAGGACCTGAAAGTGAGTAACCTCGCGGGAGCTTTCAGACGTGGACAACGTAAGCGCATAGCATGTTCCAGTAAAGAGGTATCGTTATGATGATATCTTTGTCCTGGACCCTCGGGTCTATTGTACTGCTTCGGGCGCCAGTCTATCCAGCAGGAGAAAAGCACTGCTGAAGCACATTATGACGCTTCAAGCTTTTCAGGACACTGCTGCAATGCTGAGCGTCATGGACGCAAACTGCGCCTGTTTCCTAATGCAGACAAGTCCTTCACTGATAACGGCGATAAGTGTTTCTTCGACTCGCGCCAGGACAAGTCCTGGGCTAGCTACGCCGTGTAGCACCTTTCACTACCAGAAGCACTACCAGCCAACCCCTTCCATTCTCCAGTCCATCTGGATCCATGCAGTACTTTCAAACCCCACGCACGTGGTGTTCCAACCTTCCCCCGATTTTTCCACACGCTGACACGTGCCGTACTGGAGCGGCAGCACGCATCAGGGGGGTCGCTACCTACGGGGCTACAGAAGACTGGAATCCTTTGTTATGCGGGTTACGGCCCATCAACAAACTCCGCACTGAAAGACATCACTGATTGCCTATGTGTCTTTCCAGGTTCCCATGCACCGGGGATCTTTCTCCCCAAACTTCGAAATGCCCAAGGCTGAGGTACCGGTAGCTGACCGAGTTATGAGGGCAGTTCTCACCCTGGGCCTTGCAATTGGTCCGGGCTGGATCGCTGCACTGCATGTTGCAATATGTGACAATCCAAGGATTGCCAGCTTCCTGTACCGGTACCGTATTCAGTTATTGCGGCACAGGGAACTCACATCATTGGAAATGAGGAAGGTTGTGCATTCACAGTATTACTGCTGTATTACACCTTGATGCTGGATAGACACTATACACCGTGGGGGAGCGATCCATGACCAGCATAGAGTATGACAAATTTTTCCCTCGGGCAGCCTCGTGAGGTAGAATGTGCTGGGTACTGGGTACTATACGTGTCGATACCGGTACACACCTGCCGAGAGCGCGCGCGGATGCAAAATACTTTAGACACACACGTGACTGTATGAACGTATCGGTTCGATGTTGCCCCGCTTATGCAAACGAGTCTTTGGTTGCTTGCTTAAGTCACCTCGCAGAACTTGCAGCCGCTTAGTAGCTACCACGATCACAATTATTTACTATAAGACCTAGCTGGTATTATTAGGTAACTGGTAATTGAGATGCATCCCGCTGTATTGCTCGCGCCTTGCTCGACGCAGCATCGTCGGAAGTAATATAGGGGCCTAAAAACCGGAACAACTGCGGAAGAAGCAACAAGAAAAATGCTTCTCGCAGTGGCAACGCGACAAACCAGGCATAATGTCTGGGATGACAGGTGTACAGCAGGCGTGATCGGCCGTACTGCTTGACTGTGTTTAGTGATGGCGCCCGCACTTCGTGGCAGTTGATGGCAGAGACTACTTACGACACAAACTTCCACTTGTCTGACGTCAGGGAATCTTGAGGGCGTTAGGAAACGTCGTTAGGAAGTTCACAGTGAGCACCCGAGTTCCTCCTCTCTCCTAAACTCAGCATAGGTACAGCTGTGGAAGTATAGGCGCCTCGTTAGGGCCCGGTAGCCATGGGCACTGGCCACGGGCCGTCATGGTTCTCGCCCGACTTTCCAACCCTCGCCGCGAAACGAGACCCTTTTCCAGGTACACTCCGAAAGGACAATAATTTTGCAAAGCTACGTATTACCGCACTCTTTGATAGCCACAAAGGGGGCACGAGGCGTTCTGCCTGCCTTCGTTCCTGCACCTCAGAGCACACCTGCAACGTCCCTTAAATTCTCACTGTATGCTTCCACACGGTGTTTGTCTACTAGGAATCAATTAACCTCATTCTACATAGCTTTCATGACATGACATGCCTGCCTTTGGAATGTAGGTGTTGAGCACTGGCAGACGACGTATGTCCGATATACGCTTTCGAAAACGGCGCATGCAAAGGTCTGGGATGCAGAGACATGTCGGTGGAATCTACATAGCCAGGGGCTCAATGAGCATCCTTTACTTGGGCACGCCAACTTGCCCGAGAGCATCAACATGCGCATCATCGAAGCTCCTGCGGAGTTTGCGCTTCCGGTTAAGCAAGACAGGTAGGATTAGAACTGTACTGGGCCCTTGGACCTGCTTTTCCTGGGACCCTAGCACACCACCTGCTCCTGTTTTGTAGGCGCCTACTTCCCTGCTTCAAGGTTCGGTTGGAGGTGAAGCACCGGGGAGCTGTCTCCCTGCCAGTCACCCTTCGGGCGCATGTCATGTCAGAGCAGGACAAGGAGCACATTGCGTCCTGGACGCCCCTGGACGATGCCTTGGGCGGGGACGATAAGGGGCAGGTAGGAGCTCGTGCATGGGAGCCCTCGCAGTAGCGACCAACCCTGCCCCCTGTCTCGCCTCAACTTCCATTTTCGTTTTTAATCCATTTAACCACTGCTTAGCTTCCACCCTGCCTCCCGTGTACAGAAAGCTGTAACTGAGCTCAAGGGCACCTCCCTAATCCGCTGCAAGTTTGAGGCTGGTGGCAGGATGGTAAGCGAGACCACACATTATCAGTGCACACAAGTCAGCGAGGCTACTTAACGGCTGACTTGGCGACCTGCATTAACTGCGAAGAGCGTTCCGACCTCCATGTTCCTCACGTTACGGCCCCACCTCGCACGCCTGCAGGCGCCCTCTGCTGGGGAGTTCCGGAAGGTCAACGGCAGCAGCAAGGAGGCTCTAGGTGCTGCTGCGGCCCCAGCCAGCGCCGGAAGCCTGTCGCCCTCTCTCTTGACCGTCAACTCCGCCGCGCGTGGTAACGACGGCAGCCTCAGCCTCGCAACAGCGTCGCGTGTCGGTGCCGGCGTATCACCTTCCGCGCCCCAGCCCCAGCAGCCTCAGCAGATGCTTGACCCATATCACACCGGTGCTGCCGCCGTAAGCTCCCCCAGCTTCCAGAGCGCTAACAACCTGGCACGGGAGATGAGCAGCGGCGCACTGCGGGACACGGGCTCCAGCCAGGAGCCGCTTCCGTTCTCCAGCCTGTTCGCAGCCAACCGTTCCGAGCCGGTGGTGACGCTGGCATCCAGTGGCCGCATGAGCGGCACCGGCAACAACCTGGTTGGTTTGGGACCCGGCGGCATGGCGGTGGGAGTTGAGGGGCTGGGAGGGCACATGGGGGGTAACCATGCTGGCGCGGGGATGCGGCTTGGCGCGGAGGGGGCGCCACGGGAGGCGTTTGACGCCGCCGCGGCTGTGGAGATGCTGATGCAGTCCCAGGCGCAGCAGCAGCAGCAGAGCCGCATGGGCGCTCCGGTGCCTGGTGCGCTGGATGTTTCGAATGGCATGGGGGGCTCGGCGCTCATGAACGACATTCAGCGCCAGATCCAGCAGCGGCAGCAGCTGCACCAACAGCAGCGGCAGCAGCAGCAGCAACAGCAGCAGCAGGGCCAGCAGGTATGCAACAGCTCCGATATCAACGGAAGCGGCGATTCGGGGAGGCTGTTCACGGCAACTCAGGTGTGTTGTGGAATCCTGAAGGGCCTTGTGGCTGCCTGTGGTTTTGCTCATTTCGTTGCGCGATGTGTTAAGTTTCTGCCACGAGCCCGTGGTGAGCATGAAGGACGATTCCGTGCATGCTAAAGCCCTATGTCCCACGACCCATGATGTGTTTCGCAGGATTTCGAATTCACCAACCTTGAGTTCCTGAAGCCCACTCGCATGAACAAGGTCTTCATGGCCTTCAGCGCTTCCATCCTGGACACCGACCTGCTCTTCGTCGTCTTCAACGTGCCCACCATCGGCATCTGCCGAGCGGAACAGCGCGAGAAGGCGTGCAAGAAACTCAACATTGACTACCGACTTCTTTCGCACTTTGACCAGGGGCCCGAGCGAGTTGCGGCATTTGCAGTTGCCGAGGCCTTCACGCGCGGAGTGGCAGCATCAGCACCAGCAGCAGCTGCAACCGCCTCGCCATCGCTTGATGTGAACAACGACGTGTCGGTTGCAGCTCAGGAAAGCATGTCACGGCTGACCGGCAGCAAGCCAGCACCCGTGCAGCTATCTCCTGTGATTGGGCAGCAGACTGACCCACGGTTCATGCAAGCGCCAAGCGCCAGTCCTTCTTCGCAGCTGCTTGGCGCAAAGTACGGACAGCTGCCGGACATAAAGCCGCTGCACCTCCCAGACACGGGCTACCCACGCATGCAAGCTACTGGTGCAGCAGCTGCTGCTTCCATGAACGTTCAGCAATGCATGCTTCCCGCGGGCATGCATGGTAGCGGGATGCCTGCTGGCGGGATGACTATGAACGGGGGCATGCACATGGGCGGGATGTCTCTTGGCGGCATGCCCGGAGGAGGGATGGTTGCTGCAGGCGGCATGGCCAACGTGGCGATGCAGCAAAACGGCATGATCACCAGCAACGGAATGGTGGGCGGCTTGGTGGGGAACGGCATGGGCACCATGACCAGTCCTGCGCTGGGCATGATGCCTCATCATGGCGGCGGAATGACCGCTGGCGGTATGATGCATGGCGGCATGGCGACCAACGCTGGCATGGCGACGAACGCCGGCAGAGGTCTGGCGTGCGCGCCCGGCAACACCATGCCGTCTCATCAGCTGGGCGGACACAGCATGGACTTTTACTTCAACGCTGCCGGCATGCAAAATGGCGGGATGCAGGCATCAAACATGCAGGCGGGAGGCATGCAAAACGGCGGGATGCAACATGGCGGCATGGGCGGCGGGTTGACTGGCATGTCCAGCGGTGGCAGCGGTGTTTTGGGCGGTCACACTGGCTTGGAGCTGAGCCTGGCGGGCATGGGCGGCGGCAACAGCCGCAAGCGCGACCAAGGGCCGGTAAGCCTACGATACAGCACACAGTGAACAATAAAATTTCAATTAGGGGGTTTTATCCTCGTTTAGCCAAGGTCGTAAGCGAAGCAGGAGCGTACCAGTGCTTCAGTCAACCAGTGCTTCCGGTAGCAGCGTCTTGCCTCCCTTGGGAGTGCTTCCCACCTCCTGATCGGCCCGCTCTTCCTTCCCCGGTGTATCCCTGTCCTCTTCCTGCCCTCAGAAGGAGGACGACAACTACCGCTACCAGCCCGTGCAGCCCGCCCCCGAGATCCCGCCCTACCAAGGCTTCATTGGCCTCACCTCGAGCGAGGTCGACATGCTGCTGCCAGCGCCGCACTCGCGCATGGCCATGCGGGACTTCATTGGCGAGGTGTATGACAGCACAGGGCTGCACCGCAAGCTGACCCAGATGGATATCCAGGTGTGCAGTTCGGTTGTGGTGGTTGGGGGCGGTTGCGGTGGCGGGCATGGGAAGCGTGTGAGTTGTAAGCATAGACAGCGGAAGGAAGCTAGCGCGTTATGGGTGGCCCCAGCATAGGGATGGTTCGGCTGGCGCTGGTGTTGCATGGAGCTTGGGTCCGGGCCTTCCCACACCTGCGTTACGCTAAGCTGCCTGAGTGCAGATGCAAGCTTGAAGCAGTTCAACTTATGGGCCCATATGAACCCTGCGTGTCGCTGCTGCCTCCCATCCTACACTTGCTTCCGCCTCCAGGCGCTGCTGTCCCAGGCGGGTTTCCCCATGGACTCCACTCGCGAGCACGACACCATCTCCCAGCAGCAGTGGGACGAGTTCTGCGGCCAGTTCCGCAGCATCGTGGCCACCCTGCAGCAGGTGGGCAGGGGTGGTGGCTGCATAGCGGCCGCGCTGTGCTTGCATGTCCTTGCTCGTGTACCGCCCCTCATGCGCATGCGCCCTTGCACCATCTCTCACGTTGCATGGGGTTGAGCCCGCTCACCACCCTTCCTCCTGCTAACACGTTGCTTCCTTAACCCCACTCCCACCCCTCCAAAACACCATACCTTTGTACTGCGCCTTCCCTTTTACCCTCCCCCCCTCTTAACCCTTCCTTTGCCTAATGCCACCCTGCCGCCTCACTCCCCCAGTGTTTTGCCCTAGTGGTTTCCTACGGTTTGATCTTTCTCCCCCTCCCTTCCTCCTAAAATCCAGCCTAATGCGGAATATGTTACCCTACTTACCCCCCCGCCCTCCAGGTTGCCAGCGTGTGGAACTTGGAGGATCCGGTGGTGATCAGCGGCTTCGACATGGACCGCGCCTGCACCGTCATGGCCCTGGCACACGAGCCCATCGGCACCTTCATCTGCCGCTTCAGCCTGTCGCAGCCGGGCTGCCTGGTGCTCACGTGTGTGGTGGGCACCAGCCACCCGCGAGCGGACCCCATGGGGCTGGTCCATGCCATTATTAAGGTATGCGCTTGGGGTTGCGGTGCAGTGGCTTGGGGAGGGGGTGCTTTGGGATGTGGGCTTGCATGACGGGATACCCGCCAACGTTTGCCGTGCGATTGCGCCTTCCGTCGGTGGCTCGCAACAATCACTAGCTGCGCCTGTGGAATGCTTTCTCCTTGCGATAACACACGCCCTAAGCCCCTAACCCGCCCTAACTCGCCTTCCTTTTCTTGGACCACCTTGCGACCTGCAGATTGATGACCTGCACGAGCGCCGTGTGGACACCTGGATCCGAGATTACACGGGTGCTACCCACCTGCTAGACGTCTACCGTTGCAAGCGCGTAGACAAACGCAAGGTGTTCGCCACAAACTACACACGGCTGCGTGGATTGGAAGTCGAGGAGGCGCCGCAGTACAACATCGTGTGAGGTATTCTGCCGTGATACCGTACATTTCAGTACGGTTTCGTTCCGGGAGCTGTTGAGTTGGGCTGGGTTGCATTGTTGGATGGCACTGGTGTTGGGCAAGTGCATGTCCTTCTACGTTGATTTTGATCTACGGGTGGTGGGGGAGAGGTGGGGATATTAATGTCCACAGCGCAATGCAGCGCTATGACGTGAGATTTGCGATGTGGGTCCGGTGGGGGCTATTGCTATTCTTCTGCCACGATTCCCGGTACCCATGACGTCGTTTGATCCCCTCGCAACGACTGCCTATTGAGAATCCTTAGATGTTCGTTGTTGTATGGCGCCGCGGCCGTATTGCCGTACATGCTAATATAGTGATCCTTTGTTCCAAATGTCTGTACGGTTTCAGCCACATTAATTATATGCGGTGGTCGTACCAGCATAACAAAGCTTGGAATCTACTGTAGAATGGCTTATGCAGGCATTGCCTAACTGTGATCCTTGCTTGGCGCTCCGTGACATGCAGAAACATTTGGGCTTCGGGTCATCCTGTAGATTGTTGACGCCGACGTGGCCCGTCGCAAGTATCAGTTGTGGATGATTGGTGATGGTTATGAAAGTAGTGAGTTTTTTGGCACCTGGAAGTGCACAAGGACGCGCTTAATTGGAACAAAATCTTTTCAATCAGGTTTGACAGAGCGTTTTGGGCCTGTTTACTGTTGCGTGCTGCGGTATCGTGTAGCCTCATCATAAAATGGGAAGGCCACTATCTTGTGAGCTTCTGAACTTAATCATCTGAGGCGTTGGTTACCCTTGATGCATACGTATATCCCGGGGGGCTGCCTTCCCAGCTACACTACAAAGGGATCAAAATCTTATGATCTGCATGTGAGAGGCTTTGCGCAGGACGATGTACCTGAGACGTATGGGTGTTGGGGGTTGGGATGTTGTTCATGTCGTGCTGTCTTGCAACAGACCGTAGTTTTTACGACCATTATATTGCTGCTTATTAGACGGGGTTTGCTAGGTACCTTCTTTAGTGTGCCTAAGGTGGCCTCGGTAGGGTTTGTGTTTGCAACCCCGAACTGATCTGTAAACAGCGTCAACATTCACCCGTTTGATCGCCTTAGCTGGATGGAAGAAATCCTAATAGCATGCTTCCTGCAATACCCGCACCTTGTGTGGAGGTCTGTCAGGTCCTGCTGGCATCGCAATTGTGGCTTGCGGTACTACTTGAGTTAGGCAATACTTAGGTAAAAAATTTGGACGTACTTTCTACGGCTAGGCAACAGCAGTGACCCCATCCCATCTGAAGGCGTACATGCAAGCTTATTTAACTATAAAGCTGCCGGTCTTCAACCCAACCCCCACGGCCACCATAGCTGCTCCCCTGCGCCGCAGGGGCCCCAACAACTTGCTGCCGGCTGCTGCAGCGACCTTCCAAGGGCCGCAACTAATGTCTGTGATCTGGACGGCGTACGTTGACTCTGCGGCCTCCCGGCCAACCAGCTCCCTACCCAATGCGTCTAAGGCTGGCTGCTGTATTGCGCCAGATATCAGGCGCGCATGGACAAACCCTGTTTCCTGCATGTGGCTGCTGATCCAGACAGCATGCGGCGGCTGGACGAGGCTCCCTGGAAAGCTGCAGCTGCCTATCTCCACCACCGACTGCCCCCGTGATCCTGTTTGCAGCTGCCATCTGCTCCGCTGGTAAGTGCAGCTTTAGCTTCGGCCCTCCTGTGCTAGCATGTAGTAGGGAAATGGAACGCACATTGCGCAGTTCGCACGTTACACGGTGGAGCGCTTAAGCGTCCTGGACGACGACCGTGCCCTTGCCCTTAGTCGTCTGGTCCTCGGCGACAGTGACGAACGAGTACATCTCCTCCTGCAATGTTGGGTGGATACGGCAGTTGTAAGAGAAACACACGCGGGCCGTAGGGATTGAGGATGAACGTGTTTGGGTTCCCACTAACCGCAACATGTAGCACATCGTTTTAATGCTGGGAAGATTATATAAATACCGATTGGATCAGGTGATCTATTGATGCTACATAGGTCGCTATCACCCATATGTGGTGCTCGCTTGGGGTCAACCTGCCTCGCTGCCTCCTTTCCCTTATTGTTGTAATTCCTGTCTTATGAGATAAATTCCTGTTTTAATAAGATGCACACCTTGGCGTCCTCATCGTCGTTGCGCCGCCTGTTGATGACGATGCGCAGGCGGGTGGGCACGTTCTTAATGCCCTTGCTCCACACGGCCTTGTTGAGCTTCACGTCCAGGCGCACGTCATTGGTGCCCATCACCTTAGCGGCAAACTTGCGAATCTCCTTCACAGCCTTAGGAGCGCATTTCTTGAAGCTGGTCTTGTGCAGCCGCTTGGAGAGGTGAATGGTGTACTCCCTGGTCACCTGCTCCTTGCTGCGGCTCTTCTCCTTCGCCATCTGCGAGCGCCGTGGGAGAAAACTGAGTGCCGACTCTGGTAAAGGCTGCGCCGACTCTTTTACAAAAAAACTAAGCCAAAGCAGCCTACCTTGTCACGCTAAGGAACAGGCAACGGCGTTGGGAGGGGAACGTCCAAAGAGGGAGAAAGGCGGACAGGCGGAATGCCAAGACGGCTGCAGAGAAGTACGGCCGTACGGCTTGTTGCCCTCTTCGCAGGAGCGCGGCAGTCAAGCTGCAAATTTGTCTTTTGGGACAAGCTATACTTCTTAGCCTTAACAATGAGGAAAAGTCGTTATATTATTTCCATATGTTTGAGATAAAGGTTGGCGCGCTCTAGCAAACTAGGTTCTCTTCAGGCGATGGCGCACATAAGGCAACCCTGTCTGCCATGCACTTCTTATGGCTCAAATACTCCGACCGTAGAGCTTAGCCGGCGTAGCCTCGTCAGCATTAGGCCTCAGGGCCGTCGATTATCACAGGCGCTATGGTTGAATGCAGCTGCAACCCGCAGCTCGTTGTTGCATCGTTGCCGAGGCAAGGCCTTGCCACCGGAAGCTGGTGATGGCGCAGCCATCAGCCCATCGTCGTCGGCTGACGTCTTCAACCCAACTGGCTCAGTCGACTCCGTGGAGGATCCGCAACCTGCGCCTTCTAAAACACCCGTTCAGAAGGCTCGCGAGTTTGCCAACCGCGTAATCTTTGGCCTTTTGCTTGGCCTGGCCGGAGCGGTTGTTATCCTATATGGCAAGCTTGCAATGCTGGCGCTCCTAGTGTTCGCCTCTTACCAGGCATCACGGGAATACTTCGGCTTCATAACATCGAAGCAGATGTCAAAGGGCATGCCTCCCCCCACGCCGCTCGTCAGCACAGCCACAACGGTAATGTGCATGGGTATGACCCTCTTCAGCCACTTCTACCGGGGCAAGAGCGGGACCTTGCTGGCAGTGGCATCATTCCTTTTGCTCGTCATCCAAGTTCTGGCCAACAAACGGCCAAAGTTCTCGCAACTGGCATCATCGCTGTTTGGGCTCTTTTACTGCGGTGGGTTTTGACCCGTGGCTGTCGTGCTAGGGAGACGACAGCTCTGCATCCATTGATCGTGCCATAGCTCTTGAAGGCCTTGTTTCGTATACGACGAGCATGAGGCGGTAGGGGTGAAAATTTAGGTCACCCAGGGGTCACCAACCGTAGACGCGGGATGATTGGACCGGGCACGGGAGTTTGGCTATCGGTGTGCACCGGGCACGGGAGTTTGGCTATCGGTGTGCACCGGGCACGGGAGTTTGGCTATCGGTGTGCACACGGCTACACCCAGCACATGGTTCACTTCCACACCACTTCCTCGACTGCGCCAAAACAAGTGCATACATGTGCCACATGCAGCGCAATAGCCTACTCCTGTCACCATATCCACCGGCACAACCCTATTCGGCGACCCTCTCGCAGGTTGGCTTCCGAGCTTCTGGTTGAAACTCCGATCGCTCGGGTCACAGGCGCCTGACACGCCCCTTGTGGTGAGGGATAGGGGCTGTGATGCGCTCAGCGTGCTGACCAGCTTGAACTTGCAAGGCATTGGGTTGGGGAGCAGGTTAGGGTTTGCCCGTAGACGCTTGCCATGGGGCGTAACGGGAGTGGTTGCTGGCATTGTGATATGCGTGCGCCGAAGAGCCCCAGCGTAAGCAGCTGCTGGTAGCAGGGCATCCATGCTGGGGGGTGGAAGGCAGCTGCCACGACGGAGGCGGCTGCACAGGGGCGTCAGGGCACGGAGCCCTGCAGGCAACAGTAGGCATGTTTGAGCACGCCACCGCTGATCCACCAGCTGGCCTCTTCCGCAAGCACCAGCTTTCTCTCTGTCTGCGAAACCGGAACGTTCCCAAGGCAACCACCGCTGATGCCCTCTTTCCTGTTCCCTCCCCGCTGCCCTCTTCGCAACGCCCCCACCTCAGACCTTCCTCCACAACGTCACGGGTTGGCCCATCACCACGGGAGCGGTGGCGGTGCTAACGGCCTCTGCCGTCATCATAGCGGCCGATACGGGGGCCTACTTCGTGGGGAAGGCGCTGGGGCGCACCAAGCTCACGGACATAAGCCCCAAGAAGACGGTGGAGGGCGCAGCAGGCGGCATGGCAGCGGCGGTGTCGGTGGCGATGGGTTGCTGGGCGGTGTTTGCCTGGCCGGCGACGCCACTAGCGGCGGGAGTGCTTGGGGTAGGTGGGCGGACGGGTTGGGAAATGAGGAAGAGAGGGCGGAAAGATGTACCTAAACCTGGGCACGGAAAGAAGCAAGCGGGGGATGGTGCGCTAGGGACCCGCGGCAGCAGACCTGTTGATTGCAATGTAGTGCTGGTGCTGGAATGGGTCCCATCCAACGCCTTGCATCACCGCGGCTCCTCCCGCCAGGTGATGGTGTTCTTCTCGAGCCTGTTTGGGGACCTCATCGAGTCCATCATGAAGCGCGACGCGGGCATGAAGGTGAGCCGCAGCAACCGGGAAACGACTACACATGGGGGCTTGGAAGAGAATGGCTTTACCTGTCTAACAGCCATCCTGTTGCTCCTCCGACTTCAGGCGCTTGAAATCCTGCTCGCCGTTGGTCCCTTTTGGAAAATAGGAAATACCCACTCAAGAAACACGCGTGTAGCCACGCCCGACCTTTACGTTCCTGTGTTCCCGCCACTTCAGGACTCGGGAGACCTCATTCCCGGCCATGGCGGGCTGCTAGATCGCTTCGACTCCTACATCTTCAGCGGCGCAGTGGTGTACTTCTTCTCGTACTTTTGCGTGCCCCTCCTCAGCACGCTGACGGGGCCGCAGGCGGCTGCGGCGGTGGCGGCAGCAGCAGCTAACGCGCTTGCACGGTTATGACGATGGTTACCGCTTGGGCCGCCTCCTTGATAAGGCCATGAATGCGAAATGTCCCTAGGAAACGCTGCTTGTACGGCATTGCATGGCTGGCCGGCGGTGGGTGGCATTTCATGCGTATGCGGCTGTAACGGTGTGCGGCACCCACGTGCGGGGCTGTGGCACTCACGGCGCAACACGCCAGCAGCATCGGGATACGACTGCTGGTAACGCTCGCCGGGGGGCCTGCTGCTGCCTGTCGTTGCCACCTGCCTGCTGAGCTGACTGTTAGCGAACTCCTTGCTCGCGAAGGCGCGGCTGCTGGATGAGAAGGGCGGTTGCAAGCGATCGGTTGTGGCAGCCAATAGGAGCACGTAGCGCCGCGTCCCGGCAGCACTGATGAGCAGGCAGTAACACCTGACAATCCTGACCTGTGATGTTGACCTTCACGTGACGGGCGCTTTACGCGAGAGCGCTGGGTAGCGTGTGGTTGTCGTACTGGTGTTCGTGCGTTTAGCGCTTCGCCAACGATTATGGTGGAGGGTGGCGTTTCCAATAAGGCGTTCCTGGAGTGCGGGCTGTCCGAGGCTGAATTCTTGTTCTCTGGTTGGTTCTCTGTGTATGGAAGGCCCCCGTACTGACTGTCCTCTGTTGTAGGTGTTTAAAGAGAGGCGCGGTTTGGCCTCAACATGCATGCATGTGCGGTTACACTCCCGCACCGACCCGGCCTAACCGCTACACCCCCCCCCAACGGTAGCGGCTACACTGGCTGCATGGGAGGCTTATTGCCACCTTCACGTGTGCCCCCGACCGCACTCGGCCCCCGCACCCGCTTTCCCCTTGTGGCCCACCCTCGGATGGCATTCCTCCATCTGGATGGATGGCTTAGTTGCGTGTGTGCAGTGCTTGCTTGGTTTGTATTGTGCCATCCAGGAAAGTTGCGATGCGTTGTACTGAGGACAGCGTCGCAGCTGTTGTTGCCCCTGTATTGCTAAGGATGGCTAGGCCAACATGCCCCAAGCAGGGTTGGAAAAGAGTGGGGCAGTGCGGGCGGACCTTGCAGCGTCGAGTTGCCGTTCTGGAGGCTGGTGTCTGCTGCACGGCCGTCCATATAGTCCACCCTAGCTCTGCATGTGTCGACTGGTGACTATTAACGGGCGGTCTTGCCCAAGATCAGTGCTTGTCGTAGGCATTAGATGAGGCTCAGGATGCTGATACGGTGGTAATACGGGTGGCTTGTACCGCTTGCGATTTGTCTTTTTAACTTGGGAGGCCATGCATGCAACGCGCGTCATGTGTCCGAAAGCGGTGAAGATCGACAGGCTGCTGCACGTGGTTTGGGTGCGGGCCGGTGATGTCGCTGTCCGGCATCAGGGAGGTTGGTTGCGGGGTGTTGGATACTGTTGCGCGTTGCTATTGGGCCGCTGAGGGGGAGTCCTTTGCGATGCATGCAGTTAGGCATGCAATGGCAGGTGCCGCGGGAGGGCTAGGGTGCCGCGTTTATTGTAACGTTTATTCTAACGTCGCGTGTCAAGTGCTATTGTGTGTCAGGAAACGCTTGGAGAAGCCAATAGGTTAGACACGGAGGCGGCATGCTATTCCGCAATGCGGGGGGGGAGGTACGGTATTTGAATGATGTTTTTGTGGGTTGTGTGTGTAAAACGTTGCAAGATCTGCATGAAAGCCCATAACTTGCTGTCATGCACTTGCATTCGTGTTTTTCGTTCTTTCGTGGATGCTGGAGAAGGGTGGAGCCATGGTAGTTGATGTCACGGTGTACGGCTTGCGCTGCAAGGTGTGCATCAGTGGATTGCGGTACTGTGGTGCAGTCTGTTTGAGGATGGCTCGGTTGTGATTGCTGCAGCCAAACGGCCAAACCAGCGCAATTATAAAGTATCATTTGTATCTAGAGAGATTCCTATTGGCCATGCAAAGCTGGGACAGCAGTAATCGTATGAACCTCCTCTCGTATTACACACTACACGGCACGTGAAGAAGCGCGTGTTAAGAAACCAGCCTTTTCGAAAATGTAGACTCTCCGTGCCATGCATGGAGGGAGCCAGTCACATCAATTAGAGGACCCAGTCCTTACCCTTCCAGTTGGACGACTCTAATAGGTTGCGACTCCTCCGAAACCACGTACATGAGCAACACAGCACGAAGCCTTGACAAGCGGATCAGACATCTAGGAAGCAAGTTCACGGCTCTGTATCGCGCGTGCTTAATAAGCCGGTTGCCAGACGGCACCATACGGTATCCTTGAAAAGTGAATCAGTTGCAGCTATATATGTATGTCACGACTCGACATATGTACGACTTCACAGCGGCACGAACGGCACAGAAGAGGGAACCCTTCAGTCCCTTACAGGATGGACAGCAATTTCACTGTTGCCATACCCAAAAATAAATCCGGATCAATATGTGATGGCTCTTCACAAAGTATCGGCATACCGTATGTACTCCTGCTGCAATTGTCAGGCATTCATCCCATTGCAATTGCTATTCAATCCGTCCCGTCGCCAATGATTGTGTTCCTCTCGGGATGGTTTCCACATGCTTTTGGGCGCAACCCCACATCCTGCTACCCCATGCACTCCTTAAACCCCGCATACGCTGTTCTGCCATCTCACGTTATGTGCCCTGTCAGGCCGTTCACACGTCAGATCAGGTCCCAGCCGTCTGCTAGCATGCCTCCATCACCGTCTTCATGCTCCATCATAAGGGCACCTGAGCAGATATACATGGGAGGAGCACAGATCCTGAGCGCTAGCAACAAGGCAGTAACTGAAGCAGCATCATTGCAGTAAGAACCCGTTCTAACTGCGTGGCCCTGGAGGCGCATGATCCATTACCATTACCGCCCTTCCTCGTCCTAACCCTCACACTTACCCTCCGACGCAACTGCTGCTCCCTGGTCCGACATACCGCCCAGCGGCGGTGCCACATGCGCAGCCTCAATGCCCCCTTGCCTGCTTGGGGTCACGGGGAGCTGCTCCGCCGCTTGCTTCTGAAGGCCGGCGGCCGAATCAGATGTGCTGCTGCTGCTGCTGGCAGATTCCCCAGGAACCGCTACCGCTGCCGCTGCTGCTGTTATCGCAGCTGCGGTTGCTGCTGCAACGGCTTCGCAAGGGGGGCTAAGTCGCTGCTCCGGTAAAGGGCTGTTGCCATCTGAGTCGCTAGCTGCTGGATGCCCGGCCGGAACCGTAGCGTGGGGCAGGGAGGGGCTAGCAGCCGTACCGGAGGTGTTGAAGCAGCCAGGGGGGTGCGAGGTGGGTTGGGGTTGCGTGTGCACACCGCCGCCCAAACCGCTAGCTATGCCGCAGCCACTGCTCCGGAGCAGTCTGGCGTCTCCAAGCGCGTTGTAGGAGGTTGGCAGGAGGCCCTGGGCCGGCAGGCCTGCTTGCGGCAGCTGTGGGCTGAGCAGCGAGGAGTCGTGGAGGAGGGCGGCGTGCGGGGCAGCCATCGAGGGGTCCCACTCACAGCCTCTCCCGAACACCTGGGGTTGCTCCTCCTGGTGTGGTGTTGGGAGGCGACATCGCCCTTGGGGGCTTGATGGGTGCCATGTGCTGGGCTGTTGTTGGCCGGCGGAGCCAGCGACTTGCAGATCGCCCTGCTCCTGACGCTCCTGGTATCGTGGCTGCTGCGGCTGCGGTTCCCGCTCCGGAGGAAGCAGGCTGAGGTGTGAGTGCAGGGGCTCCTCCCCCGCCCCGGCATGCGTTCTTGCTGTCTGCGACCGGGCAGCAGCGGGAGCCGCGACACCGCTGGCAGCTTCCGGACCAGCAGCCTGGCAGCTAACGGTGTTCAGCGCGTACATTGCTGCCATCACATCAGCACTTTCCCAATCGGGGTACTGCTCGGGGTGCAGAGGGCCCTTATCGAGGCTATTATGCAGCGCTGCGCCGCCCTGCAGCTCCTCCTTCTCATCACAACCTTTTTCGACGGCCTTATCTGTATCTTGTCCTCCTCCTTCTTGCTTTATTTGTTGTTGTTGCTGCTGCTGCTGTCGTAATGCAACGCGGGAAGAGCTCAAGGAGGTCAAGGTATGAAGCATCGGCGGCGTTATGGACGTTGCCGGCTGCGGCTGCTGCGTTGCTGGGGATTGTTGCGAATGCGTTGACTGTGCTGACTGCTGCGGCTGCTGCGGCGGCTCCTGCTGCGGCGTCTGGGGTTGCTGCTGCGCTGAGGGCTGCTGTCCTGGTGACTGATGTGCCTGCTGCTGCTCACGTTGCTGGGAGGTGCGTATCGGGGGAGGAGGGGGGCCGTCATCATTGGGGATGCCAGCGTCTTCCAGCTTCGCTGAGAGCTTACGGTGCTCCTCGAGCAGCTCCTCATGGCGGCAGCTCCAGCTGCCTACCTCGGCTCGGAGTGCGTCAACCTCCTTGACGAGGTCCTCGACCATGCCCTCCAGAACACCGACCTAGCAATGTGACAAATGGGGTCGGTAAGGTGGTCCTTTCTGCTACTTGTTTGTATCTTTATGAAGGTAGCTGTTGACTGGGTAACAACTCGTCTAGGTTGTGCTGCTTGCAGTTTGTACTATGACGGACTTGCGTCTTCGCCGCTTGCAACACGCGCATGTATGTGCGGACGCAGCCCCAAGCAACGGCATACTCCGAAGGCAAGAAGTAGATATAGGTCGCGCGTATCATGCTTTGCTTTTGGTTACAGGCGATATAATAGAAGCGGACTAGCGTACGTTCAATGCGTAATAAAGAACCAAAGGACGCACCTCTTCTAGTCGCTTTACTCGACTGCGCTGGGCGCTGCGCCGATTAGCTATTAAACGTCTGCGCCGCCTTTCGTCCTCTTCAGACGTGCCGTCTTGACTGCTCCTGCCGTTCCGGGGCTTCTTCCGCGTAGGACACTCTGAGCTCGGTGACCTGCTGCTCTCATTCCACCGCCGACCGCACGCTGCGTCATACTCGAAATCACTATCAATATCGGCGCTGTCCTTACGCTTGCCGCGGCCCATGCTTGCTTGGCTGCGACGCGGTTGGTGGTTACCAGGCCCCGACTCCGTGCCCTTCGCCACTAGCACCTAAATATTTCCAACCAAGCATACCCTAACCCAATTAGGTGAAAGCCTGGCAGTCGTCATCTGTTGGTGCTGACTTTTGTTGAGGAGTTACCAACTGTGCACACAAGCGGTTGCGAAGTCTTCAAGCTAACGGGATGGCCTGGAAGCACCTCGTGAGTGTATCTGACAACATCGTGTAGTAGCTAGCTGGTAGCGTTACGTTCCATCCTGCAGCGATGGGACTGCGAAGCAACTGTACGTCAGTTTCTGCCCACCGCCCTCGCCCGCCGTTACCGCGGTTATCTTCTACACAACTTTACTTGAGGCCATTTCATGTCTCTGAAGATTTTGTCTCAGAAGACGCTTTGAACAGCATCTAACCGGTAGGGAGCCCGATGATCGGCATTGCCTTGCCGACCTTGCCCTTCTTACCGGAAGCACGTTGGGATGCCTAGCTTATGTTCGTAAAGTGTATATGAAAGTCCTTGGTGTTGCACTTTGTGCAACCATTCGGTTACCTGCTGCTTTGTTCGTATTAGTGCTCTGTTCTAGCTGCTATGGAATGCTGCACGTCCTCTTGATTTCTGTATGGTCCCCATTGCAAAAGAGCAAAACAAGCACACCGTTGCTCAGTCTTTGGGCTGAGGGCAAGTGCAGATGTGGCGCAAACCCACTTCATTGCGTCAGCGGAGCTTTTACTTTACAGCGCAGAGGTGCTTGATGCCAGTCGTCATGTAATAAGACGGTATGCCTCCTACGGAAAGCTCCCGAAAAAAGCCATATACGAAAGGGCAGAGCAAACCTAACAGGGCGCTGCTTGGCATCCCTGCAGTTGCTCAATGAGTGACGACTGGGTAGTACCGATATGCAATACAACCGCTCACTCCGTAGCAATGGGCTCCGCAGTACTATCGATTCGTACAAGCACAGACAAGGCCCAGGTTAACAGCCTCCCAAGACACAGCGTGAGCAGTAAGCTTCATGAAGCAGCTCAGAAACAGCTCATCAGCTGCGCAGTCCACCCCGTACGTTGACCACAAAATGGGCTCTCGTGTCGCACACGTAAAGAACGCCAATGCGCAAGCATCCCGGCTTACACTCCCCAGCCCCATTGCCCCCACACCCTGCAAAACCCGCACACCTCCTCCTCCTGGACATGCACAAACCAATCTTCCTCGTATGCCCCCGCCCCGCACGATAACGCACCCCGCATGCTCCGCCGCCGCAAACCTCCTCCTTACGAACCTCACTTGGGGCACACGTGCATCATCATTGCGAGGCAGGCGCGGCACGAATCTGCGCCACCAGCAAGCCGTGCACCGCTGTCGCAAGCTCCGGTTGCTCCGAAACCACTGTGACTCGGAATTGCGTGCGGTTCTGCGGGTTGGCCTCCACGCGGCAGCAGCACACGCTGGAGTGCTGCGCCTCCGCGGGCCCGCATGCCCAGTAGGCGGCACCGGCCTCGTTGTGCGGGGAGGGGTCCAGGTAGCCGTGCTCCACTCCCAGTCGCAGCAAGCGCATGAGACCCTGGGAGAGCAGGAACCGGTACGGCAGGGGGAAGGCAGCGGGGCAGGGGGGTTAGAGCGGAGGCAGTGTGGGGAACTGGGTGTGCACGGACGATGAACGCTGGACGATGAACGCGGTATTGCAGTTAAGAGGGTGCAAGGTAACGTAGAAAGGCAGCCTGCCGCATCCTTAGTACCGTACACGCTGGCAAGGCTGGCGTGTGCACCCAAGTATGCACTCCCCACATTGCAGGGCACACAGGTGCCGTACAGACAAAAGAACGTCGACCGCACGAAGGGTACGTATTAGCTCACGGCAAGCGTAACAGAAAGCGGTACCATTCTGAGAGGCCGGGCCCACCCACCCACCCACGCACCTGCACCGACTCGGCTGACAGCGGTCCCGCAGCTGCTCGGTCCACCATCTCCTGCGCCTTGCAGTGCGGCTGTGCAGAGCGCCAGTGCTCGAAGAAGGTCTCCTTGGGGATCTGCGGCTCCGGAACCATGAACTTGTGCATGGCGGTTGGCAGCCGCAGCTGCAGGCCCGGCAGTGCGGGCGCGCCGCCCACTCCGTACGACAGGACCAGCACCGGCGGCGCGGTGAAGGGGCCGAGGCAGAGGAGGGACAGCGGCACCTGCACCTGCTGCTTGATCTCCAGCATGGGGGGCACGGGCCCTATGGCCACCTGCAGAGGCAGGAGGGGCCCAACGGGAAGGGAAGCAGAGACGATTGTAGCGTTTGATGATGTCTGGCAAATCATCCGCCGGTGCCATACCGCCATCTACTGTCAACCACCTGTCTCATTCAAACCAAATACGCGAACATCGACGGTCCCGCCGGCAGGGCGTCCCGTCGTTGCCCTGCACGCACCTGCACGCCCGGCGACGGCACCGCCAGCCCCAGCCCCACGCCCGTCAGCTGCGCGCCCGGGTGCTTGTTGCCCAGGTAGAGCGTGAGGCTGCCGGCCCCGCGGGTGTACTGCGACTGCAGCCCCACCTGCAGGTACTGGTCCTCGTACAGGATGCCGCGGTCCTGAGGGGGGGGCGTGGGGCAGGTGGGGGCAGAGGACAGGTGGGAACATGGGGAAAGGGGGTAACAAGTTTGGGTTATTCGAAATGCGCTGACTAGTTAATACTAATCCTAACCAGGTGGGGCCACATCCGATGGTGGAGGGGAGGGGGCACATGGCAGTAGGGCAGTAGGGCAACGCAACAAGTGATGAATTCGGTATGAGTGATGGGCTTGGTGGAAAGAAAGCACGCACGCAAAAATCTTTGTTGGTGCTAAGACGGTAGAACATGGTAACAGTAGCGGAGTACATACGCCCCCACGCAATGAACAAAGGGTCAAGATCACAAAGTGACTCCTCGCCCCGTCCTGTACCTCCACCACAGTAGGGTGCAGCAGCAGCCAAGCAACAAGGTATTGTGTGTGCAACAAGGCAGCAGCAGCCTAGTTCCGTGCCGCTTACCTTCAGCAGCAAGGCCGAGTACCAAGCCTCCACATTACCCGTGGGGCAAGGCGGCTCCACCGGCGGGGGCGCGGGGGCTGCCGGCGGCGGCGGAGGAGGAGCGGCAAAGTGGCTATCGCCAAACGGATCCGCCGCTGCCGCCGCCACGGGAGCACCCATGGGCGTCATCGCTGGGGGCGGCACTGCAGCGGCGGGGGCTGGGGCAGCCGCAGCTGGGGCGGCGAAGGGGTTGGCGGCGAAGGGGTTGGATGTCGCGGGCATGGGAACCGCTGGGTAGGGTGCCATTGGGAAGCCGCCGGCCGCTGGGGCGGCAGCAGGGGCAGCAGGCGGCACTGCGGCCGGGAAGCCCTGCGGGGCCATCATGCCTGGCGCTTGGGGCGGAGCAGCGGAGCCTGGGAACGCCGGCGGCGGGGGCGGTACCCCGGGCACGGCAGGGTAGGCGGCGGGTGGCTGCTGCTGCTGCTGCTGCTGCGGCAGCGGTGCAGCCGCCGCCGGTGCTGCTGCCGCTGCTGCCGCTGCTGCCGGCGGCGCCACGGGTGCGCTGCTGCTGGTGGCCACCACCACGTCACCGAACAGGTCGGACAGCAGGTCGATGGGGTTGGAGGGCTTGGCAGGCGGCTGCGGCGCTGCAGGGGCAGGGCCAGCGACGCCGACGCCGCCATTGCTGGGAGCAGCCGCTCCTGCAGACGCCGCCGATCCCATGCTCAGCAGGTCCGGTGCGACCGCCGCCGACGGCCCAGCCGCGGCGACGGATCCCGGCATCGGCAGCGCCAGCAGCGGGGAGGTGTTTGCGCCGGCCAGAGTGGAGGGCGCGTCGGCGGCAGCGGTGGGGCTGGTGGTGGCGGCGGCGCCGTCTAGGGCTGCTGCTGCTGCTGCGTGGGCCTGCCCGTCTTCTGCTGGTTGCAGGCGCTTGATGAGGGAGGACTCGCGGATGGTCCATGCGGGCATGGGCAGGATGAAGCTGGAGGCGGCGGTGTGCGGGTTGGCTGCGAGGGCCTGCTGCGGGGGGGGGGCAGCGGGTCCGGTGGCGGGGCGGGGGGGGGAGTGATGGTGGGGAGGGGGGTGATGGGTAACCCGAAACGGGCTGTAGATGGCGGGAAGGGAGCGGAAAGGGAGGAGGAAATGAAGAAGCGGCCTCTGGCTGGCCGCCACATCCTCCACGGATTGGTTACTGACACGATTCCCCACGTTCCCTCCCCGTCCTCCCTTCCCCCCTCCCTCCCTCCCCCCCCCGCTGCTGCGCTGCACACCCCCTGCCACCCTGCGGGCCCCCCCCCCCGCACCAGGTACTCGGTGGCGCGCTGCTGCAGCTCCGCGTCCATGAAGCGCTTGTAGCGCTCGAACAGCTCGCGCACGTCGCGGGACAGGGTGGCGTTGGTGGGCTCGAGCAGGTAGATCTGGGAGGGGGTGGGGGTAGGGGGGTAGGGGGTGGGTGGGGGTGGTAAAAGTAAGGAGACTGGCGAGACAACTAACGAGGGGGGGGGGCTAGGAGGGAGGAAAGAGAAGAAGATGCCGGGGAGGGAGTTTTTGGATTAGTTTGTCGGGGAATCAGGGATCGGGGAAGCAGGGAGAGGAGTAGCTCGAAGGGCGCAGGATGCACTGGGGCATTCAGAGGGGCTGGGAATTGCTACCAGGTAAGACAAGGGGTTCTGGCAATGGCTCAAGAAAGACGTGTGACAACCGGGTCCATGCTAACCCTTGCAACCGACAAACCCCTTCCCTGCCCCCCTGCGCCGGGATGGGCCTGGTACCATGGTGCAGACCCTCCCCCCGACATACAGCTCGTCAGCTCCTTCCTCTTAATTCCCCTCCCTTCCCCCCGCCCCGCCCCCATCCACCTTGAGCAGCGCCGTCATGAGCAGCCCCTTGGTGGGCGGCGAGGCCGCTGGGAAGGCCGCATGCAGCAGCCGGTATTGCTCCGCGGGGGGGACCTCGGAGCGAATGAGCCTGCCGTACTCGCCCAGCACGTAGGCTGCCGTACACACCAGCGACTGCCGTACGGGAGAGTACGTACGACAGTGTATCGGGGGGGGGGCGGGTTGTGGAGGTTAACTCTTGAGAGGAAAGGCCACGCCTGGCGCTCTCGCTTAGGAGAACCTCAGCTAATCTCATTTGAATTAGTCCCACCCATTTCCACTTGAGAGAGTGCTGTGCCCACATGCCCCCCCCATACGGTAAGGTACGTTTTCGTATGCTGTGCTCACTTGTGCGGCTCGGAACACATGTACGGCCCACTTTACGCACCTCATGCGCGGCTCCCCGCTTGAGTGCCTCCGCCACATTGCGTGCCGCATACTCCTGCATGGGCCCCGGGTTGTTGGTGACCAGCTGTACGGCACGGTGCCAGATCTCGTCGGATACGAAATCTCCGGAGCGCTCCAGAAGCTGCAGTACGACATCCATGTACCTGGTGGGAATGGTGGGGGTGGGGGGGGGCCGCATGGGGTTGCAGACATGCAGAGGCTCGCGATTGGCCGGCGTGTTGTGAGTCACGTGTTTTGTGGTGGCATGCGTGCGTGTGGTTATCACATTGCAATGTCTGACAGCATGACACAGCTTGGGAAGTCGCACGGGAATGTACGGCACGTGCCTACGTAACAGTAAAGCCGCCATGCACGGCTGAAGTGGAAGGGGCCAAGGGCGGCAAAGGGAGGACACACCGCTGCCGGGCTGCTGCTGCCCGCTGGCGCACTCACCACTGCATGCTGGGCGCAAACTTCTCCGCCAGAATGGCCACCTGCGGGTGGTGGAAGGTGGGAGAGGGGTAGGCGCAAAGGGTTGTGTGGTGTTGTCGGCGTTGTGTCGGCTACTACCCGTTCATGGTGCGAACGACTCCACACAGCACAGCGTGTCCCCTCATTCGCGGGTCATTGTCCTATGGTTTGGTCTAGTTCTACCCCCGCCCCCTCCCCCTTCGTGGTTTCCTTACTTCTACCCCCCCCCCCACCCCCACCTTTAGCACCAGCTCCTCCCGCACGCCAAAGTCCGCCACCACCAGGTGCTTCAGCAGCTCGCCCACCACCTCGGGAGCGGAGGCGGCGTCACACAGCGCGAACAGCAGACCCAGCGCGCGCCGGCGGATGGAGACGTCGGGGTCCTGGGTGAGCAGGGGGCAGGCGGGGGGTGGGGGTGGGTGAAGAGGAAGCAACCAAGTGACCGTGTGATGATAGGCGTCATCAGGGTTGGCAACATGGGTCATGGTGGGGCAGGGGAGGGCGGGGTGGGTGGGAGAGGGAAACAGGGTTGAGGGGAAGATGTGGGATGAGAATTGGGGAAATTGAGGGTTTAGGGATGAGGAAAAAATGAGGGATGGGAAGCGGAAAAGCTGGTTTCCTCCATCCCCATCCCACCTTTCCTTCGGTCAAAACATGGCCCTTGCCTCCTCTTCTCCTTCTTCGTTTCCCCCTTCTCTCCTCCTCTCCCATCCCCACCCCCCCATTCCCACCCCCCACCTTGAGGCTGGCCATGACAGTAGCCTGGTGGTGCCTCAGCCCCTCCAGCACCTCCGGCATGCCGCCCGCCAGCCGCGCCAGCGAGTCCAGCGCCAGGTACTTGGCGTTGGAGTCCTGCAGGGGGGTGAGGAGGGGGCAGGAAGGGGTGTCAGGAGGAGGGCAGGGGGGTGAAGAGAAGGAGACGTCACAGTTCCCGCTGCTGCAAACCCTCCACCCAGCGGCCGATGTCACCGGGGGCTGTCACGTGGGTCAGGAAGCGGGGTGAGGGGAAGGCTTGTTGCGACAGCAGGAGCGGGGGGGGGGAACCACCGGCAGGGAGAGCTAGCCTAGCACAAGCTTCGGCCCTGCCGTACTTTTCATTCCTTCTGATGACAAGGATGTACGGCCCCGCCTCCCTGTCGTACCTTCCCCGCCAGGTAGCGCCCCATGAGGCTGAGGCAGGAGTTCAGGGTAGCCCGGTCGGCGCCGGCGTCTGACGGCCCCGCCGCCCCCGCCGTGATGGCCCCCGCGCTGGCCCCCCCCGCCGCGTGCTGCTGCAGCGCCAGGGCTAGGGCCTCGAAGAGGATGGCGTTCAGGGCGTTGGTCTTGTTGGGGTTGGCGTTCTTGGCGGCCTCGTTGCTGGCTGGGGGAGGGGAGGGAGGGGGAGGGAGGGAGGGGGAGGGAGACGTGAGGTGAGAGCGCAGCTCCTTGCCAAGACCCCCATCTGCACACGAACCCACCAGCAGCTGACCCCTTCCGAGGCCCCCTGGGTTTTCCCCCCCTCGCACCCCGCACACAGCCACCCACTGGGAGCCCTGGGGGGGGGGGAGCCGGGAACATGTCAAGCCCCCCGGGTTCCCCAGTTAGGCCAACCCGCCCCGCCCCCGCCCCCTCCCCCTCCCGCCCCCTGCGTGTTATTAGTGCCTCCGAATGCGCTCACTGCATGAGTCGGGATATGGGATTGGGATTCGTTGTTTCACTTATATAATTCTCCTCCCCCGCCCGCCACTCACTGGCCGCAATGATGCTCTGCAGTACCTCATGCAGCGCCCGCCGCTCGGAACTGCTCTCGGGCGGCGGGAAGAGCTGCAGCGCACGCAGGCAGCGAGCCTGGGGGCATGAGGGGGGAGCAGGGGGGATTGATAGGGTTGCAAATATCATGTTCTGCATTAGGCTGGATAGTTGGGTTAGCGTAAAATCGGGGAAAGGGGGGCAGGCGGCCCCACGTCGACACCCAACCCTGCCGAGCTCTCCCCACACAGCACACCCCCACACCTCCACACAGGCGGCCAGGGTTCCTAACACCCCCACACCTCCACACAGGCGGCCAGGGTTCCTAACACCCCCACACCTCCACACAGGCGGCCAGGGTTCCTAACACCCCCACACCTCCACACAGGCGGCCAGGGTTCCTAACACCCCCACACCACCACACAGGCGGCCAGGGTTCCTAACACCCCCACACCTCCACACAGGCGGCCAGGGTTCCTAACACCCCCACACCACCACACAGGCGGCCAGGGTTCCTAACACCCCCACACCTGCAGCCAGGGCGAGGGGATGCCGTAGTAGAGGTACTCGGGCGGGATGCGCTCGCGCTCTCGCACCAGCCGCTCCAGGACCTTGATGACGCGGCCCTGGCAGGTCTCGTAGCCGCCTGGTAGGAGGGGGTGGCAAAATGCGTTGGCGTGAATGATCTGGGGCGACTCGAGGAAGGGCTCCCACACCACGCCAACCCTGTCTTGTCCTTTTCCCCAACAGCCGCTCCTTTCCGCCCCCCGCCCCAACACAGCCTTGTCCCCGCCTCCCAGCCCACCATGAGTCGGGATACGGGAAAGAGATACCTTTGCATCACTTTTCATTCAACTTTCCCCCCTCCCCGTCCCCCATTCACTCGTCCCCGATCCGCCCCCACTCACTCCTTCCGCCCCACCGCTCACCCGCGGGTTCAGTTTACCTACCGCTAATCTCCCCACCCACTCCTTCCCTCTCTCCGCCCCCGTCCCCCACTCACTCGTCCCCGAGCGCTGCACCAGTCCGTGCAGCAGCGTCACGGAGCACAGCAGCAGCCCCAGGTCGCGCTCCTCCAGCAGCGCACCCATGGCGGGGCTGAAGGTGTCCGCGGACACCACCAGCGGCGCGTCCGGCGGCGTCTTGCGCAGCAGCCGCAGCAGGCACAGGCAGGCGCGCTTCTTGATGAGCGGCCGGGCGGAGCCGCTGGTCTGGGGGGGGGAATTGTGCAACATAGATAAGTGCAACAACACAGTCCCAATCCCAAATCCCGACTCATGCAGAGAGCGCTTTCTGGGGGGGGTGGGGGTGGCAGGGGGTGACTGACTGAGGGGAGATAGGGTTGGGCGGCAAAGGCAGGTTGGTGGAGGGGCTCACTGGTTGGGTTGGACATGTGAGTACACTAATGTGAGTAGGCAGTGAGAAGGGGTGCTGGGTCCCCCGCGGAAAAGCCGCTGGCCATGCCGCCATGTGGAGGCCTTTGGCGCTCCCAATGCCCGGTGCTGGGCTGGCACGTTTGTCCGTTGCCATGTCATGGGGGGAAAGACGCATGCATGAAGTCATGCACGCTGCCCTAGGGTGGGGGGTGAGGTGACCCGCAGCACGACACGGCGACCCACCAGCAGCTTCAGAACGTCCAGCGTGAGCTCCTCCGCCATCTCCTGGCCTCCGACTGCGGGTGGAGGGGATGGTGGGGGTGGAGGGAATGGTGGGGGGAAGCACCAACCCATGCACAGTCATGACCGCAAAACAAAGCCGTCACGGCGTGATCCAAGCAATTGATGAGGTGCGGCAGCTGTAGGCGTGTCCAAGCAGACCTGAACTGGTCGGCAACACGGGCTGATCCAAACCCCTACTCGACCACCCATCTCACTGTTTCCCACAAAGCTGAGCGCCAGTGCCTGGAAAGCTTCGTTGCGGCTGGTCAGGTCCATGTGGATGGCATTGATGGCGAGACGTAAGAATTCGTCGTTCTGCAAAGCAAGATTTTGCAAACCCATATGATCGCCGTCCATGGATAAGTGCTAGGTAAGTAAGCAAGCCCCATGCGTGGTGTGGCAGGTGTGCAGTCGCAAGAAACCCTGTGTTAGTACCTCCTGGAGTAGGAGCGAACAGGCCATGTACCCGACTTGTTTGTCGGAGTACTTGGGCATGGGAATTAGATCGCAGGCCTGTTTGTGTCCGAAGTCAATGTCAAAGCCCAGCATATAGATGTAGAGGAGCTTCCAGATGTACTTCCGCCGATCATAGCCTGTATAGTAGTTATGTACTCAGCCAAAGTGTAGTGACAAGAGCGCAACAGAGCTATGTTGCAGGCCTCACCAGATAGCGCCTTGTCTTCGCCAAACTTCGCCCTGATCTTTGCCAACTCCTTTTCGACGCGACGCTGCTCTTGCTCTTTGTTCTGGCATGCTCTGATGTCCGATATGAACACCTGGACAGGCCAGGACCGTCTCAGTGAGACCGATCGCCACTAACTTCCCGTCAACGCGACACAGTAAATGTCGTGTATCCCTAATACCTGGAGACCTCGCATGTACGCAGTCTTAGACATGGTGCCTGTGTCCTGACGGGCTTTCGCCCGCGTCGATTAAGGGAGCTGCTAGGACACTGACGTTGTGGTCAGCCAGAACAATATCCAAAGTGGCCCTCTATTGAACGACTGCAGTTCATGAACGTAGCCAAACATCTGGTGGTTAACTGGACAGGTAAATGAGGACTACGCCGTACACGTAGTACAGCAATCGTTTGCCCTTCTCTTTTGTAAGTTGTAAACGTGCCAGTTCGTGTACTTTTCACAAGAGCGTTTCTTATCAGAAGTCGATTTCGGGGGGGGGGAGAAATCAGAGCCTATATTCAGCTGTCTACCCTGTCTTCTATGTTGGGCCAGTCGCTTGCGGTGGGCAGTCCTTCATTCCTCCCCTGGGCACCTTGCATGCGTGCCTTACATGCCAGGTATGACAGCACATAAGCCCCAAGGTGACCCAGTTCATGCATATTGGCAACGACCTTCAAGTGTTCACAGACTTGCCAACCACCTGACCCCCCTGCAACCCGGGGAAAATGAGCCGCTCAGATGGACAGACGGGACGAACGTTCCGACCCCAGCAGATTTGGTTCAAAGAGCCCCGAGAGTGATGGGCTGGGCTGCCAGCGAACACCGAAAGGTGTAACACACAGTTCAAGCATTCTCACGTACCCCATGAACCCGCCAGCCCACTTCGCCTAACCTCCGCATCTGGAGGTCATATTTTTTGTCAGCGACCCGTAATGAGCTGATCGTACCCTTTTGAGCTAAGATGGGCTGTTGCGAAAGCGCACTAGCGCGACAGGCGACAAGCGTATCGTATCCGGCCCCTGGGTCAGCGAACAGACTCCTAACAGCAGGGAACATGGCCTCCGTCGACACACTATCCGCAGCTACAAGTAAATGTACTCGGAATATTCAATACCAGGCGCTGGGTTGGAACCTTGCAAACCTGGATGTCAACTCGTGTGCTTCCTACGACAAGCCTTGTAATCCAGCCCAACCGGATAGCTTATTGAATGCATGGCCCGTGCTGTACGGTTCCTGCGGCTATGTCTGTATCGTGATAATACCCTATGGCGTACTGCATTGTCATCCTCTAGTCGAAGGAAATGAACCGGGAATACCAACTTTAAGGCTTGCAAATTGCCATGGAAACAGTATGGGACATCCGTGTTTGCAACACCCTAAGTTGCTCTTTATCGGCCTGTGTACGACAAACGCGCGAGTTGCGCTTCGCCTGGTATTACGATTGCCTAGCAAAACATTGATATGGACGTACGTCTTCACAATATTCCTATGGCACAGGAATTCTTTATCTTGGGCTTCCAAAGTACTTCAGCCTCAGGTCTAAGGCGAACTCCTTACCTTCGTGCTTCATGTCATCACTAGAGAATTCGCATGGCTTCATCAGTACCGGAAAGGCGGTGCGCCACGCGTTAGGTAGCCAGGGCGACGGTAGCTAATGTCGAGCCCCGACAAGTCCGCGGCGCTTGCGCGTTTGCTCAGCCGCAATACTACCAAGAGTTCTAAGCGTCGAGATGAAACTCGATCGGACAAGCCGGGGGAGCGTAGGAAGAGCTTCCAGTTTGCGTCGACGACGGATGGGCAGGCCCTAAATCGCATACGAGAGGGGCTCAACTGGTCCTCCGATGTGGAGGGCAGCTCCTCCAGTCGGAGCCGGCCCTGGAGTGCAGCAGCCTTCGTCCATGCCTTACACCCTGTCGCCAGCTTTACCCCCTTCAGATATGGCAAGCTTTCAGACCTCGACATGCACATCGCGGGTGCAATCGAGGTGCGGCTGCGTGCCTTAGCGCTCCGGAGTCGGGCATGAGGCCAACACCTCCTGCCATGGGGCCCCCCTGGGCTCCGCTGACAACTCCTTATGCTGCAGCTGCTCGGGTTGTGACTGTGGCGGCAGCGTGTCGCATTCAGTACACTGCATGTTCCTGCTGCGCAGCCATGCTGTCGACGTGCAGTCCATGCAGCATGGCACATCACTCCATGTTGGTCCATGTCACCCGCCCACATGCATCGCATACCCCATACGTAGCACTGAGGTTTGCCACATACGAGACACGCCGCCTGTACTGCTTTGCTGTTGATGCTACTGCTCTTCGCACCCTCGCAGCGCCGCGACACGCATCGCGACTTGCTGGCGGAAACCATGGAGCGTATGGCCAAGGTGGGTGGTGGGACAACGAACATGATGGGACGACACCCAGGACCTCCAGATGTTGGAAAACGTCCACGCACTGGGCTCACGTAACAGCAGGACGGGCGGGCGGGCGAGGTTGCATGAAGCTTAGAATGCATGGTTTCCCTCTTCCGCGGTTCCCGACGCCGCCGCCTCCCCCGGTCCTACCTGCCTTCCATGTGTAACCCGCAGCACAACGCGCGGCTCAAGATGGAGGCGCAGCGGCTGCGACTGGAGTCGCAGGACCGGGCGGCGCGGACCATCCAGGTCAGCTGAGAGGGGGGGGCAGGGGGAGCCCATGGGAGGGGGGTTCCGCGGGGGCGCTCCTGCCCGCTTGTTACTACCTACCCACCCGTAACGAACTAAGTGCAGGCGGTGCTTGGGAGCTGGGTTGTTAGGTCTGGGGTTCGCTGGTTTGGGTTTCCTGATGTGGGTTTCCTTATCTGGGTTTTGCGACCTGGGTTTCCGCAGATCTACTGGCGCCTGTACCGCGAGCGGCTGATTGAGCAGCGCAAGGAGGAGCGGCGCAAGCGGAGCACCTGGATGGAGAGCGTCCGGCGCAGGCCGCTGCGGGAGGGCTCCGACTCCTCTGAGGACTGGGAAGACGAGGAGGAGGAGGAGGAGGGCGGAGAAGGCGGCGAGGGGAGGGGCGGCAAGAGCGGCAAGGGCCGCAAGAAGGGCTCAGGTAGGTAAAGAGGAAACAACTAGCTGGCCGTGTGATAAGGTGGGATCTGGGGGGAGCGGGTGTGTGCTGGGGAAGTGCAATGGGGGAAGGTGCAGTGGGGGCTGCCGCGTGATGGGTTACTCCTTACAGCTCCCCACCCATGGCATGGGCACTTACCCAGGAACGGCCTTGGCAGCGCTTCGTGACTTCCCTTATGACACATGCCACACACCCTTCCTCGTTTCCACCGTAGGCAACGACGACAAGAAGAAGCATCGCAAAAAAGCGAAGAAAAAGGCCGAGAGCAATGCCGCCAGCGACCCTCGAAAAGCCAGACCCAGGCGCAAGAGCAAGCGCAAGGGCGCCGGCCCGGCTGGGGTCGCAGGAGAGGGCGGTGCGGGTGAGGGCAACGGCGCGGACCAGCTGGATGAGGGGGAGCGGGAGCTGGAGGAGCAGGAGCTGCAGTGGCAGCGCATTAAGGCGCGGGTGCTGCGGGAAAGCGAAATCGCGGAGATGAGGGCTCGAGGGCGCGGTGGCGAACAACGGATCGGGAGTACGGGGACGTTGGAGACCCTGGACGAGAGCTTTGTGGAGGAAGGGGAGGAGTGGCCGGATGCGGAGGGGGACTGGGGAGATGGGGAGTATGAGGAGGATGAGGATGGGTACTATGACGGGGAGGGCAGCTACTATAGCGATGAGGAGGAAGGGGAGGATGGGTATGGGGACGAGGATGAGGAGGGAGGGCGCGGGGAGGGCGCGGGTGGGATGGAAGGGGGTGATGAGCAAGGGGAGGGTGACCAGGAGGGAAGCGCCACCCTGGAGCAGGACGGCGAGGGCGAGGAGGGCGGGGGGGGCCCTGAAGCAGCTGGCGAAGCTGCGGACGACGAGGTAGCCTGTGATGGCGACTGGGAGGGGGAAGGCGACGGGGAAGGAGACGAGGAGGGTGCTGGGGGATCCCCGGGCGAGGCGGGAGGCGACCGTGACGGCGGCTGGGCGGCTGGCGATGAAGCCGCGGGGCCAAGCGGCGCTGGAGGCTCCCAACAAGGGGCGGCCGCGGGCTCGGGTCGCTCCTCCAGAAACAGCGTTGCCAGAAACAGCGTTGCCAGGAGCAGTGTTGCCAGGAGCAGTGTTGCCCTAGCAGGACATGGCGGCGGCATGCGGGATGGCGGCGGCGACGGGGTGGAAGACGGCAGCGGTGACGGCCTCGGCGGCGCAGACGGCGCAGACGACGGCGGCGGCGGCGCAGAGGGGCTGGTGGAGGGCAGGGAGATGTGGATCACGGCGGGGGCCAGTCCCCAAAGGCTCCTGGCGCAGCGTATGCTGTCGCCGGAGGGCCTCCTGCCGAACGCCAGTGGAGGAGTCAATGTGACCCATGGGTCGCCTTGGAACCCAGGCAGGCAGGAGGACGTGGTGGCTGCTGCTGCGGCAGCGGCGGCGATGGGCGGGTCCGCTGGCGGGTCCCCGGTATTGCCTTTCTCGTCCTCCGGGGCGGCGGGTGTCTTCAGTGTCGGACAGGCCGACGGTTCGGCGGAGCTGGGGGCGGCGGCGTACCTGATGCCCTCCTATACTGCGCGCGGCAGGTGGGTCCTGTGTGGGGGTCGGCATGTCGGTGGGCGGGACATGCGGAGGAAGCATCCGACCATGCGACAGGTCCTGAAAGGGACCTGAAGCGCTGGTTAGTAAGTGCCAGGGCGCACACGCATGCCCCATAACGTGTTAGGGACTGAGCTTACAACTGGGCTACCAGGGTGTAGCAGTGCCCCCACGCGGCGGTAACCACCTTCCCACCTGGCCCCTACGTCCCCTAGCTGACCACACGCACACATAGCCGCCAGTGCTCATTAAACACGTAGCCGGCAATCACAGCACGTTCCAGCTTGCGGCCAGTTTTCTTAACACACGCGTGTCCTGATCACCGCCTTGCCCGCCCCGACCCGCAGGATGTCCATCCGCGCCCGCGACAGCTACGCCCTCGCTGCAGCCACCGCTCGCGCCAAGCGCGGCTCCCCCACAGCAGGCCCCCCCGGCTTTCCCGCCCTCACCGCCGGCTCGCACGCGCTCCTGCCCATGCAGTCCGACGCGCGCAACATCGCCTCCCGCCTGCGCGTCTTCGACCCCCTCACTCGCCGCTACGGCGGCACGGACAGCGGCTACACCAGCAGCGGTGCTGCTGGCCCCTGGGTCGGCAGCGCTGGGTTGCCTCCGTCTTCGTCACCCTCGCAGCCCTGCAGCCCCCGGAGAGCCTACCGCATGCTGTTCATGCGGGAGCGGAAGTACCTGGACGAGGCGTTATGGCGGGAGCCGCCCGTACGTCGCGCCCGGTCGTACGAATCGCTACAGCGACATGATGGCATGATGGCGGGGCAGTCGGGCATGGCAGCTGGGAGCAGCGGCGGCGGCAGAGGCGGCGGCGGCCTCACGACGCCGTACACCGCGCCTGCATGGAGCCAAATCGTTGGTGGCGAGGGCGACAGAGCTGGCGGAAGAGGAGGAGGAGGGGCTGGGGATGGCGGGGAGGATGTGGCGCTGGCGTTGCGCTCGCCGCGGTTCAACAGCCCGTGCATCACAGGCACGGGAGATGGGGCGGCGCCGAGTAGCGTTGCCACCACGACACCACCTCCAACGGCAGGGGCTGCGGCGGGGGGGGCGGGACCTAGCGTGGCGTTTTCCCTAGATCCCGGGGAAACCGCGGCAGGAGCGGCAGCAGCAGCAGGGGCGCGCGGCAGGCGGGGCCACTCCACCAGCGGGCTGCCAGCCGCCGCCAAGCCCCAGTACGGCAGTCCAAATCGCCGCGATGGGGCATTTGATGGGGCGTTCGGGCACTTTAGCAGCACATGCGATGGCAACATCGGCACCACCAGCCACCCTGCGGGTTCCGCATCACCCCTGATACTTCGCAGCCGGTCGGGTCGCCGCCGCGCCTCCATCTACGTGGTTGAGCTGCCAGAGGACGCAGCGGCGCCGGTGCAAGCGCTGTGCTGCTTGAGCCGAACCACCTCTCCCGTGCTGGGCATTGATGGGCGGCTGCATGTCACGCAAATGCACTGGCGGGGCCAGCCGGAGGCGTGCATGGTGGTCACGCCGGCGCCCATTGGCGTGGCGGCGGCGCCCGCCTCGTCGCCATCTCCCACTCGGCCGCAGCGGCAGTCTCGGTCGCCGGGCGCGAGTGCGAGGCCCTCGGTCGCGGGGGTGCTAGGCGTGGGAGAGGCTGACGACATCAACGGTTACGGTGGGGGTGGGGGAGGTGTCGGCGGCGGCGGCGGCGGCGGTAACGCTCCGCATGGGGTGGATGTGTCCGGCTCCTGGGACCCGGCGCAACTGACAGCGGCGGCGGCGGCGGCGGCGGGGCAGCTGGCGGCGGAGGCGAGCTACATGTCGGTGCGGAGTGCGGGTAACGGCGGCTACTGCTTGCCGCAGATTGAGAGGTGGGTGCGGTGCGGCGGATTGCGGCGCATGGGGCTGGGCTGGGTGTTCCGGGGAGAAGGGGAAGGGGAGCCCTCCAGGGTGGTAGATCCCCAGGATGAGGGAAACATGGGTAGCTCCTTGGTGGCAGCGTTTGTCCTTGTCCTTGTCCTTGCCTTAACCCTCCCTGATTCTCCGCACGCGCTACCCCTCCCTCAGGAGTGCCCCCGCGCTGCTGCAAGGCGCCGCCACCTCCGCCTCCGCCGGCGCCCCCGCCCTGCCGTGGCGCTACCGAGTGGATGCGCTGCGGGAGGTGTTCAGCCAGGCGCAGCTGGAGCCGGCGCAGCTGCTGCGGCGGGCCCTGACGCCGCCGCGAGGGGTGCGGGGGCGGCCGCTGGCGACACCCGCCGCGGTTGCGGGGCGGTCTCGGGAGGCGTCGCAGTCACAGCAGGAGGGCACGGTGGGTGGGCGGGGATGGGTGCAACGCGGAGTGTTATGGCGCGTGTGCGTGGGAGGCGCGAAGTGCGGGCCACTGGAGTCTTCTGTTATTCGTCGCATGTTGCGATTCATCTCCAAAATACTCTCCAATAGGTTTTCTTTCTGGTCCCCCTTCTGTTTTCCTTCCTGATCCCTCTTCCTCCTAGTCTCCTCCTAGTCCGTATTCAGTTGTACGTGTGTGGGGGGTGCTGGTGCCGCAGGAGCTGTATCCCCGCACCAGCCTGGCGCAGCACCTTGCCTCGCTGCTAAACAACAACAATAACAACAGTAACAACAGCAACAGTAACAACAACAGCAACAGCAACCCCAGGACAGTATCCTCCTCCTCGACTCCGTACAAGTCCCAGCAACAACCGCAAGCCCACACCCACAACCACCGACACCTAAACCCCAACCGCCACCCACGCAGCCGCAGCGGCAGCCCTGCCCCAGCCGCTGACCTCTCCTTCCAGCCTCCGCTCATACCCCCGACCGCCCCTGCCCCCACCCCCAACACCACTCCCAACACCGGCAGCATGCAAACACCTCCCGACTCCGCGCCCTTTCCCCATCCCACGGCCACAACCCCCGGAGGCTCACGACGGCCGCACCCCACATCCAGCGGCGACGGATCCCACACACCCCCTGCTGCTGCACCTGTGTCGGCAGCAGCAGCTGTCGTACCTGCATGTCCAGGTCACCACGCCAGGGCACCGTCACGACACCCCATGAGAACGCCCGACGGGGCCCCCGCAGCAGCGTCCTCCTCCCCGCTTCGCTCCACGCCGCTGACCTCCTCCACCCCCTCGCGGTCCTCCACGCTGCTCAGCAGCTCCATTCCCTCGCCGCTGCTGCTGCGGGCGCTTCCGTCCTTTCCGTCGTCGCGTGCGGCGGCTTCCCCGCCTGCACCACAGCAGCAGCAAGGAGGAGGCGTGGCGCTGGCGACAGAGCCGCAGGAGCAGGGCGGTGTGGTGGTGGAGATAGCACGTCAGCTGGCATCGCGGCCCGCGTGTTCCGAGGAAGAGGCGCGCATGCGGGTTTCGGAGCAGCTGCTCCGGATGCATGGGGAGACCTCATCAGCGTCACGGGCATTAGAAGAGGGGCAAGAAGGGGCGATGGCCACGGTCATCGGCGAGTCAGCGGTCGCCTCTGGCAGCAGAAACCCTGCTTTGGACGGGGCGCCAGGGGAGGACACGACTGGGAGAGCAGCCCTGGCCAGCACCTCCGCTCCTCCGGTAATGGTGGGGGAAGGCTTTGCAACCGGGATACATGCTGCGGAGACAACCGCATCACAATCCCGGCTGATGCCGCACCCGGAGGGTTCTCGCGCTTCCCTCGTTGCAGCAAGTGCGAGCGCAGTGACCCCTGGGTCGTTCCAGGCATCCGTCAGCACGCCCGCGAGCCTGCCTGCGCTCATTGGAAGCGGCGCAGCCCCATGGGTCGCTTCACCCGAAGCCGGGCTCTCCGCGGCCTACTCGCGCCTCTGGCCCATCTCAGCAAGCGGCGAGACGAGCGGCGGCAGCGGGACAACGGTGCTGAGAACCGCTGCTGCGTCAACGGCCGCACTTGGCGGTCTAGGACGTCGTAGCTTTGGAGAAACGTCGTCCACCTCGCCTTCACATGCGGCCGCTGTTGCCCATGCGGCCGCAGCACACAGCGCTTGGGCGAGTCCGGGAAGCTCCCCCCCGACGAAAGGCGGTTTGGGGAGCGGCGAGCAGAACGGCGTTGTCAACGTACCGCGTGATCGTTTTATGTCGTACCCTGCGCCCTCTCCATACAACGGCAACAATGGCGGCGGGGGCAGACGCATGCAGCCTCCTCCTCCTCCTCAGCAGCAGCAGCAACAGCTGCAGCTGCAACACCACTCCCAATCCCAAGAGCAGTTCCCGCCGCAGCCCCCTAGCTACGCCGCTGCTCCACAGCACCACATCTCGCACAGCACCGCGCAGCAGCAGCCCTCACAACCTCAGCCGCAGTCACAGTCGCAGGTGTTGCCTAGAAAGGAAAGCTCCTACAGCTGTGATGCCCAGGCAGCTGCGGCATCTGGTGGTGGTGGAGGTGCAGCTGCGGGGGATGCAGGCGACAAGGGGCCGTCGGTGCAGCCCTCACGCCACGGGGCGCATGCAGGCAGGGGGGCAGCAGCGGCAGGGGCCGCCGTTGGGGCTGCCGGCGCTGGCTCTGGCGCTGGCTCTGGTGCCGGGGCTGGGGCTGCTGGCGCGGTGGGTGCTAGGACGAAAGCAGCATCCGGTGGGCCTGCTCTTACCAGGAGCTTGTCGTACGGTTACGGTCTAACAAGGCGACCGAACAAGGTGGGTGGCAGGCCTGGCGGTGGTGCGTGCGACGACGGCCTTGTGTGGCCTTGTCATCCCCTGTTGCCTTTTGTTTTATGAGCAGTTCTCTTTCCTGATTCCTGATTTAGTTCCTCTCCTTACGTCATGCTCTTTAGCATTGATTAGTGTAGTGCGCTCTAGCCAGCATGGTACGCATCTAGTGTAGTGCGCTCTAGCCAGCATGGTACGCATTCATTCTCTGCCTTCTCCCCTTCTTCTGCAACGCAACGCAACCCAGGAATATGAGCCGCCCGACACAGACTCGCTCGCTGAGGCTCTCCTGGCCCAGAGCACCTCCGGCCAGCTCCCCCTCTCTCCATGCGGCCGCATGGCTCCGGCAACCGACATGGGCGGTGTAAGCGGCGCTGACAAGGAGGGCGAGGATGCTCGCTCCTCCGCCTCTGCACCGGCGTCCCCCTCCGCCTGCAGCCCTGCTGCGGCTCCCAACTACACCTTCTGGGCTTCTGCACAGGCAACCGCACCTGCGCCCCGAAACCCTAGGACCCCCGCTGCTGCCGCCGCCCAATGCACCAGCCCGCAACCGCACCAACACCATAACCACCACCCGCAGCACCAGCACCAGCACCAGCAGCACATGGCTGCTGGCAGCAGCGGTCTACAGCGGCTTGCATCGCGCGGCGGACGGCACCCCCATCCACAGCACCCGCAGCACCCACAACAGCGGCAGGAGCAGCCGAGCCAGCAGCCGGCTAGCGGGGTGCAGGACCCCAAGTCCCATGCTGCCACGCTGGCCCGCGGCCGTGGCTACGTTGTGTCCCCTCACCACTTCATGTCGGTGGAACGAGCGGCGCTGTACGGAGATCTGATGGGTCATGCCGGCCCATGGCAGCAGCACAGGCGCTCCGGACAGGCTTCAGGTGCAGCCTTTGGTGGTGCTACCTCCGCCGAGGCGTCCGTGGAAGCGGTTGCTGCGGATCTAGCGGTGCCGCTGTCGCTTTCGCCCAAGCGACCGCACGCGTCCCAGTCTTCCCCGCCGCAGAATCCACAATCCCAGCAGCAGCTGCCGCAGTTGGCGCCATCCGCCCTCGCCTACGTAGCCGACGCTGCTGGCGGCGCGACGATGAATACCTCCCCGGATCAAGTCGCCGAGCAGGGCAGGGCATCAGGCGGTAGGTCGCGTGTACGTCGTGACACCTCAGCTGCCTGGAGCCAGCAACAGCAGCAGCAGCAGCCTCATTCTCGAAGCGGCATGCGAGTTAACACGGCAGAAGGAGCGGAGCCCGCATGGTCCTCTTCGGCTGTGGCTGTAGCGATGTCTGCAGGAGGGCTGCAAGACGGCACCGCTGGCCATGACCACGGCGGGGTCGGCCTGCCGCTGCCTGTGGTTACACCCCCGCCCACACTCTCCACGCGGCTAGTCGTACGGCGACCGGCACCCGTGCTACGGCTGCCAGTGGTGGCGGCGTCGCAAGCCGCGCAGCACCAGCAATTCGGCCCCGGCAGGGTCCACATGACCACTAGAGGCATCGCAGGCGGTTACATGGACGGGGGCAGCAGCGGCGGAGGCGGAGGAGGAGGAGGCGGGGATAGGTATATCGTGACCACTGCCAGCTACGATGGAGTTATTCAAGATCGGGAAATGTACGGCAGTGCTACAGCCCCGCCGGCGGCGTTTGCTGCTGCTGCGGCGGCTGCCGTACCACGGAGCTACACCCCTGAGCCGTACATCATGACCATGAGCATCGGCAGCAGCATCGTACCTTTGTACGACAGTGTGAGATCTCAACCGCCACCGCAACGAGATCCGTACTTATCGTTTCCATCGCATTTGCATCACCACAAGCAGTACAGGGCATCGGGACTGCCGCCGCCGCTGCCGCCACCGTCGCCGCCGCCTTTGCTTTCGCCCGAGGTCTCCAGGGCTTCGCTCGGGGCGGAGAGTTCCTCGGGTGGGGTTGCGGGCGCGGGGGCTGGCAGGACCGCTGCGGGCAGTAAGGCGGCGCTGCGGGAATGGCGAAGTTTGGAGCGATGGTGGCAGGCTAAAGGCTTGGATGGAGCTGCCGTGCAGTTTCACAAGCAATCCGTAAATCATAAGCGCACAGTGTATTTGTAGGGTTCACCATCGTACGCAGGGTGTGGTGTTGTTTGTTAATGGCTTTTGAAGGCACCGTTATTCATTTGTTATCGTCACAGTAATGCGCCTAGCGCTTGTAGTGTTAGATGCTGGCTTTGGTTTTAGACGCTGACGTAACATCGCGCGTGACAAGGATGGGAGTGTCTGATGACCGTACCGTAGTGGGTTGCAAGGGGGACTGCTGAGCATTACAATGGTTTACAGCGTGCGTGCGTGCGTGCGGCGGCATTCATCGAATAGTAATTGGTAAATCAGGACATGTATGCACATGGGATGGGCACTTTCCTCTAGCATCGGCTGGGGTGCACGTGTGGTATCCAGTGGACCTGAGCAAACCAAGATGCATGACACATGGCACCACAAAGGGGCTGCGCTGTTGACCTTGCAAGCGTCGCAGCGCTAGCGCGGCTTTGGCTGTGCCGTGAAACCGAGAGCATGGGTGCATGACCGCACGGTGGTTATAATGTCACGCAGAGTAATATGCAGCGATGTATCATGGAGCGATGAGTGGTGATTGTGCAGAATGTAGTTAGAACGTCTTAAGAGGGGAGGGTGGCAGGTGAGGCGCATTGTTCGGTGCTGCTGAGGTGTGTAGCAGGGCCGGCTGACGCGTTTAGTAAAGCCATACCCGTAAGACGGCTTGTCAAGGCCTGTCCGTGGTTACCGTATCTACGTGATAAGCACTTTGGCTGCAGCTTTGCTATTCATCTTGCTCTCTCGCCTCAACAGCAGCTGGAGATTTAGCCTGAACTTGGCGCATTTGGTTCTCTGCTGTCCATGCCGTCACTGAACGTTAGCTCGTTCATCGTAAGCCGCCGCTGGTGGTTATATGTGTCTGGTTTCTGGTCTAGGATGATGCCTGCATGTAGCGCGTTGCGTCCCGCTGGCAGTGCCTACGTGGACCAGCTGAGGAGTCAGCTGAAGTAACACGGGGTGATGTTGTGGTGTTACGGTAGATGCGGGACGGGAACCACGGTTGAGCCCTGGCTTCGTCACACCGGCTTGCGAACACACTGCAGGGGTATCTGATAATCTGAAGCACACTGCTGTCGTTCGCAGCACGTGTGAGACGAATCTCCGTCACTTACATTGTTGCCAGGGTGTGGCTGCGTCGTCCCACCCGGACACCCGGGGTGTGCCCCAGGGGGTGGGATTGATGTACTACGGGGCCACTGCTAGGTCGACTGCAAGCTTAGCGCGTCGCAGAAGACTCTCACGCATATCCGTCTGCCGCGCTCAGGTCCTCAACCGCCCACCATAGCCAGCCACCCAGGCGTCCCTGCGTTCCATACAGGCCCTCCATGACGCCAGAGGACTCCTCCGCGCAGCTACCCAGACACGCTCCAGACTCCTCCGCGCAGCTACCCAAACACGCAATACGGGCCGTAACTGAAAAGCCATGATGGCAGGCGGCGGGGCATCGCCATGCCTAACATCCCAGCAACCGCTCAATGCGCTTCATGCAAAACACAACGGTGCGTGGGCCATTTAAATGCAACTTTCGCACATGTTTTTTCAACCTATACTCACATCAGTGGTCGGCAGATCTTCGCTAATACGTTAACTTAGATTCCTATCTGAGGGCTGTGACTCATCTCATTAGCGTATGTCAGTGTTACCCGATGCCTTTCCAGGCAGAAGGCCTTCCCGCACCCTTCATGGCTTCCCCTACCCGCTCTATGAACTGTGCCACCATCCTCCTCCAAACAGTCTTAACACAAACACCACAGCAACGCAACAGCCAAAACCTAGCAAGAAACACTTTATAACCACCAAGTGTCCCCTGTCTTTCGCCTGCCCTTTAGCTGGTCCCTTCCTAACCAACGGCAACAACGGATTGCCTCACCGCCACACAAACCAGGACCACACCCTACACCAGCTGCCCACCCATGGCCCAAAGCACAGACGCAGCATGCACACCCTACTGCCGTTCAGCAATGGCGTGCATGCACACGTCTTCTGCAGACCTCCCACAACGCACACCTCAAGTGCAAGAACAAGGGAATACCCGCTACACCCACATCCGCACCCATTCGTCCATCCCCTCCGCTCTGAAACCACACCACATCCCTCTCTGGGCGCCATCCCTTAGCACCCCCGTCATCCCGATTCGCCACAGGACGCTACAGCTTCGGTACAAAACTTGACGAAACCCGCAACACCCCTCATGCCATGGGCCTCCCTGCATTCGAGCTCTTGAGTGTGTTCGCCAGCCAGTCCAGCCCCTCATACAAACCCTCTCCGCGAGTCGCCACCGAGCTCTGCACGTGCCACTTGCGCGTGCGCATCTCCGGCAACCCGAGCGCCTCGCACACCTCGCGAGGTGTGAGGCAACCGCGCATGTCCTGCTTGTTGGCGAACACCAAGATGGCCGAGTGCAGCATGAGCGGGTCCTGCAGGATGGCCTGGAACTCCGCTGCAGCTTTGCCGATGCGCTCGCGGTCTTGGCTGTCAACCACGAAGATCAAGCCGTCCGTGTTGTTAAAGTAGTGTCGCCACAGCGGCCGCAGCTTTTCCTGGCCGCCCACGTCCCAAACCGTGAAGACCACGTTCTTGTACTGCACCTTTTCCACGTTGAAGCCTGGGTGGTGGTATGGGAGCAGGGGAGGAGAGGGATTGGGAGGAGAGGCGGGAGGAGGTGCTTGGAAGTGGGGGATTCTGAAACACTGTGTGTGCTGTGACTTTGGGTGTGAGTAAACGCAGGACGCCTGGCTTCGCACACAAACTCAACAGGCGAATAATGGGCCCAAGAATTCACAGGGGTAGTTCGTGTGTTAGCCAGCAGAGTGCTGTGGCTGCAAAGAGGGCCCCCCGCAGGATCGCCAAGAAGCATCTGCATCCCCTGCGAGGAGACCCTGTCTGCACACCTGGTGTAAGAAGTGCAAGTGTGCAATGAAGGGTGTGCCCAACCCTTGTAGACAGCTAGCAATGTGGTCGACGGCACAGAGGCTTAACCGTGTTCAGAAACAATAAGAAAACACCCACCTATAGTAGGTACCGTCGTCAGGACCTCGCCGATATGCAACTTATAAAGGATGGTTGTCTTGCCGGCAGCGTCAAGCCCGAGCATGACAACGCGCATTTCGCGGTTGCCAAACCATCTGTCAAAGAGCTTTGCAAACGTCTGCCCCATGTTCGGGCAGCGACGGTCGGGCCCAGCAGAAGCTGTGACGGTGTGTTCAGCTCGCGCCTATGCGCCTTCGAGGTATGGGACGAAGGCAGAAATGAACTGTGGATGAAGGCTTGTATGCTTTCAGGTGAACAGCTGGGCTAACGAGTCAGTCCGATATGCAGTTGTCGCCGGCGAAGGGTTTGCGAAGGACTAAAGGAATGTAAGACAGGGTGATCATGCAAATAGTGCTAAACAAGAGCGCTATACTGTTACCCCTGATCGGCGCTATCTTATGATGGTGATGGTTCCAAAGGCCCCATGAATTGCACTTCATCAGCCGCATCCGCACCTCTCCCAGCCCATTCGTAAGCAATTTAACTTTGTATATAGAAGTTGTTAAACGGTTGCCACATATGGCGAACGAGCTCTCTGAGCCAAACGGCCCTTCTTATGTGCGACAGCTCGCTAAGCGCTGAAGTGATCTGCCCACCGATTTTACAAAACGTTGCAATGTTATAGTAGAAACGCTTTGAAACAATACTACGTAGGCTGCCGAGCTAGAGGGCCTCACAGGTTGAAGGATGTCTGCACCGGGCGCTCACGGTGCCGATGGCCGTGGCCCTGGGCTTGATATTCTGGATGAAGTCGCAGCAGCGCAGCAGTATGTCCTTGACTTACAGGTGTGGCGTTCTTTGAGCTTTCGGCTGGTGTGAAGTTTCAAAGGGTTAAGCCCTTGCAACCAGTCTCCCAAATACGTGACACGCTGGCAACAGGTTCTCTTCTATTCTCTGAAGACTGTTGCAGCCAACTCTCGCAAGGACGCTGCCCTAGCGGTAAGTCCCCGTCGTATCCTCTCATATTCGACTACCCAACTCGTTGCCTTGTTTGGGGTGTCCCCACCCTCAGTTAAGCTTCATCAGGCTGTTGTCGGTGGTTAGGGATTTGGGTCAGCCGGGGATTGCCGTAAGTAGCCTGGTGTGGAGGCCGTTAGGCGAGTCGGCCCGGCAAACCTTACATGCGCAGGGTGCCGAGGCTGGTACAAACGCTTCAGCTGTTGGCGACAGCAGCGGAAAGGATGCCCGGCGGCGTTCGATTGGTACCTCCACGCCTCCGGAGTCCAACTCTGCGGACGCAACCGCTGTCTTACAACAGCAAATTGACACATTAATACGGCAGCTCGAGGTGGAGCGGGTGGAGAGGGCGCGGGTGCAAGAGCAGTACGATCAGGCAGCTGCCATGCTAAGGTAGACGTGAACTCATGTGGATTAGTGACTTACCGGCCACACGCCAATCCTGGTCCCTGTTTCTTTCCCTTGATGCGCTGCCTCGCACCGAGAGCTGAACCCCAGTTAAACCTTGAGTCATGGGCCATCATGGCTTTCCGTACTAGGGTTTGTAAGGGCATGTACGACCCCTGTTCTTCGGGATCTACGCAGAAAGTCGTACGGCCAGATCGTGGATGACTACCTGTTCGCTACGGCGCAGCTGCATGCGCGAACCAAGCAGCTAGAGGCCCTCATCGCAGCCACGGCACCCGCTGCAGCAGCTGCTGCTGCTCCCGAGGACGATGAGGATGTCGCGCCTGAAGCAGCAGCAGCAGCACCGCCTGGGGAGCCCCTGGGGAGCCGCGTTCCCAAGCCAGCCCACGCCTACCAGGCAGCGGCAGGAGAACAGCCGTGGATGCGGGGCGCTACTGCAAGCGGGCGGGCGGGCACGGAGGCAGCAGCAGCTCCGCAGCAGCAGCACGTGGAGCGACGGCATGTGGAGGACGCTGGCAGCGCTCCGGCCGCCCACGGTGTGGCTGCCCCGGCAAACGCTCCAGCGGTTCCGGAGTCGGATCTTAGCCGGCGTTTCGAGTCGGCTGGGAACAGCGACAGCCGCAGAACAACGGCCAGCAGCGGAGCCGGCGCTGCTGCTGTCCCTCGGAACGGCAGTGTCACTGGCGGCTCTTCCAGGCTGCACCCTCGCGGTAGCTACGGCTGTGCCGCTCCTCCTGACGGATTGGAACAGCAACACGTCAGCGACGGTTTCGCTGCCTCAGCGCAGGGTGCTGTCCGTCAGGGCCGGGAGCAGCCCCTGCGAGCCCAGCGCTCTGTAACGAGCGAAGGCGTTGGGCTGGGTGCGCCCCAAAGCGCTGCTGCTGGTGCTGCTGCTGGTGCTGCTGCTGCCGGGCCACAGGGCGCGGCTTCGGGCTCCCGCTCACGGCAGGGGTCAAGCGGTGGCGGGGCAGGGTTGGGGGCTCGGATGGCAGGTTCGGGCACACGAGGCGTGCCGGAGCCTGCGGCTGCACGAACTCGGGACCTCCCGTCGTCGCTGCACCACACGCGAGGGGACGACAGCGGCCTGGATGCCAACTCCTACTCAGCGGCGGCAGCCGCGGCAGGTCATGCGCAGCTGGGCGGCCCCTCCGCGGCGCCGGTCATGTCGGCCCGGCGGATGAGCGCGACGCAGTGGGCTGTGGATTCGCCCCCGGCACGCGCACCCAACAGGTAACAGCGGGGGAGGTTGCATACCGGTGGCTAGGAGTCTTAACAAGATGGCTGTTGCAGCTTCCTGGATGGGGCATATCAATGACTGTTGGAAAGCCTGGGAGTAATGAGGCTGCTTAGGAATGGACCCACAGAGACTTCTTTCCGGCAAACCGTTGCTAATACCGTACCTTCTCCTAAACCACCGCCTTCCCCTTGTGAACCCCAGGACGGCCGATGATGAGAATGAAGCAAACGCAGATTCAGGCCTGGCACGGTCTACGGTCCGAAGCCCAGCGCCGGTGGGTACCAGCCCAGGCACATCATCCACCTCCAGATCCGTCAGCGGTGCCTCCTCACCTCCGCCGCATGTCGACTCGCCCTTCACTTCGTCAGCACCCGCTGCGCGCGTCTCGGCCAGCAGCGACGCACCGCAATGGGCTGCGGACAAGCCGAGTGGCTTCCATGCTCGCTTGTCCAGCGATGCGAACCCATCCAGCACCTCGGCCGTAGCGGAGCGGCTCATGGGCGCGGCTCAAGCTGCAGCGGCCGCGGCAGCAGCCGCAGCAGCGCACAGTGCGCAGGCGGCCGCCAGGGCGGCGGCGGCGAAGGCGGCCGCAGCGGCAGCGGGGCCGCCGACAGGAGGCCGCTGGGCAACCGCTGCAGCGGCACACGAGCCGCAGCAGCACAGGAGCAGCCAGGGAGGTGCAGATGGCGGGAGCTTTAATATCGCAGGGGCTTCAGCGCCGCTCAAACAGCGAGGAGCCAGCCGACCGGAGGAGGTGCCGGTCGGCTCTACGGGCCCGGCAGCAGGGGAGAACCGTGTTGGAGGCAACCGTGGCAAGGAGGTGACGTCCAACGGTGGCGCCGACAGCCCAACCACTGTCCCGCAAGACGTGGACCGCCGACGCCGCACCGAGCGTCTGCGGCGTTCATCTAGCAGTCCGCTAGAACACCACCACAGCCCGCTGCAAACATCTAATGCTACTTCTACTTCTACTGCCATACCCGCATTAGATATCGGGCAGCTGCATGCCTCAGCAGTTGCTTCCGGAGCAGCCACAGCCCGCGGTATGTTCTCATCCCGCACTTCGGCCTCTGGCGCAGCGCCAAGCCGGCCCTTCCCCCCGGCGGACCCTCCCGCGATGTTGTCCGCTCGGGGGGCCGGCCTGGGCACAGAGCACCATATGACTGTCGGTGGGATTGGAGGAGGAGCGGGCGCGCGCGGTCGAAGCCTTCGTTACGTTCACTCGGTCCCGGAGACGGCCCTAGACGCAGACCTTCAAGTGTCCGCGGCGCAGCCTTCCGATCCGGCTACCGACGTTGATGCTGCGGGTGGCCATGCTGTATCCGCTGAGCCCTCTGGCATGCAGCCGATGCAGGGCAGGGCTCGCGATGGGGCGCTAGGTGGCGGTACGACAACCGGGGCCGGTGATAGTACGACAGCGGCAGGCGCCAGTATGGCAGCATCGGCGGCAGCAACCGCCATGTCGTACACCTTTGGACAGCATGCAATCCCGTCCATTGACGTCGACGCGTTGCTACGCGCTGCCAGGGCGCGGTTGAATGTGCAGGAGGCGGCTGCGCATGGCGCCAGTAGCCGCAGCGGATTGGGTGATGATGACAGGAGTCCCCACTTCGGCATCGCTCGTCGTGGCGTGAGTGGTAGCCAGAGTGGTGGCAGTGCCGGCTTGAGAGGCGTGGGAAGTGGTGCGGCTTATGATGACGGGTTTACGGTAGATGCGGCCTCAGCAACCCCGGCGCGTTGCTTCACAGGCTCTCCGGCATCAAATGACGCCGCCGTGACGCCTGGAAGCCGTGTCTACACGCCATTCGGCGAGGCAACAGCTGCTGCCACCACCACCCCTGGCGGAGGTGGTTACAGCAGCGAGCACTTGAGCACCAACTGCTCCTCTTCCTCCTCTCTAGAGGGTCTAGCCTCCCTGGTGCATGGGCTGCGGCAGCGGCTTGCCGACATGCAGCACAGCTTGCCGCTAGGTGACGATGAAGTCGACGGCGAGGAGGAGGAGGAGCAGGAGGACGATGACGATGACGATGATGGCAGCGGCTGGCACACGGATGACGGTGCGGCGGATGATGTACGCAGCGCGGAGAGAGGGCTGTCTGAAGAACTCGAGGGCGAGGATGAGGAGGGCCGTGACGGGGGTGTGGATGACGTCATGCAGTTGCTGGACTCCCTGCTGGCTGGCAACAGGGCTAGGAGCGGTTGCAGCGCTGGGGCAGCGGATGCGGGCGCTGCGGGCGGTCGAGGTGTGCCAGATGCGGCTGAACGGCAGTACTGCAGCATTGCTAATGCTGGTGGTACTGGTACTGGGTCACGAGGAGCGCGCGCTGGGGGCGGTGACGGCGAGTTTCCCGGGTACAGCCAACACTGGTACGAGAACGCCAGTAGCAGCAGCGCCGCCGACAGTCCCGGACCGGAGATTGCTGGTGGTGGCGGTGGAGTTGCAGGCGCTGCTTCTAGCAGTGACGCAGGCGTCGGTCATAACAATGGCTACCAAAGCAGGGCCTACCACATGTACTACGGGGCTGCAGGGTCGGCGGGAGCTGCCGGCAGTGCAGGGCGCTTTGCGGATGTGGGTGCGGCTCCTCAGCAGGGCGCCACCGGCCGACATGGAGCGGCGCCGGCGTTCGCTGACACGTCAGCAACAACAACCGCAGCCACGCTTCTCCCCCCGCCGTACAACAGCAGGGTCAAGCAGGGCAGCGACCACCGCGCTCAGCCCATTGGGGGCGCTACAGGCGCTTCCTCCGCCCCCTCAGGTGCCTCTGAAAAGCCCGCTGCATTTACTCGAGCCGTGCCGTTCGCTCCCGCGGCGACGGCGGAGGAATGGGGATCAGGCGCAAGCGGCGGATGGTCAGCTGGCATGCAACATGACCGAGCTGCGCCGCCCGACCAGACCAGCCCTCGTAGGGCATCATTCTTTGCGGCGGGGGGTGCCAACCTGCAGACCCAAAGCTCCAAGCCGCTACCAGACGGCTTCGCATCCACCGCTAACGGCCCCGGCGGGGGGGCCCATGCTGCAGAACCTGCTGGCACGCGGTGGCTGGGCGGTCGCAGTCACAGCAGTAGCAGCAGCGGCAATGGAGGGATTGGACCCACGGGTCTAGGCCGAACGGACTTTGCAGGCTCGGGCGCAGCGCAGCAGGGTGCTGCTGCAGCTGCTGCCGAGGTGGCTCCCTCAGGCTCCTCTAGCCTGCGCAGCCTGCGGAGTGAGGACATGTTTGCTCGCATCAAGCAGCAGCTTGACGACCTGCAAAACTCCTTTTCGCAGGGCCTAGGGCTCGGCGCTGCAAGCAGGGATACGGGCGGTACCGGTGCGGGCGGAGGCGGAGGCGGCGGAGGCCAGTGGTGCAATCTGGCTGGTGGTGGAAGTGCCGGTAGCGGGTCTGGCAGCGGAGGAGGCGGCCAAGGCTCGGAGCAGCAACATCAGCAGCGAGGCTGCTTTAGGGAGGCAGCCGGGCCTAGTCGGAGTGCTAGTGGAGGTGGAGGGGCCGGTGCTGGGTCGGGTAGTGGCGGCGCTGCAGGGGCAGGGAAAGGCGGCGACAGCGATGGGACATGGGGATGGTCGGAGTTCTCCTCGAGGGCTGGGTCGGATTTGGGGACCGGCACGGGGCCTGCTTCAGGTAGCGTTGGTGCTGGCGGTGCGTCGGGTGGTGGGGATGGGGGAAGCAGTGGTGTGGGTGTGGCGGACGGTGGGATGGGGAGCGGTTACGAGGCTCCCGGGAGCGAGCGATCGGGGTCGCGATGGCCTGCTGCAAGTGCTGCGTTAAAAGGGAAAGCGGCAACAGGGCAAGGAAATCGGATGTCAGGGTTAGCCTCCCAAACAAATGCAAAGCCACACGGCATTGTGTTGCTGGGTGAGGGCGAGATGTGAGAGGATGGAACAGATCGTGCCCGTACCCTTGCGCCGTACAATTGTACAATACATGAGGACCTCTGCAGTGCATATTAATGTAAAGCGTGTGCTTACGCTGGTAACGTTTTGTGCAAGGTGGTTTGCATGGAACTAAACAAAATGTGCAAACAAACTTCGTCATCATCGCTGCCTTGGCTGCCGGCCGCCGACCGGTGCATGCCAAATGTCTATCAAATATGGGGCACATGATGATGGAAAGCTGTAGAAAGCGCCTGCTGCTTCATTCTACATGGTGCTAACGTCGCTTTGGCGGCTGCCGCATAGCTGTCGCGACCGCCAAGGTGAGCGTTCTGGTAGACGAACATTAGCATGGCACATGGTGCGAACTCGACGTCTTGCTTAGTGTGGCGTTCAATGCGGTGCTTCGCTGGGACAGAAGGGACCTAGTGCCCGCCATTCTCTGATCCCGCATGCCGACCGTAACCTCTTTGGCTAGGATGCTACCTTTACATCGCGAGGCTATCCGCTGAGCGTATTGAAACGAAGACTAATAATTTCTGAGCCGAGTGACGGTCACGGTCGTAACGCACCTGCTAGCATGGGTTTCTCACGCCTGTCCTCTTCGCCGCACGCTACTCGCTAAGATAATGAGGCACCTCAACTACAGCACATTCATGCACTACATGATGATCGCCTGCGGCATAACCTTTCCCAGCTGCAACCGTTATATGACGTTCTGTTGTTGAGCTACGTCTGCCCCCCTCCGTGTGCAGAAGGTCACCATCCTCGGGAAATAATTTCCTGAGCAACCCGCGCCTTCCGCGCCTTCAAACTACGTTCAAAGGCGCCAACCACTTCCATGCGTGCCAAACGCCCTTGGAGGCGCTCGTCGACCCCAAAGACAAGGTCAGCAGCGTGATAGACGGGTGCATCATGCATGGCTTGATGTCACACTTAGATCCCACCTTCACGTTCACGCATGGTTTCCTGCACGCACGGGGAGAATACGCTTCGCTGGTTTGTCTTTCCGGCCTCGGCAAGGATGTAACCCTACATTCTTCGTGATGCCACCTGAGCGCTAAGAAAACGAAGACTAATAATTTCTGAGCCGTGACGAGAAGAACGACCACAGCTACGCATCTGAAGCGCATTGCCCCGGTGGTGTGCACGTTGCATGCGCGCAGTTCTTTCCAGGTCCTGACTCGGCTTGCCCGGTCTCCATTTCCCTCTTCACTGCGCAGGGTTGCTGCGTCAACGGGGTGCTGACCTGTGGGCACTGTCGAGCATCGGGTCACCCCGCCGCTCTTGCTGGTGTGGTGATGCTCCTGCACGACACCGATACTGCACGACACCGATACTGCACGACACAGTACGAAAATACGAGACACATACTCCACTTTGGGTTTGGGTGTCGTACAGGTCCCGTTGGCTACCGGTGTACGTGTGCCCGGGCCCGCTGTCAGTGGGTAGGGAAACTGCCTCGCTCTCGGCGCCAGTGGTGCAAATCAGGAGTCCTCGGGTCCGGGTTGGTCAGCCCAGCATTTCGCACCATGGCTCATAGGGCTATGCTGTTAAGGGGCTGACTGCCGTTGTCTGATTCCGTACCCAATGTTATTCTTTGCGGACGGGAGAGCCCCGTGTCGTTCGGGTTGATGTTGCTTTCGTGTAACGGTTTCGCAGATTTCGCGGATTTCCAAGCAGTTTGGTTACCAAGTCCTATGGTGGCATTGCGTATCTATTCTGGAAACGGAGATTGCAACGTATTGTGCGCTGACGTGTAATGATATGTGCCGAATCGGCGACAGACCCCATGCACAAATTTACACCGCAACCGCTGCTTAAAAGAAATTTACGTGCGACAACTCCGCCAAGCAAGGCATTCAGGGCAGCTGCCCAAAAGCCCGGAAACCTGCATGCAGCAATGCCCTTGTCCCAAAGTACCCAACTCCCAACCCGATCCACCAAGTCATCGAAATCATCACTCGCGTCCCCTAAACGTTTGGTGCTATATGCACCCGGACAACACCCTGTACATACATACACCTCCACAACATGAGCACCATGAATGTAATGCACAAATTAATCCCATGTGCCCTCGCAGCCGCAGCCACTGCGGCCAACCTGCGCGCTATGGCCGCGGCGGCGGCTGGCCCTGGAAAGCTATATGTACTAGGCACCCCTACGCATCCACCCCTGCTCGCTCTTGTTAGCGAAACCCCGATCACGCTGGCAATCCAAGGGCGGGAATGAGAAAGACGCGCGCACAGTGAGGCCCGCGTGTGCTGCGAAATGCCTCAGTGGCCCAACCTCCACAAACACCGATTGAGTTGTCAAGAGCCCTAACAGCGGCCCAACCAAACGTCCGGCAGGCGGCCCAGACGTTCACACGGTCATCAGTGCAGCATCCCAGCAGGACAGGACGTCCGTTGCACACCTCCTGAGCAGTTCTTTCATGGAAACTGTCGTGCTATGAATTAGCCATAAAACGCATCATACCACAGCCGCCCATAAGCAACCGTAAACCAATTGCAAGCACATTTGCAAACTGAAAAGGCCGTGAATCTGTCCGTAACATGCATGCCTTTCGACAGCTGTCGAGCACAAGTACGACCATAAAGTGACAGGCCGTTCACCGAAAACCGTTTTGTCGCGTGCAACTGCCTGTGCGGCAGCTTAAAAAGGTGGCTGCGGCTGCTACATCCACCAATCCATCCAGCGCTTTTTACCTCCTGCCGGCGGCTGTTGCAACCAGCCGCGCAGGATAAAGGGCCAATTCGGTGACTGGCTTGCGGTTCTTGCCGCGACCACCCGATGCAAAGTTATAACCAATGGCACGCACCAAGCCGCCACCTGCGGTTCAGAAAATGTGTCGGTACGGCCTCGGGAAGTGCGACAATTTTGGCGTACAATGTAATACACTGTGAATATACCTAGTACAACAAGTGTCACAATACTCATGCCGTACGACCGGAAAAGTCATAGTAACCAATCCAAGCGGTTTTGCACTGCAGGAGCTTACCCTTGGTGGCAAACTCGCGAACCACTCCCTGGTTGCTGCTGCCCTTGACCGAGAACACAGCGAACCCTGTGTTACACCTGCAAGTTAAGCCACGCATAGAATATTATATATTTAAAATGCCGGTATTCATGCGCCTGGACAAAACGTCGAGGACCATGCATTCCAAATCTTAAATTTGGAGGGAGGCAATTGATTACAACGCGCTGGCATTTCAGACTTCCGCAGTGGTCAGCCACGGCCCCAGGCCCCTCAATTTCCCCGCACCATGGTCCCTGTTTGCTTCCCCTACCTGACGTATTGGGTGAAATCCTGCGCTATCCAGCCGGTGGAGTTCATGTTGCCATTAACTGCGAGGAAACGCTTGATTGCCGTGCCCCGGGCCACCGGTCCCTGACGTCCATACACACACACGCACACGCACAGGGGAAACGCACGGGAGTTGGTTCATCAAACACAGGGGAGGAACACGGCGGGGGTTAACGCTGCTCGCACGACAGACGCAGCTGCAACATACACGCGTTGTTGTTATCTGGCGTGCACTCTACCCCGCTTAACACCCCAGCCCACTCTGATGTGCCAACCAACTCACCGTCCAGCACTGCAGGCCGCCGTTACCCGTGATGTTTGTGAGCAGGTCCGTGAGCAGGACGTCGTTCACCGCGGCCGTCGTGACCACACTCAGCACGGTGCTGCCGGAGCGTACCAACGTAATCAACAAGGCCATGGCCGACGCATCCATCTATTTGTATGGAGAGAGGAGCGATTGGTTAGGATTGGGTTGGGATTGAGGGTTAGGCTTCGGAGGAGGGGCTACAATGAAACCGAAATCACTCATATGATGGCATTAGGCAAGGTATTAGGTAAGGTTGGGGGCAGCGTTAGAAGCACCAAAACGTGGGTAAGGAAACAAAACAGGAAAGTACGGGTAAGGAAGGAGGACGAGAAGATGTGCGCAGCTAGCCAGAGTTGAGTTACAAATGAAGCGCACAGAACATTGCTGCAGCAACTAATGCGGTTTCCCCTCCACGGTAACCCCCATCGAACCCCGAAACGGACCCCAACGACCCACCTGAGCGAGGGTTGTGTCGTACGCCACATGCACTGGGACGCCGCCCAGGGGAATGGTGGAGCGCAGGATGGAGCGCCCGGCCGCCTGGACACCGTCCTGTGGTTTCGTGTGTGGGTTCGGGTTCGGGTTTGGGTTTGCGGAGAGGAAGAGGAAGAAGCGATGGCTGTGGGAACAGGCGTTGGGTAGGAGACGAGTTGCTTGGGGAATGTTTGGGACCGCCAATGGTAGATAGGCAGCAGTGTGAGTTGCGCGGTTGGTCCATGTCCTTGCTTTCCTTCCTAGCGTTTTCTATGCCTTTGCTTACCATGAACATGTCCTTCGTCCATTGGTCTTCGAGTTGTACAACGTCAGACAGAACGACAACGTGACGATCGGGAGGTGGCGGCGGGGGAATGGTGGGTGGCGGCGGGGGAGGAGGCGGCGGCGGTGGGGGGGGAGACGGCGGTGGCGGCGGCGGCCGGGGAGGAGAAGGCGGGGGAGATTTGGCAGGTGGTGGTGGTTTGGGTTTAGGAGGCGGGGACTTTGTTGGCGACGGCGGCGGTCGTGGAAGCGGTGGTGGGGGCGGTGGGATTCTTGGCGGTGGTGGGGGAGGTAGTTGGGGAGGTGGAGGGGGAGGAGAGGAGAGAGGCGAAGAGGGTGGCGGGGATTTGACCGGAGGTGGGGGAGACGGTGGAGGGGACTTGACCGGCGGTGGCGGGGACGGCGGCGGCGGGGACGGTGGTGGCGGGGACGGTGGCGGCGGGGACGGTGGCGGCGGGGATTTTGCAGGCGGTGGCGGGGACGGCGGTGGCGGTGGTGGCGGGGACGGTGGCGGTGGTGGCGGGGGGGACGGTGGCGGCCTGTGGGCGAGGAAACAGGAAAAAGCGCAACGGCTTTTAGCAATGCAATGTTACCCCAATACCCCAAGTATCACTGCCATGCCAAGGGAAGTGGGTTTCGCAACAGCTAGCAGTAAAGGTACACAGCTGACTTGTCCGCAGCTGCTGGAACCATTTCGGCTGCACAGCTACGTTGTCAGCATGCACGTACGATAATTACCGTAATGCACAACAGTTAAGCATATCAATGTTGTACAACACACACGTAGAGCAAAACCCACATGCGTGTGGCGGCGCTGTCGCCTCCCAACATGCTCTGCGGGTAGGTGACTGCGAGGGAGCAAGTGCCCAGGAGGCGATCTTCAGGAGGCACGCCGCTGGAGCCGGTCACACCCGTGAAGCCGTGGGAGGCGAAGTCGTAGCCAACCTGCCAGCCAGACAAAAGTCCCAAGACATTGCATGAGGTCAGATGGAGCAGATTAACAGCAGCTTAGGCCCCCGCCCCAGCCCCAGCCGTAGCCCCGGCGACGCATCTGCATATGCCCGACATGCGTATTCAGGAGGAAGGCCCCCCTCCCAGGTGTGTGCACCTCCACTCACCAGCCGCAGCACTCCGGCGCCTACGCTGATCTCCCAGATGACACCCTCGCTGCCCTCGCCGTCAACTGCCAGGACCCGCTGACCCACGCCGCAGTCGAAAGCGACTGTATTGGATAGAGGCTGCGTGGAAATGGAATGGCAAGTTCGCGCAACACATCACAGGGGCCCTCAGTGCATACCGGTTATATTATTTAAAACGGGTTAGCTGCTGCTGGTGCATCAACACGCATGTGGCCACTAGAGCGCCTCCTGCCACTGCCTCACTGCCCCACTGCCTCACTGCCTCACCGCCACGTGGGACGTGCTTACCGTCATGTCGGCGGGGAAGACGGGCACCTTCATGACTCCACTGTACTGGGAGCCAGTGACGGCGGTGAGGGAGTCGGAGGAGGAGAGCAGCCGCTGCGAAGAGGATAATAACGTAGGCGCAAAAGGGCACAAGACATCCGAAACGTAGGTTAACCTGGTTAAGGTAAGCATGCAACATGCGTTAAGTATGCGAACATTACAGGTGAACAAAGCAACTGGGACAGGAGGACGGGTGTTGGGGTGTTGGGGTGCTGCGGCACGGCAGTAGGATAGTGCAGCCGCTCACCTTGCTGCAAGTAGCGCCGCTGACCCCGGCCATGGACGCAATCAAGGCTGCCAGGTCGGTTGCCGCCGTCTCCTTGGTCACCACGACGGTGAGCAACGTCTTGCCGGCAGCCACCATGTTGCGTAGCGTCTGGTGCGTGGGATTGTTTGCACGTAAGGGAGGATTTGAGGCGTTTTGAGGTATTTTTCAGGTAACGACGCACGTGCTCCCCTGTTGGGAAGCCCTTGGAAACCCGGCGAATGACAATCGTTAAGATTTGCAATGCAAAACCAATACCTCGAAAGCCTAAAACCACCTCGCTACACGCCACTACTCACCGTCTGATCGCTGCTGGACATCGCTGTGAGGGTGTTGTCGTACACCACATGGAGGGGGGCAATGCCGGGGGCGACACGCGAGGCGGTGTTGCTCTGCCCAACCATCTGGTACAGAGTGACCAGCATGAAGGCCTTGCGCAGCACGTCGCTGGGGAAACGCTGGTCCTGCAGCGCGATGATTTGACCGTCGGGAACTGCGGAGGGGGGAGGAGGAGCAGGGGGGGGTTTATTAGAGGGTTGGCAGGGTTAAGGAAAGGTGAACAGGGCGGAGGGGTGGGCAGCTAAGAGATATATAACGGTGCTGATCGAACGGGGCATGGTGAGAAAGGAGAACTTATAGGGTTGGGTTAATGGAAACCCAGACTCTTCTCATGGAGTTTGGGTACTTGGTGAGGGGAGCTTGGATAGTGCGTTAGGAAGGTTAGGACGCCGCCGCATGCCTTGCTGTGGTGGCCAGCCAATGCTCTTCATGTTCTGCATGCAACAGCGCCGTACGTGGCCTGATTAGGAGGCAGCCAAGGGGACACCTACCAGGCTCCGGAGGGGGTGGAGGTGGCGACGGCGGCGGGGGCGGCGAGGACGGCGGAGAGGGAGGCGGCGACGGACGAGGCGGCGGCGGTTGCGGCGGGGGCCGGGGCCGCGGGGGCGGCTTGGGGTTGCCGGGCGGTGGGGGCGGCAGCTGCGGTGGCGGCAACTGCGGCGGCGGAGGAGCGGGTGGGAGAGGTGGAGCGACGAGCAGCAGCCTCTCGTAGTCCGCCACCCGGCTGGAAGCTGTGGGGGGTGGTGGGATAGTTTTGGGAGTGTTTGGGGTTTAGGGTGTAAGGCGTGTCGTGAACATGAGCTGCGAAGGTACCGAATAAAGGCTATAATAGGAGGCATGTGCGACCAACAAACGGACTTCCCCTGGCTTCATCCCTGACATGTGCCGGTGTCGTGTGTCGAAACATCACATCCTATCACATCGCTGGTTTCCCGGAACGTTAGCTGGCCTTGCGCTCATTACACCGCCTACCGTGTACTCCGGCAGCATGCATTGTCCCCCAACCGCCCGCAGCCCCTACCTCCCCAGTCGAAGCCTATGATCTTCACCCAGCCGCCGCCTGGCGTGTCAAACAAGTAGACAGGGCCCTTGCCAGCGCTGGTTTGGTACCATGGGGTGCCTACAGCAAGCGGGGAGGGCTGGCGTGTTACGGGTGTGCTGCAACCTGAGGGAGCTACGGAGCAGGGGACAGTAGCATCTGTCCCGCTGCCAGGGGGTGATTGCATGCGCATCCATAGCACCTCCAGGGAGTCCCCGTAATCCCGGCGTGTATGTGAAGTCAACTGGCCGCAGCTGGCGTGTGTGCTAGTTGGGTGGCTGATGCTCATCCTGGTTGAGGTGGCTGCCCGCTGGCGGTACGCGGGGGCTCGCAGGGCAAGCGGGTGACAGGCGACATGCATGGAGACGCGCACAACCCCTTGTCACTAGATTCGGGGGAGGAGCTGCTGGCTGCTTACCCACCCACACACCAAGACAGCACGACACCACCAGTAACAGCACGTCTTCCTCAATCCAAGACACCAAGACACCGCACGCGACGCCTGACAAAGCAGACACACGCACCCAGGCCGCAGTGGAAGCCCAGGATACCGATGTCACTGGTGGCGGCGGCCAGCGATGCGGGCACGTTGGCAATGCTGTACAGCAGCCCCGCAGCGCGCGTCATGTTGGTCTGAGGAGGGACGGGGAGGGTGAGCCACGAAAAGGGATTAGGAAGGAACCGCAGAGCAATCGGCCGTCGCGCGCTTGCCCATTACCACCCCGCTTTCCCATGGCTTCGGTGTCGTCGTGACCTACGCCACTCTAGCCCCCAACAAGCCGGCTGGACTCGACAATCGATGCTGCGCCCCGCAGACTCCCACACATCCTGCTCTGCCAAGCAAAATACCAGCAGCAGCAGCAGCCCCCTAAGCAGCAGCAGCCCGCCCGCCCGGCCTACCCAGTCGCAGCCCGGATCATCGCCCAGGAAGGGGGCGAGCAGCTCGTTGTAGTCTGGGTTGGTGTCGGGCGCCGCCACCAGCACCAGCATGCGGCCCGGCTGGTCCACCAGACTGACCAACAAGTTGAGGGTCTCCTGCGCATGAATGCGTGCAAGTATACACATGCGGGATGCAAAACGGGTAGCGGTATTGGTGTCTATTGGTTGGGAGGTTTCAATTTCTATGTAGGAATCCCTGTGGCGTTGGCTACCTTGCATGGCGGATGTAAGCCGTGAGGTGCAGTAGTCGACAGTACTATGCGATCGTTAAACTGACCAATCATCTTATTAGTGACTTGACACTTTAGGTGGGTCTGCGTGGTGGCTTGCGTCCCATGGGTCACTCACCGCTGGGTAGCTCTGCAGCGTGTTGGTCATCATGACGTGAGTGTTGACGTCCAGGGATATGGGCGGCGGGAAGCCTTGCACGATGGAAGTCTGGTACGACGCTCCCATTTTCTATGTCGTACAATTGCACACAGGACGGGAGGCAGGCAGGATGGTAGTAAGTAAGGCCAGCCTTGTACGGAAAGGCCGGTTGGGGACGCAGAACGGGGTTAGCGAGGAAGAAAGGGGTCACGGCTACACCCGCTCGCTCCTTGAGAGGCATGGTCATTTCCTTGACGCTATCGATCCAACCCGGGTTACCTCAATGCTAGAGGAAAGTGCGGACTTCCTTATAAGATCCAAGAATACCGGCTTGTAATCTAGGTAGCCCGCGATAGGCGGTAGCGCGGGCCGGTATTGCGCCAGCCCTGGTTGCAAAAGCTGGAGGATCGCATACAAGACGGCTAGGGCAAGGCCAACATGGCCTCGCCAAGGATCCATGGGCTGTCTTTTAATGGTCGTCTTGTGGTCCTGGAGATTGTATGGAAAGTAGGGCCTCTCCTCCTGCGGTGTCCGGTTTTAATACCTGCGAGTTCGCATAACAACGGAATGGTAGCGTAGTAAGGAGTAACGGTCGCGAACAGAAGCGCTGTCGGAGCGCAAACAACTCTATCAAATTTCAGTGACTATTCGTTTGAAGTTTTTCACTATTATGGCCTCGGCAAAGCACCATCCGTCACTATTTGCGCCGACCGTCGACCGACAACGCATATGCCTAAGAGGTAGGTAACAATACGCTACAGAAGAAAATACATAAGAAAGCACCCTGAGACAGTCGCTTCGTCGGTGCCAGGTAGGAACTTCAAACCAGGTGGCGCATCAGGTGGCGCATGAGCCAATAACCAGGTCGCCTTACCCCAAAACGCATACCTGTCTCTTATTTAGGTGACTTCATACACGGTTGCAGCATTCTTTCGTTGTCAACGTGCACGTATGTTTGTAAGCCGGGGAAACTGCCGACGAAGCCCAGCGCCGCTCGACCGGAGCCCTCTTTGGCAGTACTAGTGTTGTATGCTACGCAAGCGCTGACAGTGTGGTGCTTGTTTACGTAGTGTGGAAGGAGGTTGCCATGGCAGCGACGATGTAACTTCACAGACTGTGCTTGCCAGGAATTCCAATGTGAGCTTGTCGAGAAATAGAAGGAACACAGGACCTGTACCTAAGCGTGGCCTGCTAGCGCATGCAGTTCTGTTCGTATCGCGCTTCCAGGTGGCGTATGGTGGTGGGCGATCGCTGTCAGGGTCCAAGACGTAAATGCCTGTAGGTTCAACGCATGCTGTGGTATAATGTGCTCTAGTTTACAGTCTTTCCTACAGCAAGGTGAGCGTCCAGGTGTACTAACTTGCTGCCGTATCCGTAACTCCCTACCCGAAAAGAACATATGACACGATAACAATCTAGTCCTTTGTTATACTCAAGTCTTGATGTGGCACGTGTCTTTGAGCGGTGCACGGACGCCCCCCTTTCCACAATACCTGGCCATTATGACAAACAGCCATAATGCATATGGCACTTCCCTGAGTTTCGTATGGCATATCTCCGATATTAAAACAAACTCGTAGCTGTCCTTCGATGCCATCAAGCTCAACCATGGGCCTGATGGGCTCTGCAGCGACTGACGCCCGTAGGCAAGTGTGCGCCAGTGGCGGACATGGTCAGCGTTTCGCAGCATTGCATGGCTGCACCAGTCAAGCCAGCCGCAGAAGGACTGGCTGCTGGCTTACTAGCAGCTGCCTGTACGTCCTGTTAGGGACGACTGACATGGCCCCAGCTGTGGCGTGGGGACACCCTGCAATTGCTAGGACATGGTGCATGAAATAATGCGCTTTTATAGGCGTTGGATCCTTCTATGGCTGATTGTGCTAGCGGTTCGCCCTGTTCTCGTGGCAAATGTGTGGTCTCACTTGGGTACTCGCCAGTACTGAAGAGGAATCTATGGACAAAGTCTGCTCCTCCCAGTGAGGCGCAGTTCCAAGCGGTAGCAAGCCCGGTTGTCAAGGGTGACAGCCACAGTGAAATTGTTTACAGCACCTAGTATTGTTGTTAACAGGGAATGCATACATCATTATTATAAGGATGACTTACAAAGATTCGGCGAAAATGGGTTAACAGCATGACACTTCAGTGCACATGCGAATTACCGGTAATTTCTATGCTGGCTTTGCAAACGGAAAAATAGCTATCTTTATAGACATGTGTTGGATGCAATAGCTAGCTTTAGATTTCTTCTTCTCGTCCTGCGGAGTGAAGCGGCGGTAATGGAAAGGTACCAAGCGTTTAACGGCCACGGCAAAGGGTCGCCATTAACTTCTTATAATTTCTGTGCAGAGTGTTTGTGAAATGCAGCGATGGTGAAAAGCCATGGGAAGGCCAGGTGCAGTTAGTCGTTGAGAACTAAACAGGCGGGTGTGAAACCTTTGTAGGACCACCAACCGACTTTTGACACGCTATAGTCATAAAACGTCTGCATCTTATATCTCGCTCATCCTTGTCATCCTCATTTCAAACGCAGTCCCCGAAGTTCATTGTGGCAACTAGACAAAGGGGCCGTTCCTCGCATACAGGTTCACGGTTTAAGTGCCTTAATGTTATTTCCTCTCTGATACTGCTGTCAAGCTCCTGTGACCTTTATCCTCCGGGGACGTACCGTTGTTAAGCAATGACACTACCTTCGGCCCCAAAGCGGGGGCAATCCATTGGCGGCTAGACGCGTCTGTAACGTTACTCAGACGTGCGAGCTGCGACGCTAAGGAGGTGCAGATGCGACTTTGGCGCCTTAGACTCGAAAACGGCCTTGCAAGCAGAAGAGCGAACAGCAGCACTACTACGCCGCAAGTCCTAGAGGCACAAGCGGACATATGCCTGGCACTGTAGGTTGGGATCCCCTGAAGGGCGTAGGACGTAGGATGTTCTCTTTGTCCCGACATTTGCTGGTATGTCCTCTCAGAACCGGTACTTACCCTGCCCAGCATTACGAACATACCGTACGCCCGGCCCTATGCAGGCGGAGGCTTGCATAGATCCAGGAACCCTTCCCCCGCCGGCTAAGAAGAACAACAGCACCAGCGTTCAACGGGGGGCTCCCTTCCGTCGAGCCCTCACCATGCAACAACAACAGCAGCACCCCCATCACCAGGCTGCCAGTTCCGAGCCCCCAGCAGCGCAAAGGCAGCGTGGGCACTCATTCAACGCGGTCACGGCTGTCGCGACCGTGATGCCGGCTGCAGGCCTTGTCATGCCGCCGTACCCGGTCCCGCACAGCAACATCCCGTACGGCAGGTCCCCAGTAGAAATGCAGCCCCCCGGACCCCCGAACCCGCAGCAGCCCCTATCAGCGGCTGCGTTGCCCGGCCTCGCGGTAGCCCCGTCCCCCTTCTTTACTCCGCAAGACCCTGGCATGAACGGCGTTAATGAGCAAGCAACGGCCCACAACAGCTCAAACGACGCTCCAATGGGACAACCGTCCGGCAGCAAACTCTGTTGGGACCAGCAGCAGCAGCAACACCCTGAGCAACAGCGCCAACCTGGAAAGCAACATGCAGGGGGGGTTTCCTGGGCTGCTTTCAGGGCCTCCCAGACGTACGGCACTGCAGCAGAGCCATCCGGATCTGGAACCGGATTCGGATCCAGCGGCGCAGTTCCCTTGCCCCTACTGGCCACCGCGCTGTCCGCCTGTCAGCCCGCGCTGTTATCCGGCGGAACCGGTTTCGGAGGCGCCTGGGTTGATTGTCATGAGGAAGGGGACGAGGCTGAGGGTGGATATGCTCAACATGGCAACATGTGCGGCGAGGAAGAAGGAAATGACGATGACGATGAGATAGCTGTTGTCGCTCTTCCCTCCCTGGAGAGGTTGCGACGGACTTCCGTTGCGCTTCTCCGGCAGTCGCTGGCGCTGGTGGCGCGGGTGTGCAGCGGGGAGGTCCCTCCGGTAGCTGGGGAGGAGGGTGGGGTGGACGGGGTGGGAGAGAAAAGGGCGGGAGGGATGATGGCGGCACGGATGGTGCCGCCGTTAGGGGTACCTGTACCTCCTTCAACGCCGCCTGCGACGGGCTTTAGGGGCAGGAGCTGTAGCAGCAGCCAGGGCAAGGGCGGCGGCAACAGGAGCCGCAGCAGCGGTGGTGGTGGTGACGACCACAACAGCCCAGCCCCATTCCCGCCACCTGCTGCCGCTGCTGCTTTCACCACGGTTCGCCGGAGTTCCTGCTACCGTCCCGGCATCGCCATTTCCGGCGTCCACAGCCCCCTCCACAACACCCCCCACCCCGCTCCTCATGCTGCTGCTGGGGCTGGTATGGCCATGCGCGCAGCCATGGATTATGGCGGCGGCGACGCTCGCAGCGGCCTTGTTAGCAGCAACGGCGTGGGGCCTATTGAAGGGGCCCAGCCACAGGCCCTGCTGGGCGACGCCAGCAGCATCCCGGCTGACTGGTGGCTGCCGGAGCGGTTGGACCACGTGCACACCGACTTCCGCACCTGGCTGCTGGCCATCCGGGGCATGATGGCGGACCTGAACAGCGCCATGGCGGAGGTGAGGCCACCTCCTTGCTCGTTTGACCCCCTCCTGCCGTGCTCCAGAAAGGACGTGTTCACCCCTGTCGTGTTTACCATGCTGCTGGGGTTCCAACTGCACCTTCCGCCCCCCTCACCCACCACCCCACCCCCTCTGATGCGCGCTGCTGACTCACCCAACTCCCCATGCCCACCACCCACCACCTGCCACACAGATCCGGGTCAAGCTGGAGACCTGCTGCGAACACCCGGACTCCCCTGGTGCTTCAGACCCCGCCGACCCCACCACCACCGAAACCGCCCTTGACACCGCCCATGCCCACACCTCCTCCTCCACGCGGCCAGCCCTCGCCCGCTCCTCCGCCTGCTGCTCCACCGTACGACGCGCCTCCCTGCTGCAAGCCCAACATGCGGCTCTAGCGGAGCAGCGCAGGTCGCTGGCGGCTGCTGAGGCCTGTCTGCAGCGCATCACACTCGCCAACCTGGACGCATTGGACGCGGAAGATGCAGGAGGAGAGGAGGATGAGGATGAGGAAGGCGGCGGGCAAGGAGGAGGAGGGTGGCTGGCGAATGCTGCGACGAGCTTGGCGGCAGGGACGTCCCCCGGACAGCTCCGGAACGGCCGGACCGGTGCAGCCGGAACTCCTGCTGCAGCCAAGGCGACGGTCACAACGGCAGCATTGGCAGGTCGCGCAGCAGCAGCGGCGAATACCGCTGCTGCTGACCCATGGGTCACTCCTGGGACCGGGAATACAGGTGTACCGGGTGGAGAACAAGACGCTGTACAAGGAGGCTCTCCTGGTCTTCCTGCTGAGCCGCCGGACCTGCCGACGGGCGTCTTTGCGTCGGCTGTGGAGGCCGCCGCGGCAGCAGTGGCCGCAGCCGTGGCGGCGACGTCGGCCGTAGTGCAAACGGCTCCCTACCGTCAGAGCGGCGTCCACTACGTCACGCCAACCATGGGCCCTCCCGGGCAGCAGGGCACCTCGTCACTGCCCAGGCCCCTGAACTCCGCCGGGATGCGGCGGCAGCAGCTGCAGCTAGGGCCCCACCAACACCTGTCGTTGCAACATCCACATGCACTACACCAAACTGCAGCTGCTGCTGCGGCGGCGGCGGCGGCGGCAGTACACAGAAGCGCGTCCGTGCCCTTCAGCGGCCCCGGCATGGGCGGCACGGGCGGTCCCGGTGGTGGTTTCGGTGGAGCCAGTAGCGGTGGTGGTTTCGGAGCGATGACGGCTCTGCAGCGCAGCTTAGGCAGCAGCGGCGCCGAAGCCATGATGGCTGCCTTTCAATCCCTATCGGGCTTGCCGGGCTGGGCGGGCGGGCCGCAGGGGGGGCCTAGATCTGCACCCTCGACGCCTTCGAAGCCCATGTACGGCTTGCAACCGCACCCACCGGTGAGTCGTGAGATCTACCTTCCCATAGCGGTCAGCAGGCAGAAGTCTAGAAGGGGGCTTTCGGGGGTTCTGCATTGGCAGTAGCACCGGCCAACACTACTACAGCCATCATAACCTGTCGATACCTTACCATGTTTACCCCTCCTTTCCTTGCTTGTCCATGCTCGTCCAGTCAACGCCCCAATACGACAACAACCTCCAACGGCTCATGGCTGCTCGCTACATCCGGAGCAGTGGTGGTGCACCTCTTCGGCCTACTTCCAGCGCTGACATTCGATTCTTATCAGCACTACAACAGCAGCAACAGCGCTTCGGCTTTCCCAACGGTTTTCAACCGCAACCGTCAGCTGGCGCCGCCGCCGTTGCTGAGATGGCGGCTGCATGCATGCAAGTCAACGGTCTAACTACCCGTCAAAGTACTAATGGCGGCGGTAGCGGTGGCAGTACTGCGGGTAGCGGTCAGCGCAACCCTGCCGTACCCTATCGGAGCAGTACCGGTGGAGGCGGCGTCAGCGGCGGCGGCGGTGTAAGAACTGCAGCATCGGTCGCCGCAGCCGCCGCTGCAGCGGCGGCGGCGTGGGGCTTCGACAGTTGCGCTCCTGCGTATCCAACGGCGCCGACGCTGCGGATTACGTCAATGGGGGGTAGTGCTCGCGGCCGCCGAGAGGGCGGCGCAACGCCGTCCGGAACGACCCAGGGGTCGCCTCCTGCGTCACTGAAGTCCACGGAGGAGGGTAAGAACACCGGCGTCGTGGGTGGTGAGTTCTGCGATGGAGGTCATGGTAGCGGTGACGGCGGTGGAGCTGCAGGTGGCGGCGGCAACGACAATCGTAGTGGTGGTGCTGGTGGTGGCAACGTAACGGGCGATATTGACTGTGGCTGCGGAGGGCTTGGAGCTACCGTTGGCACCAACAGCGCTGGGGGCGGTGCCAGCAGCAATACTGGTAGCAACACTGACGGCACTCGCAGCAGTGACACGAACGGCCGCGCCAGCGGGGGCGGGAGCGCCAACCCTGGAGCCGGCAGCAACGCTGGTGGGAGGAGCGGCAGTGATACGGGCGGACTGGAAGCCGCTGTTGTGCGTCGTGCGCTGAGTCAGCCCGGAGGGCCCATGAGGACCAGCCGACTGCAGCAGGGAGCGGTTGGAAGCAATTCCCCGGCGCTTGCAGCAACCACCGTCCCACGGGTCGGCCCACATGCCACGACCCGGTCCAGCGACGGTGCTACTAGTAGTAGCAGTAATTCCTACTTAGGCCCTGGCGGCGTATCATGGGCGACGACGGCATCTCAGCTGCAACAGCAGCAGACGGTGCAGGCGAGGACGCGAATGTCGACGCCCATGTCGGCAGGTGTACGGCGACGGTTACATAACGCAGGTAGTTGGGTTAGTTGGAATACGGCAGGGAGGCTGGGACTGGGTTCCGCACGATTAGGCGGCCGGGCTGCGGACGGTAACATCCGGGGGGCTAGCAACAGCAGCAGCGGCGTTGGTGGTCTTGATGGGGGCGGCGGGGGCAGTGGGAGCGGGAGCGGCGCGGGGAGCGAGAAGGGCAACAGTCGCGGGAAGGCCGCCGGTAGTGCGTTACATTTGACGAACGGTGTAAGTTGGTTGCTGCTCAATTCGGAGCCGCTGAACTACAACTGAGGCACGTAACGACCCATGGGTCAGACATTGGGCGTGGGGAAGGCGAGCCATCGTGGGTACATCACATGGCAAAGTCGTCGATGCGAATGTTGGATGTTGCACGCCTTCATGAAGCTTTTACACACCACATTAATGCATTCATAATGGGCTTACGCTAGCGTGCTACATAGCTGGCACTCCACATGTGTATGGTGTGTGTGTCGGTGACTTGTTAGGACTTGGTACCTTCGTACAAAGTGGGCTCAGCAAAGTTGCTTGGCTTCCTCGTTGACAGTTTGTGGCGGTGAAACCCCTGAAGACAAGGGTTAGCAGCAGGCTCGCAGCGGGCACATGGGTTGCCTAACCAGGACCCCCCCCCTTCGCTCTCCTGCATACAACGGGGGAGGAGTAGCATATAGCGTGTCATTGGCACCCCTTGCGGCCCCTTGAAGGCAATTATGCGCGTGCGAGAGGAGGAGGGCACTTCATCCCCCACTTCATTCCCTTGCATCGCCCGGGCATGTGAACCCCTGGTTTACTAGTATTGGCTGTGAGGTATATATGTACTTGCGTGCGTCACAGCACAGCGTGCGTGCAGCGATGCAAATGTTTGTTGGGTCCTTTATTACCTTGTCCTGGTCGTTTCCTGCTCCATTGATGTACTCCGAGCCCGAACGGAAAGGCGGCTGTTGGTTGCAGGGGTTCCCTACCTGCGCAGCAATAACCGTGTGTGCTCGTGATGAATCATTTTTGCACCCATCACATGCATCGTGGGAACGATTGTATGACCCTGTCCAGTCGTACAATTCGTGCCAAAGAATATTTACGGTTATAAACGACATGCCACCGGCTCGAAGCCCACATGTCACTGTGCACGTCATTATCGTGTGAAGGAGTGTGGCGCTTGTCAATTGTCATGCATGTGTTATGCACGTGGGGTTGATGCTGGTGGCGTTTAGGGGTCGGTGCCGTACAGCCCGCAGCCGTACATGTCACCACCGTGTGGAGGTGTGTACGGCACGTGCATGGATGGCAAAAGAAAGAGCCGTACACTCAGGTGAATGCACGGAGGGTGGCATTACGAGAGCGGCTTCACTAACCGCCTCGTCACCATTTGCCCTTGAAAGGCGCGCACCATGTAACGCTCTGTACGCTCATCATCTCGTGTTGCTATTACAGCCTTATCAGTAGGGCCGCAATGACACAGTTCCACTGTAATACTCTAACAAGGATTGCGTCACAACCTGTAACTCCTGCATGACAGGCACGAACGCGATAAAGCCGCACGTACAGGACAACGATTATGAACTCGACACGTGGACATCCCCCATGGCTAACCGAGCCGAGACCCTTGGAACTTACAGCACAACCTTCAACTGCATCAGCAGCGCACTCTTTCCTCCTGGGCACTTGCGGAAAGAACTACTGTTTCAGCTGACAGTACGACATGCACTTGGGATGATCTCCGCACGCACCGCACGTTGCCGTGGCGTGCTGCATCGGCTTGCTTCCATTGGGCTATGCACCTATGCTTGAGGCAAAGTTGCGGGAGATCAGTAAGGCGGCATCAGTATGATAGTTCGCGTGTAAGGTTGCATACATTGCTTGCCGAAGCAGTAGCCAAGGACTTTCCTGGCGGAACATCGGAGTTCGCTAAGCCCAAAACACAAAATATCTGCCTTACGCTATAACGTACTCCTAGTTGAACTCACAGCGGCTTGTTTACCTGTGCGGCGTGCGCATGTAGTTGTTACGCTGGCCGGCATGGTCTAAGCTTGGAAAGAATGGGGACTTCGATTAGGTTTACACCGCTGAGTGGCGTAGGCGACGAGGAGCCGCTATGCTACTTGCTGGAAATTGACAATTTTACCATCTTGCTGGACTGTGGCTGGGATGAGAGCTTTGACGAGGCGCTATTGGAGCCCATAAAACGGTAAGTTTGCTTTATCTAAAGCATCACATCAATACGCAGCGCATTTGCTTGCGGACGGGGGACGCCAGCCATGCGACATCCTTCATCACCATCCCACCACCACCTGAAAACTCCGCTTGCCCCCCGTTCCCCCTCTCCCAACACCCATTTAATCCACACCCCACCTCTCCGCCAGGGTCCTCCCCCGTGTGGATGCCGTACTGCTCTCCCACCCCGACCTAGCCCACCTGGGCGCGCTGCCGTACCTTGTGGGCCAGTGCGGCCTGCGCGCCCCCATCTACTCCACCAAACCCGTCCGCCGCATGGGAGAGATGTTCCTCTTTGAAGCCTGCCTCTCGAAGCAGGTACGAGCACGGATGGTGTATACGAAACGGGGTGTAGGTACGAGGAGCAGACTAGCATCCTCCCACCACCACCACCCCCTCTCCCCACCCTTCTCCCTTCCCCCTCCCCCCAGGCTGTCAGTGAGTTCTCTCGCTTCAGTCTGGACGACGTGGACTCCGCCTTCCGCCTCAATCCCGCCTGGACGGAGCTGCGGTACCACCAGCGCCACGTCATCCTGCCACCCGCCCCGGCTGCTGCTGGTGCTGCTGGTGCTGCTAGGGATAGCAGTGCTCCGGTGGAGGGAGAGGAGGAGGAACTCGGGGGCGGTGGTGGAGGTGGAGGCGAGCGGGCATCAGGGGCAGGGGCAGGGGCAGGGGCGGGAGGGGGTATCTGCATCACGCCGCTGCCCGCAGGTCGCTTCCCTGGGGGTGCGGTGTGGCGCGTGGGGCTGCTGGGCAGCGGGGAGGAGGTGGTGTACGCGGTGGACTACAACCACCGGAAGGAGAGGTGCGGGTGGGGGGCACAGACCAGGTACCAGGTACCATAGGGGCCACAGGTTAGGGCAAAGCAATGGGGGTAGGAGGCGGGGGGGAGAGGTGGGGGGTGGGGGGGCTAAACATAGGTAGAAACTGACGAGGGCGGGGTAAAAAGAGGAAACTGATGTGGGGGCGGAGGGGTAAAAAGGAGACGGCTAATGAACCGTGTGATAAGGGGGGTGGGTTGGGTTGGGTGGGAGGGGAGGGGAGGGGAGGTAACGAAGGGAGGTGGGAAGGGGTGTGGGGGCTGCAGACAGCAATGGGAATACCGGTGTGTGCGGTGTGCAGGGGAAAGAGGTGATGTGGATGCGGCTCAGCACACACACACACGCGTCCTCTGTTTTTGCCTGTACTCGCGGTTCACATGCAAACCTATCCCAACTGCTTGCTCTTGTTCTACTCAACTACACACGCGTCCGGGACTTCACCTTCCGGCAATCACAGTACGCTCCGACTGGCAGCCAGTTATCTTAACACAGTATCCTCTTCCGGTGTCCTCCTCTCCCAGTCAACATGTTGGGTGTTCTTTTCCTCCCCCTGTCCCACTGCCCCGCCTGCTTCCCTCCTCCCCAGGCTCCTGAACGAGACCACCTTCCACGAGCTGCTCTCCTCCTCCTCCTCCTCCGCCACCGGCACCTGCTGCCAGCCCGCGCTGCTCGTCAGCGACTGCCTCAACGCACTGGCACCCGTGGTGGACAGGAGGAGGCGGGACGAGGAGCTGCTGGGTGGGTCCGGGGGGGGGGGGAGATCGGGGCCGGGGGCTGGGGGGTAAAGAGGAAACAATCGGGGAAAGAAGAATACCCAATGTGTTGAATGAGGCTGGCAAACACGCCGACGAGCTCCTGGTGAATGGAACCCAGTTACGAACTAAGTAATGATCTAACGTGGGAGGGGAAGGGTATGGGAGAGTGAGGGGAAGGAACTATAGCTAGCCCTGTGCCATGCAGGCTTCACCTTGGGGGTGGCATGGAGTTGGAGAAGGGGTGCCGGGTTGCGCATCCACCCTCGTGTGTGTTAAGAAAACTGGCCGCGAGTAGGAACACACTGCACGAGTCGGGCCATGGGATCGGGGTTCCAGTGCTGCTCACGTCTTCTCGTTTACCTCGCTCCCCTGCCTCCCCCTCCTCTCCTCCCTCTCCCCCCCCCAGACGCCATCCGTGCCACGGTGGAGGGCGAGGGCAGTGTGCTGCTCCCCACTGACGCGGCGGGGCGGGTGCTGGAGCTGGCACTGCTGCTCGATGAGCACTTCGCAAAGGCTAGGTGGGGGGGTGCCGGTGGGAGGAAGGGGGACCTAACGACAAACCCTCCATCCGCCTCTGCTGCTCCTGCCCTCTTCCCGTCGCACCCCCCGCGGCTTGTTACATCCCCGCCCCTGGCCTCCCCGTCCCTCACCCTAACTTCCCCCCCCCCCTTCGCACCGACCCAAGGGTCGCCGCCACCCCCGTGCTGCTCTCCTCCACCATCAAGACGGTGCTGGAGTTCGCCCGCAGTCAGCTCGAGTACTTTGGCAGCGAGATGGCGCAGGTGGGGGGGGGCTGAAGGGGGGGAGGGGGGGAAGTGGGGGGAGGGGGTCAAAGGAAAACCAAACCATGGGAAGCCACAGGTTTCGGCGAAACAATTGGGGAAGGGTACGGAGGGGAAGGGGTGTGGAGGCGAAGGGTACGGAGGGGAAGGGGTGTGCTAGCGCTGTGGGGTACGGCCGTCCTGCCGTACCTTACGCCTTCCCCAACATCCTTCAGTCAGTTCGTCAGGTTTCCTCCTTTGTATCTCCAAAACATCCTTTGCGCCTGCCATCCCCGCCCCGCCCCCGTCCCCCCCCTGTGCTTCCAGGCCTTCTCGCTCAAGCGCACGGTTCCCTTCTCCTTCCGCAAGCTCTCCGTAATCACGCGGGTGGAGGAGCTGGGCGCGTTCCCTGGTCCCAAGGTGGGGGCATGAGCTGGGGTGTGGGGGGGCTGGCGGCAGCTGACCGCACGGCAGGAAGCGGCGCAGGAAGGCGGGTAGACGGGGAGCGGCCTCTGGACGACCCATGGGTCTGTACCTTGCACTGTACCTCACACTCATGACACACAAACACATGCACGCCTGCGCTTGCAACGCCGTCACCCTGGCTCCTCTCCCCACCCCCCAGCTCCCTACCTCCTCCTCTCCTCCTCCAACTCCTCCAACTCCCCCACCCCTCCCCCCCAGGTGGTGTTGGCCACCATGCCCTCCCTGGAGAGCGGCCCCGCGCGGCAGCTGCTGGTGGAGTGGGCGGCGCAGCGGCGCAACACCATCATCTTCACGGAGCGGGCGAATGTGAGGGGGGGGGCCGGTAGACTTGGAGGGGGATAATGAAGAAGAAGACTGGGCTGTGGGTTTGAAGGGAGGCAGCGGGAGGGGAGGTGGTAAGGAGGGGCGCATGCAGCTGCCAGCAATCCACCGCACCCTACCCTGCCCCCACCCTGCCCCCACCCTGCCCCCACCCTGCCCCCACCCTGCCCCCGCCCTGCCCCCGCCTTGCCCCCACCGGGCTAGGTACCAAGTAGTGCTACTACCTGGCGCAGCCCCCCCGTCATTCAGCTCGTCAGTGTCGCCCTCTTTACCCCTGCTCCCCTCCCCTCTCCTCCCCTCTCCTCCCTCCCCCTCGTTCAACACATTGGATAACCTTGCTTTTCCCCTCCCCCCGCTCCAGGCCAACACACTAGCAGGCCAGCTGCAGCGCTACGTGCCCAGCAGCCCCGAGGGGGAGCCGCCGCTGCGGCTGCCGCTGCGACTGGCTCGGCGGGTGCCGCTGGAGGGGGAGGAGCTGGCCGCTTGGCAGGCGGCGCGGGCGGCGGAGGTGGCGGCGGCGGCTGAGGAGCGGCTGGGCGGGGGGGCCATCGGCGGCCTGGGTGGGTTCGGGGGGAGTTGGGGGAGGAGGAGGGAACTGCCCGGAGGGGGGTGGGTGGGTAGGTAAGGGATCCTAATCCTATGAGGAAGAAGCATGTTGTCCAAACCCCTTTCCTGCATCCTCACCTTGCCCTTTCGCCCTTCTCCTCCTCCTCCTCCTGCCGCCCCCCTCCAGACATGCTCCTCACCCTGGCCCCCACCCCAAGCCTCACCGCCGCCGCCCGCCTAGCCGCCGCCACCCGCCTCTCCACAGCGGGCAGCCTCGCACTGCCCACCTCACCCGCCGTACTGCTAGCCTCTTCCGTACTGCAACAGCAGCAGCAGGGCGCAGGCCCCGCCGTAGCTGCTGCCGGCAGCGGTCCGGGCGGCGGGGGGCTGGGAGGCGGCGGCGGCGGCGGAGGAGGAGGCTTACAAGGCGTGCATGTGGGAACTCCCTCCGCTGCTGCTGTCGCTGCAGCAGCTGCAGCTGCCCCGCATGCGACCCCTGCAACTGCCCCCTTGAGAGCTAGCACGGGTTGCATCAGCCGGCTGGTCCGGGATGCGGCCACCGGGGCCATTGTGCAGCAGCTGGTGGGGGGAGCCGGCGGAGGGGGAGTGACCCATGGGTCTGCAGGAGCGGCAGCAGGAGCAGGAGGAGGAGCTGCTGCTGCGATGAGGGCGGGGTGGGATGCGGGGCTGCTGGTGGATGGGTTCGAACCGCCAAAGGTGGGGGCAGGCGGTTGGGGTTGGGGAAGCTGGGTGGTGCTTGGGAAAAGCTGTTACTGTTAGTCAGGTAGTCAGACCAGTGAGAGTGCTGGTCAATATAAGGCGCTTTCACATTTAGCGGTCACCGGGTTTTCGGTCTATGCGAGGTAGGTGTTGGCTTAGTCACGTTACTCGCCGCTACTATGTATATCGGGAATGTCGGGCCCCTAACCCTCGCTCCTTACCCTGCCACCTGCCCCCCACCTCGTCAGGACGCCGCGTACCCGATGTTCCCGGACGATGACGAGGCGCTGTACACGCAGTGGGACGAGTACGGGGCCGTACTGGGCAAGGATGAGTTCAGGGTGAGGATGGGAGGGGGGTGCGGGTCGCGAAGGGGTTTTGGGGGTTCAGCTATGGGCTATTCCCGTTGTATGGGTATCCGCTGCCTCCTGCCTCCGCTGCCTCCTGCCTACCTGCTTCCGCTGCTTCCTGCCTCTGCTGCCTCCTCCCGCAGGTTCCCATGCTGTCTGATGCACCGGCAGCGCTGGGAGGCGGGCGCCATGAGGGCATGGAGGTGGACGACGACGCTGGCTCCGCCGGCGGGGGCGATGTGGTGTGCGACGAGGTGGACGAGGCGCCCAGCAAGCTGGTGGAGGAGGAGGTGGTGCTGGAGCTGCGGGCGGCGCTCAGGTTGGGGGGGAGGGGTGGAGTGGGGGGAGGGTGGCGTGGAGGGAGGCGTGGAGGTGAAGAATGTGTTGAATGCGGACTAACGAGCTAACGACCCGTGGGACACGTAGCGGTAGGGTGGGTTCAGTTCCTGTGGAGCAGAGTGCGAGCGGTGAGGAGCTACACTGACACTGGCCGGAGGAGGACCGGAGGACGGGTTCACCTCCCACATCCGCTCCCCTCCCCTCCCCTCCAGGCCTTGCCCTCGCTTGCGGTTTCGCTGGTCATGGTCTCGTACCCCTTCTCGCTCCCACCCCTCCCGCATCACGCTCCTCTCACGTCCGTCCCCGCCGCCCTGCCCTCCTCCTCCCTCCTGTCACTCCCACCGAGGTTCGTCGACTTTGAGGGCCCCACCTCCTCGGTCCGGAATGGTTTCCCTCTATCCCTCCCCTCCCTCCCTGTCGCCCCTCCCTCCCCCTCCCGGCCCACCCAGGTTCTTCGATTTCGAGGGCCGCTCCGACGGTCGGGCCATGCGCGAGTACCTGGCCCGCGCAGCCCCCCGGCGGCTGGCGCTGGTGCACGGCAGCCCCGCGGCGCGAGCGGAGCTGGCGGGCGCGATGCGGGCTGAGCTGGGGGAGTTCGGCACGGCGGTGTATACCCCGGGTATTAGGGGATAGTTGGGGGGGGGGTGTAAAACATAATGAGACACTGAGGGGGGGAGGGGGGGTTTGGGGGTTTGCCATACAGCACTGGCCGAACTGGCTCTGGGGACACGGGGCTCATGCCGTGGGGCGCCCCGCCTTACCCCATACCTCACCCCGCCGGCACGCGCACCCCGGCCTCGGCTGCCTCCCCCGCCTGCTCTTGCAAGCAAGGTGTCACGGCTCCTTCCTCTTTCCTCTTGCACCGCAAAACACCCGCACCCACACCCACACGCACATAGGTCTGCTTGAGCCGGTGGAGGCGCAGCTGGCGCCCAGCCACCTGGCTGCGTTGTCGCAGTCGCTGGCGGAAGGTCTGGCGGTACGGCAGGCGGGGCAGTACGGCGTGAGCTGGCTGGAGGGGGTGATGGTGCGGGGGAGCGGCAGCAGCAGCGCGGTAGGGAGGGGGAGAGGGAGGGGGGACAGGCTGGGTGACAGGGGGGGGGGGTGCCGTGCGCGTGTGGGCGTTGTATGCATGCATGCAGCCGGGGTGTGATACGGGAAATGTGAAGAGTTGGTGTGTGGCTTTGTGCATGCGTGCGTGTCAGCGTGTGTACGTGCAAAGCTTAACTGGAACGTTGACCACTGCCCCCCTCCTCTCCCCCACCCCACTGCGTGCAGGCTCCGCTGCTGCAGATTGAGCCACTCCCCACCGACTCCGGCTCCGGGCAAGGGCCTGCTGCTGCTGCCGTCCCACCCGGGGTGTCGGGTGCGGGTGCGGGCAGTGTGTTACTGGCGCAGGCGGGCAGCGCACTCACCCTGTCCAGACTCAAGGCAGCGCTGGCGGCAGCGGGTAGAGGAGGGGAGGGGGGTACTGCGGCATGCGGGCACTCGGGGGGGGGGGGACATGCAGGCATTCTGGAGTGGGAACAGACGGGTCACCAGCATCCCTGCCGTGGTGCCGGTACAGCTTCCTCCTTACAGCGGCTGTCCAGCGTCCACTGGGCGGTGTCGGTAGCTTCCACTGCTCCCTTCCCTTGCCCACCCTTGCCCCTTGCCCCGCCCCGCCCCGCCTGCAGGCTTCGAGAGCCACTTCCCCAGCCGCGGGGTGCTAGCGGTAATGGCGGGGGACGGGGCCGGCGGCGCGCTCATCGTCACCCTGGGGGGCGGCGGCGGCGGCGGCCCCACCGCAGCGGCTGCGGGCTCTTCCTCCTCCCCAGCCGCCTCTTGTGAGCGAGCGCAGGTGGTTCTGGAGGGGCCGGCCAGCGAGGCGTTCTTCCGGGTGCGGGAGGTCATATACCAACAGTTCGGCGTGTGCTGAGCTGCTGAGACAACAGCAGCAGGTGGCTTGGTTTGGGTGCATGTGTGTGTGTAGTTGAGTAGGACAGGAGCAAGCAATGGGGAGAGGCCGCGAGTCGGAAGGTACTGTGAATCTGTGATTGTCGTAAAATGATGTGTATGCGCTGTACAGCGGGGTACCGATAGAGATGCGTTTCAGCAGAGTTAAAGCGGAGGTAAAGAAGGGTATGGCTACCGATACCACAAGCCCGGCGGTGCGAGCACCACAAAAGGGTAAGGGGAGAAGCTATGGAGCTGGTCGGCGAGCGGCGTCTGTTGGCTCGTCGGGGCTTGGCGTTTGCCTGCAGATGCGCTTTGAGAAGGAAGACGTTGTGTGGTCCAGTGCTTGTGGCGCGGTATGAGTGCGAGGTGCAGGGGGGGGACAGGTCGGGGTGGGGGCTGGATGACATGGGGGGACCTGTTGTGTTCTGTCGTGTGCCTACGTGCCAGCAAGGCCTGGATCCCGTCGGCCCGGGTCGAGCCCGGGTCCGATCAGTCTGGTTGTACGTTTGCACAATGCTCACAAACGCCGTGCCCCCGGGGAGGGGTGTTGACCCTCCCTTCCCGCCTCGCCTCTCGTGTCACCCAGCGCTGCCGTAAAAACACAGTAGCCGATGTGGAGCAGGCAACTAGGCACCGCCTCAACGCACCCCACGCCCGCTCATGCATGCCCCCTCATGCGTCTACATCCCTCTCTGGTCTGGTTTGCAGTGACCAGGAGAGAGCGGATCAAGCCAGTCACCTACCAGCACATCCTAGTTTCCGAGCTGTGCCAACACACCACCCGCACACACGCACACAGCGCGTAGGTTCTACTCGCGGCCATTTTCTTAACAAACAGCGACTCCAAGTCTATGTCCCTCCTCGCGGCCAGTTTTCTTAACACAGCGTCTTTAGCTCTGTCTAATAGTCGGTTCTCCTAGCAAGCTCCTACCTCCTAGCACTCCTAGCATTACTACTACCACCATATAGTTACACCACAACATCGCTCCTCGCACGCCACACACACACCAGCCCAGTTTTCTTAATACACACACCAGCCTCCGCTCCCACCCTCAACACCTCTCGATCGCCGACCTCCCTCTCCACGCTCCCCTCCCCGTTTCACTTCTCTCTTCTCTTCCAGACAACCTCCCCCTAAGTGTTTCCGCGGCTCAGTTTATCTAATCCCCTTAAGACGGGTGACCCATAACCGCTGCAACAACACCACCCGCAACAACAACACCCGCACCAACAGCAGCAGACACAAGTTCGGGTGGCCCTCGATCCACCACCAATTGTAACCTGCTGGCGCAGGACGGCTCTACAGCTTCCCGATTTAGCTGCTGCACCTCGTTCCCACCCTCTTCCTCCTCTCCCCGCTGCCGCTGCTGCTGCCGTTCCCCCACCGGCTGTTCCTGGCGGCCGCATGACACACCATTCGCCACGACCTGGCGAGGACTGTTTGTGGTTGGCGGCCGGTGTGGCCGACATGCTGGCAGCAGCGGCGCTGGCAGGCTTGCAAGCGGAGATTGCTGCTGCTGCAGCTGATGCTCGGAATCAACACCAACAGCAACACCCAGCGCTCCCGCTACCTCCTCTTCCACTCCATCCACATGCATGCAGGCTGGGCGCTGCCACTGGTCCTGCTCCTGTCGTAGTGGAGCCTGCGGATGCTGGTGCTGTTGCTGATCGTCGTGGAACTCGCTTTGGGCTGCTGCTGCTGCAGCTGCATGGGGCCGGAGGTCATTTTGGTCGGCCGCGTGGGGTGCAGCAGCAGCAGCAGTAGCCGGCGTAGGCACATTGGCATAGGCAGCACAAGAGGTCCTATAACCGTTACTACCGCTGCTGCCGTTGCCATGGTTCGTGCGGAGGCTGTTTGCCTCGCCAGGCCGCAGCTCTGCGTTGCTGCAACCTCCTGGCTGCAGCTGCGACCGTAACCCAATGCCGTTGCCGCTGACCTGACTGCTGCAGCTGATGTGAGCGCTGTTGCGCGGCACTAACACGCACGGGGCTCCGTCACCATTGCTCGAGGAGTAGGAGGAGGCCAACCCATTCCCGTTGCAGCTGCCACTGCCACTGCCACCGCTACCGCCGTTGCCGCAACTGTTCCTGTGGCCATTGCTGTTTAGCGAAAGCCCATCCTCACGCAACCACCTGTTGCTGCCAAGTCCTCCGCCACCTCCATCACCCTCTATTCGTACAACGCCCAACCCGCCGCCCGGCTGCTGCTGTCTACACCGCACGAGACCAGCCAGGGAGGGCAACGGCTCTTCCAACGGCGACGGCGGCGTCGCCTCCCCCGCGGCCGGCATTCGGATGCCGGTACCGATGGTGGTTCGCGCCACACCGCCGCCCACCTGTCTCATCGCAGCAGCCGGTGCAGCTGTCAGGGGCGTGTCTGGCGGCACGCACACCGCCCCTGGGTTGCCTGCCCCTTGCCCCGACGGCCGCCCCTGCTGCTGCTGCCCCTGCCACTGCTGGTCCCGTTGTTGCTGCTGCTGCTCCAACGGCGCTAACGCCACCCTGGCGACTAACCCCGGTGCCAACCCCTGCTGCCACCCCTGCTGCGTTAACCGCAGATCGTCCTGCCCCTGCCCCTGCTCCTGGTCGCCTGCTGCTGCTTGGGCCACCAGCGGTAGCACCGGCAGCAGCTGCTGCTCCTGTCCTAACCGCTGCTGCTCCCATGATAACCGCTGCTGCTGTAGCTGCTGCTGTTGTTGCCGTACGGCAGCCTCCACATCTCGCCGTACAGCCGGCTGGTCCACGGACAGGTCCGCGGGTTGGGGCTCCAGGGAGGGCGGCCAGCCGACCACCGCGTATATGAGGCGCAGCAGGATGGAGGTGGGCCCCTTGCGCCAGGTGCCCCGGTCGCCCAGCACACCCCAATACTCCACCGTGTCCAGCTCCTGAAGCGGGGGGGGGGCGTGGGCGAGGGAGGGGGGTAAAGAGTGCGCATATGGGTTGGGACTATACCGGTAACTTGGGGCACGCAGGGATGAGAGTTGCAGAGCCAACAGCAGGCGAATTGGAGAGCCTCCCGTTGCACTCCATGACTAACCTTGACTTTGGACTGGAAGTGCACGTAGACCTGCGCCCGGGAGAGCTCGGGCTGAGCGGCAAGTAGCTGCCGGTCAGCGTAGACCAGGGTGTCGAGCACCTGGGCATGGCAGACATGAGGATTTTTAGGGTGTGGACATGTGAGGTTAGGCTAGGTACCCTAACTCAGCCCCCTGGAGCTGCAATTCAGCATGGACGCCAAACACGCTGTGGATACAACTATGAACGTATACGGAGGCGGCCAGCATGGCAGGAGTGCTATCGTACCAGCGGCAATTCTCGGCGGAATATGTAGTTGCGTAACAAGGGCGGAGCAAGCCATCTCTCCTCCCCGCTGACGTGGCAGTACACGTGGAGCGCGAACCCCGAAGATCCTATGTTCACCCACTCCGCGACGATTTCATCGCGCAGCAAGCGTGTGTAAAAACCTGAGATCTGTTTTTCGTTGTAGTCCGAGCCTATTGTAAGTCGTAAGCTGCCAGTAATGTCGTTATGTGTAAGGGTGTACTTTCGACTAAGGGGCGGGGCCGGTTCATGGACAGTCGTCCCAGCTGCAAGCATGACCGCGAGCTTCTCCGGCCGAAAGGGTGGCGGATCAAACAGTGCTCTAGTCGCCTACATAAGTAAATAACGCGTTGCTCAGATGTAGTTAGTTGCGAGCGTTCAACTGGGCACCATGCTTACCACCCTTCGTCGCGACGCCCTTGAGCATTGCCGTCTAGGGCGTGACATACTAGAAACTGCACACTGTGAAGTCGAAGCATAGTAATGACTTGTCGCTCGCAAGTTAGCGTGCTCCACTGGTTCCTTGTGGGTCCGGCTAATGCCACCACATACTGGCCGAAGCGCTGTCGCGTTGCTGGCAACCAGCCCTTGCGTACACGAGCGACTCATCGGTAAACTCCAACCCTAACAAACATTCCAAAGGCCGGTCCGCGGAAGAAAGCTCTCAGGCGATTGTTCAAAAAGGCTCGCTCTTCCGAAAAGTTCAACTACGGGTAGTGCAGATAAATTTAAGCAGTAAGCAAGAAGCCAAAAATTGCTACCTGAGTAGGTAAGGCAAAGCGACTCTGTCCTTGTACGGCGATGGGACACAGATCCTACAAATCCTGACGCCATTCCATTCATTTTACGGACAGAATATGAGCTACTCCTAGGAACCCAAATAAATAAGAGTTTATAACCTGCAAGGATACTCCAGCCGTAAACAGTGCTGACGAAGAGAGCAGCAGAGCCTTGCTTCACCCTTCGCAACACCTTCCACATGTCCGTAGTCTCTACACGTACGCTACATGGCAGGCGGAAGCAGGTCTACTCCTCAAAACACCCAACTTGACCTATCACCTTCCCCTTCAACCACCTTTGCAAGCACGCAGCAGTCTCCCGCTCCACAACGTCGCTACGATAAAGCTATCCGTCTCGTGGGGCCCAAGCCTCAGGTAGACCCTCACGCTGCAATCCCACTTATACACAGCTATGGTCAGTACATCTATCCAGCTCAGTTCACTTGAAGCCCAGCAATATCGGTGTACGGCACCAGCATCATGTGCTTTTGACCATCGGCTTGTTGATCACCCCTGTAGATCACCTTGCGCTGCATGCTTAGGCGAAAACGTGACGCCATTCTGTTACCGCACCCAACAGTTGTGTCCAAGAATCTGTGACAAATTGAGGCCAGGGGCTAATCACTCGTCTCCTTTGCGCAAACTGACCCCTCAAGCATGCACACGCACACCCCGTCAAAAGTAAGCACACACGCAACCCGGTGTCCACCGCCCTCACACCTACACCTCATGAACAAGTCACAGAAGGCATCCGGCCTACTGAGCTCCCCATCCCCACGTGCGACTGTCATACCGCCAGCTGACCCCTGACAACCGCAACCGGAAGCCAACGACGGCAACTCGACTCATGCCGCCAACTTGCCGCTCCGGATTATGGCTAGCAAGCCGACCGTCCTAATGGATTGCGCGCATTGAACACTCCCCTAAAGCCACCCGGCAATACCCGTTGCGCCAACGCGTCCCAACACCAATCCTCCCCATGGTATCCATGGTTCCCTCCCCACCAACCACCCCTCCATGCTCGCGTACGGCATGGCACGCATGTACGACATGACAGACTTGTACGGCATGGTACGGCATGTCGACCTGGGAGTAGAACACTAGGTCCTGGTCTGTACGGTGAGCTCCAGGTGCAGGTAAAGCGGCTTGACGCTGAGAAGCGAGGGCTTCTTGTTGCGTTTGTAGTTGGCGGGCTTCTTGTACACCTGCGGAAAGTGGCGTGACAAGGGAATGTGATAATTGATGGCGGGGGAAAACAGGGCATGTGTGTATGCACCAGCAATAGGTGCAATCGGGAGCCTGCAAACCCAAACCTAGGAGCCGGCCGTAAGGGTAGCATGCAGCAGAATGGTGTCAACGGCATCCGGATCTCCCGTAGGACCGTACACAATTTGGTTTCCCTCTCCCACTGGCACCCACCTCTAGGGTGACGGGGCCGTTTTTGATTTCGTCCATCTCCATGAAGCAGTACGCCTTGACGCTTTTCTGTGAAGGCGCGAGGGGGGTAGCGGGGGGCGGAGGCGAGGTGCCGTACAACGTGAAATGCTTGTCACTGGTCAGATATTTATAGGTCGTCATCATCTTCCGCGTCGGGGCCTAAGGAGTGATTGCTTACACTAAATTAGCGGCATGTAAAGAATACCAGCGTAGTGATGAATAAGATCGGCCTCCCAACTCCCACAACACACACCGCTTCGCTCCCGTACCTTGTTCTTCTTGGCCTTGAAGTGTCGGAACTCGAAGAAAATGGCGGCGCGGTCCGACAGCGTGTTGAGCGGTGTCTGGATGTAGATGGTGTTCTCGAACGCCACGTTGCTCACGTTACACCGCCCCACCGGGGTCTCCTGCGGACAGCACCAACCAACCAACCAGGGGGGGTGCGGGGTCGCCAGGGAGGGATGGGAGAAGCGCGGTCCTCATTGGCCACTAGCGCAAAACCCCGTAGTGAACGCCAGGGCGCTCTTGGCTCCGCGGTTGCCAACTGGGCACCCGGCACCCCACAACGACCCTCCTGCCCTCCGCACCTGCACCGCCTCCAACGCCTGCCCCTTCTCGTCCCGCACCGACACCGCCACCCGCGGCTCCAGGAAGGACATGGCGTCCTTGAAGCTCCATTTGTCGATGAAGATGATGAGGCTCATGTCGCCCTTCTTGTGCGAGGGCGGCGCCCGCAGCGTGCCGTCGGCGCCGTCCATGATCGCCTCCTCCTCCGCGTCCGCGCGTACCTGCGGTGCGGATTGGAGGACGCGTGTCTTAAGAAAACTGGCCACCAAGATGAATTTGTATGGTGCGTGTGGGCCAGGCGCATGGGCGGCGTGTGCTCTCATCAACTGGCTTGGGGAGGCGTGCATGCACAGGTGTGTCTTGCCGGCATCTCCCACCGCAAGTGATGCCTGACCCCTTATAGCCCCTGCTTGCTATGCAGGGGGCAGGGAGTCACCCGTCCTGTCCAGCGGAACCCCCAGCCCGCCCCACCCACCTCAGCCGGTGCGCCGAACGCCACTGGGCTCGCAGTGATGGTCCCCTCAGGCTGGATGTGCGGAAGCGGGAAGGCGGCTGCGTGTGGGTTGTTGGGTCAAGGAGGGACGCGGTCAGACAGAGCGGACTGGGTAAGGTGGTTAGCGGTTACAACGGCATCCACGGCATCATGACGGGGGTATTGGGTGGCTCTGCCCAAACTGCTAGCATCGCTGGGTGATGTCCATGCCACGAGCTACTTGTCACATGGTCATACGTCGAGGGAGAGGCCATGCGCCGGCCCGCTATGCAGTCTCTGCACTCCTCGGACTCCGACCGGACTTGCTATTACTTATATCCTCGGGTCACAACCGGGGGCCCGCCGAAACCGCACCCAGCTCAGAACTCACCGTCCGAGACGATGATCTCCTTCATGTACTTCTTGAGGGTCTTCATGCTGGTCAGACCCACATGCCGATTCGCACCCTTTGACAGCTCCTGTAAACAGCACAACGACAACAACACGACGAATCGGCATTAAGGACGTGTCGTCCCAGGAGCAATGCAACGCTGCGCAAAGGAAGGGCTTGCTATGCGCATGGGCGTGAAACACAAGCAGGGCTCCCGCACTACCCCGGCAACCGACTGAGAAGCCCCTCGGCAGGTGGGCCCTCCTTTAGTCAGGGGAGCCCCACATCAGCATCACACGCCCCCGAGGTGCCCGTTGCCCAGGGGCAATCTGTTCACCTCTATGCGGTACTTCAGCGCCGTCGCTAGCTTTCCGATGCCGTCTCGCCGGGCGAGGGACAGCTGCAGCACGTTCTCTACGTACTCCTGCAGGTTTAGCAGGTTGGGGTGGGCAAGCAGAAGCTGTAAGGATCTCATAAGGAGGCAGGCTATGAAGGTGTCATGCTGCTTGCACTGGTGCAACCAGCTAGATACGTAGCCGATCCAGGGCTCCATAGTGCTTTGTAGGAGATGCACGACAGGGCATGCAAACCGAGGCCCTTGTTCTAAGTGAGGCGCTAACCGAGGGAAACCCTCATGCACAAGGCCGGGGGCGAAACTCCTTGAATAGACTGCCATTAGCAGTAAAGCGGTCTGCCACGGAGGCTGTGCTTGTGTTTGTCAAATGCTGGGTGGCCCGAGACCCCACCCCCCCCCAAAGCTTTCTCACCGCAGCAGCGGCGACCTGAAGTCGCTGGTAGCCTTCTAGGGCCTCCTCAACCTGTACAGTTCCCGCGTGTGTGTGAGCCGGGGGAGTTCCCTGCTTCTAGGCTGGTAAGCGAATACAAGAGTCGGTGCTTCGCACCTGGCCCCAAGTATCATAATCAACAGCTTCCTGGAAAGCACGGTCCCAGCGAGCACGAGTGTCTTCCATTTCCAAACCGCGTCAAACTAGTGACTCTTGAAGTCAACGCGAAAGCTACGTAATCCCTAACTTATTTAAGAGAAGCTCTTATAATGGTCTTCCTATTCAGTGGTCAGAGTAATGCAATGTTTTGCGAATGGCAAGCTTTGACGTTCCAGAACTGGTCAGGTCATACCAAAATGGCACAAATGCTTGTAAGAGCTGTATTAAATAGTACTGTCTTCACTATGAAGCTTTGAAAACTAGCTATCTCCGTTTCACGGATGGCAGGGTTCGTGTACTGCCGAGTACTGACATGTTGATGCACCGAAGTGCAGTGGCACGCGTATCTTATAGAACCTGCCGATGCAGCATCTAACTGTGCATAGGTTTCCTACACGCATAGGCTAGCAGAGTAGTACGTAAGAGCAGCATCTGGTCTTTGGGGCGGCCAGCTTAGGCCGTTCCAACACATACGCGATCTTTAGGATTACTTAGATAGCTTCTTGGTGGTTACCATGGTGCGTAGACGCTTTCGATCCTTTAAGAACAACTGGATCCTGACGCCCATCTTTTTCTTAGCAAACAAGCGATGCTGTGTTTTGGACGCAGAACCGCCTGACGAAGCAGCAAAAAGACAAGATTACCCAGTTCAGGAGCATTACTGGCAGCAGGTAGGAGCAGCTACCGTTGAGTTAGGTTGGGCTTGCCATGAGCGTGACGAGGGGTATCTTCTCTGTGGAACGCAGTGAGAAACTAGCAAATGACTGCCTAAAGAGCACGGGATGGGGCGTAGAGCAGGCAATTGACTACTTTTATACATCGGGTTTGGCAAACCAGACATCCTCATCCGGCGGCCTTGACCTCCGAGCCATCGAGGCGTTATACCAGCAATATAAAGGTAGGCTGAGACAATGCTGTTGAGCCTTACCTTGAACTGTCCCCAGTATGAGCGTTAAATGGTGAGGCCAGCTGGCGGATGCGGCCCGGCCTGCATCCCCTTGCATCACCTCCCGCTGCCCCACCCCAACCCCACCACACATGGTTTCCTTTTTCCCCCGCCACCTCCCCCTGCCAGAACCCGGCGAGGAGCTGATCTCAGTAGATGGCATCACCCGCTTCTGCTCGGACCTGGAGGTCGACCCCACCGACATTGTGGTGCTGGTCATCAGCTGCTACATGGTGGGGGCAGGAGGGTGGAACAATAGGGAAGAGGAGAACACAGGGGGAACGGGTAATCCAACTTAGCGGGATAGGGGAGGGAACAGGGAAGGCACCTGAGCGGGGTTGAGCGAGGAGTAGTCCGTAACTCACCCGGGATGAGGGAAAAGGAGGGGGTAAGCGCCCTTTCATGGTTTCCAAACCCCCATCCCTCTCCCTCTCCCCCTTCACCCCCTTTGGGTAACTTCTTCCCCCCGCCCGCCTGGTTTCATTTGGTCTAATTTGACGCCCCCCCCCGCCATCCCCTCCTGCAGGGCGCCGCGGTGATGTGCGAGTACAGCAAGGAGGAGTTCACGGGGGGGCTGGTGAAGCTGGGGGTGGACAGCGTGGAGAAGCTGAAGGGGCGGCTGCCGGAGCTGCGGGCGGAGCTGCGCGGGGAGGGCAGGTTCCGGGAGGTGTACAACTTCGCATACAATTTCTCTAGAGAGGTGGGTGTGAAGCGAGGGAACACGAACCACGCTGACAAGCCTAACACCATGTTTTGCCTCCCCTCCTTCTCTCCCCTCGTTGTGCCTCCCTTTCCCTCCCCCATCCTCTTCCTTCCCTTACCCCCATCCCCTTCCTTCTCTCCCCCTTTCCGAGCGCGCAGAAGGGCCAGAAGTGCGTGCAGCTGGACACCGCAGTGGCCATGTGGCAGCTGCTGCTGGCCTCCCCCTCCGTCCCGGAGCAGCGCTGGCCCCTCATCGACGACTGGTGCGACTTCCTGACGCAGCACCACAACCGCGCCATCAGCCGAGACACGTGGGTGCAGCTGCTGGACTTTATCAAGGTACTTTATCAGGGAGCGAAGGGGTGGTGGTGGAGGGGGGTAGCGGGGAAGACACCGACGAGCTGCGTGACATGCAGGCTTTGCAAGGCCTCAGGGCGGGGGTAAAACTGGGAAACGGACGAGGCAACCAAGATGTTGTAGGGGTGGGGGCGGCTTGGGGTATCGGGGGGGCGCGGGGCAAGGTGGGACCCTTATGTCCTCGTCATCCCCGTCATCATCTTTCATGCCCCCCTTGTCACGTGTATGTGCCCTTGCCGTACTCCATGTGCCCTTCCTCCCACCCCCTCTGCCGTACCACACCAGTCCGTCAAGCCCGACTTCTCCAACTTTGACGAGAACAGCGCCTGGCCCTACCTGCTGGACGAGTTCGTAGACCACATGAAAACGAAACGCGGGCAGCAATGATGCACACGCGGGAGGACAGCTGCGTTCTGGTGTATGCTGATTGCCTTGGGTGGGTCTGCTTGCTAGAAGGGATAAGCCATGCGCAAGGGGCGGCGGGCTTTCGAGTTTGGCGGGGAGCCGGCGAGTGTACGGCGCTGATTCGCAGATGACAAGGCTTGACACAGAATGACGGATAATCGCGGGATCAGGTCCGGAGCTACCGATGACTTGTCCATGCAGGTGTGGGGGTTGTGTTGGGACGGGTGCATGCCGGCATGCGGCGGCTGGGTACCTAGCGCGGCTGTGAACCCTAGCGCTTCCGAGGGTATGCGGCGGTGAAGGGGGTGGCAGTTGGGACCAATTAGCGTACACTGTACACTTTCGGGTGCTTTGGCGCGGCTGCGGAGTCAAGTTAGTGCGGGTTTCCTGTCCAGAAGTCTGAGACGGAGGGGCCGAGGCTGTGACGACAGTGTGAGGATGAGAGAAGATGTGTGAAGGAGGTTGTGACACTGGTACCAGGGGCATGGAGGCTTGGGCAGAGCAAGCTCAAGGACAAAATACCTAACCAAACCTGGGCAGAAGGAGGGCGGCAGCAGAGATGCTGCGACAGCCACTTGGCAGCGTTACAAACCTGTTGTACACCCTGGGTACACCCGTGTGTTTTGTGTTTTGCACTGCAAGACCCTAGTGACGCGAAACGTCCGACGTAGCATGTGAGAGGGTGTGTCCTGAGCAGAAGGAGCGTGGAGCCTGGTGGAGCTGAAGAAAAGTGGGCGGATCACCAAGGAGGCTGTTGCTGCTGTACATGCTGCTGCAGTGCGCGCGTCTGTGGGCGGACCTCGCCCTTGCCATGATTTAGGTAAATTCCAAAGGCGACACTTGCTCCGCCGTTTTGCTCCGTTCACATGCTTCATTACACACGGTCACGGCCATGAATGACGCATGTAGACCTCTCGTCGCAGTGGCGTCGAGTAAAAGGGAGCGGAGGAACGCCACCATGCACGACAGTAGCAGTTCAGTCCAAACATAAATGAAATGAATGCTTCTTATATTGTTAGGGAACTAGAGGTCAAACTACTACTTCATTGAGAGGAAAATTCATTTGGAGAAGCCCTTCCTCCTGCTCCACCGAAGGTGCATCAGTCCATGCGACACAGGTACGAAAGCCCCCAAACAACAGGCTAAAGAACGCAAATCCAAAGACACAAGCAAACCCGTCTCCCGCAGACGCCACGTAACGTACAGACACACCGCATGAAATATAAAGGCGTCTTCCGTACCCCGTACATGTCCGACAGCACACGCCTCACGGCACTCATGCAGCTCGGAAGCATCGGATGCTGGAGGGCTCTTTTCACACATAACAAGTGAAGTGTGTACGAACAGTGTGTGTGTGTTTCATCACGTTCCGTATACTCCTGCGCGCAGTTCGATTCATCGCGCACACGCACAATCAGCCACCCCGCCTAAGGAGAGACCTGCCCTCCTCCGTAACTCACGCACGCACGCCCACCTCAGTTACAAGCCCAGAGGTGTGTTTCTAAGGTGTTTCCCTACGTATGTAAGGACAAAACGCCGCCCCGCATGACCGCACCCAAAACAGGCAGCCGCAACAGCAGCCGGCATCGACGACAAGCTTTCTAATGTTTCCTATTGAAGCTACCGGTAGCACGTAAGACTTAACTCCCAGTACACCGTACGACTAAAAGTACGACATAGAAGAAACACAGCGCAACGCGTCCTGCGCTGCACAGCCTAAAAGAACACACAGCTATAAAATCCTCTGTTATAATGATTTTAGTGTTGCTAAGTGAAGTCCCCCTTGAGCCCGTCAATGCCTAGCTTACGTTGCTTCCATGGCTTACATCTATCTGCTGCTGCTGCCTCGCCATCACGGCCAGTCGTTGCTGTTGTACGGGCTCTGGCTGCTGTTGCCGCCGTTGCCGCCAGCGCCGCTCGTCGACAAGTCCCCAGTCGACGAGTCTCCTCCCTTGATCTGCTGCTGCTGCCGCTGTTGCGGTTGCTGTGTGGTGATGCTGGGTTTACGCACCGACTCGTGGATCTCAGCCCAGTCCACCTCGGGCTCCTCCGAGGCCTGCGGGGAGGACAGGGCAGGGCGGGAACAGGCAATGGTGTGAAAAGGGAAGGGATGCGGTTACGCGCGTCAACACATCCACACGCCATCACTACACGCCAGCACACCCACGGCAACCCACCACCCAACCCATGGTGCAGCCTTACCACATGCTTCCTTTCCTCCTCTTCACCATCCCACCCTCTATCATTCGGCCTGACTAACTCAGTTCCATTCACCGGGGGCTTGTCACCTAGTTTGCAGGTAGCGGTGTCACTCAATGCATGGGTCTCCTTCTTTCCCTTCCTGCCTCCCTCCCCCCCTCCCTCCCTCACCTCCGCTCCGCCCTCCTCCTCATCGTCGCTGTCGTCCCAGTCGTTGGGCTCCACGGGCGGCCCGAAGTCCTCCTGCTTGTCGTACTCGTAGCCCGGGTCCCCGGGGCGCAGCTGGTTCTTGCGGAAGTCCTGCTCCATGGCGGCCTTCGCCATCTTGAGCTCCACCTCGGTCACCTGGGGTGAGGTGACATGCAGCGGTAGGGGAGGCGTGGAGGGTACCGATAGTGATGACCGCGTTTAGTGGGGCTGTCCTGCTCCTCACATGTCCTCACTCCTGCACTGCTCCCTACGCGATACCCAGAAGCTCCATGCAGCTCGCCGTTGTGCCGTTGTATTCAAATCCAAAGTAATGCAGACCCACGCCCACCATTACCACCATCCCTCCCGTAGCGGCAGTAGCAGCAGTAGCAGCCCCCCTCTCAGGGAACCTACCTTGTTCAAATCCAGGTCCCCAGACAGCTCAAGCCCGATCACCAACTTCTCCGCAGCCTCTGCCTCCACCGCGAATCGACTCTTGGCGCCGCCGCCGCAACCCAGCACAGGGCCCTCTACGCTGCTGCTGTTGCTGCTGCCGGGCCCTACCCGCCCGCTAAGTGACCCGACGGGTCGGTCCCGAGATGAGAAGGGCGAATCGTGGGAGGAACCCACTTCGGAGGATACCCGTGTGGAGGCAGACACAACGATTCCTGCGAGAGGGAGGAGGCGGGGCAGCCGGGGTTACGAGTCACGCCACGCCAACCCAACCCAATGGAGCGCTGCTATCCTCGAGTCTTCGGTGGTCAAGGCAGGTCAAGGTCGGTAACTAAGCGCGGCCCGTCTGTTACAAGTTAACAACATCCCAGCCCAAGCCCAAGCCCATGCCCAAGCCAAGCCATGTTCACCTCCTGGTCCGAGCTCCCGAGACAAGTCATCTAGAGCCGACAGCAGCTCATCCGGCCCCTCCTCGCCTCCGCCTGCTCCGCCCGCTGCTGCCCGCTCCTCATCCTCTCCACTGCTGCCCCCAGTACTTGTGGAGAAACGACTCATCGTGGATTCCACACTCGCCCGATAGTTGTTACCGTTAGCGAACGCCCCGCCGCCGCCACCGCCGCTGCCATTGGGAAAGTACGGCGAAAGTCGTCCGCGCGTGTCCGTCCTGGGAGAGGAGGTGGGAAGCAGCGGAGGCGCCTGGCCGTATGCGCTCATGACGCCGCTAGCCGTGCCTGACCCCGAGCTGGTCGAGGGGGAGGAGAGGCCCCCCAGACCGCCGCCATTGAGGTGGCTGCCGGCTGCTGCTGCTGCTTCGTTTGCGGCGAGGTAGTCAAGCAGCTTGACAACCAGTTTGCGAACCTGTGGGACAGGGCAGAGGGAGCAGGCGGGAAGGCGGCGGGAGTGTGGTACGGCTGCGGGGATGGCAGGCGTGAGGGCCCCACATGGCGCACGACGGGATGCAGTACGCGTGCTGGGGATAGCGGCTGGGCTAAGGCGGTGTGTGGGTTGCAGACAGCTCATTTGAGGTGGTGTTGTGCTCCATTCGCTAGCCTGGATTTGTACGTTCGGGAGAGGCGAGCGCCAAAGGAGCACCGACACCCAGAGCCGAGGTGAGACATCCCCAAGCGCCGCAGAAATGGCGGGATTACTTCTGCCCTGTTCAGGACCCTGCTTTGGACGTCTTAAGAGGAAGGTACAACCCGGGTCGGCTGGACCTGGGTAAATTCTCAAACCCCTTGGCGAGAAGCCTTTAGCCACACTCCAAGTAACGGCGTGCAATGCTCGCCGCTAAGTAACTGCACTGCAGCCCCAGGTTCGCCGCATCCCATACCCTAGAGTAACTCCCGCACCTGGTCATATTTCACGGAAGCTGAATCGAGCTTGCGAGGAAAACTGCGTATTACCTGCACATCAAGCATATGGCAAGGTTATGGCACCCAGCAAAAGCCCGAAGCTAGCAGCGAACGTGCATCTCACCTTCCGCGTTAGCCGGTCGACGTCCGTGCTAGCTTGCACCGTCGTAAGCTTTACCTAGGTTCACGAAAAAGTGTTAAAGCTGGTTATCATATGGGTAAAAGGTGGAAGGGCACGCGACGATTCTGGGTCTCCTTACCGCACGAACCCTTCGCTTCTTGCTGATGTCCTCATACTCCAGGAAAATGCAAGGTGGATCAAACTTTAAGGCATATCTTTTTGCCCGATAGCAACCGTCCTGTTCTGGTGTCGCCGCGTCTTCCGCCCTATGGATGCTTCCATTGCCCGTAGAAGACGGCGTGGCGCTCCAGTTTACAGCGCTAGTCATGAGCTCAGCAGAAGCAATGTTTCTAGAGTAAACGACCATGGATGCTCACGGCATGGCACCGAACTCCAATAGACTACACGTGTATCTCTATACCTAACCAGCTAGAAGCAAATAAGGTCAGGCATGTGGGCCATATGCCAGTGCTAACAAACTTCTATAGATGCTGGACACTTTTGGAGTAGTAACTTGCGTCGGTTACCCGTACAAGTGGGTGTTGCGACGGCAGATAGAGCTTAAGCTTCCAGCCTAGAGCGTATGTGTGAATCCTTATTTATGGAGTCAGCAGCATGTTGCGTCAGGCTTATAACTATGACGTTGAAGTGCGCATGCTCCGCCTTCAATTGGAACTTCAACTAGCCATTTGAAGTAAGAGCGTCTTTTCGCCGAGGTGTCCTGCAAGTCAACTACAGCGCAACTTGTGATATGCATGCTTTCCGGCATCAGCCAAGACCCAAGCTAGGGGGCCTAAACCCATCACTACAGCCATCCACGAACCAACCCTGGCCAACGACAACCGGAAGCAATCGTCTCGCCTTCCAGTGGATGAAGGACGGAACCATACCAAAACAGTGCTCCATTCCGTGGAGAGTAGCCATTTGAGGAACCTTCTCACGACTCACCTGCACACCACTCCAATCTTTCCATGGCCTGGTCAAAATGTTACAGCACAACACCAGTGCACCACATGTAGACAACTGTGCCAAAGGTAATGTTACCTGCATAGCGCTTTGCCGCGCTTTGTCTTGCATAACAAAATCTCGCATACCGTATTCAGGCAGATCCAGGGCCAAATCCTTGCAAATCCCGGCTATAGAACATCCAGTCGTCGGTACACAACGTTGCCTTTACAACCATGTCGCCCTTGCCGCCATTTGGACGGTGCAAACTCTCTGGCTGCACACAGAAGAGACTGACTGACAACTAGCCCACTATCAGCGAGCAGCACCGTGGTAACCACACGAACTCCGATAAGACCCCTGTAGATGTTGCTGTACGCTATCGAAGACACACAACGAGGCACAATGCAGGTAGTATGTAGCATCCCCCAGTACCACCGACCCGGGAACAAACATGCAACCCCACCGAACGCAAGACAGACGTGCAGGGGCCTCCCAGGCGCTCCCTCTCCTCACCCACATGCAGCATATGCAGTACACACAACATGTTGGTAGGCGGGATCAGAGGTACACCGGATGCATGTATGCATGTTCCAAGATGCATGTCTGCATGGGGAACATGCATACATACATCCGGTATACATCGGAACACGCTAACGAACACCAATCCGAGGAAGGAATGTAACGAAACATTAACAACTCTTTTTCTCCAAATCAACCAAAAAGGAGCAATACAGGCGCACTCCTCAACCAATGATTTCGCACAACTCTGCTGACGAGTACAGCTGTGCACGCATTATTGCAAACAGGCCGCCGTAAGTCTGCCAGCTTTCCTTCTCCACAACTGTACCGGTCAAAGGTACACAACCGAAATCTCCGCAACTGGGTATCTCGCGGATGTCTCGCCGCGCCACCTGAAGTCCAAAGCCCAGCATCGCACCCCCATCCATTCCTCTCCTACCCCACTGCCACCTTTTCCTTCCCATTTGCAGCCCTGCTCCTCCTCCTCACCGCCACCACCACCACCACCATCACCTCCCACGCGACCCAGGCGCTGCCGCTGCTGGGCGCACGGGTGCAAAAGACCCATCGTCCCACCCACCGCACCTCTCCCAGCCGCCGGGTGGTCCCAGCCCCCGCTTGCTCCTCAGGGCGTCACCACAACCACCACCACCGCTGCTGTCGTTGCCACCCCCCCTCCCGAACTGCCAGCCGCTTCCTCCTCCTCCAGAAGTGCTAGGGTTTAGGTGCTAGGGTACGGACAGACAGCTGCGCCGGCACCACTACTGGCTGGGTATCTGCTGGTAGCCCTGGCTGTTGCGCTTGGGCGGCAGGCGCCGCAGTATGTACAGCACGCATGCGGAGGGCGCGATCTCCGCCGCGCAGTAGTACGCAATGTTGAGCAGCGGGTGGCCCAGCATGTCCACCTCCAGGTCGCTGCGGTCGGCGGCGGAGGTGGCAATCATGAGGGCCCTGTGGGGTGGGGTGGGGGAAATTGAAGATAGGTGGAGATTTAAGATAACGGAGTCGCAATCCCGAATCTCGATTCATGCTGTGAGCGCATGCGTGGGGGCGGGATGAGGGAAATCAAGCCGCGTGTATGTGACCTACTATGTTTCATCCCGTAACTTTGCGTCCTTCTACGTTGCGCCGTCCATTCGTCAGTTCGTCCTGGTCCAGTGGCGGCAGCGCATCGTCTTCGAACGCGTGCTCAGACTTCACGTTTGTCCCAGTGAACGCGAAGCAACCGGCCCGCTCGCCTGTCTTCCCTCTTGCCTGCCTCACCTGAACGTGAAGCAGCCGGCGCAGATGGACGTCACCAGCCCCACCTCCCGCAGCTTCTTCCGCCGCCCGCGCGACTCGATGGGGAAGCGCTGCAGCATCACGAACAGCCTCCCGCCGTACAGCAGGAAGCCCGCGGCGGCCGACAGGAACACGGCAGCCAGCCAGATGTTGGAGACGGTGTAGGCGGTCTCCTGCACGTCGCTGGTCTTGCCAAAGGTGGTGAGGGCCCAGAGACCGGCCTGGAGGCAGGCAGGGTGAGGGAGGGGGGTAATGTGTATGGGCGCACGGGGTAAGGAGTGTGTGGGGAGAAGGTACGAGGGTGTGAAGGGCATGGGGGCACCGGACCTGTGACGCAATGGAGGCGGATAAGGAAGTAACACCTCCGGCCACACCAGCATCGCAGCTCCACATGAAACACACCCACAGCAGCGTGGACGAGCATTCAAAGCGATAGGAAGCGAGGATTACACTGGAGTCCCAACCAGTAAGGAGTCTGTACTGGCCAATCGTTAGACGAGCATTCCAACAGAGGTGTTGTGCAACCCCACCAGTACGGCATACACGATGATGTTGATGATGAGGAAGATGGGCCGCAGCGCCGCTGCTGGCAGGTTCCGCGCCTGCTGGTAGATTTCCGCCCAGAAGAGGACGAGCAGCGTGTAGGTGGTGAAGAACAGCAGTCCTGAAACAGAGTGCGTTGGGAAAGGAGGTTGGGGCGTGTGGGGCTTGCAGCGGAGGGAAAAGCTAAATTTCCAATGCGTTGAATGGGGACGCAAACCAGCGGAGGGCGGTTTGGGGGGAAGCGCTCTGAGAGATGTCGAACGGATGTATGTTGCACGGGTACCTTTCGGTTTGGTCCTAATACCGGTTGCGCTCAGTTTGCGGAGCCCACAATCCGGGATCGCTTACCAGGCAGGTCAAGCAGCATGAGCTTGGTGACAACAGGGTGAAGCCCCTCTAGCGCTGGTCTGAAGAAAAACACTGCGCATCGCATTGCTGACACCAAGCAATTAAGGAGGTGGAATACTTTCTGCGTCGTCCATCCGTATTCCGGCACCCGTAGTTGTAATCGTAGCAATTGCACCTGCGAGCAACGCACGCGGAGGACAGCGTCGATGACAGCGATTGTTGCGCACGTCCGAAGCAGCCAGGACTTACAAGAGCGACTAGCCCAATTAGTCCGTAAGCACCTCCTATCCCATAGTTGCTGTATGTCTGCAGCCCTTCATTCTTCTCAAGGTTGCGCCACCTGCATGGCCCGTTGGCGCGTCAAACAGAGAGATTATACTGACTGCAGAACAAATATGATACTAGATCTGGTAAAAGTGCCAAGCCTACCAATCTGGGAAGGGAAAGCCCAGGCCGTGTGGTGCCGACGATAAGCCTAGCTCCCGCATCCTCCAAAAAGTGGTCTAGGGTGTGTCAGAGTGTTTTGGGTCGTATAAAACTCTAAAGGTGCCCCCAACGGGCCCAATCCTTTCGTCCTGCTCGGCTTCGCTGTCACCCCGCCGAATTACAAGCCCTGGTTTGAGTGGAGAAGTGCAGTGCAGCTAGAGCAGTATTGATACGCTATTACAAAAGGTATGTTAGTGAAACCAGAAGGCTGACCGGCGAAAGGCCCCAGGTGCTGCAGGACAATCAATGTCGTTGGCAAAACGTGTTAATACCGCACTTCCACATTTTCTAATCATTCCGCTACGAAAGTCTGGAGCCCTCAGGCGAATAGTTAATACCACTTGTATCGATCTTGGCATTCAGTGTCTGCTCAGGACAAACCACTGGCCATTCGGGGTAGCTGCTATGGCCTTAGGTCGTGGCGATCCAGCTCACATGGGGGACGCAGATGATGGTATTGTTGATGCGGAGCTCATAGAAGGCGACGTGGTGGATGATCTTGAAGGCGAAGGTAAAAGCAGCGGCGGCGTCGCGAGAGGCATCTACTCATCCAGTTGCGCTGCGCCCCTAGACGCTACATAGTGCTTTGGAGTGTTTATCTACATAGATTCTGACAGCGCCTTACCTACTTGACTGGCGCCGGCGCCGTCGCTGGCCATCGTTCTCGTGTCGCTTCTAATCAGCCCGTCCTTCCCTTCTTGCCCGGTCTGCATAGATCCCGAATATGGAAGCGAGGACGACGGAGCTGATGGAGACGACGGCGATGAAGGCCGCGTCCACACAGTACTAGAAGATGACTCTTTCCATTGCTTCGATGGACATCAAGGTACGACTACTTGCCCAGCCTCATCATCGTTGCACCTTTTGTGTGTTCAATGTATCTTTGCTCAATTCGCAACGCTTTGCCCCATCCCTCCTCCACCCTCGCCGCCGGTTCCCTGCTGCACCTGACCACCACCTCGCCATCCTCAACCCTGCACCCCCGAATCCTGCACACAGACGCCATTGTATCAGTCGCTTGGAACCCCGCGCGACCCGACGTGGTTGCCAGCGGCGGCTGCGATGACACCGCCTTCCTGTGGCGGGTGGGCCAGGATGCCTACGAGGACAGCGCCGGCAGCATGGGCACTGTGGAGTTGGGCGGCCACACGGATACCGTGGCGGCGCTTGCCTTCAACAGCACGGGGAACATGCTGGCGACGGCGGGCATGGACGGTGAGCTAACTGCAGGGTGCCGTACTTCGGGTGCTGCTGGGCTGGAGCCGGGCATTACCGCATGCATGGCGTCCTACCAAATGCATGAAAGTGCATTGTTTGGCGTCTGTCGTACAATGTTTCCGGCGCCTCCCGACCCGACCCCGCAGGTCAGTGCAAGATCTGGGATGTGCCCGAGGGGCGGCTGCGGCACAGCCTGGAGGGCAGCGGCGGGGCGCTGCAGTGGCTGAGCTGGCACCCGCGGGGGGACGTGGTGGTGGCGGGTACGGACGACTGCATGGTCTACATGTGGAATGCGGCGACGGGGGCGGTGATGCAGGTGCGCGGGGGAACATGTGTGCGTGCGTGTGTAGTTGAGCGGAAACCAACATGCGCGTGTTAAGAAAACTGGCCGTGCGTGTGTATTGGGGAGGGAGGATGGGGTGGGTGCTGGCGCGCAGCGTGCCGCCGGATATCTGCATGTGTGGGTGAGCATTCTTGGGTAATCGAAAGCGACGGAGGCCCCCTTCAGTCGCACCTTCAATCCCGTTTCGCACCTTCAATGGCCGCCTGCGCCCTCCCATACACATCACATACACACAGTGCACATGCAGCCTTCCACAGCCACACGCACTGGTGTGCCGCGGGCTTCCTGGAGCTTAGGCCCGCCTCAGCTTGGGCTTACAACCTGGGCTGGCTGCCTGGCTCACACACACCGGGGCTAGCTGGCTGTGCCCTAACCTCCTGCCGCAACCCCCGGCTGCTTCCTGCGCCCTCCCTCCCTTCCCACCCGCCCGCCCGCCCGCCCGCAGGTGTTCAGCGGCCACTGCGGCGCTGTGAGTGCGGGCTGCTTCACGCCGGACGGCAAGTCGGTAGTGAGTGTGGGCGGCGAGGAGGACGCCAGCTTGCGAGTGTGGAACCCGCGAACCGGGGAGTGCTCGCTGACGATTCAGGTGGGTGGGGGGGGGGCAGCAGGAGGGGGAGTGGGGGGCGTGAGGGGCTTTGGGTGGTGGGCGTGGAGGTGCCGTACCATGTGGCATCCTTGCTGGTGGCTGCAGTAGCGCTCGTTGATACATAGCCTGCATACCTGCACACACCGAGTCCCCCGTGGCGCTGATGACTGATCTACAGTACCATCAAATTCCGAGGCACGCAGTGCCCTGACGACCGTTTTCAGCCTTGTCTGAGCCATTACTTATCCCTGCACGCATTTGTTTTGCATGGTTACCACCCATACCAGCGTCATCCTCACACGGCCTCCTCCAGCAGCTTGCGCCTATGCACGCCTCCTTCCCTCTGCGGTACACCCCGGGGTTGCCCTCTCTCACTCTGGGTTGCCACTCCCGTTGAAACCACAACCGTTGATCCATGCCGTTAACCACTACCGTTAACAACCTGGTCGTTTCCTACTTGCGTTTTCCCTCCTCCTCCTCAGGGGCATCCCTTCCATGAGAGCGGCATCAACTGCGTGGCCCTGCACCGGGATGGTTCCGGAGCCGCCATCACGGGGGGGGAGGACGGCTGCGTGTGCATCTCCAATGTCAGCACGGGGCGAGTGGCGGGCAGGCTGACAGGTGCGGGGTGGGGGCAGCGGAGGGAGGGGTGGGGTGGGGGTTCCGTTTGTGCTTGGGTGCTGTGGGCTTCTTGGGTGGAACTAAGGCGTGTTGAATGGGTTAGGCTTTTGCTTCTGGAGATATGGGCTGCGCAAAAGGTCAGAGGGAGCGGTGCGCGCAGAGCCGGCCGTTATGAATGGATGACCATTACGTTGTACAAGTAAATGTGTCAAGCATTTTCAAGCGTCTTTTCGAAACAACATGTTTCATCACGTTTCAGTGGCGCTGATGACTGAACCACAGTACCATCAAATTCTGAGGCACGCCGTGCCCTGACGACCGTTTTCAGCCTTGTCTGAGCCACGTTTCCCTGTTATGGGGCATTGCATTCCTGTTCGTACCCTTGCGGTAGGCAAGCATTGTTGCCTTGGCTGATTTGGCTGGTGCATTTTGCATGACTGTTGAAAGCAGAGGGCATGGGCGCTGTACTTGCGGTTAAGATGGCTATGCTTTTGCCAGCACAGGCACGAGAGCGGTTGCTCAACACGTGCACTGCTGAACAGTGTTTTCTTTCCTGAGCCGCAGCGCACTTAACGTATCCCTGACAGGGACGCCGCGCATGTGCCTGTTGGGTGTCCTCAGGGTGTCGTACCCACGCTGTTGTTCTGCCCAGCAGCCGTTTTTGCAGTGGTAGCTTGCACTGCGGTTGTGCACGGTTGGGGCGCGCAATAATAAAATGTGGGATACGGGGGTGGCTGACACACGCCTGTCCTGATCATCAGGCCTCTGCGCATTTCCCGATCCCCCCTTTCGATCCTCCTCATGGGTTATCGTACATAGGTTAGGTAAGAGCACACCCAGGCCATTATTGCGTACATACCTATATCAAGGTTTGGGCTCGCTGCATTCCTGGGGTTCGCCTTTGTCGCACCCCTCACGCCCTTGAGGGCTCACTTGCGCCGCACCTCACGCCATGCCATAGTTATTTCCGCCGTGCCGCAACCATGGGAGCGCATGGGCTTCACGATTTGATATGATAACTGCGTGGCGTTGACGACTGATTTACAGTACCAAATTCCGAGGCACGCAGTGCCCTGACGACCGTTTGCAGCCTTGTCCGAGCCATTACTTATCCCTGCACCCATTTGTTTTGCATGGTTACCACCCTCCTTGCTGGTGGCTGCAGTAGCGCCCGTTGATACACAGCCTGCACACCTGCACACGCCGAGTGTCCGAGTCCCCCGTGGCGCTGATGACTGATCTACAGTACCATCAAATTCCGAGGCACGCAGTGCCCTGACGACTGTTTTCAGCCTTGTCTGAGCCACGCATCCCTCCATGCATATATGCCGGTGGGCATGCATCCTTCCTTCCATGCAACTGCATGCACGTCTTGTCGTTGTTGCCCCCCTTCGTTGCCAGGGGGCTGTGGTGCTCCAGTAGTTGGTGTCTGGGAGTCGTACACGGCTGCTGCGCCCCGCGCACACAGCCAAATAAGTTGTCGTCGTATCCGCTGCGAAGCAGCAGAAGCGGGGTCGCTTGCTGACACCCTGTCTGAGCCCCGGCTTCAAATGTGTTCTTATCAACTGACACTTCATTACGGCTTCAGTCCTACGTGTGTAGTTTAACTGCGGTCCTATCGGGAAGGCACTTGTGACTTCAGTTTTGCCGTACTGCGTTCTCTCGTACTTGTGTAGTTAACTGCGGTTGAGATGACAAAGCAATTGCTTAGGCGCAGGCGAACATCGCCTGGCGCGCTGCTAGCTGACTCCTTGTCTGAGCCGCATTCCAGCCAATCGAGACGCTCCCCTTCCGCATTCCCCCTCTTCCAACACCCAGCTGCTGCTGCTGGCAGCCCGATCCCCGTGTTCCCCTGTCCAACCTTATTTCAACGTTACCACCCGCCGCTGACCCCTCTCGTCCTCTCCACCTCCCATCCACCTCCCTCCCTTTTCCTCCTTCCCAACGTAGGTCACGAGGACTCTGTTGAGGCAGTGGGGCTGTCTCCCCACCTGCCGCTGGCTGCCTCGGCCTCCCTGGACGGCAAGCTGCTAGTCTGGGACTGCGGCTCGTTGAGTGCGCGAGGAGCCTGCGAGCACCCCTCGGTGAGAGTGGAGGTGTATGAGGGGGCGGTGGTGGTGGTGCAGGTGCAGGTGGTATGAGGAAGTGAGGGAAACCCTTGGCATGACCGTTTGTGAGCTAGCGGTACCTTCTTCCAATCCTTTACCCTGTCTTAGTCCTCCTTCCTTCCTTTCCGTCCACCCTTCCACAGTCCATAACCCGCATGTGCTGGCACCCCACCGAGCCCCTCGTCTTCACCGCCTGCCTTGATGGAGCCTCACGCTGTTGGGATCTGCGAACCGGCTCGTGTGTACGAACGTACGGCGGCCACGAGGATGCCGTACAGGACATTTGCTTGAGCCCCGATGGATCCATGTTGTTGACGGGGGCGGATGACGGTACGGCACGTGTGTTCAAGGTGAAGCCGTAAGGGAGAGGCGGCGGTGTACGGCAAGTGATGTGTACGGCATGGCAAGTGTTGGATGCAAGCATGCAATATATAGCACTACTGGAGTATGGTGCATATTAAGGTAACGAACGAGTAGTAAGTCATGATTCTTTGAGGCCATGGGAATGAATGGGAGCTTGATAGGGTTTGGATTAGGCTGCTTAGCTGACCCATCGGTTGGGGTATGTGAATGGGAAAGCTTTGGGAGGATACATCAATACCTTTCGTTAGTGTACGTTTTTGTTTTGTAGCCTGCATAGTGCATGCTGTTGGGGTTGGCATGAAGTCAGGTTCAAGACTATGCGGTCCTCCCCTCGTCGCTTGGCCAAATGTATGTTGACGCATTGGTTATCGACCCGTGTGGTGGGGCTGTTTTGACACATAGTTTTTGGCTCACGCTGAACGGAGATAGAATCCGACTGCAAGCTGTGCGCAACGCCGTTATCGGCGTGCATGTCATGGCTGGTACCGTTGTCCGCCACGTTCACACTTTGAGCTTACGCTTACACCAAATAATACCGTACAATGAACCCCGACATACAGCCCACATGTCTCACCTTGTACAGCCTGCACGTCTAGGGCAAGATTACGTACCATAGCCGTGCCAATAACTAACTGTTGCTAGCAAATAAAGCCACTAGGGGCTGTGCGACACATTCACGGCTTTACGACACAGATGTCAAGTATGCCGTACAGAGTGTAACCACGAACCAACCACACCCATCCAGAGCAACAAAGCTACAGCTCCAAACCCGGACACATCCACACAGTCATACCGGTATACACGACATGATCAAAAGATTTTTCTAGTCTCCAGCCAAAAAAGACTTCGACCAGGCGTCGCAGCAAGTACCAACAAGCAAACCAGTTACGAATAAACCAATTGCACCTGTCAAAGCTGCATTACCGCTTCACACATACAGCAGCAGTACTTTGCAACCCTATAAACGAAACACAACAGTAGTTCAAAGTGTCGTTCAAGTGTTGGTTAATAGTAAAGTTAATGTGGGAAGCAAGTCCTAGCTATCCGATTTCTGGTGTAAATTGAGGAACAATCGAAATCAGTAAGCAGTAAGCAGTAAGCAGCCATGACAACGAGCAGTCCCTTTTAAACGAAAAACAGTACAAAGTGTTGTTAATCGTGGGGAAACAAGTTCTGTACGTTTCCTGTCATTGTACAGAATTACGTAGACGTGATGGCAACGAGCAGTCCCATGGGTCACAAAACGTGGAGCGAGCAGAAAATTGTCAGGAATTAGGAGCCTCCTCCCGTAGACAACAACCTGAATGAAGTAACCGATGGCTGGTGAGCGGTTGTCCAGCTCCAAACTCTATCGCTCTAGCAGCGATTGAACAATACCCTCGGAATCGAATGCGAACACGAAGTAAAGCAAGGTAACCCTGAACAACCTGCATTGCCGCTTCACGCAGCATCAATGTTCGCAGTTCATAAGAGGTGTTAATTTGCAGTACATAAGAGGTTTTAATTAGGATAACCTGTAGCAAGGCTAAAACGAACAACTTATTACCCCAAAGAGAAACTCTCGCACTTGCGCACGCACACGGCAGATAAGGAAAAGGCTATCCCCTCTCATCACGAAAGCTGCAGCCCAACTGCTGCCAGATGCGGCAAATGTGACTTTGTGGAAACGGTTGCGCCGTTGACGTTGACTCGTACGGCAACCACAACCGCCGTGTTGAACTCATCCGCTGACGTCATCGCAGTGGCAGCATCAGACGGTTGCAGGGTAGTGGCAGCCGTTGCAGCAGATACGGCAAAGTAGTTGAGTCCCGGACACGTCAGCACCTGGCCTGTACTGCCTCTGTAAAGGGTCACCCACTGGGTCGTGGTACAGCGATGGGGCAAGCAAGGAGAGGCGAAGGTTGATACTCACCATAGCATGGGCATATGCATGCTTTGAAAATATGCGTACAGGATGGGGCTTGAGCGAGCAGGCATGCTCAGGTAAGAGGGAGGAGTGGAGGCCCCCACCCCGGTACCTTCCTCCCCTCCTTCCCTCCCTAGCCCCCACCCTGGTACCTTCCTCGCCTCCTTCCTAGCCCCCACGCACCCTGACGGGTTGTATACACGCGCACGTTTGTATATATGCAACCATTCCTGCTCCTCACCTGCTCCTGGCTGCTGTTGGTGCCCCCCGTCACCACCCCTTGCTTCCGGAGCAGCAGGTCGATGGAGGCAATGGCGGGGTTGAGGGTGCCGCGGTTGGTGACGTAGAGCACCACAGACGCCACCCGACCGCCCTGGGCAGCGGGGGTCTGGTTGAAGTAGGCCACCACGAAGCGGGGGGCCTGGGGGTGTTGGCGGAATTGACGCATGGATGAATGGTTGAAAAATGAGGCGAAAATGCAGGCAGGGGTCGAGGTGCATCGATTGGCACGGTTACCTTGGACGGGTGCGTGCATGCATGCATGCGTGCAGAGTAAAGCATGCATTATTATGCAGAACGAGCGAGGTCTGTAGTGCGTTCTGCTGCTGCACGCTAGCTGCTGTTCATCGACTCACCATTTTCGTTGGCAACCAGCTGACATCAGCCGCTGGTTTGCAGGCCTTGGGTGGGGTCCGAAACTTTAGCTCCGGAGCCCCAACAATGAGGCCCGCAGATGAGGTCCCTGTCTCCAGCTGGGACTGCGCAGGCACGTATGGAGGGATGGATGGTAGGAACCCAAATGGTCATTAAATAAGCCATAAGTATAGCATGGTATTCAGTTACACAGCAACCAGGCAGTCAATATGCTGACAGCAACAACAAGAGAAACGGCTCCCCTGTGGCTACCAAACTGCCGCTTTGTACAGATAACCCGCACAGTACAGTACCTACATTGGGGCCTGAGGCTGAGGTGGCCCAGTATACGACCGGAGGGGGCGGTGGCGGTGAGGGGTGTGGAGGTGAGGGCGGTCGAGGTGACGATGGTGGGAGTGGTGATGGGGGTGGTGGTGAAGGGGGTGGTGGTGATGGGGGTGGTGGTGAAGGGGGAGGTGGTGAAGGGGATGGTGGTGAAGGGGGTGAGGGAGGTGCAGGAATTGGCGGTTGTGGGCTGCTGAGTGTTGGAGGCCGGGGCGAAGGGGGGCTCGGGTGGGGCTCTGGTGAGGTTGGGCTGCTGGGGGTTGGCAGGCTGTGAGGTGGTGGTGGTGGTAAAGGAAGGGGTTGAGGGGTAGGGCTGGGGATTGGTGGTGGTGTTGGGGGCTGGGAAGGAGGGAGAGCCGGACTGCGGATGGCACGGGGTGGCGGTGGTGGGGGTGGCGGGCTTGGAGAAGGAGGCGGGGGAGACGGGGGTGGTGAGGGTGGTGGAGAGGGGGGGGGGCGAGGGTGGAGGAGAAGGTGGTGGTGAGGGCGGTGGAGAGGGGGGAGGCGAGGGTGGAGAAGGTGGTGGTGAGGGCGGTGGAGAGGGGGGAGGCGAGGGTGGAGAAGGTGGTGGTGAGGGCGGTGGAGAGGGGGGAGGCGAGGGTGGAGAAGGTGGTGGTGAGGGCGGTGGAGAGGGGGGAGGCGAGAGTGGAGAAGGTGGTGGTGAGGGCGGTGGAGAGGGGGGAGGCGAGGGTGGAGGAGAAGGTGGTGGTGAGGGTGGTGGAGAGGGGGGAGGCGAGGGTGGAGAAGGTGGTGGTGAGGGCGGTGGAGAGGGGGGAGGCGAGGGTGGAGGAGAAGGTGGTGGTGAGGGCGGTGGAGAGGGGGGAGGCGAGGGTGGAGGAGAAGGTGGTGGTGAGGGCGGTGGAGAGGGGGGAGGCGAGGGTGGAGGAGAAGGTGGTGGTGAGGGCGGTGGAGAGGGGGGAGGCGAGGGTGGAGGAGAACGTGGTGGCGACCGTGATGGTGAGGGTGGGGAAGGTGGGTCATACCCACAGCTTGCTGGAGTACCCCCATCCGGTCTTCCGATGTACAGCACTGTGGAAAAGGAGGGTCAGGTACGAAATGCAATTGGGTAGCATGAAAGAAGCAAGATGGCATTACCACAATGTAACGTAAGCCTAACGGCCGGCCGGCCGGATATGTTCCCTATTAAAAACTTCTCCATCAACACTGTTTGATTGCGTTCTCATCAGGTTCAAGAACAATACCTACAATGCTGTCACACACGCCCTCGCTCTCAATTATGGTATCAAATATCAAACTTGCCTTGTCCTGCGCTGTACACAAACGAGTTGGTGCTGTCCCATATCTCACTACCGTACAAGTTTCCGGAAAGGTCGAAACCGTAACACCACGGAAGTGTCACGTAGCAGTATTCACCAATTCGATTGTAATAGGTGGCATCGTCTTCTGAGGGGTCCCTCGCGGCGGTCTCCCCGGGCCTGCGCGATGCCACGTGTCATGCAGGGGTCCAAATCCATTCCGGTAGGTACCAACAGAGATTCACTTACTGGAGGGAACTGGAGGTGTCCACATAACAGTCATACCGAGGAACAACAACTGCGGACAGGCGCGAAGGCGGATTTAGCGTGCCATCAGAAGGGCAATCCTTGGCATGCGCTTACTTGAGTCGATGCGGTAATAGTACCCGGAACGAGAAAGGAGGTCTCCAATATGCCAGACATTAAGGCAAGGCGAAAAACCTTACCGCTTTTCGTTGATTCGGTAACTCCCAGCCATGAAGCCCTGGACATATAGAGTAATGGAACGAGGGCTAGAAGTCAGTAAAGTAACATTGCATTGTTTACACGTGGAAAGCTTACAGGAAGAAGAAAGATAATAAGGCCACCGTGACCCGCATTTTCTCGAAGGGCCTGACGCCTCAAGCTATCTGTTGAATGGCAAACACCTATTGGCCTAAATAAAACCCGGTAAAGAAGGTGAGCACGCTTGAGGCACGTGGCCGGCGCCTATGTGGGCTCGAAGTCAGTGCGTCATATTGGTCTCAATGGTAGGTCTCCTTTCCTCCGCATTTGTACAACTTTGTTTCTACAATAGATAGCCCCACCGCGGAACGTTGTGTCAGTTCCACGGTTGTGCGTGTGCGACGGAAGGCGGCTGTACGGAAATACCATACAGCTCCTCTCTCCGGAACCGAGCCGGGCTTTTCCATAAAGCCGTGAGCTCGTGACGTACATGCGCGTATGGAGGGACCCATAGAGCTGTTCGAAACTAGAAAATGTAATTGGGGCTTTTTAGCCTGCAGGCTTGGCGATTCAGCTCCGGGGATGTTGTGTTCTTGCCTCATTCAGACAACGACCGAGACCTACTGAAGCTCTACCGAAGGAACCGTACTCGTCCAATTAAAAGGGGATACCGTATGGTACCGTAACTTATGCCGACCTTACCTTGCGCGGAGCGTTGCATTGCAGTAGCTCTGGTGGTGGTGGCCCTAATTCTAAGGTCTCCGTGATTTGTTTGCCGGGAACGCCACTACCAGCTGCATTTGCGTTCCCGGCCATCCAAAAGGACCGGGTCCATGCTCAAATGTTCTTGCCAGCCGACCGTGTCTCAGGTTTGGAACCTACCCGCAAACATCAGGTATTGCGCTAATCGAGATACGTCCAGATAGGCCTCCAGAAGGGCTCAGGAGTTTGTAAGGTGGGGACCCCGCGCGTGGGGGCCGGCTAAAATATGTCAAAGCGCTCGAGGAAAGCGGCTTTCATGAACGCTGCCCAGCCGTTGAGATGACGCTTAGCACCGGCAGACACCGCTCAACACCGGACTCCCCTTCATCTCCGAGCAGGGAAGCTGTTACATCCTATCCAGCGTCAGCCCAGCCGTACATGCGAACATGGCGCTGCGTGATCCATTGCAGTGCGTTGTCGGGGAGGCGGTAGATAGGAATGGGGCTGACACTGGATGGCTGAAGCACTCTAGAAGCGTTATCCTGGTGATTAGCCTCGCTCCTTGCTAGCAAAGGGTTAGGCTGGATCCCTTTATGTACCGCAAATACAAGTCCCTGGCAGCACCTCCCGTTGGTCAACACAAATTAAGACCAGTGCGACAAACTACCTGGTCAGCGTTGACGTCAGCACCACCTCAGGTCGGGGGTCCAGAGAGGCCAACCGCGGCGCCAGTTCTTGCACCTTGCGCAGTCCCTCACGTGTCAGAACCGTGTCGTACAGCAGCGGGTCTCGGAGCGGCTCCTGATGTGGGCTGCCGTACTTGTGGAGCGCCATGTAGGCCGCCCTTTCTGTGGGACCATGGCGAAGGATGTGAAGCACCTGGTGTAGAATGGTCGGGCACTGGGATTAGGTTGAGAGGCCAGGGTTTGGGTTGACGATGGATGGAACCTGAAGGGATGGCATTTCGCTGGAATTGTTAACCGGCGTTTACACCCGACCAAGGCGTTTTTTGCATCCGATTCGTAAGGCAATGAAGGATAGCGCACCTTCTTTGTAGTTGTAGTTGCGCTGGCGGCGTGGGAGCTGGTGCCTCGGACAGCGACTCGCCGATGGCTGGTCGATCTGGTCATACTGCGTGCTTTCATGATAAATTAAGAAGCTTACATGGCCATACCTAGTTGGGCTCTTTTGCTCTTGTGCGAAGAATGCGCGGACCCATATGCTTGCGGGCGAACGGCCTGAGTTACGGCAGGATTATTAAGGGGCTAGCATTTGGCCAAACGTTAATTATAACGAATCATAATGCATATATGAGAGCTCCTTGTCAGTAATGCCAGTTTGAGCTGTACCTGTAATACGCCGTTGAGTTTGTGTGTGGTCGTTATGGTGCGAAGATAGCCATAGTCGTCCTTGACAGATAAGTAGATTATTTCCCTTCGTGAGCAAATACCTCCTAGAGCGGCGTTGTCCGCATAGGATGCAACAAAGGATGCCGGTCGCGGGTGCGGGTACACGTTGCTTCGCGGCTTCGCGGATGCTACGCGCAGCAGCAAGGGTGTGCCTGCCCTTCCAGTCTTCAATTGCTTCTCCGCGGACAGCTCTTGCGGGCGCATCCGCTGCCGCGAATTGCGTACCATGCGCATCACCAGGGCCCATGCGTGGCGACCGCATTCGCACTTGCTGCTCCAGCTGCCCCAATCCAGTCCCAGCTACAAGCAACTCCCAACAGGAAAACTTCACGATCACGACGCCGCTGTACTACGTCAACGCAGGTGAGGCAGGCATGGGTAGAAACACGGGTTTGAGTAGACGTGGGTGTCCGTCCTAATAATCATACTGTGTTTCCATTCAAGACGATGCTTCCTAGCTCAGTAACCATCCAAACACCCTCATGGCTCGCTGGTTTACCGTTCACCCTCGGGGCGCCAACGCCACCCATCCCTACAGCTCCCCACATGGGCAGTGCCTACCCCACCATCGCAGCTGACGTGGCCTCACGCTTCCAGGTAAAGCCGCCCGCGCGCAGCCTTCATACTCTTGTCACAACATTGGCAATAGCCCTCACCCTCCTGCCTACATGACAGCCCAGCACCGCTCCTCAATCCACTGCGGACTCCGGGCAGAAGCAACAAGCAGCCCAATACACGCTGCGCACCTCCCACACCGAACACAACCTGGTCACCTGGCCCCATGACTGACAGCTGCTTCTCTCCCTCTCGCCACCCCTTCCCACCTTTTCTTCCCTTCCTCCCCGTGCTGTGGTCCTGGTTTATCTTTGAAATCCCGCCTGCGCAGCGCCTGCTGGGCAAGCGAGTGCGCTTCCTGACGGGTACGGACGAGCACGGCGAGAAGATCGCAGCAGCAGCCGCCCGCCGGGGTATGAGCCCGCAGGCGCACTGCGATGACATTGCGGCGCAGTACACCGACCTGTGGAGCAAGGTGGGGCGGGGCGGGGGTGGGGGGCATTAAGCGGGAGGGGGCGGGGCGGGGGGCATTAAGCGGGAGGGGGCGGGGCGGGGGGCATTAAGCGGGAGGGGGCGGGGCGGGGGGCATTAAGCGGGAAGGGGAGGGATATCCGCTGCCACCGCTCGAGTAAGTTGTCCTGCTCCTTTGGCCCCTCCTGCGCCTTCTCCTTCCCTCACCACCCGCTCCCCTCCTTCCTCACCTCCCCACCCGCTCCCATCCTCATTCAACACGTTGGGTATTCTTCATTTCCTCACTCGCTCCCCTCCTCCCTCACCTCCCCCCCCACCCTCCCCACCAGCTGGACATCCGCTACGACCGCTTCGTGCGCACCACGCAGTCCCGCCACGCGGCCCTGGTGGTGGAGGTGCTGGGCCGGTGCTGGGAGCGCGGCGACATCTACTCCGCGGACTACGAGGGCTGGTACTGCGTGGACTGCGAGGAGTTCAAGGTGCGGGGGGTTGCGGGGGCGCTGCGGTGGGGGTAAAAATAAGAACGCTGCGGTGTGGGGGCCTCTGGGTGCGAGGGGGGGGGTCTGGGAAGGGCTGATTGCATGTGGGTGTGGCGCAGGGCTCCACCATGGTGGTTGCGTCTTGGTTGCGAAGACTGCGAGGGGGGAGGAAGGCGGGGAAAAGAAGAAGAGGAAGAAACACGGGGATAGGGGAGTGGGACTGTGAGGTGCCAACCTCCCTCTGCCCCCCGCGCACCCCACTTACCCCTACGTGCCACGGTGAACTGTTTGCACGCATGGTTCATGTCGTTTCCCACTTTCCACTCCCCCACCTGCCCCTACGCGCACCCCTACCTACCCCTGTGCACAGGACGAGAAGGAGATGGTGGCGCTGGAGGGGCCGGACGGCAAACCCGCGACCGAGGCCCGGGGCTGCCCCACCCACCGCAAGCCGTGCCAACACCGAAAGGAGGTGGGAGGTGGGGTAAACAAGGGGAGAAGGGGAGGGATCATGGAGGAGGTGGGGTAAACAACTAACTGATCGTGTGACAAGGCGTAAAAAGGAGGGGGTCGAAGAGAAAGCAGCCCGGAGTTGTAGTAGGTGTGCGGGGGTGTGCGGGGGTGGGAGGTACCGGTACCGGTACTTTCCCCAGGCACGGGGCTGCTTCCTTCCTGCCTTACACAGCGCCAGCCAGCCACATGAAGTCCACTGCCACACCCACCCACCCACCCACCCACCCGTCTGCAGGCCAACTACTTCTTCCGTCTCAGCAAGTACTCCAAGTGGGTGCTGGACGAACGCAGGGGGGACGGAAGCACCAAAGCAGCAGCACCAGCAGCAGGGGGGGTTGTTGCCGTACTGTCGTACAGATGTGTTACGAGGCCTGCGCCTGGCGGAGGGAAGATGTGCGTCGCAGGGGACTGACACAGGCGCCCCTACCTCATGCTGCCTGCTGCTGAGCACTGCCCCCTTCTTTCCTTCCTCCCTTCTCCTTCCTCCCTCCCTGCCTCCCTCCCTGCTGCTGCTTTGCTCTGCTGCTGTGGCGCACTGCCGCAGGGAGGTTGAGGAGCTGCTGCTGCGAGAGGACTTTGTGCAGCCGGCGTCGCGGCGGAACGAGGTACGGCAGTGCAGGGAAACTACCGCATCGGTCTTATATCTATTATCAGCCCTCGTAATTTTAAAATCCTTGATATGACCAGGATATGACATTGATAATATGATCATTCAAATATTGTGTTCAAGTAGCTGACGTGTCTGTATTGCCGTGATGTCCCTGTTGCTCGCAGCTCATGTCGTACGTTCGCGAGGGCCTGCGCGACTTCTCCATCAGTCGGGCTGCGGTGGACTGGGGCATTCGAGTGCCCAAGGACCCGCAGCACACCGTCTACGTCTGGTTCGATGCGCTGATAGGTGGGAAGGGGGAAAGAAGAAACATAACGGTAATGTGACTGGGCAGTCGTTGGTGGGTGGTGGTGGTGGGTGTGGTTGCAAACTGTGAGTAAGTGCTCCTCCTCTGTACACGCACCCCCACCTTACTCCAAACCCGCCTCTGCCGCACACCTGCCTACCGCACAGGTTACCTATCCGGTCTGCTCCCGGACGACGTAACGCCCACCGCCCCCGCCGCCTGCGAGCACGGCTGGCCCGCCTCCGTGCACGTGATCGGCAAGGACATCCTGCGCTTCCACGCCATCTACTGGCCCGGCATGCTGCTGTCGGCCGGACTGCCCCCGCCGCGGTGAGCGGGCAGCTGCAACTGGTTTGTTGGGCGCCTGGGCTCCTTGGAGGAATTTATGAAGAAGCGCATGCGTTTGTGACTAGCAAGGAATGGTGGTGGTGGTGGTGGTGGAGTGGAAAACATGCATTGATGTACCGTCCTGATTGGGCAGTGCGCTGTTCTGCGGGCGCGCATGCTGTCCGGCTGCCAGGCTGGAGTCATGCTCGCCAACAACCGTACCCAGGAAGGCAGTAGAAGTTACCGTACTGCATACCTGGATCCTACCCTTCCACCGCAACCCAACATTCCGCGATCACCCCCGCACCCTCACTCCTCCCGACACCCCCGCATCCCCCGACACAGGCAAGTGTACGGCCACGGCTTCCTGACCAAGGACGGTCTCAAGATGGGCAAATCACTGGGAAACACCCTTGATCCGCAGGTAGGTGCAGTGGTGTGTAGTGGAGTAGACTGGCCGCGAGTCGGAACGTTCTCTGTGACTGCCGGAAGAGATAGTCCCCCACAGAAACCCCACAAGTGAGTAGGGGTGTGTTGTGCGTGCATGGGTAGCTGCAAGCGAGCTCGGCACAATACACATAAGCAGCCGCCAGGCGCATGCCGTCATGCAGCACGAACCTACAGCGTTTTCAGTGTTGGAAGTACGGAGGTGCTGCGTGTTAGGGCGGATAGGGTTTCCCGTGCTTTTTGCGCTATGCGCCATTTCGCCCTTTTGGCGGTGGCTTCCCTGTGTGTCGGCTTGTTCGCGGCTAGGAGGCTGCTTGTGTACGGTACCTTTTGCAGGAGCGTGACATGGTTGACGTGATTGATGAAGGTGTATTCCCCACCCATCTTTAGGCGCTGGTTTCAACGTACGGAGCGGACGCCGTACGGTTGTACTTCATGAAGGAGATCGTCTTCGGGTAATACCGTACGACTGTTTGCTTTGCTGTTTGCATGCTGAAAACCCTGTTTGTTTTGTCCTTCTTGCATTGCGTCCTTGCATTCCTTAGCCTGTGCAGTATACCTGGGCAGACCGCAAGCTGACAACCGTCCCCATAGGAGTACCCGCCGTTTCTTCTTCCTTCCAACCTTAACTACGCGCGTGTCTCGCTTGCAGCCAAGACGGCGACTTCAGCGAAGCGCGCTTCCGGGATGTGGTCAACGCGGCGCTGGCCAATAACCTGGGCAACGGTCTCAACCGCACCCTCAACCTGCTCGCCAAGTTTCACGACCGCACCATTCCCCTGGACGCAGGTGGGACCAGCGGGGCTGCGGGGCTGCATGCACCCGTTCATGCACCCGAGTGTCTCTGTCTGTCCTCCCTGTTTCCTGGCTGCCCAACACGCACTGCCCCACATAAGCACACATAGGCCCAGCTAGGAGTGAAGCGCTGGTGTGAGGGTCACATGCCTGCAGTTCTGACAACCCACAATGCGAACTCCCCCCCCGGGATCAAACCTCCGGTACATGCGCATGGCCCGTTCCTCCTCACAACTACCTCACCCGCCCTCTCGCCCCCCTCCCGTCCTTCCCGCGCGCCTTCTCCTCCTCCTGCTCCCTCCCCCCGTCAGCCTCCCTTCCCGCCGACCTGCCGCTGCGCCAGCTGGCCTCAGAGCGGCTGCCCGCCGCCGCGCGCAGCTACTCGCAGCTGTCCTTCCACGAGGCGGCGGAGGCGGTGCTGGCGCTGGCCAGCCGCAGCAACCAGTACCTGGAGGAGACGCAGCCGTGGACCAAGCTGAAGAAGGTAGGGTGTCCCGTGGTGCGGGAGGAGGAGGAGGAGGAGGAAGAGGAGGAAGAACAAGAAGAGGAAAACCAACTAGGATGTGGTATGAGATGTGGCGTACAATGCTGTACCCGTCCTTCCCAAGTTCCGATGCGCGCGGGGCGGGGGGGAGGATTACCACCTTGGACGTGTCTTACAGCAGCAGCCGGAAAACAACATCGCATGAAGGAAGACGGGTCCGCTACAGGGACGCTGAGCGCTGCGTCCTGCCAACGTGTCTGGTATCTCCCCCCTCCCTCCCTCTCCTTTGGGTCCTCTACCCTTCCCTCTCCCTCCCTCCCTCCGCACTCATGTCCCAGGGTACGGATGCTGAGAAGGCGGAGGCTGCAGCGGTGCTGGTGGCGGTGTTGGAGGCGGTGCGGGTGGTGGCGGTGGGCCTGGCGCCGCTCACGCCGGGGCTCAGCCGCCGCATTTACGCGCAGCTGGGCTTTTCGGAGGAGCAGTTTGAGGTGCGCGGATGGGGGGCGGGTTTGGGGGTTGGGTGAGAAGGGGAAACCTGATGGATGAAGGGGGCCTTGGATGGGTAATGTGCCGTACCGTGTGCCAAGGTACAGTCCAGGCGCTGCGGCTTGTCAAAGAATGCCTGCGTCTTTCCATAGTCTCTCGTCCCATCCTCTGGCCATGTAATCGGTACCATGGGTGGATTACAATCCATGTGCGTGTACGACATGGTTGTGAGGTTACCTGATCGGCTAACATGTGGCATGCAGGCGCTCACGTGGGCTGATGTGGCCTGGGGCGGCTTGAAGGCGGGGCACCGTACGGCGGAGCCGGCGCCGGTGTTTGTACGACTAGAGGCTCCGGAGGAAGCGGCGGCCGCAGCGGCGGCGGCGGCAGCGCAGCAGCAGCAGCCCAAGAAGGGGAAGACTGCCAAGGCTGCCGGCGGAAGTGCGGCGGGTGACGGCAAGAAGGCGAAGAAGGAGCGGAAAGAACAGGCGGCAGAGCAGCAAAAGCAGGAGCAGACGGTGATGGCTTAAGGAGAGGGCGAATGCGGCTGACAAGAGATGCTGATGTGATTTTTTAAAAGGCTTGGCGGTGTAGCAAAGTAGTGGTAGATTGGTAGTGGCGTCATCCTGTCGAGGTGGAGCAGGGCATGGGCGTCAGCCTAATAATGGAAACCTGCTAGCTATGAGTGCCTGCCAGAGGACGTGTCTGCGTTACTTGACGTGTTATGAGACGGAGTTCGGGCCTTTTCTTCACGATTGCAGCTTTGGGGTAGGCGAGAGGAGTTCCATGGCCTAAACAGACGCGCTAGACATACATGGTTGCCAGCTTGCCACGCGTAGCACCCGTCCCGCAGCCCGGACACGAAGCTATGCTGGAATATTATGGGATGTTTAGTGTTGATGTATGGAAGCTAGCTTCCGCCACCTTATGGCAAGGGTGCAAGTATGCCAATTGCGGAGAGCAACATCCCGATGTCAAGACCTACAAATGGGGCCCTACAACGAGAATGCCACTCTCATTTAACAACGAAGTCGTGTACGGAGCTAAGTGCGAAGCTGCCAAATATTGACTCTAAATCCGTCTGGCGTTCTGGCCAACGTGAGGAAATTGAATGCCGGAACCAGTCTTCGGAGCCAGCAAGTTAGCCAAATCCTCAGAATTAACACGCCACCCTGCACAGCGTATACAAACGCCCCTTTGACTTGTCGTTTCATAGCTTAGGCGCGTGTTTTCAATCTGTTCCTTTCGTCCTTTAGTTCCGCGCCAAATAGCCAACAAGCAGAGTCACACTCCAGCACGTTAATAAAATACATATATTTCAAATAGGCGGTTTGCGCTCTCCGCCATCCTTGGCCGCTTAACCAAGAAAGTGCGGCCATGTCGCTTTCATACTTATCGACGAGGGCTCACTATGTCTTTACTGAGCTCTTAAGACCCGGCACACCTGAGTTTGCGATGACGTTTTACCAGATCGCGGCGTACTGGCTCGTTGCTGGCTTTTACGACCTGCTGGACCGCATGAAGCTGCCCTTCACGGAGCGCTACAAGGTTGTGCGGCGTGACCCCGGGCGGCCTAATGCCATCACTCGGCGACAAGTCATCCTTCGAGTACTCCTGCAGCAGCTCATACAAACAGCGCTAGCGGTGTCCCTCTTCATACTCGACTCCGATAGCTGCACGCGTTGCGCCGGCAACAAGAGCATCCTCCTCCGTGCCTCGCGATTCGTGCTCGGCATGTTCGTCATGGACACCTGGCAGTACTGGATCCACCGCATGGCGCACACCAGCACCTTCCTCTACAAGCACCTGCACTCCGTACACCACACCCTCATGATTCCGTACGCCTACGGTGCCCTCTACAACTCCATCCTCGAGGGCCTGCTGCTCGACTCCCTAGGCGGCGCCGTCAGCCTCTACGCCGCCGGCCTTGACTGCACAACCGCGACCTGGCTCTTCACTTTTGCCAACATTAAGACCGTGCTTGACCACTGCAACTACCGCGGCCCCATCAACCCGCTGCACAGCCTGTTCCCCAACTGCGCCGCCTATCACGACGTCCACCATGACATTCGTGGCATCAAGATGAACTTCTCTCAGCCCTTCTTCACGCACTGGGACTGGCTGCTGGGGACCTTCCTGGATCCGGTGGGCATGCACTTGAGCGTGGAGGAGCTGAAGCAGCAGCAGGAGGCGGCGGCGGGCAAGGAGAAGGATGCGAAGAAGGAGAAGAAGGTCCAGTAGTTGTGCTTTTGCATGTTGGGCTGTCCTGGGGGCTCTTGCATGTTGGGGTGTGGTGAGGGTGCGTGAGGTTTGGGTGGTGATGTATATGGTATGAGGTAGGCATATGGTGTCTTGTGCATTATTGGTCTTGTGTCCTGCTGCATGCATGGATGAGAGGTGGCAGCCTTGCAGCTGGATTGCGCGCCCTAGGTTGCGTGCACGCATGGGTACGGATGGCGCTTGAGCTACTTCGATGCGGGCAGATGGAAGCTGTGAAATGACTGATGACAGGAAGTGCATGGCTGGGTTTGTGGGCGCGTTGCAGTGTGGGTGACATGTTAGGTGCGTTACTTGTGTCTCGGCTTTGCTGTATTTTGTTACCATGAGTCAACTGCACTGCTGCTGGGGCCTATTGACTTGTACGTTTGCGATGTGACAGCCAGGTATTGCAAGCATGACGGAGTGTACCGTACACTGGGTGTGACATGTTGAGGTTGGGTGTGAGAGGGGTTGTCTTGGTCAAAGGGGTACTGGCCAGAGGGGTACTGGCATGGAATACCCGTCCCGTTACCCGGGGACGCTCGGACATGGCATGGTGGAGGTGGTGCACGTGGTGGCCCATGTATTTATGCTGAAGTTTATGCGGTGTGAAGCCTAAGTCTTCGGATTTGCCAAATGCGTAAATGTGATTAGCTGTAACTCGGCACTTGACATGAAGTGGCATGGTTGGTTTGCCAGTTTCTGCCAATCCGCCTGTTCCTTGTGCTTTTATGGATATTGCATAATAGAAAGCAGCGAGTCGAGCAACGCATGCTCCCCGAGACAAATGGACCCTCCCTTGTGCCACGGGAGGTCAGCGGGGCCTGCCTTGAGGGCTGCAATCAAACTTGCTCGCTGCTCAGAGCTTTGATAGGGTGCCCATAAGCAACAACCAACTTGCCAACACGCTCTGGTACCTGCGCCAAGTAAGGGAATTCCCATTAGTGAGCACTCCTTGCTTACAGGTTTCTCTAAAAGCTACCGCACAAGCATAGGTATACACAGCACCTGGATGATGCGCTGAAGTTCTGCATAATAAGTTGCATGGAGGGTGCACGAGCCCGATGGCAGTTAGATAGCAGTCGCTGCACCATCGGCGGTTGGCTCTTAAACTTCCAGTGCAGGTAAACTCTTCCGACTTAAGAGTGCTTCTTATACATAGTATTCCTTAGATAGCACTCGACAGTTCCTACAAACTATTGCTCTTGGAAGTCGAGTCCTAGCTGCCGCCATACTGAACACGCCGAAGTAGCCGCAAGCTGTGTGTACCCTGAACAAGTATAAACCGTGCCAATTATACTGGTTAAGTCATTATCCAAGCGCGTTGGAGAAGTTCTCAGTTCATCAATAGGGTTAAACTCTCGCCGTTAACTGTTCCACTTACACCTTTGCTTTTCAAACTGCGGGCCTCGCGACATCGATGACTGTGTCAGTTGCGTCGTCCGCTATAGCAGCGGCGGCAACCTCATGCGCGGCGGCATCTGCGGCGCCTCACAGGGTGCCGCATGCGGATAAAGCCTGGGAATGGTTCAGAAGCATTGGGTCCCCCAAATACCATGTGGCGCCGATGGTTGACCAGGTGCGGCTAGGGTCAGGTGCAACGGGAACGTAGCACCCTACGTTAAGGAGGCCGCTTTGCCACCCCTACTGGCGGGCTAGCTTCCCGCTCAACACACGCTTATCCCTTTTCATGTGTTACGACTTCCTTCTTCCGGCATTTAGTATTTAGCTTCTCTTGCCGGCCAACTGCCATCATGATCCGCATGCGTTGACTTTCCCTGCAGTCGGAGCTGCCTTTCCGCTTGCTATGTCGCCGCCACGGCGCAACTTGTGCCTACACCCCCATGTTACACGCCCGCATCTTCACACAAGACAGGAAGTACAGGTAGGCAACCAACTGCCCGACTGCAGCATAACCTTTCCATGTGACACAACACGGACTACCCTGGGGGCTCAAGGCCTGTAGGAGCCATACCATGGTTACCATCCCCGCCTGCACCCCACGCGTTTCCGAGCAACTTTCTGTGCACGCCATATGTGAAATTTCCGTCCTGACCCAAGTCAACTGGGCTGCGGTGGTGATAGCAGCAGCTAACGAGTTCATCGGGGTCAAAGGTTGGCAATGAATTGCATGCCAGCTCTTCCTCCCACCCCACTTCCCCGTCCCGCCCTATCCCCCCAACTCAGAGAGGAGATGCTGACCGTCACCCCCGAGGACCGCCCCCTGCTGGTGCAGTTCTGCTCCAACGACCCGCAGCACCTGCTAGCAGCCGCACGCCTGGTGGAGGCAGCGGGGATGGCGGACGCCATAGACATCAACTTTGGCTGCCCGCAGCGCATCGCGAAGCGGGGCGGCTACGGAGCCTTTCTCATGGACGATCTGGACAAGATCGAGTCCATGGTGCGGATACTGGCGCAGGTGCGTGTGAGGAACCCGGATGCGGGGCGGGAAGAACGGGGCGAATAGCCTACCTCGCCGTTACAGTACTTGACTCGTCATTTTCCCCTGCTTCGGCTCTCTTCTCTTCTCCAAGCTCTCGTACGCCGCACCCTTCTCCTCCTCACAGAACCTGCGCATCCCGGTAACCGCAAAGATCCGCATTTTCCCGGACCTCTCCAAAACCATCGCCTACGCTCGCATGGTGGAAGCAGCAGGCGCCTCCCTGGTTGCCGTACATGGTCGGCTTCGAGAGCAGAAGGACCTCTCAGCCACTCGAGCCGACTGGGACGCCATCCGAGCCGTCAAGGCGGCCCTTAGCGTGCCGGTGCTGGCCAACGGCAACATACGGCACTTGGGTGACGTGGCGGCGTGTTTGGCGTACACGGGTGCGGATGGCGTGTTGTCGGCGGAGGGGCTGCTGGCGGACCCGGCGCTGTTCGATGTGCCGGCGCGAGCGGCGGTGGCGGTGGGAGATGTGAGTTAAGGGGGCGCCGAGGGGGTTTGGGGCTGGTGGTTCTTGTGTTCGGGGGTCGGTTTTGAGTGAAGATGCTGCTCCACCATTCCCTCGTTTTCGATACAGGGCCATTATCGCCTTCATTAACGTCCCTCCATACACCCCCCCTGCTGCTCCACTTGCACCTGCTGCGTCCCTCTCCCTCTCTGACCCTCCCTCCTTATCCACCCCTCCCCAACCCAGTTCGCCGCTCCCCCCTTGGAGCGCCTCGCCCTAGCCGCCGAGTACTGCTCCCTGGTGTCCGCCCACCCGGTGCCGCTGCGCATGGTTCGCGGCCACGTGCACCGCATGGTGTGGGACTGGCTGGCGGAGCACACTGACCTGCGGGAGCAGCTCAACAGGGCGCCGCCCACCATACAGCTCTTCACGCAGGTCGGGGGGAAGGGGGCGGGTGGGCGAATGAGGGGGTAGCAAGGTGAGGGGTGAGCCGCTGGCTGAGGTATTCTGGAGGTGACTGCGGGTGGCGGGTGCATGTGGGGAGCGTTGGTGGGAACTCCAGCCGTTTGTCCAACCCCTGCCCCCGCCCCAGGTGGTTGATGAAATGCGGGCTCGGGCAGCAGCCAGCGGTCGCGACGCGCCGGTGCCGCAGCTGAGTGCGGCGGAGCTAGCGGCGCTTGAACGGGAGGAGGCGCGGAAGGTGGGGTGGTGGAAAGGGGAACCGGGGGAGGCCTGGGGAATTCTCATGGCTGGAGGCATCATGCGGGATGCTTGCCGGGTGGGGCGCCTTTTCTCTTATTTCCCCGGGGGCGCGTTGGGCGTCTAGGTGGCGTCCGGAGTGGCTTCCGTCTGTTGGACGGCTGCTGCTGTAGCCCTACCGGTAGCTAGATCAGGACAGAACTAGTGTTGCTTGGCGCCAAGCCCTCCCTTGTTCCAACACTTCTCTGCCTTCCTCCGGCGCGTGTCCCCTTAGAGCGCCCTGGAGGAGCAAGAGCGCGAGGCTGACGCGTTGGAGAGGCTGGACCGGCGGAAAGGAGGGGCTGGTAGCGAGGCGGGGGAGGAGGAGGAAGAGCTTGTGGTGGATTGGAACGACTTTTGCTCGTACGACTAAAGGGGAGCGGTGAGCTCGGCGCTGCCTGGGCGCCGACGAGACCCGAGACATGAGAACAACAGCGTCTTTTATTGATGAAGGCTGGCAAACGGACGGCGGTGGAAACAATTGGGACTGTGGGATGCGGCTACGGTTGAGGCTGTGACTGACTGGGACGGAGGACCCGAGAGGGAGTTTACTGCAGAGGCGCCATGGCTAACGTTATGCGTGATCGGACAAGGCGACGCGTGTAAGCTGTAGGGAATGCGACTTAGGCTTGGGCGGCGAAGACTTGACAGGCAGTTACATAGACGCGTGCACCAGGGCTCCGTTCTTTCATCATATTCATGCGCAGAACCTGCGCAAACAGAATGAACGAGGTAGTGATCAATGAGAGAGGTGTGCACAGAGCTGCGGGAAGACGCAGGCCGGCGCCGTTGCACGTCTGATGTCAGTGCCAATGCGGTGTTCGTGTCAGCTGTAAGCAGGAGACTGCACCCACCTGTACACGACAGCTGCACTCTCGCAGCATGCTCAAGGTCAACCCGCTTCGACACAGCAACCAGGATAGCATGCCTCCAGGCGTCCTGATCTCCCTCACAGAACTAAACCGGCTTCGGAACGCTCGTCGTGCGCGCTTTCGTGCAGCGCTCCCGCATTGCTCACTGCTCAGGCTGGTTAAGTTCCTTGCGCAGCGACAGCAGCTGGCGCTCGAGCTTTTGGAGCTCCTGCGACACCACCATTGGACATGACAGGCTTCACTATTAGCCTAAGTACGGCAGTAAGGGGCTCCTAGGCTTGTCGCATGGCAGTGCCACGTGACGATGATAACCCCCGTACATCACTCTTCATAATGGTTTGTGAGCCGGACAACATGCCTCCTACCTGGATGTCGCTCAGCCGCATCGCTTCTAGCGCCTGCATGCGCCGCAGCTGTCCCAGCAAGGCACGTGAGGTTGCCACCTGCTCCCGGCGAGCTGATTCCAGCAGCTCACGTGCTGCCGCGTCGGCCTGTGCGGCGCTCAGAGCAGCAGAATGAGCTGCCGCCTCACGTTCACAGCTTGCAGCGATGTCGTCCGCCTGGGTTATAAGATGTGTGATGGGTGCGTGTTAACGAGGGAACGACGACGTCGCGAAGAAATTGTGGGTGCAAACAGCCGCATAGTGCAACTCAGTACGTGTACGTGTTTAATAGGTTGCACCAAAGACCCATGGGTCCAGAACACTTGCATGACGCCATAACGCTGAGATGCGACAGGAAGACGCTGCGAAGCCAAGAAGACTTATCCTCGCCTTTCAAATTGCCTATCCCGGACCGTGACTGCGCATGCCGTTACTCCGCAGGGCCCCGATTACGAAAAGCGGGCTCCCGGACTCACCGCATTACACCCGTACTCTAGATGTGCCTGGGCTTGCGCTGCCACGTTGGCCAGCAGCTGCGTCCGCAATGCCATGTTCTCACTCCGTAACGCCTGTCAAAGCACAAGGGGCACGCGAACAAGATGGAAGAGGTAGGCCGGCGCGTTGCGCTTCAAGAAAGGCGCAGGCCGGCACCTCCCTAATAACACGAAGGCCATACCCTCAAGCTTATTGCAGTTATGCCATCTAGGACACGTACCCGGCATGTGGCCTCCACCGCTTCCAATCGCTCTTCTGCCAGCACCCGGGCCTGCTGGGCGGCTGCCGTGTCCAAGTGGAGCTGCGTCGCAGTCTCCACCTGCGCCGCAAGCTCACTCCGCAGGTCCGCAAGCCTGCATTCACCGCACCAGATGATCAGCAGCGACCTAGGAGGAGAGGCAACGACAAGTGCGCAGTGTCGCTGTGCGTCAAACGTGCAACAGCAGTCGTCGATCCAGCGCACCTTTGTTGCAAGTCGAGGGCTGTATCCAGCTCCAGCGCTGCGTTCCAACGGCCGTTGCAGCAGCAGCAGCAGCAGCAGCAGCAGCAGCAGGAGCCGCAGCCGCCACAGCAGCCGTGCCCCGCAGAGGTTGCCTCAGCCAGCCGCCTGGGATGGAGCCAGGTACCAGGGGCACAAACGTACGGCCTAATATTAATCTCTGCCACAGCGGTTCCAATAGTGCAGGATGCATTAGGAGCGACCAACAGCACCCAGATACCGCACTCGCGATGCACTCACGATCCAGATGCCTGTTACTCTTGCCCAACTGCTGTACCCCGGCCAAGGCAACTGCGCGCCCCCTTCACACCTAGCGGACTCCGCCGCAGCCTCCTCGGCCTCCCTCAGCCGCCGCTCAAGCTGCACCGCACGTTGCCGCGCTTCAACCGCGGCCGCTGCCAGGGGCCGCATGTCCACAGTCCTCGCTTCTAGCGCCTGACACCGCTTGGAGAGCTGCTCCAGCACTCGCAGCTGGTCCTGGGCCTGCGCGGTGCATGAATGCAGGGGCAGGTAGGGGCTTGGTGGTTGGAAGTGTACGGGCGCTCTACCTAAGATCACATTAATCTTAGGCACATATCCAGTGCAGCACATACGACCTAGATCGCCTTTCCCTTCCTAGCCTACAAATATCCCGGGAGCCTGAAAGGTGAAAACGTCCCGGCAGCTAGAAGCGTCCTAGCCTAGAATCCGACCCGGGAGCACCCATAGGTCCTTTCCTATGATCCTATCCTATCGTGTAATCCAGCCCGTAAGCCGGCCCAGGCCGCCCTGCTCGGCTACCTTGCTTTCCAGCAGGGCCTCTGTTCGCTGCACCTCACGCACAGCTGCCGCCTTCACTCGAGCGAGCGCCTGGGATGCGGCTGCCTGCGCGTCTGTGAACCTGGCACGCGCAGCCGCTTCCTGCGTGGCAAGCTTCTCTCGGCACTCCTCCTTGATGGCCTCCACGCGACTGCGGTACATGGCTTCGACGCGCTCTAGCTGGTTGCTGCCATGGGTAAGGGTTCGGAACAGGGTAAGGATGACAGGGGGTGCAGGGCAGGACGGATGCATGCATTGCGATGGCCTCGGCATGTCGCAGGGACAAGCTTCGGAGGGGGAAGAGGGGATGTAAGGGTACGTAGTCCGTCTGACCCCACCCACCTGACTTGCTCTGCAGTGACCGTCTTAGCTTGCAACCGCTGGAGGTCGCGGCTGAGCTTGCCACACCGCTCCTGCAGCTGCCTGGATTCGTCATCTTTTTCCTGCAAGCGCAGGTTCAGGTCGAGCACCACACCTTCCAGCTGCGCCTTCTGGGCTTGGGCGCTGCAGCGCAGGGGCCCAGGGTGCATGACATGCTCCTCTGTGCAACACACAACATCGTGTCCAAAGGCATATGATTTGAGTTTACCTGTCGTGCTGCTCTATCAGCGAACTGTTGGCTTGCTGCAGGGCCTCGCAGTCACGCTGCAGGATTTGCATTTTGTTATGCTGAGATGGCAGCTCCGATAGTAAGCTTTCGCGCTCTTGAAGGCTTTTGGTCAAGCGTTGCACCTCGGCCCGAGACTGTGAGAGCTTCGCCTGCAATGCTCAAAGCTAACTACTCAGCCTGGCTTGTTCCCCGATAAAGTGACCCAAAACGGCATCACCTGCATATTCTGCAGCAAGCTTCCGAGGAGCTGATTCTCAGAAAAGACGGCGTTGTAACGTTCTTCAAGCGCCTGGCTGTCACCATCGTCTTGAGCTCCAAGTTGGCCTTTCCTCATACCGCAGCAACATCGTGGCGTAACAGATGTCGTTGAATGGCAAGGAATGTGTGGCTGCGGAAGTACAGTTCGCGGCTGGGGACTGACTGAGCGCATTTTAGGACAGTTGGGCGCTTGGGCCCCAGTCATGCTCCAGTGAATGTAATTTTAAGTGTGTAGGGAAGACAGCCTCAGCATGATACGTCTTCTATTAAGCCCTTCCATTGGTGTCAAGGCTGTTGAACTAAGGGGCCATTCACATATGAGTGATTTTGGGAATGAGTGCGTAGGAGCGCGTAGGGGAAAATTGTTCAGATTGTAATTTTTAATTACGTTTGGCCTGGAATTATTTTTAACAACGCCTGAGTTCAAAAAATAATTCCATAGGTGAAACATGAGTGAATCATGAGTGAAGTTGAGTGAAGTGAGTGAAGAAACTCGTGAGCAGGCGCCCCCTGGCAAATAGCATCCCTATGCCAAGCGCATACTTTGGTTGCTTTCCTAGACTTCGCGACTGCATATTTTTGTTCTCGATATACTACTTTCTCATAGAAAGCTTTGCGCGGCCTCGCGCGGTGCGAGTTTGACGAATTTGCTAACGTTGGTCGCGACAAGCAACTACCGCGTGCGCATGGCTGCGGAGACCTGCGAAGAGATCATCTTGGCAGGTCTACGCAGCCACTAGCTTCCTGCCTTGCTGCCCGTGTTCGGTCGCGGTCGCGGCATTTCGACTCTCACTGTACGCCCGACCAATGTGAACGCATATTGAGTTTTTTCGACTCATTCACGCGCCCTCACTCAAAAGCACCTCCTTCATATATGAATGGCCCCTAAATCCGAATCCAAGACGTGTAGCATAATGTTCTTTTCAATCCCTCATCTCGCAATCCCCGTTCCCCAATTGCAACAGTAAGCATCAGGAGCTACAGGAGGCGGTACTCGGGGTCACCAAAAGCACTAGCAAGAACCTGTCAAAGCCCGAAACCTTGCCGATGAAGGGTTGCTCACTAGGGCTAGTACACTGCACCACATCATGACACAACCTTCGCTACCTCATGAGCGTGCTGGGTCAAGTACCGGTGTTGCCTGCCTTATCAATATACTTATAAATCGTGGTTACATGCCAACCGTGGTGATGTTGACCATGGCGTCCCTTTCCCAGCCCTCATTTACCTTCATGACAATCTGCACTGGATGCGACCAGCGATGAGGCAAAGCTAACTGGTATATTGAACGTTGCCAAGCCCGGGGTTTGCGATGAAGAGTATGTAGCTTCATCGCTTCGCTTCCATCTCTCCCATCCGTTTCCTGGCCAAAGCCTGCTTAAAACATTTCAAAGGTGAAGTAGGCGTGGTTACCTATGAAGCAGTGGTTGACGGGCTTGTTTTAACGACCTTGATTGGATTTGTTGCTGCCCGTGAAAATCACGGCGACCATCCAGTCAGACCGACGCCGAGATCTGGCCCAAACGGTTCCCCAGTACGTAAAGTTAATTGATTATGCTTTGAAGTAACCCTTTCTAATCAGCAGGCCCTACCTGTTCGGGTACTGAACTCCTACAAACTACCGAGGCATCTCCTGGCAAGCATAGAACGGAAACTAGCAAGACGAATAGCTCCATAGCATGCACGAAAACTCGTAGACGAGGGGACAACGATGAATGAGTGACCGTTACAGCGGTTTTAATCATGCCGTTCTTCGCAAAGCCCCACAGTGCAGCAGCTGCTGCTGGTAGCAGTCAGGTCCCCTACCTACGATGCAGCCCTGCTTTATGCCGAGCCACCAGGCTTGGCGCATGGCGACTTGCAAGCTCCAAGCCATGGCTGCAGTTTGACGCAACCCGGCGCCCAACTGTCGTACCAAGCGCTCTACCTGAACCGCCGGATCGACCACCGGTACCCTCCACTGCCAGCCTACAAGTCGTACACCCCGCACCCTCCGGCGCCTCGATCCCTGTGCCGATACCCATACCGCCCATCACGCCTAGTGCTGGCACCACGTGGTGTGAACAAGAAGAGCTTCTCTCGAGCCTCTTTGGCTTCAAGCATGCGCCTGCAAGCAAGCTGCAGTCTGAGGAAGCTGCCCGGGGCCTGGCTGACATTTACAAGCGGTTCACCGAGGCACTGCTGCGGCAGGTGGGTTCCGTATGTCATGTTGCGAATGTACGGTGCATCCCTGTATGGCGCAGCCCACATTGCAAGCGAAGCAGGAATGGTATGCTACATATGCCTGTGGGCTACGTACCGTGCACAAGTTTGCGGCAGCCCTCGTCCCTCACGCGTCCAAGCGGCTCCGTCCCTTTTGTCGCCGTCGCTAGTTCAATGCACTTTGTGTACCGGCATTGCATGAAGCCATCCAAGGCCCAAACATGTTTTGCGTTTGGTTTGCATGGCTCGGCTGCAGGTGGCTGCCACAGCCGGCGCCGCGTCGGACGCCGTCAATGCTCTTTGCACCGTTGCAGACGTGCTGCGCTCTGGCAGGGTGGCATGGCTTCCCGAGTACGGCTGCGCGCTCCTCGCGCTGGGCCCCTCCCTGCTGGATGCCGATGACAATGTACGGCACCGGCCGGACAGCTGGTCGCTGCATCTGGTTGGGCTGGACGACTGGTGTTTCCATGCACACAGGTATGCCGGCCCTGCTTGTGTAAGTGGCTAGGTGCAGGTGCATCCTGGCAGCACAAGGCTGTGTAAAAATGACCCATGGGTCGCGCGGGAACCCTTCAGCTTTGGTTAATAGTGCTCATGTTCTTGGCAAAGACACAAGCCGCCGCCTATGCTACAGATATCAATACATCGTTCTGCATATCGTGCCCCTGGAGTCATCATGCGCCTGGCATGCGCCTGCGAGTCAGTCGCTCTCGTGCTTCACAGCAAAACCAGCAAGCAACGGTTGTATGTGACATTGGCCTTGTTTGCCTCCACACCGACTGCAGTTCTCCCGGCAAAGTTCAGCACACAGCAGCATGCAATAGAAGCGCCCTGCACTTCTGCGGGGAGGTGGAAGCGGACCAGTACGGACTCCTGCTTCAGCACACTATCGCGCTACTGGGCACATTGAAATCTCAGCGCAGCGCGGGGAAGAAAGTTGGGTATCAGAGGACGCCTGCGCTCGTGCATGGCGTGGTAAAGTGCGCGCTCGAAGGCTTGCTGGTCGGCAGCAGCCTTGAGGAGATGCAAGGCAGGATAACGAAGGACCCGTCCAGCGGGGGGCCCTCACGCGGCGGCTTCTCCGACGTGGGGCAGCACTCTGGCGCAGACACCGCCCGAGACACCTGTTGGCCGCTGGTTCGGGAGGTGATACAGGTACGGCAGGTGCGGTACGACACGATTGACACGGCACCTGTACGGGTGGATGCAGTGCACACGTACGATAAGGATTCCTCTCCAAACGGTTACATACATGCTCGCGGCCGCATGGCTGAGAGAGGCACCGTCCATACCGTGGATTTCCTTCCTAGTTGAACAAATTCAATCGGTGTGTTAAGAAAACTGGCCGCAATCGGTGTGTTTACCCTTTTTGCCCTTTTTCAGGTGTTGCTCAAACACTTCGGTGCCAGCAGCTCAGCTTCGGGCGAGCTGCAGCAGCCCTCCCTGCTGTTCCGCCAGGCCATGGCGCACCTCGACCTCTGGCTGTTGCGGCGGCAGCTGCCCCTCATCCAGCCGCATACCGCCACGCCCACCATGCTGAACGCCGCCATGCAGATGCTGCGCTCTGCAACCGAGAAGGCGGCTGCGCTGTCGGACGGAGACGGATACGACATGACTGCCTTTGAGGCCGCATGCCACGACGCCTCGCAGCACCTGCGGGAGGTCGCCGGGCAGCGGGCCCTTCAGGCGAGCCGCTGGTTCGAGCTGCCCCCAGCAGCAACCAGTTCCGCAGCGCTGTCTGGAACGACCAGGTCCCCCACCGGCATCCTGCCGCCCAAGTTCGAGGCTTCTGCCAGTGCCGACAGCCTTGCAGAAGCCCGGCAGCGTGCGTCGCGGAATCTCGGCTGCCTGCCGCTGCTGCCCTCTTGCAGCTCTTTCAAGCAGATGCTGGAGGTCCTGCAGCAGCAGCCCGACTGGGCGACCCCAAGCAGCGACGTGGCAGCGCAGTTGGTGCTCCGCACCTTGGAGCGGGAGCTCTTCCAGAGGGCCGCAGGGGGTTTCCGAGTGCAAGCCCTGGACGGAGACGAAGTGCAGGCGCTGGAGGCCGTGGTGGACGCCTACCGTGTCGCCGTGCAGCGCTTCCTGCAGACGCCCGCAGCCCGGGCGGTCATGCGCGTGGAGCTGCTGAGCAGGGAGGTGCTGGTGGTGTGGGTGGCGTACTGCCTGACCCACCAGGCGACAAGCGCGGCGTACCCGGTTGTACGGCAGTACGGTGTGATGGGTTCGTACGCTGATCTCCGTCACTTGGTGCTGTCGGACAGGCTGGCGGTGGATGCGGTCCTGGGTGTGGGGGCCTACCTGCAGAGCCGGGCAGCGCGGGGCAGCAGCAGGGTGCTGTTTTCCCTGAAGGATGGCGGCGCTGGCACGATGGAGATGGCTTTGGAGTTTGCGTTGAAGGATGGAGACCTGACAAGGGTCTTTGCGGCTGAGCAGGCCGATGCGGAGGCTCGTGTGAGGGCGCATTGGGAGGAGATTAAGCGCAAGCAGATCCTGGCAGCAAGACTGCGTAGTGATCTGGAAGCACTGGAACAAGAGGACAGGAGGCTTCAACAGGAGAAGTCATTGACTCAGGAATGGCTGTTCAGGGAGAAGTACAACCAGCTGTGCAATCAAATATGCGATATCGGTTTCGACGTGCGGCAGACCCAACGGCAATTGGATGTGGCGCTAGCAGTGCCGGCATCAGTTATCCAGCCGCTCCCAAGGGACGGCAACCTGGCTCGAAAGTGGCTGTTCTTCTTGCACATGCCGCCGCTGCTGCGCCGCCTTTCCCGTGTCAGCTTCCTGGCGCAGCAGATGCTGCTGCCACGCCCCTGCGCCGAACAAGTGGCCAAGGCTGTCGGCGTGCCCACGCCGAAGTTCTCCCTGGTGTTGCACTACAACAGCCACCGGAGCGCAAACAGCTACCTGCAGACCCGCCTGCAGGGCCGCGACGGTGCAGAGGGTGCGGTCATGCTGCGATCAAACGGCAGCATGCCGGATAAGAAGGACATCGGACCAAGGACATTGGACGCGTATACCAGCCGCGAGCAAGGCGTCTGGTACCCTGACTCGCTGACGCCGGGCATGTTTTGGAGCGGTAGCGGCTGCGAGGCGGATCAGGAGCAG